AATTTGCTTCAGATGTCTTATCTTATTTGATTTTTGATTTTCCTATTTAACAAGAAAAATGGGTATTTTATTTGTGGGAGTTTGCCTTCGAGTAAGATTATCAAGTGATTGTCAAACCTTTGTTCAACTTTGTTCTTTTACCGTATGGTTTTTAATTAGTCTGCTTCCTTACTGAACACCTGTTCAAGGTAACCATTTAAATTGTGAATCTTATTCATGGGTTTTGTTGAACTCTCTAATGACAGGCAAGATGAACTAAAACAACAAATGTATGGGATATTGTAATTTAGCGTAGGAATAATTGAAAGATTCTTGAAACAATGGCACTTGGTAAAAACAACCAGGACAAATTGCCTGTTGCTTTATGCTTATGAGACCCCTGTTAAAACGAAGATGATTTACAGTCTCATGAGATCATCTCCTACCAGCTTGTTCCTTTTATCAAATCTGCCCTCTGTTTCATATTAGAAATGGGAGAAATACAAAAGAAAAAAATGAGAGTCATAATGCAAGCAAAATTCATCATTCATCTAAAATAATTCAATGTCATTGGCCTTAAATTAGCATTGCATTATTTAAGCTTTAAAGAGGGGAACTAAACATTTTTATATTGATGTGTTCAATTCTCTATAAATGTGGTTACCACATTATTATCAGGGGCGGATCCAGGAACCAACAAGGGGGGGGCCCAAATTTCAGGTCCGAGAAAAAACGTCCGCGCTTGCTCGGAAAAAAATTTTGGGCCCCTAAAATCCAAAAGTGGGCCCAAATTTTGAAATTTTGAGGCCCATTTTCTTCAAAATTTGGCCTGAAATTAACAAATAAGGCCTTAAAAGGCCCAGTAATGACCAAAAAGGCCCACTTTTTGGGGCCTGAAGGCCTTGTTTGGCCCAAAAAATTTTTTGGGCCCAATTTTTTTTTTCTGGGCCCACCCAAGGGGGGGGGGGCCCGGGCCCCTGGGCCCCCCCCCCCTAATCCGCCAGTGATTATTTTGGGAGTATTCACACATTTCTGGCAAATTTTGCACTTTAAATCTAAAAAAAACTTTACCAATTGATAACATATCATTGATCTTTAGGAGATATATGCTATTTGAGATGATAAATAATTCATTTTTAGGTCAGTTGTACATGTTGCTTGCAATTTTTTCATCTCTTTAGCCCTGATTCCGTCTTTAAATCACTAATAGCTTTTCTATTGACAGATCCTCGGAGGTATTAGACATATGGGATGGTAAGAACACATCTCATTATTTAGATGTAAATCCTGCTCCAATTTCCCACCATCTCATGACAGATTCAACCATTCTTGGGTCAACTTGAACTATGAGTCTTCAATGTGAGTTCGCTTTAATCAAGCCCTATTCCGTTCCCAGGAGCCTGTCTTCAAACTACTCTTTTAAAATAGAGACAGCTCTCTGATCTTAGACTATGCCCCAATGGCCAACAATTGAATTCCATCTCCAGAAAACCATGATCCAGGAAAACCAAACTCTAGCTCTTTTGTTTGAACATCTCTCAGTGGGATTGCTTTTTCAGTCCTATTTTCAGTCAGACTTAGGCTTACAACTGAAATCACAGTGGCAGATACCAATAAGATACAGGAATATTGTCTTCCTTGGTCTGATTTTAACTGTTGATTTTGGCCATTTAATGCCTAAAATATGATTCGAAGAAGGATCTGCCTTCAAGTCAGACATCAGTCATCAATAGTGCGTAAGATTGTGTTTCTCATATATTTGGCTTGACTGAACAAATGGAGAGTATCTCAATTGACTAATTTTTGGTTAAATGTCAGCTAAACCTTTTTACCCAACCCTCAGTGATGTCAAGCTGTAAATGTGAAGTAAGTGAAACCAATACTTAACAATTTAGCTGAAATCAAAAGGAAATTATTCAATTAACTGCAAGACTTAAATTGACTAATGTGTTTATTGAGGTTGATGGGCTAAGTTGGAGTAAAATTGACTCTTCATTTACTTATGACCATCAGTCTTAAAAATATAGAATTAGTAAATGGTTTAAGTAGGTGATCTTTCCTCAAGTTGCCCACTGATGGAAGTTTGCCTCAATTAGCCCATGGGTCTGACATTGCCTCAGTTTGCCTAAGAATCAGAGCCTCAATTAGACCATTTGTAGGAGGAAAGCCTCATTTACACAACATGTATAAATAACTGTGTAATGACATGTATGGAAGGTCAAGGGCTACAGCATTGATATAAGGGACCAAAGTGTATCTTATCAACAGCTGACTTTAGAATGAGGAGATATTGTATATTATTCCATAGTTAGCATGATATTCATAGGATAACATGTGAAAATAAAAACGGTATTTTTGTAATCAGTGGTAAAATATGATATTTTTGACAAATTTTCACTTAACCATAACATACGGTTTTTTAGCCATGACATACGACGTCGTATGCGATGGTTTATGGATTTTTGCTACTTCAGACTCAAAACGAGGCTAAGTGTCAACATCGCCGGATCGTTTGGAAATTCGAATTAAATAACTTAATTTCCGACGATTCTGATGATGACTTTAACTATGGAATAAAAAGAACATCCTATGATTTACTCGTGATATGATTTTAATCCACTCATGGATATTGATATCTGCACTCTCTCGCTACGCTCGCTCGTGCAGATATCATATCCATTCGTGGATAAAAATCATATCACTCATAAATCATAGGATATCCTCTATATATGTATACATCTTATATTCTTTATGTTTTATTGATAGAAAATTATAAGATTGAAGTTAACATGTTACAGTACGGAAACAAACTATGATTCCTCATGTATTTTGCTGAGAAATGGCTTGATGCATTGAAATCCTAAGATGGTAGTTGTTTTGGATTTGGAGCATCATTGCAAACAGGTAATAACAACATTTTCAATTAAATATGATCACAAATATGTCTGTATACATATAATAATAGGAAATGTGGTGGAATTAATGACATGCATCATACAAGAAGTGAAGAAATGGAATAAATTTACAATTACATGATGATTCTGAAGTACCAGTGCTATGTAATATAAGACAACCTTCACTTGTTTTTTATATGGTTATGTATCCGGTTGCTACATGATTGCTGTCATCATAATTTGATCTTTTATGCATGTATTTGTAATTAATTCAATGGATCAGTACAACAAAGTCGACAAAGTTGTAGGGTAGGAGTAAGTGTCAGACTCCCAACTCTAAGTTGTTGATTTGATGCATCATTGTGTCTAAATACAAAACATGAATTCTCAAATCAACTAATCATTTATGATATATATTTGTACATCACTGTTTTATATATTGTTCTCATCGATATTACACCAAAAAATTCAACATGAAAAGCATTAAGTTGAAAAGCATTGAGTATATGGCCTCTAGTTTGAAGTTTAACGAAACAAGCTAATCAAATTCAAATAATAGTTAGATGAAATTCATATCATGATTTAAAGTGATCAGTCAGTAGTTCACTTTGGACAGGTACATGTAAACAACAGTTTTGATTTCATGCTTTTCTCATGCAATTATATTGAATTATGATAAATTGTCATGTAGAACCTTTTTAATTGGCTCATATGATCTATAAGTAAAAGTACTTTAGTATTCTTTCTTTTTTTTGAATGTTGCTGAAAGCACTTTCTGATTTTATGGTAAATTCATACTCGACACAAGATGGAAAATGTACCAGATATTGACATCATAAAATTATGTATTTAATTATATATTCATAAAAACAGCTGTGGTTGAGCACTTTTATTTAGTATTTGTATTCAACCAAATGAATTTATTTGATTTTCAGTTAACATCTTCTTTTAAATGAATACTATCTTTATTTAGAAAATCCAGGATTTAACAACTGCCTGCTAAATCCGTAAAATTCTGTAAAAATGCATATTAATTGTTTCTGGCTACATCTTCAATTAATTACATGCATTTGGAGCCAAATATCAAATGCAATGCTATAGAGTATATTAATGTAATTTACTCATTGCAGGGAATAAACACTGGTATATCGAGGGCAAGGTTCGATTGGAGTTTGATTGGCATTTAAGACTTTGAAATAGATAAAATAGTAATATCATTTATCAGCTTGTAGACCAATATAACATATTCATCTAGTATATGGATGTTATATATACATGTAATAATATATATATGAATGTTATATATACATGTAATAATATATATATGAATGTTATATATACATGTAATAATATATATATGAATGTTATATATATGTGTAATATGTATATACTGTGTATATTATTATGAAACTAGTGCTACACCATGCATTGATTTTAAGATTGGTAAATCAGCATCTACCAGACTCCCTATCTTACATTGTAAACTGACAATTAAGAATGATGAATCCTGCTTTACCCGGGAATAACATTTTGTGAGATGTATGCATTTATAGCATATTAAAATAGAAATTAGACTTGTTTGGGAGGAATCAAGTACATCCAATACCTTTTAGTGTCAAGTTTTTGAGAAATCCGAGATAAGATATAGTTTAACGAGAAAATATGAGACAAAATAGGCTTGAATGATGCATTTACTTGCAGGATTTCTAATAATTTCCCTGGATGTCTGCGTTATGCTAAATATACTTATTACTAACTGCTCAACTTGTCAAATGCCACGACTTCTAATAATCCTGGAAAACAAATCATGTTATGATATATTGAGGATGTAGAATGAGGGCAATAGCCAAATTGGTAATTACATTATAATCTCAAAATATAGGCATGCCTTATTTTTAATCACACTGTTTGAGTTCACTCATGATGACAATAATGATTTTGTATACATGTACTTTATTCCAGTATGTAATATATATATTATGAATCAATTTTGTATATATTATTTGTCAATGTTCATACATCAATTCATTTGTTAACACAAACCATATGCATTCACTGAATCTAAATTTTAGACATATAATTGAAGTTTGCGAGAATTAACAATGATAAATGTCCATATGTTTTCAGATTTTTCGGATGAGATCGCTTCGTTAACTTTGGTCGAACGTCCCAATTCATTGTATCGCAGCAGGCGTGTGAGGCCACGTCGTAAAAGTGCAGCACACGCTGCCCAGTATGACTTGAACAGTACGACAGACTCTGAGGAGGTTGATAGCGATAGTGGATATAGTAGCCCTCTTCATAGACGCAATCAGGTTTCTAATGGCACCACTACATCATTGACATACACTCCAAGTGATCCCCTGGGGTATACCTCCATCAGTGATCCCCACGGTTGCTCCTTTCAGGGTATAGTCGGAACTCCTATCCCCCATGTACCAATAGTTAACACCATGCCAGTGGAAGCGAATTTGTACAATAGCAATGCACCCTATCAGGCTCATGATAAAATGTATGGAGAAATTAAGACATACGCTAGTGTGAGTAGCGCACGATATAGCAAACAAGCAGCTGTTAGTGTCCCCAAAGGGGTGCCCCATGGATATAAAAATTTACCTGGGGGTGTACCCCCTCAGGATGACCCCCCTCATAGCCCCACAAGGGGGAGCAATCTCGGTAAATCAGGGTCAAATCCTGGTAGTAATTCCAGTATCAATAAACTGCAGTCACAAAGTCAGTCTGCTCATGAACCTGATGAAAACGCCACACCTGGCAAGAAAAAACGACGGAGAAGTCGGCGGAGGAAAAAGCGCAATCAAGGTGATGGAGATGTGGGAGCTTTAAGCGACGAGCCTCTCAATTTGCAAAGGACTCAATCAAGTGGCAATGTATCTCGAACTTCTACGGAAACTCATGATACTGATTTTCTTCACTTTGAGGACGAGGAGGAGTTTCCTGACCTGGGGAGTAGTGTAGTGGGAGGTAGAGGCAAGTTAACTGAGGGACAGAGCACCATCTCATACAGTGAGGTCCTCAAAGCACAAGTGAGTAGTAAATACGTTTTCACTACTGAGAGATAATTTTACTAATTTATCTGCATTATGATCGCTTAAATAATGATATGATCTGTTGACGCAAAAAGCACCTTAAAGGAATATTCCTTGCCAAACCATCTCTCTCCTCATATGGTAGCTATAATCATATATATGCTTGCCATGTTTAGCAAAACACGCAAAAATGTTTTGATATGGTCAAATTTGATCACTTAGAAATGTGATGCTCAATTCCAGTAAGCTGCCATCTTTTAAAATGTCACACAGGAAGTGATGTCATCGACTCTCAACTTTGCATATAGCATTAGGTGAGGAGCTATTAAGAATTACAAAACCAGCTAAATATTCTTTTTCAGCTTTGTATCTTATTTAATCCTTCTGAAAATCTCTTCTTTTATTCTAAGTTGACAAGCCCTGGAAATATTTTTGCACAGAAAGTAATGATCACTTGTCTAGAAGTGATTTTGTGCTACTTTCCTATACTGTTATGGGCAAGGTTATAAAAGTTGAGAGTTGATGACATCACTTCCTGCAAGAAATCTTAAAAGATGGCAGCTCACTGGAAATAAGCACTAGATTTTTAAATGATCAATATTGACCATATTAAAACATTTTCCCATGTTTTGCTAAATATGGAAACTATATATGATTATAGCTACCATATCAAGAGAGAAAGGGTCTGGCAAGGAATATTCCTTTAAGTTTAATAATTTGGCTTCCAATATGAATAAGTGATTGTATCTGATATTTAATTCTGACATTTGAAAAATAAGGTTGTCTCAAAGTAAGAGACAATGCCTATGTGTGTTATAAACCACAAGGGTTTCTTCCGTCCTTATCAAGGGGAGTGCTAACCTTCTCTCCTTTCTTATAACACAATTTGTTATATGCTAGAGTTGTATTTATATATCCATTCAAGATTTATTACAGAAGAATTGGTGTTTTTCATTGGCATGCAAATCACATTTTCTAGCTTTATCAAAGATTGACATTGTTTTACAATAAAATTAATTACAATGGGATAAAGCAAAATATTAATTTATAATATTGGTTCATTTGTTTTTTATTAAACTTTAAAATATTAATTAATTAAGCAATTAATTGCTTAATTGTAGCTTTATCTGGAATACGTTTTGAATGTCAAAAAACCTGACCATTTTTAGTAGAAGTACCATATACCTAGAGGCCTTAAAGGAATTTTATGATTAAAATGTTCATGACATAATTATCACTGATGGATTAGGGGGGGGGGTGTATTGTCAGGGCTGGGGGGGGGGGCAGGGGTTTGGGATCAAAAGGATACATTTTCTCTCAGATATAATTTAATATCATTATAAGAAAATAAAAATCAAAGGTAATAGATCACCAAATTTTGGGAAAATAATACTCTTCAAAAATTTAGCTGCCAATATTTTATTAAGCATAATTCAATTAATTCAAATTATGGGTTCCTTATGAACTACAAAACATTTATTAAGCTTAAAGCTAAACATTCATCACATTAGGGGAGGCATCAAAAGTTCGATGTCAGATCGGAAACTAAATAAATCTAGTTTTGACTCTGACCCCCTCCCTCCCCCAAAAACTAAATACCATAAAAGTTGATCGCTGACTTCCGGTTTAAGAATTTGAAAAATGATTGCTAAACACGACCTAGTTTTTTTAATTCCTATCGTAATTTGTGGCTTTTAACAACTATTGATAGAATAGAATCCATTGGAATGATCTTGACGAAGAAAGCATCAGGTAAAATCTTTATTTTTAAACCATGCAAAGGCAAAATGAAATTTGAAATGTTGAAATTTGTCGGATAGCAAACTGAAATAGGTTTGAACCCCCTCCCCCCTAACTAGATTTATTTAGTTTTCTATCCGACATCGAACTTTTGATACCTCCCCTTATTATTGCTAATATGCATTGAGCCATCTGATTAATTTGTAACATTGTTCGAATTTGTAACATATGTTGGTCGATTTCTAACATATATTGTTTTATTTGTAACATGTATTGTTCGACTTGTAACATATATTGTTCGACTTGTAACATAAATTATTTGATTTGTAACATATATTGTTCGATTTGTAACATATATTGTTTTATTTGTAACATGTATTGTTCGACTTGTAACATATATTGTTCGACTTGTAACATAAATTATTTGATTTGTAACATATATTGTTCGATTTATAACATATGTTGGTCAATTTGTAACATATTGTTCGATTTGTGACATACATTGTTCGACTTGTAACATATATTGTTCATTTTGTAACATAAATCATAATATTTGTAGCATATATCGTTCTATTCGTAACATATATTGTTCAATTTGTAACATACATGTATCATATTGTTTATTTTGTGACATAAATGATTAGATTTTTAATATATATGTATATGTTTAAACTTAACAAACCAATTTTATTTTTTAGAAATCTGTGGAATCATCCCATGAAGACTCTCATTCAGTCATATCCTATTATGCCAGCCAGCCAGAATCTGTTGCCTCTGAAAAGATAGGTAGGTGTTTTAATTAGAACATCACAACTCTATTCCTGCATGTGATCTGGTTTCTTGGAGACATATGAAAGCTATGACATTGAACTTGACACTTGCCAGCAACTAGAACAAAGGAGATAGAAAAGTGGAAATGGAAATCAAAACATATTGGGTAACATTTGTGGTGTATAGCTTCATTATCATGTGATTTTGCTTGTCATGATTTGAAATATGATAAGAATAAAATGTTGCTTGTCATGAGGTTGGGAATAAGTTTCACATCATGAGCGTTCTTAATAAATATCTTATTCATATCATTTTTACAGCAATATTTTCTAATAGGATACCTTAAACTTTTCTATAAATACCAAGAGTTCTGACTAAATTTCATGATATACTTCACAAACAACCCCTTTCAAGTTTAAATTTGGTCATTCCCATATATCATGAATGTGAATTGAATTTCTCATATAGTTAGGATTGAAAGGGAATAATAATGGAGAATGAATTTTGGATATACTCGTATTTTATATGCACTTATATGACCCTTTGCTAATAAAATTTTTAAATTGACTATTTTATTTCAGGAAAAGAGAGTAAAACTGAACGAAAGAGAAGAAAACGTAGAGAAATGGCTAACAAAGCTGCAGAGGTGGAACTTGCAGAAATCACATTTGAACAGGAAATGCTTAAAGAAATGGGACTGAAAAAGTCACAGAAACAACCCGAGAATTCTGGGAAGAAATCAAAACAACCAATAGCATTAAACATTGCTGCAATGATAGATGCATTGGAGGTATATATGTACTTTCTCATCAAACTAATGACAGTGAATTTTCTTGAGAAACCACATCATATTGAACTTTAATTGTGTATAGTATTTTGGTAGAATACAAAATTTACTCTTTCTGGCTTCTGTAATTATATCTTTAGCTTTAATTATTGACTAAAATTGTAATTGTATACAAAGACCTGGATACACACTAAGTTGTGCCATGAAAGTGTAGTGTATGTAATTATCCCAACGAACGAAGTTCGGTAGGGATATAGTGAAGCCCTCCGTCCGTCCGTCCGTCTGTCCGTCCGTCAGTTTGTCAGTCAGTCAGTCCGTCTGTCCGGAAGATAACTCAAATACTAGTAGATGGATTTTCTTCATATTTAGTGGAAAGATGTAGATTAGTGAATAGTTTTACGCAAAAAAAGTTTTTTCCAAGATGGCTGCCGCTTTAAAAATGACTTTTTGGCAAAAATCATAAATTTTTCATTCTAAACCAAAGTAATTAATATTATTGTTTGAAATTTTGATAGTATATTCACAACATTTATCTTTTTCACATATATTCCGTGTTTTTCATCCTGACCCCCAGGGGCCGTGTATGGGGGGACAGGAAAACAGAAATTTTCGCTAATTTTTAGATCTTTCTGAAGTATAGCTTTATTATACTCAAATGAAAGGCAATTAAGAGTAGATTGCAGATATTGTATCTTTTTCTGATTTGAGCCTCGTAAAATTCAAAATGGCCGTCTAATGTACGATTTCGCAATAATTTTTCGATCCCTTCAAAGTATGGCTATATTATACTCAAATTGAAGGAATTTTGGAGTAGATCACAATTATGGTATCATTTTTCAGATTTGTATCTCCGAAAATTCAAAATGGCTGCTTTGCAGGAATTCGCAATTCTAAAATCTAATTTTTTCAATTTTAACCAACGTAATGAGTATAATTGATTGGAATTTGGTAATTGGTATTTTGTTCGTTGGGATTTGCTACTCCGCGGAGTTGCCGTTATCTAGTTATGGATGAATAAAAGATTATTTATTTAAAATTATTTCCGTTCTTTTCTTAGAAACAACAACAGGAACAAGGGAAGGAAAAAGAACCAGAGACAACTAAACCAAATCAACCAATCAAGTCAAGTTCTGATTTGGTGAGTTACATGATTCATTTATTGTTAGATAATATAAATATATTAATATACATGTATGTACCCCATGTCCCAATAAAATACATTGAAATAAGAATCTTGCCATGAAAAAAGAATTTATTCTCCTTCAAAGCTGGATGCAAAAATAAGGATTCCATATTAACGGTTGTAAGCATTCCATGTTAACAGTTGTAAGGGTTCCATGTTAACAATTGTAAGGATTCCATATCAACAGTTGTAAGGATTCCATATTAATAGTTGTAAGGATTCCATGTTAATAGTTGTGAGGATTCCATGTTAATAGTTGTAAGGATTCCATGTTAATAGTTGTAAGGATTCCATGTTAATAGTTGTGAGGATTCCATGTTAATAGTTGTAAGGATTCCATGTTAACAGTTGTAAAGATTCCTGTTAACAGTTGTAAGCATTCCATGTTAACAGTTGTAAGGATTCCATGTTAACAATTGTAAGGATTCCATATCAACAGTTGTAAGGATTCTATGTTCACAGTTTTAAGGATTCTATGTTAACAGTTGTGAGGATTCCATGTTAACAGTAGTGAGGATTCCATGTTAACAGTTTAACTTGAAGAAGTCCCTGAACATTGTCCTATATGTTAATATTATATTAATTAAACAGCTCCCTGTGGCAAAGTGAAACAAGAGGATAAGAGTTTTTGTTAAAGTTTTTAGCTCATTTAAATATGCAAATCATTAATGTTTCAGAAAACCCCGCACAATATGTTAGACTCCAGTGCCCCAATGGTAAAGAGGGGGAAGGAAAGGGAAACACCAAAGGCAAAGAAACCAAGTCCACTTAAGAAGGTAAGATAATGTCATCAAATATCAAACTTTTCATATAGGTACTAAATTAGATTACTTAAAATATTGCTTGGTTGGTAAATACAGTATGTATTATTTATTTGAAATGTCCAATACCTTTTTATGTCAAAACTATTTTGTCCCTGCCAATTCAGTCTAGTAAATGTAATAATACTATTTTGTAAATGTAGGTGATACTAAAAGAGCGTGAAGAGCGTAAGAAAGCACGCAATATTGATGATGACCCTGTAGCCAGTGGAAGTGAGATGAAGGAAGACGATACCATTGAAGATGATAATGACATGGCTTCTAATGAGATAGATGATGATGCAATCGCTAACAGGTATGACATCATGTACTAAATTAGAATATAACAATATTAAATGCTTACCTTTTTGATATATGCCAAAGGTATTAGAATCAAATAGCCTTTATATCATAAATTACTGAAAAAAGTACCCCATTTATGTAAAATCTTCTCTAGAGTTAGCAAACTGTTAAAACATATTTTCCATGTACAATAATAATTTGATATCCAATCTTTGTGTTCCATGTTGTCAGAGCCATATATAAAGCCCCTCTCAATGTGAACACTTTAAACAGATCCAAACAGTATTCAACTCAGACAGGTTAACTGTATATAAATTGTTCTTTTTCAGCACTGTGTCTAGTAGCGATGGGGGGTTTACAAGTAACTTGATAATGAGTGATGACTTCTCGCAAGATGGTAATTAATTTTTTTAATTGTTTGCATTTAAACTATTCAAAATATGATGGCAGCAAATATATCTTTTCTTTAAAATCTTCAACCATCAATATGTGATTATTAAGTGATGTTTCATTTTTGACACTGGTAGCTAGGTCACTAAAGTAATATGTAACTGAATAGGAAATTCTGAACAGATTTAACAGTCTTTCTACTTGCACAAGACCAGCATGGTCTTAATTGTGAAAAGATAACCATCAATTACCATGGTTACATTGAACAAGCACCTGTTACCTTGACGTCATGATGCTAATGGGTGTGTCAATTAATTATTAGTATTCTATTATTTGCTACTTGCCAGTGGGATTCTCAATATGAAATGAAACTTTAATTCCTTCTGCAACAAGTAATCTTGCACATAAGAGTCCAGTGCAATATTCATATTAATGGGATATCCCATGATTTTGAGGAATATCTTTGAGGTGGATATTGACATAATCTGCACGGGAGAGCGAAGCTTAACAAATTTAATTTAATTAACAAGCGAAGTATATCATCACAATGTCCTTAGCATATTGGTTTCCCAGAGTGTATTGTGGCGGTATCTACTGGATATTCGTTTTGCCAATAGATATCAAATTTATTTTTTAAAGTTTTATACATTTAGTGCACTAAGTGTAGGATAAAGCATTACATGGAGTCTTACTTCATATCTGTATATCTAATGAAAGAGAACTTTGCATGCTGCTAGGATAATTAAAGTTTTGGAAAGGCTATTATAACCAGGGTTTGGAAATGTTTGCACAGTCATATACATAGTGTAATCTGGCAAATTAATTAGGATGTTTTGCATAAACTTGTGTTGCAAACGTAATATACCAATGGATTCATCTTGTCAAATGATTGCCTTCCATAGAACCCTTTGATTTTATATTATTATCCCATCGAACTTAGTTCGAGAGGGATATACAGAAGCTGTCCGTCCATTCATCTGTTCGTTTGTTGTCTATCCACGCAGTATCTCAAATACCGGTCAATGGATTGGGTTCAAATTTTATAACCTGGTTCTTAGGGTCAAAGCAGCTCTGCTCAAGACGAGATTTTCAAGATGGCCACTGAACTTTAAAATGGCCACCATTTTTCATAAAAATCATTGAAAACATTAACAATTTTGTAATGCTTCTTATTGGTTTCTTCATGATGATACATATTTTATAGCCATGATTATAACTCAAGCAGCTCTACTTGATTCTAGGCAGTTATCCAGCATGGTCAGGTTCTAGAATTGCAACTTATTGTCAGTTTGATGTGTTGAGCAACTTATAATACTTTTTCATATCCATTTCCAGCTGGCAGTTCAAAGGCCTCTAGTATGGATATTGACAATACCAGTATGAGTGCAGAGTTGTCGCCAGTTAGTCAGACATCCCCGATCAGTATGAGCCCTCTGTCCCCTGGAGGCACTCCTGCCAGCTCTGGGGTGAATAGCCCAATCACAGGGGCCACTAAGGATCTCAATCCAGCATTACTGAAGATTCATAGCAGGCGTTTCAGAGAGTAAGATTTTTGCTATTAAATTCATTCATTCCTTTGTTTTTACTGTGTTATAAGAGTGCCATGTATGTTAAGGTAGATCACATGTTATGAGCACGACCTTAAAAAATGGTGACAATCAAATATATTAGTGATTTGTGATTCACATTTGTATGAGTTATCATCTCAAATACATGTGAACATAAACAATACTTAAGATTTTACTGTCAACCTGTGTATAGGTCAATAATAATATGTTGTTCATTTCCATTGCATATGAATATGAGCCAAGATATTGATTGATATTATATCGTAATACAGTACAAGGCTATGGTCTTCCCTGTTCACAGATGGGACTTCTCCACTTAAGCATATTTTCTCTATTCTAGGTACTGTAACCAGGTGTTAGACAAGGACATTGATGCATGCTGCACTATCTTACTGCAAGATCTTGTAAGATTCCAGGATAGACTCTACCATAAAGACCCTGTAAAGGTATACACATATCCTTATAGTCTTCAAAGGTTGTGGGAAGAATAAGAGAAAATATAACAAATATTTTTTATACCTTTTTTGCAACATTTGTGAATACAGACACATAAACTTTAATTGTGTCAATAAGCCCAACACAAGTGCAGGGTTCTCACCACATAATTTTCAGACCCCAGATATTTCATGGTACAGCTTCTGAGATATCCTATTAGTATACTTTTAGAAATACTAAAAGATTATCTTCCTATTTTAATCAGAATATTCATTTCTAAAAGGTTTCTGAGTTCCTATTCCTTTTTTGTATCCAGTTTTATGTATTTTCTCAAGAATTTTACCACAAATAATGTGACCAAAATGTAAAAATAGACTCAGGAAAAAACACTTTAGACTTGACGAAAGCTATTAGACTCTGGAGCAAGAGGGTCTGAAGACATTAGACTCCAGAGAATCTCTGGAATCTAAAGGCCTCGTGAGAACCCTAATAATTTCAGACTTAACTATTATAGTACAAAATAGCAAAAATTGTCATCTATTTAGGCATCTATGCCAACTATTAACATACTACATGTATTTTATTTCAGGCCAAATCAAAGAGACGTATTGTACTTGGATTGAGAGAAGTAACTAAACACCTTAAACTTAGAAAAATCAAGTTGGTGATAATATCTCCAAACCTAGAGCGCATACAGTCTAAAGGTATGAAAATATTCACCCTTTATTTACTTTAAATATTCATATTCTTCCCATTATATTAGTAAATAATATTGTTTAATAACAGATTATTAAAAAAATTATATTTCTTATGTAGTCCCTCATTCATTCACTCTTCATCAAATAAGAACTACATGTACTTCTTCATCAGCCTATTACATGTTGGATATATGCAATTAGTACAATAATCATTTTGCAAATGAAATACAAATACCATTTCCTTTTTTGTGACTCCAGGTGGATTGGATGATGCCCTCAACAATATTATAGCCCTCTGTGCAGAGCAGGACATACCATTCCTGTTTGCTTTGGGGCGTAGGGCATTAGGGAGGGCATGTGCAAAGTTGGTACCTGTGAGCGTGGTAGGCGTGTTCAACTATGAAGGTTCTGAGGTATGCAAACTATTGTAAACACTCTGTACTTCAATCTCATTTCTACGATTTATTAAGTTCAAGAAAATAATTGTGAAAAAGTCCTTTGATAAAATTACTTAAAAATATAGAAATAAAACTCAACATTCGTTATTTCAATATCATTTTCATTTAATTTCATTCTGTTTCAATATGTATACTTTGTTTGTAAATATGCCTGCGTTGCTGTTGTCTAGTTTAATGTGACCTTTTCAGGAGAACTTCCACAACCTGATGGCCTTGACAGAGAGGGCCAGGCAAGCATACAAGGATATGGTTGGCCTTATGGAGAAGGAAATTGCAGAGAGCCCAGTGACACAAAAATTATCAGGAAATTACCCTCATCTGTTTGCCCATATGGGGCATTCAAGAACTCCATCTGCATGTAGCGCAATATCATTTACAAGTAGCATCCTTTCTGAGCCAATATCAGAAAATTATCCTCAGTCGGAGCCAGAGACTGACTCTCGTGGTTATGAAATAAAAAATAATAAAATTCCTAATACGATAGATCAGATTATGAATGGTGGTGCAGATTTAGATAAAGATGGACACGCAAGGATTTTAAGTCCTGACAATGATTCGGTGTCGGGGAGCACAAGCCCTGCTCGCTTGCCTGATAATTTACATGACATTGACGAAGGGCATGAAGCTGACACAGAAGACATGAATGATATGGGATCACCAAATGGTGCAGAAAAGACAAATAAGAAGTCTGATTCTACAAAAGATTATTTGATGAAGTTTGTAGATAGTACATCTTCAGGGGAAGTTGATAGTGTAAAAGAACTACCACATATTGACTCTATACATTCTATGGATTTAAACACTGAAATTCTATCACAACATTCATCAAAAACACTTGAGTTAAATGCAGCTGATGTCATGTCGACCCACTCATCAAAGACTTTGGAAGCTGGTGGATCGCCTCTCACTGCGGAGCAATGTGCGGCAGAAAAGTTCAAAACTTCAGAAGTCATTGAAGAGACGGAAGAAGGTGAAAATTCAAGTGAACACAAATCACGAACTCTAAACAATGCACGCATTGAATCTTGGGTTGCAGAGACGCAAACGTGTATGGAAAATTTGGAAGTCGTTGATGAAAGTGATTTAGATGTAGGTGGAGTTAGTAGTGGTTGTGATGTCGATCATGTCAGCGATCTTGACTCAAAATATGATTAAGTTCACATTTGCTTTGTGGCTATGGAGCCCTAGCTTATATCATTGTAGTCTTTTGTGGCCATTGAAGCCAACAATTATAAGTTATACCAGATAAATTGATGATTATCTCTGTGTAAAAGATTTCATGATGGTAAGAATTTGTCCCTTTGAATCTAAGGACTATCAGGTTCTCTTAGGTTTTGATTGTTTGGCTGCATGTATACAGTAGTATACTGAGGCAAGCATTCAGACTTTGTTCAGGGTGATTCAAAAGAATGACAAAACATTTGCCATCATCAAATATTTTTCATAGTTTTGTTGAAATATCGCTCACATGAATTCTTTAAAGGATTACAATTTTTGTATTCAAGAAAAACAATGTAAATGTTTAGCATTGTCAATGCATTTTGGACTTTTTGCGGATTTAATGAATAATGAATTTCCAGGTGTGAGGAATAATATTCTATATAGTATATATATTCAGGAAGAGGAGAGATTCATCAGTATTGTAGTATAGAAAACTGTTGTAGACAACTTTCCAAAAGATTTCAGGATGATCATGAATATTTTCCTCTTATCAAGAATTTGGTGGTAGATTCATTGTGTTTCTATACATTTTCAGACATTTAATTTCTTAAAGAATTTCTTCTGTGAAAGTGTGGCCATTTTAATGTCAGCTCGAGATATATAGATCACAACATATGGGTGAAGGCTTGTTCACATTAGGTATGAACAGGGTGTTCCTGTATTTATGTCCTTGACACTAAAAGTAGAGAAAATCCACTTCAGTAATGCATGTTTGTTTTGATAATGCTAGCACACATGAAGTTGACACAAGAATAACAAAATTCACACACATTGTAAGTAAGACTTTGTTAAAAAAAACATGGTCATTTTGAAATCATTTGATGCTGTTGATTAATCACTAAGTGATAGGTATTCCATGATTGTAAAATGTTTGTATATATTTATGTGCAGTGTGCTAGTCCAAAGTAAAGTAAACAAAGACCCTTTGGAAGCTTCATCCTTTTATATGTTTCATTTAGTATGCTTATTTCACCTAAATGTGTCTTTTGAAAAATGATCACTATCAATCTCTCTCTTATTCTCTAATATGATGATTGTTGCCTCATGATGATCAAATGTGTCATGTTGATCAAGTGTCATAATGATTATGTGTCATGTTGATCAAGTGTCGTTTGGATCATGTGTCATGTTGATCAAGTGTCATGATGATCCTGTGTTATGTTGATCAAGTGTCATGATGATCAAGGGTCATGTTGACCATGTGTCATGTTGATCAAGTGTCATGATGATAATGTGTCATGTTGATCAATTGTCATGATGATCAAGTGTCATGTTGATCAAGTGTCATGATGGATCAAGTGTCATGATGGTCAAATGTGTCATGTTGATCAAGTGTATCATGTGTCATGATGATCAAGTGCCATGATGATCATGTGTCATGATATGATGATCAAGTGCCATGATGAGCATGTGTCATGATGATTAAGTATATCAGGTGTCAATATATTGATGGAACTTTATCATTGACTCTCATTTATACTGTTGAATACAAGCAATTATTCTATATGCAACCCCATATCTTAATTATAAGCCTCTCCTTTAGGAGAAGGATTCTCCTTCAGGAATGGAAGGTCAGCCTTCTTGCAAAGTGCTTTTCCAGCATCAATATAAGTCCTCTATATTTGAAGCATATCATACTTGACAGTTATGTCCCTATCATTGAATATATGCCTGAGGTCTGTCATCAATATATTGCGAAAGACCGAAGGCATATATTCAATGATATGGACATAATTGTTGTATTACATACCTTTATTTCCATGGCTACGTTATATCAATGACGTCACATGTCTGTTTGCGAGTGAAATTTGGACGAGGTGAAACATGACGTCATAAGATTGTCATGGTAAAAAAGTTTGGCGGCTATACAGGAATATATAGCTGACTTTCAGCTCCATTGACTTCCATACAAATCAAATGCTTCGCTTGGTATGTAATACAGGTGAAAAATGTCATAACTGCTTCAAAATATGCTAGGCCTATGTGATATAACTCCTGTTGCTTTGAATATCAACATGTTTGTAAGATTAACATATCTACAAGTTTATAACATCTCTTTAAGTTAAAGTTTAAGAGACTCACTAGGAAATTCATTGACTGGGGCCGATAATAAGAATTGTGATAAACTTTCGCAAATTCTGTATTTTGGGAAAATCTCGCAACATTCATCCGTGAAAGCGAGGCAAAGTTTTTAGTAGCAATTTGAGTGAGGCAAAATAGAGGGAGGCACTGTGTCTCAGTCAAGAAGCCTAGTAAGTACTCTTGTGTTTCTATTGAACACCTCGTTAGTAACCAAAGGACCATTGTACAGATGATTCAATCAATTATGTATAGATGAAGTTCTAGACTGGGTCTATAATGATAGAACTACAGGTATTAATCCTAAATTATTTGTAAATAAACAATATAAACAATGACTCCAAAATGGTGATATTCACGAGTCTGAAAGGGTAATTATTACATGTTAAGTTTTGATAATTTCTGCTGCTTAAAAATTTGCAGGACCAGATTCTGAATGGCCAAAATATGAAATCTGAATGATGAGATTGAATTCTGATTGGCCTGAGTAGAATTTGAATGGCAAGAGTGAAATCTGATTGGTCAGCATAGAATTTGAATGGCAAGAGTGAAATCTGATTGGCCAGAGTAGAATTTGAATGGCAAGAGTGAAATCTGATTGGCCAGCATAAAATTTGAATGACAAGAGTAAAATCTGATTGGTCAGCATAAAATTTGAATGGCAAGAGTGAAATCTGATTGGCCAGCATAGAATTGGAATGGCAAGAGTGAAATCTGATTTGCCAGAGTAGAATTTGAATGGCAAGAGTGAAAAAGTGAGCAAAAGTGTGAAATCTACATAAGTCGAATTTATTTAAGTCATATGAAGAAAGATGTGTAAATATGTTTAGTGTGTAAAACTGCTTAAAGCTAGAAAGCTTGGTAAAGAAATGAAATGATCACCAATCAATATCTCTTTGTGAAAAAAGAATTGGATGCGGAAATAGGAAATATGAACAAGTATAAGGTTAACATGCACAGAAGCACGAGTTGAACGAGAGACATGTAAAACATGTTTTGTATATCTCTGGGTGAACATGCACAGAAACATAAGGTGAACATGCACAGAAGCATGTGGTGAAGATGCACAGAAGCATGAGGTGAACATGCATTGATGTATGAGGTCAACATCTTCAAATGTTTGAGGTATATTTTATGTATCTGAAGCAGATCTGTCTCAAGCAGTACTAGAATGTGTTAAAATGCCTGCAAAGATGGTTTTGAGAGAACATTATGATGTATTTCAGAATTATTATCTGATTTTACCTGACAGTTGGTAAAGTTTGCTGCCTTCAAATGAAAGGTCTGGTAGTATGAACAATTCAGAGCTGTTCGATATAAGAGGTTCAACTGTATTATTAAATCAGTCACTATATAAGCCTTCAAAAAACGGCATGGGATGTGCATATTAGACACGAATGGGACTACTTATAATAGTTATAATTATGGCATTCAGGTACATTTTAATGTTGTTTATGAATAGGGCATGCATTATGATTGATCCCAGGTTACTAAGTTGCATGTGGTTATAGTTGAATTTACAAAGTTATTTCGGATTTGCGCACAGTTGCTCCTTGTGTGTTGTTCGTTTTCTGACATGTTATCATTTTTGAAGCATGTCATGAGAAATGAAACCTAAAATCACAAAACATCACATCTACGGTCCAAAATATCCAAAAGCCATATCTTTAGATATGTTTGTTTCTCACTTAAAATTGCAATGGTCTATTGACTGCTTATTTTAGCAAAAGCAAATCCACAAATAATCTTGTAACTTCATCTTGACTCTCTTTATTGCTCGGTTCCCTCCTATGTTAAAAGTGTGCAATTGAATTATTTAAATATAGATAATATGAAAATTATATTAATCAAAATACTTGATTATGCGATGTTGAAATATGTAGTTGAACTAAATTCTGCAATATGAATATATAATCTGAAATTGTTGAATCATTATGCAACTGTAAGTCTAGACAAATATGAATGTACAAACTTTAATGATGTAGTGTCTAAGTTAGCAATTTGTTAATAAAATGGTCTATCCGGATATTGCACAGTGAAACATCAATATTTTGTTTCTAATGTCACAAAGTATCAGTTCCCAAACGTTAATCATTTTTTTACAATATTTATTTTGCCATTGCAATAAAAACCTTTTTTAAAGCTAGAGTTGGCAAAGACCTCTATATCCTTTTATTAATGTAGACATAGCTATCACGTGTGAATATATTCTCCTAAGTTGCCTCTTGGGCCGATCAAAATCTCAATACACATTTTAAAGCCAAGATGTCAGGCTTATAGACGGGCGTTACAATACCCAGTAATTTATTTGGCAGTTTTGGCATTGTTTGTTGTCCTGTGCTGATGGCACCCTCTTTAGCTCAGTGTGTGCTATTAACCATGGAGATGATACAATTTGGTTGAGGAATGAATAGCGTCAATAGCATGTCACTGATTGCCCCAGGGAGGTATGGCAGAGGTACCCCTAGTATATTAGCATCAAGTCCCACCACATACCTGCAAAACATTGAAGAACATAACTACAAAAAGTGGAAATGCAATACATTGATTGCTATTTGATTGTAATTGTATTCAGAGCGAACAATTACCATCCACTGATTAAGATGCCTACCCCTTTGTTTGACTGTCAAGAACTCAAATACTTGTTGTCTGATTTTAGTTCAAACATAATGGGCTTCTTTGAGTTTTGAAAGTTCAAAGGACCACTGTAAATAATGCAACCGTCTGCAGTCATATCTCTGAGAGTCCCTGGGCTCAGTTAAGTATCATGGGGAAAATCAGTGGTACTTAAGTTTGACAAGATGCTATATATAATGCTATTTTAGGCTTATGTACAGGACTATACAGGTTTATTTTGCTTCTTGATAAGACAAAAAATCCATTCACTTTTGGATAAAACAATGTAAATGTATTTCCACTGAATGACTAGAGACAACATTTCGCTTCGAGCCCACTTAACAGTGAAACACTCAGCTTATTATATTGAGTAAATCTAGTCCGTATATTTTTGTTTATTCGATCTTGGAATCTTGATTAAATTTGATTTAGAGCTCAGTCTCTTGCCTGAAAGACCAGAGTTACATGAGTGATATTTAACAGAATACCTTGTCTTGGGGAAGAGTCCAAATATTGCATGCTTGTATGCGTTAACCACATGTTTGGGGTGGGCTACCAGCAGCGCACCTGGACCATCAAGAACTTTAGTCACTGTAAAAAAACATTATGCAAGACAAACTACTATTTGTATTCCTAAATATTCATGTAGAATGAAACGAGAGGTTCATTTTTAGGTTCGGTTATGAATTCTGGGGTATTACCTCATCTTAGGGATTGTTTTTAAAATTGGCGAATATTTGAATTTTAATAGTCATTTTGAGAATTTCAACTTTTCTTCGATATTAGGTTTAGTTTAGTTTAAAATATATAGATATTAGGGCTATCACTTGAAAGTGATCCCGAGATAGATACTGATACTATTTTAAGTGACGATATTGTTCCGTGTACCTTGTTGGAGTATACAGAATGTTTGAAAGTCAAATAACAACTTAATAATTACTTTTATCTATAAACGAATCTCCATATTGCTTTCGGATATCATCAGAACACCTTTCCCACGAGTCTTTAATATTTGATTTTATAACACTTGTATCTCCGATGTTGGTCTTGTGGAATCCTGGTTCAAGAACATGCACAGAAACCCCAAATGGCGCCATAGAAAACCTGTTAAGTATAATGAACGTTAATTTTGAGGCTACAAAATACCCATGATATGTATAATGCATGTATTATTAAGGTTAACACTGTGTCTAACCAGTGAATTGGAGCAAATAGGTATCAATCCACCCACCTCAACCCATCTGCAAACGCCTCTACTCCATACTTTGTGACAGCGTATGGCGTAGAACACGGGAGGCTGAGTCTTCCCAAGAAACTGCTCATCAGAATCACTCTCCCTCGTTCCTTCTTTACAAGAGGAAGAAATACATTTGTGACATCTATCAAACCAAAAAGGTTCACATCCGCCACGTGTTTGTAGTCTTCTACGTTGAGCCAGTCTATAAACCCTGGCCGCCCTAAAATCCCCGCATTGTTCACAATGGACCAAAGCCCTAAAATCCACATATTATACAGATAAAATCCCTATTATTTATTTAGATAGAACTTTTTTGAAAATGCATGAATTTCAATGAATTTTTGGCAAGTTACAAGAATTAGTTTTACAATTGGGATAAATAAATCTTTAGGGGTTTTAGAGTAATAAAGGTAAACTGACACTAGGGATCAATTTGAGAAATCACAGATATCAGAATCTTTTTCAAAGCAACAATTTTTCTCTGAAATTAATGGTAATACAGATCAACATATTAGTCAGTTTGTAAGAAAAACACATGGGGTAGAGTGAAGTATATTCACTGGTGATCCACTCGATTACGCTGGTTACCGAAACGGTTCGTTTTGGTAACAAAATGTCGGAACATAGAAGGTAAGATTTTTCTCTTTTCCTCATTTCACACGTTGTAGGCAGAATTCCCACGGCATTTTTTTAACACAAACGTGTATCAGTATCATATGTTTAAGAAAATGTACATATGTGCGAACTACAAATAGTTCAGAAGACATCAAAATCGTCGATTTAATTCTTCACTTAAGTTGCATAAACGGTTTTTCGAAAAACAGTTAAGATCTGCACTTTTAACCCAAACCGTTTATGTAACTTAAGTGAGGAATTAAATCGACGATTCTGTTGTCTTCTGAGCTATTTTTTCGCAAACATGAACATTTTCTAAAACATATGATACTGATATACGTTTGTGAGAGAAAACGTCGTGGGGATTCTGCCTACAAAGCGTGAAATAAGGAAAAAGAAAAATCGTACCTTCGACATTCCGACATTTTGTTACCAAAACGAACCGTTTCGGTAACCAGCGTAATCGAGTGGATCACCAGTGATATTCAGATGTAATTTCCAGAAAATATGGAATTATATATTAGAAGTATCTTAAGACAAATAAGTAAGATGAAGAAAACTGATTCACCATCAAGAGAAAATAGTGATTTGGGAAGAATCTGTCTTCACAGTGAAAGTAATTCTGAGACCTTATTTGTGGCAAGAATGATAGGTATGGTGCTTGATTGAGCCCAAACATTAAAGAACATGTTTCTTCAAATCAATACAAGTCAATAACAGAACATTATTTTTTATCCAGACTTCCACCTGCCAGTTTCGTTTTTCTTGATGCCGAACCAGTCCATCTTAACTACCGTATCGGCCTCAATACACTCGTATTGCATTGGGAGTCTCCCAATGCAATATAAATAGTGAATACATTATACATACATACATCATTGTACATGTACATATATAACATGTTTCTTTGGCAAAAAGTCAATCTGGAAATGCACTATTATCATTATAAAAATTGTTGTTTTGAATTTCATCCTGGAATCAGTAGTTTGTCATATAGACCCCTAGTTATCTGTTTACCTTCATTATTCAGAAACCCTTTAAGATTTAAACGTTTTATATATCAATACTATCCAAAATCTACACGAAAAGGTATTGTTGCCATCTCCAGCCAAGACACAACCATAGTTTAAAAGTCCAAAATAGCCTAGTGAATTGAACACTTGTTCCAGTTCCTCACCTTTCCCTTTTGGTAACCAGTATTGTATTAAACCTAAAGCTCTTCGGATACTCTGCGGGCTGGACACGTCCATTTCGAGAGTTGTCACTCTATCGGATGTCTCCTCGTTCAGTTTGTCGGCGCTGTCTTTCCTTAGACAAGACGCAAACACTCGACACCCCATCTTGTCTAACCTATAAAAGGAAGCGTTCTAGTCAAAAATTGTATTCTATTTCACATTTTCTTAAAGGAATTCATTCCCGAAAGAAGGAATGGAGATGCACCAATGTTTAACATACGAGGGATAATTCAAAAGTAATAGGCAAAATTTTGTAGACATACTAAACATTACCCAATCAGTCTAATTTTTTTCACATACATCAGATCATTTAATTATCAACTATAAGTGTTTAATTATTATTTAACTACAATTAATATTGTTTCAGCTATGGCTTACCATGGTAATTGGGGTAAGCATGGACGGAATCCATTTTTGAATGATAATTGAACATTTTTTAGAATAATGACTTATTACTTTTAGAATAAAATAATTAAGTAATGGTGTAATTAGTCTAGCGAGTGAGTATCTATCTAACACCTTCAGGACTGTTAGCTTGCCAATTCCATGCATGCAAGATGTTGTATCACTGCCAGAGAGACCATACGCAGCTAACAAGTTTGGGATTTTTAATTTGTGTTCATTTACGGTTGCATTAATCTTAATGTTTGCTCTGCCAGATGATGTTCCCTCCATTATCACTATTTGATGAAAATGGAGAAATTAATATCACAATTTCAAAATCAACACTGAAACAAAAGTTACAGATTGAGGTGACCTCAAGAGGAAACAATTGCAATGTACGTGTCGTTGATGGGTGTGCCATCCTTTGGATCATAACATGGCCGATGGCTGGCAAAATTGAAAACTTCTGTATTGCTTTCACTAAGTACATCCTGAGACTCCTAACCGAATCAGATGTATACCTTATCTTTGACAGTTATAAAGACAATAGCATAAAGAACAGCACCAGGTCATCTCGAGCTCAAACAGCCAGTAGAGTGTACAAGTTCAGCTCTGACACACCTCTCCCTGCACAGAATGTTGTTCTGAATGTGACTGAGAACAAGGTCCAGTTGATAAAGTGTGTCATCGACCATCTCACTCAAAAAGCTGGTGAAGGATCATTCTCCAACATCCTTGTTATCAGAGGTCCTGATCCAACACCTGTACAAATTCACAAAGGCAATATTGACCAACGTGATGACTTAAGAAACACTCAAGAAGAAGCAGATGTTGTTATCGTACACCAGGTTCTGCATGCTGCCAGTAAAGGCCAACAGAATATCAGTGTACTCAGTGATGATACTGATGTTTTCCTTCTACTTTTTCATCACTGTCTCAAGCACAAGTTAATGGAAAATAACATCATAATGGAGGGAACATCATCTGGCCGAGCAAACATTAACATTAATGCAACCGTAAATGAACACAAATTAAGAATCCCAAACTTGTTAGCTGCGCATGGTCTCTCTGGCAGTGATACAACATCTTGCATGCATGAAATTGGCAAGCTAACAGTCCTGAAGGTGTTAAATACATACTCACTCGCTAACTTGGGAGATGTCAATGCAGACATGACTGAAGTTGAGAAAACTTCAACAGTATTTGTTTCTAGATGTTATGGAATTACACCTAAAGTCACAGACAAAATGTCTGATGTGAGATATGCTGTATGAGCAAAGAAAAATGCTGCAAAACACATTACAAATGCACCAAAGCTAAAATCCCTCCCACCAACAACAGAAGCATTTTCCCAGCATGTGAAGCGAGCTCATTTCCAAGTAGCTATATGGAAAAATGCTGATATGCCTGACCCCCCACTTATCCTTCCAACAGATTATGGTTGGGAAATTAACAGCATGGGCTCACTTGTCCCAACAACAATGCCCAAGGATACACCCTGTGCCCCTGAAGGAATTCTCCAGCTCATTAAGTGCATATGTGCATCAGAGGGCATTGTATGCAGAACTGGGCAATCTACATGCTCCAAGGCATCTTTATCATGTACATTGTTCTGTGTTTGCAAGGGGAATGAATGCAATAACCAACATACAAAGACAGTAACTGAACAGGAATTGGAAGAAACTGATGAGGATTTATTGAGGGAAATCCTTGATGAAATCTTAGTAAAAGAAGATAATTCATAAATTCAAGATATATATAGCACCAAGAAATGACCCTTGTGGAACATCATTACTATTATCTGTAGGTTACTTATTACTCATTTCAGATATTTTATATGTGAGAAAGAGATCATAATTAGATGTATTTAGTATTATTTATTGATAATTTTGTAGGAAACACTAATATCCATTTGATATTATCACAGAATGAGACATTTCATAAATTGTAAGGTTGGCGGCCATCTTGAATTTATTTTATTTTTGTCAAGAAACATTTCTGGAACCTAACATATTGGTATACATCATATTAAAACTCTATTATAGAAAAACAGCAAGATTTGTGTATGTGTATGCTAGTTTTCTGTTCTAATATGCTGGCTAAAATACATAAAAAGTGTGAAAATTCAAAATGGCCGCCAAAAAAATTCCTCAAGGATGCCCGTTGGGCATCCGACAGTTTCTGAATATGGATATCATGTTTAAACAGAAAATGCAAAAAAAGTTCATATAATAAGCATTTCCACCTTCACTTAAATATGGCACTTCACATCCGGACTATAATGACGGTGAGTCAGAAAGTAAGCAAAGATTCACATACATTCAAGAAATGTCTCCTTTACAACAAGCTAAAGTTAAACATATGATTGTTATGGTATTATTGGAAGCAACTGGAGAGACGGAGGCAATCAGTTGTCATGCCAGGAAAATCAATTAAAGACAAGGCCTTGTCAAGGCAAGCCATTGAGAGATGGTACAAGCACTCCAGTTGATGTGATGATGAGAGGGTACTTGATCTTCAGCGACCTGGAAGACCACTTTGGAATGATATGGATCATGGTTGAACTAATTGTGGTACCATAATCAACTCTCGGGAACTACAGCCCAAGGGCAGATATATTATATTGGCCTCGGGATTATCCCAATATCCTGCACCTCATATAGGATAACCTCTATATATTGAATAAGAAGATAACACATGAAGAACAGGAAGTGGGATTTTTTCAAAATGTGAATGTATGCATGCGCCTTAAAATATGTGTGCTCCTTGTAAATCAAATTTCTAAGGATTAAATAAAATGTCCATGCCCGTATTTGTATAACATCTCATTATCTCAACGAAGCAAGTACGATGCTAGGATTTTCCCGTGGTTCACTTGGGGTTCGTGCAAAACCCCCTTTTGAAATATTATCCCAATTTTCAAGTATACAGTTTTCTCGCTCTGGGCCTGATGTGCATTCTTACTTTTTAGCTAACAAGTTCCCAAATCCATAATCACAGCCAGTGATTAGCACATATCTGTCAGAAGTACTACCTATACGAGGTAGTGTTAGAATCCATCTGAATAGTTTATATACACATACTGTAAACAGTACGTATATGAACAGCCACAAATACGTCATTATGCAAGTATCGTATGCGAAAATCAACAGTTCCATTTGATTTCTTTAATCCTTAATTAACCCATATTTCAGATTATGAATTCAACTTTAGTCAACAAAATGTCGTTAGTGCAAATGGCCTATCTTGGGCCAACATTATTTATAATCCACTTTGGACTTAAATTAAGCTTGATTCTCATTTAATTATTAATCAAGATTAATTAATTGTTTATCACAAGTCAAATGTTATTTTTGGGGTTGTACATTTTTAGGTTTGAAATCGCAATTACATGCAATCAGATCACCCCCCCCCCCCCCGCTATCAGATTCAACTCTAGTCCAACGTTTACATCTACATATGCTACGATTACTCTTAAATCTAGAAAATATCCTCAAATGATCTATTCTAATCACAACATGTAGTCAGAAAATTACGTCAGCATCAAAACTACCAAATCATCTTTAATAAATCAGAGGGAGTTTGCCATCCGATTAGAATCAAGGGTAAGGAAGCAGTCAATGAGAAAACAAATACACTTGAAGTCCAACGATCTTTCAGTATAAACTTCAAGTGTCACTATTGTGTGTATTATTGTCATGTGCAAACACACATATAATGCAACATGAGGAACTAGGCCAGAGTTAAAAGATTGAACCATTCACAATAATGCATTCTCAAACATTTTCTAATTGATTCACGCTAGTTTCAATATTCAACGAACACGTACTCTGCGTTTTGGTTTGATTTTTAAATTTATTTCTTATAATTATACCTTGTCAGAATATTATTAAGCTTTACGTCCATTCATTCATTACACTCATTATTTATCAAGTTCAATTTCGTTTCTTGTTCCATTCATTATTTTAATTCATAAGTTTTACATATTGCGAAAAATCTTCAGAATTGGACAAAGTACAACTTCAAATTGTAACGTATTTTAATGTAGATATGAGGGCAACAAGACACTTAACACAAACAGCAGGTCACTCAGAAAGTAATGCATTGAATCGATATCGCAGAAAGGAAATGATGAACATGTAAAACCTGCAAAAATACAAATTTTCACAAATGGCACGTGGTACAAAATTATTAATTTTGGCGGTTTTGTGTATTCATATGCAACACGTACATTGTTCGAAACGTTCAAAGTACGTAACACATACACGTGTTTATAATGTACATTCTATGAACATTAATCGCCTAAAATCTCAAACATGAGTGTGACTAGTGTTTCTTTCTGAACCGGCGAAAGTGTAAAATCATTATATAATGGCTATGGCATGGTTGCCATGGTAGCAAGACCAATAGTGATGCTTTATTATAATGTTTCGATATCCACTTTTATCAACGACCCTAACTCAACTATAATGTGCCATTATCACCCAAATTTATCCTTACGATACTTGTAACGACTTTAGAGATAGTAAGTGGGAATTTCTGGGCATCTTTTAAAAAAGGACCCTCGTATATATCACGAAAGCACATGCGGTGACTATATGACAAGTCAAAATAGAAGTATCGCATTGACACTTGACATTTTTATCTAGATACCAGAGCAGAGAAGACGCAAACGTGATTTTTAATTAGACATAACATGAATCTCTATCCCCATAATCATAAGTTACAACATTTGTAGCATCATGCTTTTCTACAGTTTTTTTTTATTTCTTCATTTATATTCTAAAAGTAGTCCTTAAACGCCCTATGTATAGGGTGTCTCAAAAAATGTACCCAAAAGTATATCAGCACCATAGACAAACCAATCAATATTTTCAGACATTTTTTGCATGGTCTTGCAGATAAAAGATGAAAGTTTTTTCCCCTATACACAATTTTTAATTCAGTTTTGCCTTTTTGATACTTTAACCCGTTAACTTTTACACCACATATTCAATGTAACCTCATATTTCGATGACAGTCTGCATCCTTACTCATACTTTGTTCACCACATTTGATATATCTGGTGGAATGTTTTGATTTCTGTTCGGATGCTGGTCTTAAGTTGTCTCTTAGCTTGGGTTTAGCATAAAAATGGTCCTTCAAATAGCCTCAGAGAAAAAAGTATGGGCCATCAAATATGGTGAATAGGGAGGCCCTCACAATGTCTTATAGCCCCCTTATACAGAGAGGTCAGAGGTTCAAGAAACTGCATTGGTTGGGATTCTAGTGTAGCTTTTGTTTGATGTATCAATTCGAGATCACTGTGTTTTCATTTGGATATCATTTGGTCTCCAGGCTAGCCTGCCTAACTCTGGAAGGTAACTCCTGAATCATTTGCTGATAATTGACCTGATTATCTGTATTTGTTCTGCCATCATCATCCTCAAACATCTTTCTCTGTGGCTATTTGAAGGAGTGTTTTAATGCTCATTCCAAGCAAAAAGCTCAAAAACAACTTAAGGGCAACATCCAAAGAGAAATCCAAAACATTCCACCGGAATTATTATCAAATGTGATGAACAATCTAACAGTAAGGATACAGCCTGTCGTCCAAATATGAGGCTACATCGATTATGTGGTGTAAAAGGTAAAGGGTTAAAGCATCAAAAAGACAAGACTGAAATAAAAATGGTGTATTGGGGAGAAAACTTTCATGTTTCGGCTACATGACCATGCAAAAAATGTCTGAAAATATTGATTGGTTTATCTGTGCTCTTGATATACTTTTGGGTACATGTTTTTGAGACACCCTGTATAGTTCAAACCGCTTTTGCTAATATTGTAGTTTTACCCGATGTTACAAAATGTGATATTTGAATTTTTTGGTTTTTGAAGGGCTTTTTGTTCCGAAAATTATGAATTTATCTAAAACTAGCTTTTGAAGGTCACATATACCTTTTAATAAGCGATGATATTCACCAATGTATAGAAATTATCCTCACGTGTTTTTTGCCAAAAAATAAGAAAATTGGTTAATAAATCAGCGAAAATTGAGCTCATCCATGCATGAAAGTGGTTCAGAGAAAAATGCATTTCAAAATTTTAGTACATTAATATTTGAATCATGGTACTGTATATTCTACTTTTCGACCTCTAGGAGGTCTAGAAAAGTTTTTGCCACCTGAGTGACATCAAGATGATGTCACTTAAGTTGCAAAATATATTTAATAAGCTAAAACATTAAAGTGGCACATTAGACATGACATTTTATTCTTGATATAGTGTGTCATTTGTTTAATTTTTGCAATGGTCTTAAAAAGATAATGTGTTTGCACTGTATCGTAGAATATTTCCTGATTAACCCTTAAATGGTTTTTGGGGTCCGTTTGGACCCCAGAGCTCATTCTTTGCAATAATAATATCAGAAATAATCATTCTATCAACATGAAATTCCATTTAATCCTCAATTAATTCAATTCCTTTCAGATAAAACAAACCAGATATAAATCGCATTATTACTTTTTGTGCTACCCGAGGCCAAAGAACATCACTATCACTGAAACATATTCAATTAATACAGTGTTATATATAAATGCTACGAAATGTTACAAAATGCTAAAACACCTGACCCCCTATGATTAAGTTTACACATATTTCCATGCGTTCATGATAAATAATGCATACATATTCTGAAAGGTAATAGATTAACCTATGTTAAGCTGAAGTCAGAATGAAAAAAGCTTCTCTGGTTGCAAAGTAATTGCAAAATATATCTTGGGGTCCAAACGGACCCCAAAAACCTTTAGAGGGTGTAAAAAAACAAAAAAACATTTAAGGGTTAAAAAAATCAATTTTTATTTGAAGTGGCGGGAAATTTCAATATTTCAAAAATAGAAAACTGACAACTTTTTTTCTAATATTTTTTCAAAAATCTCCAAAATAACTTAGTCATGAAAAATACGATGAAAACATATTTTCAAACTTTACACGGGGCCTTAATGAATATTGTATTGTCTATCGTATATTGCTCTCGACCAATCAAAAGTAGTCTCATTTTGAACATGATAGCGTCGTGGTAAGAGTTTCCTCCTTTTATAAAGATAAGATTGTCAGTCAATGAGTTTTTCGTAACTATCATGAACGATACAACTGTCACACTGTGTCATCGTCGAACCCCACACAGGTTCAAAGCTTGATGAAGCACGATGACACTGTGTAAATTGAAAGCTAACTACAGGACGAATAAATAAGTTATAGGCATTTAGCGATCAAACAAATCTGGTTTCAACTATTTTGGGTGAGCAACCAAATGTATGTGTTGAAAAATAATAGCTTGATCCAATTCAGACACTTCTATAAATAGTCAATACAAGTGCATATAAAGCAGGAATCAAAAACCGGTGCTTAAATAGCACATGTCTGAGATGGAGGTGAATCGGTTCCATTGGGCGGATTATGTCGTGTTTGGCATATCGCTTGTCATCTCTACCGGGATTGGCGTATATCATGGCTGGAAGACAACCAAGGCAGACTCGGGAGTCATGGAATATATGTTGGGAAACAGGCAACTGAAGTACGTTCCAGTAGCATTCAGCATCCTTGCCAGCTACATGTCAGCAATAGGAATGTTGGGGATTCCATCAGAGGTAATTTAACTGTATGTCTACGTCATTGAAGATGTAAGTTATTCCATCAGGAATAATTCAGGCACACGTCAGGGGTAATTCAGTTGCATGTTTACATTATGAATGTTAACGATTCTGTTAGGAGTAATTTAGTTGCATATATACATTGGGAATGTAAAGGATTCCGTCAGGGGTAATTCAGTTGCATGTTTACATTAGGAATGTTACGGATTCCATTGGGAGTAATTCAGTTGCATGTCTTCATTAGGAATGTTAAATATTCCATCAGGGGTAATTTAGTTGCATATCTACCAGGTACATTGAAAATGTTAGGGATTCCGTCATGAGTAATTCAGTTCATGTTTTCATTAGGAATGGTAAGGATTCCGTCAGGAGTAATTTAGTTGCATATATACATTGGGAATGTAAAGGATTTCATCAGATGTATTTCACTTGGATTTCTACATTAGTAATGTCAAGGATTTCATCAGATGTATTTCACTTGGATGTCTACATTAGTAATGTTAAGGATTCCATGAGGGGTAATTCAGTTGCATGTTTACATTAGAAATGTTAAGGATTTCATCAGGGGTATTTCACTTGCACGTCTACATTAGGAATATTAAGGATTCCATCAGGGGTAATTCAGTTGCATATCTACATTAGGAATGTTAAAGATTCCATCAGGGGTAATTCAGTTGCATATCTACATTAGGAATGTTAAAGATTCCATCAGGGGTAATTCAGCTGCATGCCTACATTATGAATGTTAAGGATTCCATCAGGGGTAATTCAGCTGCATGCCCACATTAGGAATGTTAAGGATTCCACCAGGGGTAATTCAGCTGCATGCCTACATTAGGAATGTAAAGGATTTCATCAGGGGTAATTCAGCTGCATGTCTACATTAGAAATGTTAAGGATTCCATCAGGGGTAATTCAGCTGCATGCCTGCATTAGGAATGTTAAGGATTTCATCAGGGGTAATTCAGCTGCATGCCTGCTTTAGGAATGTAAAGGATTCCATCAAAGCTATTATACTTGAATGCCTACGTCAGGCATGTTGGGATTCCCTCTGAGGTAATAAAGTTTCACTTATACATTAAGGATGCTAAGTATTCAATCAGGGGTGATTTTGTTGTATGTCTACATAAGGAATGTAAAGGATTCCATCGGGGGAATTTCACTTGCATGCCTACTGTACATTTGGAATGTTAAAGATTCAATCAGGGGTTGTTTAGTTGCATGTCTTCATTAGGAATGTTAAGGATTCCACCAGGGGTAATTCAGTTGCATGTCTACATAAGGAATGTTAAGGATTCCATCAGGGGTATTTCAGTTGCATGTCTACATAAGGAATGTTAAGGATTCCATCAGAGGTAATTCTGTTTCCTGTCTACATTAGGAGTAATATCATTTTTTTCTTCCAATATTTCCTATTTTCCCTACTACTGGGAAAAGTCGGATGATAATTTCATTAATATATAAAAACACATTTTAAGCATCCTCCGATCACAGGGCTTCAAAATCCAAGGAGGTACGGATTCTGGACACCTGCTTAGGAGGATGCATTTTAAGATGCAATGGGACAAATACAAACAGTAATCCAATCCTACGTTTGCTAAAGTTCTAATATTTGAATCAACGAACAGAATATTCAAAGAAGAAATAAATATTCGGTGTACAACCATGAAATTGCAAGCGTCTAATACAAACGATCAACAACGAATATGTTTGTCCATTTGTACACAAATATTTGAGAAATAATCATAAAGAAGTAGAAAATTATAGTCAGTAGAAATTTAGTTTAGGACTTAACTTTAAATAGTACTGTGTTGGCAATGTAAACGAGTTCGCAAGATGTCGGATTCACGACACATATTTCAAAGACAGGTCGATCGTCTTTGTGTCCTACTTTAAAGACACTGTCTTGTATTATACATACTCTAAATAAATTTTAGCTATAGTATTTTGTGAACAATACTACCATTTTTCTTTAAATCTTTGCGCTTGATTGGCAAAAGGAATATATACATTCAACGTCAATGAGTTCATTCATCACCCCGATCCATTGCGTGTCGCTGCTATGGCTTGCCTGTGAACTAAGGTCCCGACTAAGGATGGCTATGTTTCTTTTTACTGTTTTTATTAATGGCAAATAGCAATGACAATAGAAAGTATTCATGTAAAGCAAAGAAAACTGAAAAACATGCTAAAAATAATGTTTCTATGTTTATCAAGCAATGCACGAGTAAACATGTAGTTTCAGTTTAGGATTACGCATCTAATTTGATCATAACCACACTGTTTTACCTATAGTATTATACCTATTATACCTATCATACCATTTTACTTATTACAGGTATATACATTTGGAGCAATGGTTGTACTTCGGTGCTTCTGTTATGTGTGGGTGTTTCCCATCTTAGCACATACGTTCGTACCATTTTTCCAGAAACTACAGCTAACAAGTGCTTATGAAGTAAGTTTCCTTATTCTCAGTTCTTTACCACAAGACTTTTAACTTTCTAATTACGTTGCTAGATTCTCGAGCAGTGCTTAATTTTTTTCTAGGTAATTCCACCCACATAATTGACTGGTCGAAAATGTTGGTTATATTCATCACGTGGACTTGGGTGGAATTACCTTGGAAAAGCTCGTGCTCTGCTTGAGAATCTGTTAACGTAATTAGAAAGTCTTGCCAAGAGCATGCACATAAATCTAAACATGAACAAATTGGGTACATGGTATATTTTGTCACTGTACGGTGTCGATGGTATGAGGCGTGATGAAGAGAGAATTTCTATCATTTTCTAAAATAGATGGCGCACAAAACATCTTCATGAGAAATCACAATTAATTATTTTGTATTCACACGTGATTTAAATACTTTTCAGTACTTGGAGTTAAGATTTAATAAAGTCTTAAAATGGACAGGGTCAGTAACATTTATAATCAGAACAGTGAGTAACCATTTTTCTTTAATTGAAAATGATAATTATAATATAGTGTTGAAACACCTTTTAACATTTAATTGTGACATCACATCAATGTATATGTAAAAGATGGTTATGCCTGAAATTATCATATACGAAATACTGATAACGCTACATTTGACAGCCCCCACCCCAAACAAATGAAAAACGTTGATTTCTTGTACTAATTCCTATTGTTTAATTCAGCCTGATTTCCGACTAAAAACGTAGTTTCAGCTGACCGATGAGAATTTTGAGTCCAATGTATATTGTTGAGTCGAACTCAACAATGTCAAATCTAAGATATATCTGATTTGGAAGTGAATAGTGTATTTAGCTATTATCACTGTTCCACAACTGGATGACTCTAACTGCAGTTAGCTTCATTCAAGATGGTGGTCAAAATTCGTTCGTTTTCGATAAATCTCCAATTACAGCCAAACCAAGCTGAATCTTGATCCCAAAAGTTTCGCCATGCAAACTAATAAAGATATGATTGTAAACAACCACAAATAAAGGCTCACGCATCCGCGATATTAGAGAAATTGAAAGAAAACGGCTTCACTTAGAATGACTCTAACTGAAGTTAGTGATGACGTAGGAATGAAGGTAACTGAAACGGGGAATGAAGCTAACTCAATGGGATGAATATATGGACGGCCCTGTCTGTTGTTATAAGATATCTAAATGTTATTGACTGTTGTTATTGGTTGTAGCCATTTGTATTTTGACATGGAGTGAGTTTCTATTCAATCCCATGGCCGGTGATCGTAGAAATTGGACGGAGGGGGAGCAGACAAATTCTGGTAGAATTTCAACTAATCTGGAAAATTTACTTTTTCAAGACAAAATTTAGTTTACGATTGAATGGCCAAATGAATAGGCTTACGGTATGGTAAAATGTTGTAAGTATTCTAGGATTAAAGTATATGATGTAAAAGGCGAAATGCCGCAAACGTCAGAAAGTCAATGTTTTGCTAGTCAAGCAAGAATGGTCTACACGACCTGTAATTAAAAAACGCCACCATGGAACATTGCAGTATTCTTATTTTAGGTTTACTGAAGACAGATACAGAGACCAGACTCCAACGGATAGGAAAGCGTTAAAGGATGACATAATTTTGTATTTCAGGATCCATCAATTGCGTATCTCAATGCCATAACCCACGGCGCCAAACTGTGTTTGTTTATCAACCAAAACATTCCGATACACCACCAAACCCATATCAAAACCTATAAACACTGTGATAAAACTATACATCAAAATGTAGCCACAAACCCCCGCTACAAAATGAAACCATTTACAATGTTACCTGACAAGGAACATTGTCAACAGAATCAATTATTGCACGAAACTGAGACTAACATAAAACGTAAAGGCTAGAGTACCGACAATTGTCGGTACTCTAGACTCTGATGTGGTGGCACGCTAGAGGACCGACAAATATTGATTTTCGAATTTTCTGGCGCATGCGCAATACGCGGGGGCATATTTCAGATATCATACGGATATTTTGGGAACAAGTGCAAAACCCGGGGAGGGCATTAGCCCCGATTACCCGGGGATTACCAAACCCAGTCAAAAAATGGTAGCCCGGGAACAGGGAATGGTAGTAAACGTTGAAAGGCCCAATAAAAAACATGAACAAGTAAGACGTTAGAGAGCTATTAATGCAGAGTAAACGGCTATATATATTCTAAACAGACAGGATATTTCTCCTGAGCCGATCAGGCGTAGAAAGGGGAGTTTGCTACCCATTAGATAGAAGAAAATAGCTAGAATGTTTTTTATCTGAAGCTTATGGTATGAGGTTCCATATCCATCCGCCAAAAGGTATGACCCCTATATAGTCCATTTAAAAACCTGTAGTATCGTTCTAAATAACCCATAGTTGGCTTCTAGGGTACCTAGTATGCCACTATTTGGTATCAAAATAAAGAGGAGTTCAACTTTCATTTGAATTACGAAAATAGCGATGTAGGTCAAAATAGTTCCGAACGTGAGCATGTTTACTACGCGTTTGCCCGTCATATCAGAATTGAGGAAGTGGTAGCAAACGCGAGTTACAATAAACGGACGCTGATATCTCAAAAAGTAACCTGACTCCCTTTAATTTGATGTAGGTCAATCGAACCCCTATATGGACAGGTGCATTTTGATATATAACACTATGGTGGGTAAGCGTTTTATAGTTGATCACGAACGCCAAATGTGCAAAGTATTGTTATGAATTTTCGAATTTGGTGTTGGATTACGGTACTCATACCTTATAGCACAATTTTTGATGCATTTGGCTCCCTTGGTTAATGGCCACGATTCCATCTCACATGAGAGAGCTACCAAACGCAAAGTAAACAGTGATATTCGAAATGAGATATTTCTCCTGTGCCATGGCGTAGTAAGGGTAGAGAGTGACGGGGGCGAAAGCATCGCCTCCCCTAACTGTATATATCGACCCATTAGATAGAACAAGAAAAGAGCTTTAAAATGTTTTTTAATTCGTAAAGGCTAGAGTACCGACAATTGTCGGTACTCTAGACTCTGATGTGGTGGCACGCTAGAGGACCGACAAATAAATTGTCGGTACGGGAGATATGCTGTGTTTACACGCTAGAGGACCGACAAATATTGATTTTCGAATTTTCTGGCGCATGCGCAATGCGCGGGGGATATTTCAGATATCATACGGATATTTTGGGAACAAGTGCAAAACCCGGGGAGGGCATTAGCCCCGGTTACCCGGGGATTACCAAACCCAGTCAAAAAATGGAAGCCCGGGAACAGGGAATGGTAGTAAACGTTGAAAACCCAATAAAAAGGAAGGGACGTTTGCTACCCATTAGATAGAAGAAAATAGCTAGAATGTTTTTTAGAGCTTATCGTATGGTATGAGGTTCCATATCCATCCGCCAAAAGGTATATAGTCCATTTAAAAACCTGTGGTATCGTTCTAAATAACCCATAGTTGGCTTCTAGGGTACCTAGTATCCCACTATTTGGTATCAAAATAAAGAGGAGTTCAACTTTCATTTGAATTACGAAAATAGCGATGTAGGTAAAAATAGTTCCGAACGTGAGGATGTTTACTACGCGTTTGCCTGTCATATCAGAATTGGGGAAGTGGTAGCAAACGCGAGTTACAATAAACGGACGCTGATATCTCAAAAAGTAACCTGACTCCCTATAATTTGATGTAGGTCAATCGAACCCCTATATGATCAGGTGCATTTTGATATATAACACTATGGGGGGGGTAAGCGTTTCATAGTTGGTCACGAACGCCATATGTGCAAAGTATTGTTATGAATTTTCGAATTTGGTGTTGGATTACGATACTCATACCTTATAGCACAATTTTTGATGGAAGTTGCATTTGGCTCCCTTAGTTAATGGCCACGATTCCATCTCGCATGAGAGAGCTACCAAACGCAAAGTAAACAGTGATATATTCCAAATGAGATATTTCTCCCGTGCCATGGCGTAGTAAGGGTAGAGGTCGACGGGGGCGAAAGCATCCCCTCCTAATTGTATATATCGACCCATTAGATAGAACAAGAAAAGAGCTTTAAAATGTTTTTTAATTGAAGCTTGTAGGACAATTTTGATGGAAGTTGAATCAATTTTTGTCGAAATAAATTATGGCTCACTACAAGTTAATGTCTGTACGATTCCATACTGCAAAAGAAGCACTATCCCCCCCTCAAAAGAAAAAAATAGGTCTTGCCGGGATTCGAACTCGGGACCGAGTGTGTTCGAATCGTGCTCGCTAACCACTAGACTACCAGTGATGAAGTTATTTATAGAATAAAAAGTAGTAAATTTATTTATGAAATTGTCGGCTCTCTAGCAAAAACACGTAGCAGCCACTTGCGTACCGACAATTGTCGGTTCTCTATCTGACACTTCTAGGTGACGATAGAGTGCCGACAATTGTCGGTACCCCAGCAAATACCCCTGGACAGTCTCCAGTACCGACAATTGTCGGTCCTGGAGCCACTCCGTTTTTAATTGAAGCTTGTAGGACAATTTTGATGGAAGTTGAATCAATTTTAGTCGAAATAAATTATGGCTCACTACAAGTTAATGCCTGTACGATTCCATACTGCAAAAGAAGCATTATGCCCCCCCTCAAAAGAAAAAAAGGAGATCCTGCCGGGATTCGAACTCGGGACCGAGTGTGTCCGAGTCGTGCTCGCTAACCACTAGACTACCAGTTATAAGGATATTTCTAAAGGTAAAAGTAGTGGATTTATTTATGAAATTGTCGGCTCTCTAGCAAAAACACGTAGCAGCCACTTGCGTACCGACAATTGTCGGTTCTCTATCTGGCACTACTAGTTGACGATAGAGCGCCGACAATTGTCGGTACCCCAGCAAATACCCCTGGACAGTCTCCAGTACCGACAATTGTCGGTCCTGGAGCCACTCCGAACATAAAATGAGTATATTAGTCTCAGCACGAAATCACAGTTCGAAGACACCAAAAATGGAACATTATCGTCGAATTCGTGTTCTTTCCAACAACCTCCAACACTAAAACACAAGCGAAATGTTCTACAAAGCCTAACTAATAAGATGTAACAAATTTCATCTGAATTGATGCACCACAACGGAAACTATAAAATATACAAACCAGGCAAGAAACACAAATTTCCGAGCAAATCGTTCACTTTACAGGCATTTCCAAAAACCGGAAGCTTGTTCTCTAACGTCCGCGCAATATTATATAAAGAGAAGCGCCGAACTAAACTGCCGCATACTGAGACAAGAACAACAAGAAACTACCTCTTCAAACCCAATGAACAACGCAAGGCTAACGCCCATCATACCAGGTGCACTTCTCACACCAGAGATCTCACTACAGTATGTATGAATAGGTACCAAACCTATCGCATATACTAATAGTACACAAATACATTTAACTATTGACTCTTATCCTGTTCCCGGACTATAGTCCTGCACTGATCGCATTCATTTGCCTGTACGATTACAACTTGGGAGAATTATCTACGCCCCTTACACTTAAGATACCTACCTCAATGCATTATAGAACTCAAGATGTAACTTCTAATATATTGGAACCGCCGATTGTCTGGGTATATCGGTAGAACGAGAACGTTTTCTCTTTTTCATCGAGAGAGATTCCATCACTTTTCAAAATGGCGGTTGGATTTAAACGGGGAATCCCCCGTTTGGCTGTCCCGGATGTAGTCCGGAAGTACCAATATGGAGGAATTTGACGGTTGAAAAAGGTTAAATGTTACACGCAAATATTGCGATCAAAAACGAAAATGTCTTCGTTCTGCCGATAAACCCAGACAATTGTGGATTCAACTACACGAAAAGAATGCTAAATTACCAAGGAATCTATTGAAGTAGGTATCTGAAGTGTAAGATCAGTAAAAAATTCTACCATGTTGTAATCGTACAGGCAAATGTATGGGCTCCGTACAGGACCATAGTCCGGGAACGGGATAAATTGACTCTACTAAGAATTAACGAATATACCTACACTATAATACCCCAAACCACTAACTTGTATCTAAACTCCACGATACACCAAAACCCAACACAACCTGCTATTCAATATACAACCTACCACAACCAACCATTACAACCAAGCACAACCCATAAGATCACCAACAACGCAACACAACCAATGTCTGAAGAATTAGAACGCACTGAACTCACAATTACCAAGAACACAACCCACTGTCAAATTAGCACAACACAATTTGGCACAACCACACAACCAAACCAAACTATCAAAACACAATCAGGAACAACCAAACTAAAACCCCAACACAGAGAGATCACACAACACAACCGAACACAACCAAATAAACTCACCCGACTAGGCACAACCGACCACCTATATTAACATAATAGGGCACAACCCGCCACCACCCCTCATTTAACGATCAGGCACAACCAACCACACAGCACAATCGGACTCAACCAGATACCTCACCTGACTGGGCACAACCTGCCCCCCGACCAGCATAACAAAATCACAACATAACACAACGCATTTTAAAACTAACATAACACAATGAGGCACAACTCGAAACCAGGCTAAATAAACAACCAGACACAACCCAACTATAAGCCAACAACACAATACGACACAACCCAATACTGCAACCTTAGTTTAACCTCCGAAAAAACAACCAATTGTCAAATATACGCAACACAATTTGGCACAACCAAATAATAAAACAACAAAACCAAAACACAACCCATTATTGACGAAGAACAACACAATTTTACACAAAACAATCAAAACACAATCAGGCACAACCAAACTGGAATACCAAAACACCCAACCAACACTCTCTGATAACAACACCACTTGTATCTAAACTCCACGATACACCAAAACCCAATTCGGCATAACCTGCTACTCAATATACAACCTATCACAACCAAACATTACAACCAAGCACAATTAACAACCCATAAGATCACCAACAACGCAACACAACCAATGTCTGAAGAATTAAAACGCAGCTGAACTCACAATTACCAAGAACACAACCCACTGTCAAATTAACACAACACAATTTGGCACAACCACACAACCAAACCAAACTATCAAAACACAATCAGGAACAACCAAACTAAAACCACAACACAGAGAGATCACACAACACAACCGAACACAACCAAATAAACTCACCCGACTAGGCACAACCGACCACCTATCTTAACATAATCGGGCACAACCTGCCACCACCCCTCATTTAACGATCAGGCACAACCAACCACATAACACAATCGGACTCAACCAGATACCTAACCTGACTGGGCACAACCTGCCCCCCGACCAGCATAACAAAATCACAACATAACACAACGCATTTTAAAATTAACATAACACAATAAGGCACAACTCGAAACCAGGCTAAATAAACAACCAGACACAACCCAAGACACAACCCAATACTACAACCTTAGTTTAACCTCCGAAAACACAACCAATTGTCAAATATACGCAACACAATTTGGCACAACCAAATAATAAAACAACAAAACCAAAACACAACCCATTATTGACGAAGAACAACACAATTTTTTTCACAAAACAATCAAAACAAAATCAGGCACAACCAAACTGGAACACGAAAACACCCAACCAACACTCTCTGAAAACAACGCCAATCACGCAACACAATCTGACACAACCACATACTTCATCCTACTGGGCACAACCCGCTACCGACCAGCACAACACAATTACAACATAACACAACCACTTTGAAATTAACATAACTTAATGAGACACAACACGATACCAAACTTACACAACACAACCAGGCTCAACCAGACAAACAACCACCAAAACACAATCGACTATCAAACTAACACAATGGAACACAACCAAACAACAAACCAACACAATACAACATAACCAACGAGACCGAATTCAAATCAACCCATTGTTGAATCATTACAACACAACCTGACACCAACCACAGTAACAGAGTCAGTCACAACCCAATACTAAATCAATTAAATTACACTATTAAATACAATCAGGCACAATCTACAAACACAACCAAACTATGATACCAATTTACTTAGCACCCAACTAACTGTCTCCAACTGGAGACAATCCCAAAACAAAACCTAACCCAGCAAAACAACATTCTCTAGAAACCAATAACAATCCCGCGAAACGCGTAACCTGAACAGGAAAAAGTAACCCTCACTATATTCTTAACCTTTTTTCTTTGGCCGCTGATGAGAAACATATCATGGAATACCCCCATGAGTTCGAAACATCTTGGGCCCTTATTATGACCAACATATAAGGGAGAGGATCCGCAACAGGATCGAGATGTCCGGCCGCTCTACATTAATGACAATAGGAGATGTCACCACTAATGGCATCATCCTAGGATCAATTATATATACTCTACCTGTCACATAAGAACTGACGATGGTTTGGGGAAACTTAAATACTAAACCATATCTTCCAGGTCCAATCAACGAGACCTCTAACCAATTGACACAGATTGCATGACCATGCGTGTCCATAAAAGGTAATGTCTCAAGACATGGTCTAAGCCACCACTCCCAACACTATACACCACACCAACTACTTAATATTTACACAGAACAATTAACCACCAGTATCATGGGAAGGCATCATCTGTGGTCACGTGGTTACTTAACAAGACAAAGCCCAGTGCGTATGACAAAACACGGTCTCTCACAAATAATCTAATTAATTAAGGAAATGTGTTCGAAGTTTAAAAAAGGGAGAATAAGAAGGTGAATTCTGTCATAGGCAATAATTTAGTAAACCGTATACACTTATATTATTTTGATAATGCACTCGTGACTGAACAAATAAAAATGAACATTGCCTTTAACTGCATGTCTTCAATATTCAGGTTGTTACATCATTGTATACGATATTGTTGCTTCACGATAAAAGAAACCCTTTTTATCCATCATTCGCTTACAATTTAGAATGATAATATTCTCCGGTGCTATTCGAATGGGGGGGGGGGGTGCTTTTTGATAGTTTTGTTTAGAAAATCGTGCGAAAAGTGCTCAGAGTGGTGAAAACCTGCGGGAATTTGAAATAATTTCTGGCCAGGGAGGGGGAAACTACCGAACCTCCAGCTTTCCCTGGTTACGGAACTGCTTATTGGTAATTTGTATAGCCCATTATAAATCTCCATTCAGTTAGAGTCATCAATGGTGAAATCTGTGTTGGAGTTAGCTTCATTATCAACCTCAGTTAGAGTCATTCTAAGTGAAGCCGTTTTCTTTCAATTTCTCTAATATCGCGGGTGCTTGAGCCTTTATTTGTGGTTGTTTACAATTATATCTTTTTTAGTTTGCATGGCGAAACTTTTGGGATCAAGATTCAGCTTGGTTTGGCTGTAATTGGAGATTTATCGAAAACGAACGAATTTTGTCCACCATCTTGAATGAAGCTAACTGCAGTTAGAGTCATCCAGTTGTGGAACAGTGATTATGTTCATTGTTTTGAATTGGCTCATTTTGATTTTAGAATGCATTTTATTGTTCGTGTGATGCACCTTTCATTTCAATTGTAAGTTATTTTTCAGTACATTTATATGGCAATAGCTCTTTATGCCCCAGCCCTAGCGATGAGTCAAGGTAATTACATGTTCCATAATTTCAATCAAGAATAATATTTTACATCAGTAGAACACCAGATATGACGTTCACGTTTAATAAAAAAGATGAAGAATTATGAATTATTTCATTTTCAGCAAGTGGTATACCAATATGGGCCTCGATTGTGATTGCAGGGATTGTGGGAACATTTTACACAACTATGGTAAGCCTATTGCAATATATGAAGTTCAGTTATTGAAGGACAATCGGTCCCTTATAAATATGTAATTACTGGAAGATCACATCGAACAATGTGAAAATGTAACTTTCGTTTAATCCGAAGCGTAACAGCAGAAGTGGACAATTGCAAGTACAGGGTGGTAAAAACTGAAATATTTCGATATCGTGGACTTGACTACTGAAATATCTGATGCTATTGAATCGATGAATAACGGGAACAACAATGTACTTTATAGCAATTGTAGCATTTATAATCATAGCCATTTTTGAAAATGTATATGCGACTATTAGGGAGGAATGCGAGCAGTGGTGTGGACGGATGTATTCCAAGTTTGTGTTATGGTGGCTGGGACACTCGCTCTAATAATAGGTGGCACTATACGTGTTGGTGGCCTAGATAAGGTCTGGAATATAAACATGGAAGGAAAACGATTAGACATTTTTGAGTAAGTGCATGGATTTCTACGTATTTAACTCTGAACGTATTACTGCCAAATGCTCCCTGCCCCCTATTATCACTTACATCCTTTTGTTTGGGATTCGCAATTGTATTTCAACAAAATATTCAACTTTGGTTTACTTTTGGCTTAGTTTCAGATTTGGTCTGACAATTCGTCAAACCTTTTGGAGTACGCTCTTTGGATACGGTCTATCTACCATGGCAATGCATGCTGGGAGTCAAACAACGATTCAACGGTGGATGAGTGTTAAGAATGTCAAGGAAGCCCAAATGTAAGTTTACAGAACTTAAAGGGGTAGTGCAGTGGTACATACAGAACTTAAAGGGGTAGTGCAGTGGTAAGAGGGTTTGCATGGCGTGTATATCTCAACGTAGCCTATATTTGTCTGTATTGTTGGAAAATTACATTTTCCTCAATTAACTGCATACCGACGAATACAAAAAGTTCAAATCAGTAAGCGAAATTATAAGCAGTAAAGAACATAGCTTGGACGTGAATACTTAAAGCACGTATTTCACTCCAAAATGAGAATTCAAGCCATCTATCGATGTGGTATTTTTCAGTACAACGTGGTTACAGATTCCACTTACCTCTCTGTTCCAACTAGTACTGGTCTTGCAAGGGATGGTGATGTATGCCTTTTATCACAAATGTGACCCATTACAGACCGGAAGAGTCGCCAAGGCAGACCAGGTAATTATACAGTATATCCCCTAGCACAGGATTTCATTCTGTGTTTTCATTAACTAATACAGTATGTCTATTAATGTAATGTGTCAAGAATACAGAACCTTTTATGTTTCTGGAAATATTGACCAAATAGTTAATTTTATCATGGACTTTCAACTTGAAAGCCGATGATTTTATGTTCGGGCCATACCATCTCGCCTTGTCATCTGATTTTCGTCAATAAGTAGATACATCTCTTAATCACATTGGATTCCCCCATGTATATCCAGAACTTGGGTAGTCAAAATTATCAAAAAACGAATTTAATCCTAACCCTAAGACCATGAATATGTACTGTGTCAAAAAAATCAAAAATGAATTCCATTAAAGGAACAAAATGCGTAAACGAAGTCTCACTTTTCATCTTCATAGTATTCCCAATGGATTAATTTTAGCAATGCCATTGAAATCATCCATTGTTGTTTGCATAAATTATCCATTCATTTTTGATAGGATTTTCAACGGCATCTTTAAATCCAAGAGTTGTTTAAAAACATACACTTTGTGAAAAGTGGCCAGTTCACTTCTTTTGATCTCTGAACTTCAAATGGTTTTTTCTATGCGAGTGATATTTATTCACTTCAGTATTATCCCAAATTAAAGTTTTCATCATATTTGATAGAGTGTGTGAGTAACATGTCTAAAATATTATTTTGTCCTTTTCCTTCAAAAATAGGCGCATTGCCTGTTTAAAACAATAAACTTGTGTGTCAGGAAAATAAAAAAAATTAAAAAATGAATTTAACCCTAACCCTGATGACCTACCCGCCGAGGACACAGGACGTGTACCAGACCCTAATGATACAGGGCCCACTTGACAGGAGCGGCGTTCGCGTACCAGACCCTAAAGATAGCGATCGCCGCTCCTGCCAAATGTACCCTGTATCGTTAGGGTCTGGTATGCGTCCTTTGTCCTCAGCGGGTAAGTCAGGATTAGGTAATCATTTACGTATCCATGGTCTTAGGGTTAAGGTCAGGGTTCAATTCATTTTTTTTGACTCACATATTCGTGGTCTTTTTGGGATGTTTTGACACAGATTCAGGGTCTTGATGGAATTTTTTTGATTGTTTTGATATTGCCCAAGTCCTGCATATACCTCATTGAATTCTCGAACAGCATTAGTTATAAATGTTTTAAACACGAATACGGGCTATATTTTTTTACATGACTTGCACTAAAACTAGATTTGTGCTAACTCCAAAATATATGAGTTGTTGAACGGCAAAACAAGTGTTTTAGACGTTTGGAAAAGGAATGAAATATTTTAGATTGGTTGGTAACAGGTTTCATTTAGACGTACACACAATTGATGAAATGACATGTCAAACCATGACACTTCGCAAATAAGTTCTCATGCAGTATTGATACACACGTGCTCTATCAGTAATTAGTTGACCATAAACTAAATTGGCCATCGGATGTATCAGGAATTAGAACTATTGTTGCAAAATACGATGAGCCAGAAGGTAGATTACTATACAACATGTACAGAAGTAGATTTACATTACAACATTTATCAAATCTCTGACAATTTATTGTGACGTATTGAAAATAGTTTTGTCTAATTAGAATCATATAGTTCGAGAGTCTATTTTCTGTCTCCACTGTCATTGTTTTAGTTGTCGCCACTGATGTCCATTGATATCCTGGGAGCTGTTCCGGGTCTCCCCGGACTCTTTCTGTCGGCTATTGTATGTGCCGCCCTCAGGTGAGCCCAAGCTTAAATAAATTACCCTATTGCCAGGTGGATTTGGATTGTAGTAATTGTTTCTGAATGGTGTAGTGAAGGGCGTATGGCACTGATGCATAATATGGTATAGATAATCGTTTGGGATACTAAAAGTTATTGAATGATTTGATCATGAAGTGCAATACAGGATATATTCTGCTCGAGAATCCCGTATTGGAACGAGACGAAGTCGAGTGCCAATACAGAATATCGAGACAGAATATATCCTGTATTGCACTTTAAATCATTCAATAACGTTTTTATCGTGTGATCCTCTGTATTGCTACCGAGATTGTCGACCGTACCAATATTTTCTGTATTGCGACTGAGATGATCAACGGGGACAATCTCAGTAGCAATACAGGTTGGTACAGCACAAGAACTGACCAATCAGAGGGCTTCATTTTACAGATCATGCGATAATGAAAGTTGTTTCATTGTAGGCTTACTCTGATCAAAGACATGTCTCTGCTCTGATGAATCTTTGCGAATTGTGTTTTTAATACTTTCTAGTCTTTCCTCTTATTACACCTGTGCTTCATATACACTTCATGACATATTTTGTTTTTTCTTTATCACTGGCTGAACCTGGTATACGCTTATGTTGTAGCACTCTATCTTCTGGGATCAACTCAATGTCGGCCGTAGTATTGGAAGACGTGGTGAAACCATGGTACATGTGGAAATACAACACAGTCATCTCAGACAGAAAGGCAACACTCGCTTCAAAAATAGCATGTATAGCAACTTTTATAAATTATGAAAGTACTGGAATCAAAAATACTAACATTCAATTGTATATATTATAAACTGTGAATAAATATAAGCCCTTTCTGACCTTTGTTGAACACTGTTGAACTTGAATATTTTTGCGTTCGTTTCAGCTGGCATATTTGGTATGCTTGCTGTCGCTTTAGCCATTCCTGCCCAGTATGTTAGCGAGAATGTCATCCAATTCACCAACCGTGTCTACTCAATGAATAGCGGACCTGTGTTTGGGCTTTTCATTGTCGCTATGTTTTTCCCCTGGACAAATTCCATTGTAGGTATTTTAAAAATGTTTTATCAGAAACCTGTGTTGGCTTACGGACAACTCATCCCCTAGACAACTCATCCCTGGACAACTCATCCCCTAGACAACTCATCCCCTGGACATCTCATCCCCTAGACAACTCATCCCCTGGACATCTCATCCCCTAGACAACTCATCCCCTGGACATCTCATCCCCTAGACAATTCATCCCCTGGACAACTCATCCCCAAGACAACTCATCCCCTAGACAACTCATCCTTAATCACATGAAGCCAAATTGTTAAGTTTTTTTGGGAAAATAAATATTTATTAAATACACTTTGAATCATTCTAAATATTATTTTTCGCTTTATTGACACAAATAAAATGGTCAAATGGTGCCAATAAAACCTTCGTATTTTGTCCTTATAATACATGACTTATTATTTCATGACAAAAAATAAAGTTTTCTCTCTGCATTATTTTGAAACATGAACTTCAGTAACTTCATCTGTTACTGCTGTGAAAAAATATCTTTTGATTTAAGAATATTTGAACTATGAACACACATATAATGACATCAAAGGAGCTTATGACATCAAAGGAGCTTCTTCAATGAATGTTAACATAATATTGAAATTGTATATCAAAAGTAAAATTAAAGGTAAATATTTACAAAACAAATTACAGATTAATTGGTTGATAATCTCCTTGACAATACCATAGTAGTACCATGGTATATCATAGTTTTTAAACAATTTTCCAGATTTCCCCTCAAGAAAATCTTTGTTCACTTGTCATTCAGAAGACAACAGAATCGTCGCTTTAATACCTTACTATTGTTATGTAAATAGAAAGAGTTAGAAGTGCAGATCTTAACCATTTTTTGAATTTCTGTTTACGTAACAAAAGTGAGGTATTAAATCGAGGATCGTGTTAATCATTTGAATAATATATGAATTAATAATATTACATTAAATTACTCAAACATGCCAAAGGATGAGTCGTCCAGGGGATGAGTTGTCCAGGAGATGAGTTGTCTAGGGGATGAGTTGTCCAGGGGATGAGTTGTCTAGGGGATGAGTTGTCTAGGGGATGAGTTGTCCAGGGGATGAGTTGTCTAGGGGATGAGTTGTCCAGGGATGAGTTGTCTAGGGGATGAGTTGTCCGGTTACCCCTGTGTTGATGCACCAGAAAATGAGAAGAATAAAACTAATGAGGAATCTTTTTCAATAGTTCTGTTTAAATGGTCGATATTTAGACACACGTATTGATATTTTGTCAAAATACTTTATTCGTTTGGTCATCAGAATTGATTATTTCTGGGTTTATATTGACCAAATACATTCCACTGACACCATGCTATATTTACTAGGGTGCATTCGTCGGTGTAATGACAAGTCTTGTGATATCATACTGGATCGGTCTCGGGGCTTTAATAGACGGCCCTTCTTCCCCAAAACTACCTCTTCGTATTGATGGCTGTGGGGCTAATAACACGGATGTCTTGTATACACCAACTGCTGTACTTGAAGACTTTGTTAATATTACAATGGATACTCCAGTGGCAGAGACGTCCGTCGGGTATGTTATCTTGGAGCAGAGTGGAGAACAAGAGCAATACGAATAAGCGTGGTCAATAATCAATAATGAGTAATGACAATAGCATGATATTTTTGGTGTAAAATTGGTACGTCCACATATACATATCAGTATTTGTATAACCTGTCAAAAACATATGTGTCAATCACGCACGTTTAAAATCAAGATATAGTCAATTTTTATTTGATTACAAATTAAATGTCTACTCGTTTAGAAAGATGACGAATTAATCATAACTGAGAAAGGGCATCATAAGAAACCATGCCTTCTATTAGCTTCGACTCTTTAGAATATTTCTATTTGAAGGCAGAAAGATGCGATGAGTATCAGAATGGAGAAAGGGAGGGTTACGGGAGGGAATACGTATGTACGGTGTGTATTTTTATAATTCTAGGTTTCAAATCAAGGATTTATACACACTTTCCTATTTATGGTTTACACTCCTTGGTTTGCTTGTGACAATAGTAGTAGGACTCGTCGTCAGCTTCATTTCAGGTGAGGTGGACAATGTTGAATGTAATTATTTTATGGGATCCATTACGCATTATCATATTTAATATGGAAAAACAAATTATAATACAAAACTGAACAATTAAAGGAAGTTGAAAAGAAACTCAAAGATACCCAGAGAGACTCAAAGAGACCCAAGGCGACCCAAAGAGACTCAACTAGGAATATTAAATTTTTTGTTATTATTACAAGATTTCCTATCTATGAAGTTTTAAGATGTCGCCTTTTTCTTTTATTTTCCTTTCGAATGTGTTAGTTTTGCCCATTGACCCATTTATTCCAAGAGCCATCGACCATCATTTTTAACTGGAGACAACGATGCTGTCTAATCATTTGTTGTTTTCCCTTTCGTTTAGGTCATAACAAATCCGGAGACATTCCTGAAAACCTTCTCTTTAACTGGAGCAGTTGTCTCTGCTGGCGTAGAGAGAAGAGCAGACACTCTTCTGAGCCAATGTCAGAAAATGGATACAATAACAATGTGAGTATACAGTACTATAAAGGGTTTGTTAAAATGTCGAAATGTACCAAGCTAGTCAGATAGCCTTTTTACGGTTGTCAACACTTTCGATGTAGAGAGAGATATATTCTTTGGATTCATGGGTTCAGTTTTCTACCATGGGGAGTATCAACCGTGAATAATATTTGTTTCAACATCAGTAAAACTTAGTAAAATCAGTAAAATATACTTATTGTACTATATAACTATATGTATGTTATGTATATAAATTTTTATTGCTGTGATTTAATGGGGTTTCTTTTGAGTTAACTCTGACCTTAAGTTGATATCTTACATAATCATAACAGGACTCAGTAACATGATATCTGGCTTTGGTATCGCAATTGTCATTTGTTTTTTGAGCATTAATATTAAGTTATCCATGTGACATTGGGACAACTGATGAACTCAATTTTTTTCATTTCTTGTGTCTTCCAGGCTCTCATATCAACCAACAGCTCGTTAGTGAAACAGCCATTGACAGGGAAAGATGCAGATCTAGACAATATAACACGATTATAACATCAATTCTTTGTTAGCTCTACAATGTATATTATCCAGCTGAAAACAATAGAGATAATTATCTTTATTCAGGAACGATCCTGGAAATAAAGAGAGAGCGTGGCCAAAGATTTGTGCGGCCCCAATTTCGAAATCGACACTATACAGTCCGCCATTTTGAAAGAGAATGTTACAGCCGTTGCCGTCTCCTGATACTACTCAGTGATGTTGCTCATACATATGTTACTAATATGCTGTTGTTAAATGTTTATCGTCAATTAAATCCAATATCGATGTCATGTCAATCAGGCAAGAGCATGATTGAAATATCACATTTTGATATTGGCAACGAAGTAGAAATACAATGAATTTTTCTAGAAGAACAGTTTTATTCTTCTTGTTTTGGTTCAGCGGAATAGTTGTTTTGGTGAACCACCTTGCAAAAAGTCGGGTTCGACAAGAAGAAATGAGTAGCGAAATAAGCGGATTGAGGAAAATGTTAAACCCCGTTATCACGAGAATGCTTCCTGTAATAACCAATTCAAAATTAAACAGAGAAGTAACCAAAGCGACTGAAGAACCTAAACAAGCCAGCAAAGTTCATGTAACTCATGAATCTCATTTTACGAATAAGACGGATATTGAATTCGAAATAGATGAAATAATGAATAGTACACCCAAAATTGAAGAGATTCTTAAGAAAATCGTTTCCCCGACAAATACAATCATTTATGTTATTGTCGAGAGATCATATATACCACTCTTCAAAAACTTTTATGCCTTTGCAAAGATGGCAAACGTTGCAAATTTTGTCTTGGCAATTTGCAAAGATATAAGTTGTTGCAAGACCCTGCGTGAAATGAACGTGACCTATTTCCCTGATATGACTTGGAGCGGAGTAGGTTATTCACGTTTTGGTAGCGGAGATTTCAAACGCAAAAACAATGAAAAGACAGAGTGGACCTTAAAACTCTTGGAATATGGCTATAATGTGTTAATGTCCGATGTTGATATTATATTACTGAAGGACCCCTTCCCATACATGTTTCGTAAATGTAAATCATGCGACATTCACATTGGTACAAATGACAATGCGGAAGAACTTAATGCTGGGTTCGTCCTGGTTCGAAACACGTCAAATGGTATAGAAGCAGTTCGACAAGTTGTCAAAACTTTTAAAGTCAAGGGACAAAACCAAGATCATTGGAATGCAGCTCTGAGAAAAATGAAGAAACAAGGGCTTGCAATTAATGTACTAGACGAAAAGCTTTTTCCATGTGGAAAGACATATTTCGATAAGATGCGCTCAAGACCGGACGTTCTTCACGATCCAAAAGTGGTCATGATTCATAACAATTATTTGAAGTCAAGTATAAAAAAGGTGTCCAGATTCAAAGCGTTTAACCTATGGTTTCCGAATGGAGTTCCATCAAATTTGTTTAAGACATGATAGAATAATGCACTTAATGGGAAAAACAATGTACTAAATGGCTTCTTAATTTATGAGTAGAATAAAATGAAGTAAATCGCTATATTAATTATAAAAGAATTTTTCAGATAAGCCTATAAGCTGTTTCCTCCAGTTGATCCTCCAATCGTTTAGATGATTTCAGATGATAAAACATATATTCCTACATACACGTTCACTTGTTGAGGACCTGTCAACATTACCGTTTACTTATTAATGTAGGGTCTAGCAGAGGTCCATAAAAATTAAAAATACTAAATCTTGATAATTTTCAAGTTTACAACTTATGACCTACTAATGAATTGGTTGATTGAACGGAAATTAGCAAATATATATTTTATTTGTTTAATTGTAAATGAGACCATCTGTATTTTTTGTTCAAATTTTTAAATATAAATGACACAAATGGAGATGTGTTGGGTGCGACTGCATTCCCTATGGTACCCCCTCACTAAGACTGAAAGGGAGACTTTTTATTATTTTTTCTAATTGACTCAAACACTTTGGAAGTGCATAGAAACCACTGCTTTGTGCACCCTCCTACCAGAAAATATTGGAATTGATTATTTTTGATTTTTTATAATCTCAAACACAAAAGAAGTGTCAAGAAATCATCAAATAGTAGCCCTCCTAAAACAATTGAATAAAATCAATTCTAGCACTAAAGTATTGGTAAAAGGATCTATCAAGTATCATCATGAATTAAATCCAATGTATGTAATTTCGAATTTTCTATAAAATTGACTTAACATGGGGAAATTATCATATTTTGATATGATGATATATCCATGTTAAGTCAATGGAAACAAATGAAAATAAAAACAGAAGATGTAAACCTTGCAAAGCTTCACCTACCTTCCAAGGTCAAGTTTTTCCTGAACGTCGTTCTCTAATAATTTAACATATTTTTGTAATTTAATGTTTTTTATAATTGATGATTTTTTAAATAAGACCCCTGCTGAAATCTCAAATTAATAAAAAATTGAATGATGCTCAACAAGTTTAGAAATAGTCAATGATGTAATTAGAACTTATATAGACTAATTAAAATCATTAGACTCTAACAATAAATTTAAAAAATAAACAGTACTTCTGAGAGTTTGGAATCCATTTTGGTCTTTCAGTTGAAATGTTCTTGATGTCAAAGAAATTATGATATTTTGGCTTAATTATTATCTATTCAAAAGAAATTTTCAAATATAAAAAAATTCTTTTGAAAAATGACCCCTGTGTAATCCCAAATAAATGATAAACGGTAATGTTGTGTGATGCTCAACAAGCAAAAATATGTTCAGTGATATTAAGTCTATACCAGTACAATATATTTAAATAGTGGAGCGTCAATAGGACGAGGTTATTAAAATGTTGTCAATTCCTTTAATATATTACCTTTTGCATTCGTTTGACTTCGCTTCTTAAAAGAGAGCTGCGTAGTTTAACTAGACTCTGCACGCAGGGTATTAATATATATTTTGTTATACTGTTAGAAACTAACCATATTTTGATACTTAACTTGTTTATTCTAATCACTCACATGGACACACAATAACAATGACATAAATTATATGATGCTATTTTAAACTGCCGCGTTGTTGAGATGCTCCTCGCATATTTTCCTAAAGAGACATCTGTTTCAAACCTATAATGAAAAACATTTAACGTGTATATAATGTGTACAATATGAATAAATACAATACAGTACAATGCACCAACGCAGAATACCGTACAGTACAGTTCAGCACAGTTTAAAAATAAAAGCTTCATGATAGACTGCCTTGAAAAACTATAGAACAGAATTCGAATGTAAGATACGTGTACAACACCTACCTGCTAGTGCCCCTTGGAAACCTGCGTTATAATCGGTGGCAACCTCGTTCTTTACATAATCGTTTCGTCTGTCCTCGTAATCATCATACTGACCAGGTCCTCCGACGAGGGCACCGTAAAGGGTGTGGGGATTCGGGGCTGGGTTGTTGTAATCGTTCCAGCTGCATGGGGCAGGTCGCCAAGGGCAGGAACTGAAGATGAATTTTGGGTTTTAGTTTGAAAATAATCATTAAGTGTTAAGATTATGATCCGAAAGCTAGCTAAATACGTGTGTGTACCTGGAGGCATGATGAGGTCTAAGTGGTGGGTTATTTCCAAATCCAACCACGTAGCTACGACCGCCATCTCCAAGCATGTAGTTGACCTGGCTTAAGGCGAAGTCAGAGTAAGCTTCGGGTTTGAGACCAGCTTGGGCGGCAACGAGCGCTATAAAGGCAGTGTTGGCTGAAACAAGAATGAAAACAAACCCACGATGAATAATGCAAAATGTGTCGACGCATGTGATCCTGATCGGTTTTGCTGATTTTGTCTAATGCATTCTGAGTGTCAAGGCCTAGTGCATCTAGATAAAATTCTGTTTTTGGAGAAACAAGGCAAACAATTGGAGAGTCCGGTCTATGTTGTGTGTACATATACTTTATAATTCATAATTCATGCGCATGCCCGTAGCCAGATTGTCTAGGGGAATTCATTTTTTGAAAAATTCCAGGGGGTTCTCTTTGGACAACTTTGGCCAAAATCACTTGCAAAACGCTCAGAATGGTGAAAAACTGTATGATTTTGAAAGAATTTTCGCCCAGTGGGAGGAGTTCGATTCTTATAGGCTACATTTGTGCATTTACATGAACAAACCTGAATATCGGTTGGCGCCCCACTGAGAATGCCAGGCAAGGCCCTTTGGAGTGTATAGTTTGCTGCCTCCTCTTAGCCATGGGTCGACAAATGATGTCACAGGCGCTGAGTATCTCGCGTCCCCGGTTGTTTGGTAAAGTATGAGCTGCAATCATTGCACGGAATTGATTGCAGTTCATGTCCAGATGAAGAAGTTATTGTAAATAATTATTAGTTGCAAGGACTTTTTACATTAATCCTTACAATGCCTCTCGGGCTACCAGAAATATACAGTCGAGGGAAAGATAAACATGTATTACTCAACAGAATGGAACATTTGCCGTTCACATACTATCGATGCATCTCAATGAATTGTGGATGATTTTAAGCACGAATGTCTGTGTACAGATTTTGAATGAGGAAGCAAGCCAAGAGCAATAAATATTATGTAATGTGAGGTCTTTATCTCAACGTATGAAACCACCATGGCCCGATGGCCATACTGCAAACCCATCACACACAATGCATTACTTTGTCTAAGCAAAAAATTGAATGTAGTCTACCTGAGCCCCAACGAGTTTGCTGTCCCAGGAGAACTCATGGGCAGTTCCGGCGTCATAGTTATCCTCGGCGAATTTGAGGTACTGGTTTTCTCCGGTAGCTCTGTAGAGCCAAGCTGCACCCCATAGGAGCTCGTCCAAATAACCACTGTGGGAACTGCAACAAGCACTGAGCTTGTAAACGCGACAGGATTCCTCAAATTATCCCTAGTATTATCTTTATTGGGGAATCTGGGGGAGGGGCAGGAGTACCCCTGGATAGGCCCAGACAACAATTTTTAGGGCCCCAATTAGTAGGCCTTTTTAGCATTACTGGGCCTTATTTTCTAATTGTAGGTCAAATTATCAAGAAAAGGGGCCTTGAATTTTCAAAATTTGGGCCCTTTTCTGACTTGAAATGTGCCCCCACCTTTGTTAGTTTGCAGATCCACACCGCCTTATCAAAGATACCCAATGTGCCTCTATTGAGGCAGAACAATAAACAAATGATACTATTTACAGTTTTAAGATTGCATATGTTTTGAGTGAAAACGGCAACACCCCAAAAAGCAACCTATTAATACTTACTCGTAGAAGTCCTTGGCTTCAGGGATACCATCAACATATTTGCCACGGTAGTTATTAGCGAAGTCAAACAATTGTCTGGCATGAGTCAGCAAAGTAGCAGCGTAGGTGGGGTCTGCAAAGAACATAGCATCAAATTATATGCACGTTATCGCATTGGATCGAAATGGACAGAAGATATTGTGTATTTCTAATGACAGGGGTGTGGATTTTTGCCACATACAGTATTAGCCCTAGCCAGAGATTATCGGCCAAGTGGGTAGGGTTTTTTATCTTTATGAAAATCCAACCTGTAGAGGAGGGAGAAGTGGTGCCTAGACTAGACAGATTGTCAACCGTGTTAAATTAAACATGATGGACATATTTGGTAACTAAAACTGGTAGAGTGAAGAAGCCTCACATAGAACAGGAGCACACTTGGATATTGATTAGGCAAGATACAGGAACGGACGGAAGGACGTATAGAACATAAAGTTACTTGTATCTTTGAAGACGAGGTATCCAGCTGCGAAGGCAGAGGCAGTCTCTGCGGTGAGATCAGAACCTGGCTTCTGTCTTGTCACTTTGTATGCTGGTCGAGGCATGTTCATGTCTTCTGGACGTCCCCACCATGCGTGATCAATATCTCCATTGCCAAGCTAAAAGGAATAATAAACAACCGGCGTCTGTAGAACGTTCCATACCTGTCACATTGACAGGGTCGATGATTTATGATGAACGAGTTTCTTGACCCTAGAAGATATGAAAATAAATGTGCTCTCCTGTTCAGACTAGATCTGCTACTGGACCCATCTGCTTTTGGTACATTTAATTAATTTTATCCCTTTGCTCTTACTTGACCGTAAAACTCCTCTCCAGGCTTGCTATGGCATTTGATGAAATAATCAAGGGGCCATTTAATGCTATCCAGGGCATTGTCGTACTCCCCAGCTGCCTTGTAACCTGCCTCGAACTCCAGAATTCCCCAAGCAAGAGCTGTGGTCGTGTAGGCCATAGGGAAACCAAATTTAACCATATCACCAGCTGATAATTAAAGGAAATATATTTTATAAAAATACCTCATTTTATCCAAATTCTTATATACGTGGAGACATACTTTTTCCCATTTTAATGGCACATACTTTAAGCATTATCAGCAGCAAAACAACATTTAAAAAAACAAAAACGCTCATAAAGTTCTCTGGTTTTCGCCTGTTCAGTGTTCGGAGGTCGAAGTCTCATATCTCACCGTATCACCAGCTTAACTTACCGTCATACCATCCTCCCGTGAGGTCTCTACCTACGTCAGATCCGTCCCCCATGGCAGAGTCGCCTCTGTATGGAATACGATTGTTCGCTGGTAATTTACCAGATCGTTGCGCCTCGTAGAAGAGTATGGATTTACGAATGACCTCGTTGTGATCGTATTTCAAAGTGACTGGAACAAACAATTAAAGAAGTCATTGGTGTGATTGTTGATGTTAAGGACCATTCTAAAGGCAACGCCTCTTATTTAGCATTGATTTTCAGAGATGCTATAATAATCCACAATTTAAAAGACCTCTCATAAATGTTCCAATCGTTTTCACAAAGAAACGAATTGTAAGTGTTACTAATTAAATATATACCATTCAAATTAAGGATAATACCTTTTGGGCCGTTAGGATTGCGTGTAGGTGGATTGCCAGTTGGTCCGACAGTCCCTCGAGTAGCTGAGGTAGCAGCCGTTGGGCGTGCTGTTGTAGCCTCGCCACCCTGGCCGTTCATCCAGGCGTCACCTGATGGGGCGTCCCCGTCACAATTAGCGATGAAGTTCATCTCTAGAGTGCTACCGGAGTTCAGCTGGGCATTATGTTGCGTATTCTTCATTGTGTATTTTTTGCCGCCATCTTCATTTGATACAACTTCTGCTTCCCATATCTAAATTGACAAGTGCAACATTCTCATATTGTATTGACAAATGCAACATATTGTTGAAAAGTGCATCATTTTGTATTGAGAACCTCAACATATTGTGTTGAAAAGTGCAACATATTGTATTGAGAAATGCAATATATTGTGTTAAGAAATGTAACACATTGTGTTAAAAAGTGCATATCGTAATGAAAATGGCAATATATTGTATTGAGAAGTGCAATATATTGTATTGAGAAGTGCAACATATTGCATTGAGAAGTGCAACATATTTCATAGAAATGAGAAGTGCAATATATTGTATCAAAAGGTGCAACATATTTTATTGTATAGAAAAGTGCAATATATTGGATTGAGATGTGCAATATATCGTATTGAAAAGTGAAGTATAATGTATTGAGAAGTGAAACATAGTGTATTTGGAAGTGCAACATATTATATTTGGAAGTGCAACATATTGTATTGAGAAGTGCAACATATTGTATTGAGAAGTGCAACATATTGTGTTAAGAAATGTAACACATTGTGTTAAAAAGTGCATATCGTAATGAAAATGGCAATATATTGTATTGAGAAGTGCAATATATTGTATTGAGAAGTGCAATATATTGCATTGAGAAGTGCAACATATTTCATAGAAATGAGAAGTGCAATATATTGTATCAAAAGGTGCAACATATTTTATTGTATAGAAAAGTGCAATATATTGGATTGAGATGTGCAATATATCGTATTGAAAAGTGAAGTATAATGTATTGAGAAGTGAAACATAGTGTATTTGGAAGTGCAACATATTGTATTGAGAAGTGCAGCATAGTGTATTTGGAAGTGCAACATATTGTATTTGGAAGTGCAACATATTGTATGGAGAAGTGTGATATATTGTATTGAGAAGTGCAACATATTGTATTGAGATGTGCAATATATTGTATTGAAAAGTGAAGTATATTGTATTTGGAAGTGCAACATATTGTATTTGGAAGTGCAACATATTGTATTGAGAAGTGCAACATATTGTATTGAGAAGTGCAACATATTTTATTGAGAAGTGCAATATATTGTAATGAGAAGTGCAATATATTGTATTGAGAAGTGCAACATATTGTATTTGGAAGTGCAACATATTATATTGAGAAGTGCAACATATTGTATTGAGAAGTGCAATATATTGTATTGAGAAGTGCAATATATTGTATTGAGAAGTGCAACATATTGTATTTGGAAGTGCAACATATTATATTGAGAAGTGCAACATATTGTATTGAGAAGTGCAACATATTGTATTAAGAAGTACAATGTATTATATTGAGAAGTGCAATATATTGTATTGAGAAGTGCAATATATTGTATTGAGAAGTGCAACATATTGTATTGAGAAGTGCAATATATTGTATTGAGAAGTGCAACATATTGTATTGAGAAGTGCAACATATTGTATTAAGAAGTACAATGTATTATATTGAGAAGTGCAATACAATGTATATTGTATTGAGAAGTGCAATATATTGTATTGAGAAGTGCAACATATTGTATTAAGAAGTACAATGTATTATATTGAGAAGTGCAATATATTGTATTGATCACCCACTGGAATTTGAATATGCACGTCGAATTAGGTAGCAATTGTTGATGTATGGGATCTCGAACAATAATATCATTAATGCAATAAACGGTTAAACTAAAAACAATGAAATAAAGCAAAATATGCGTACCAGATCTCAGCTGTAAATTGATACTGAAGATCGCATTCCCTCAACGTTGGGATGACGTGATATAATATTTGCTTACTATTATACCATTATTGAAGAAATTCCTAAAAAAATCTATCTCCCTATTGTACTGAAATTAATATGACATTCATACCTGTAAGTCCCTAACAGGCTTACTGAAAGTAACGGTAAATGTCCATCCATTATGGCTCTTGGTGACAGGAACACTAATCCACCCCTGGAATCCACCGGGCCACGAGTTCATGATCGACATCCCCGCGGATGCGAATGCAACCAAAGATACAAGAGTTGCAAGTCGCAACATCATGAATGAGCGATCTGTACAATACTCAGTGTAAACTGATAAAAGGAGAAATTTCGAAGTTGAATTTATAGTACTCTTTATCTGTTTTGTGAGCTTATCTGTTTTCACAGTTTGGTAACCGTTGCGATGTAACTTTTACAGGAACTGTTGTCGTTATAAAATTGTTACAAAATATTTCAAGATGGCGGATAAAAGTACGTTTTATCAAGGATAAGGTTTCATACTTTGCTTCCTATCTCTTGCTGTCTCTTGCAATTGGCCTCAACCTTGGCAACCAAAATATTACGATAACTGTTGTTATCGTGAATGTTATTACATTATCTTTATCTAACAAGTAGTTATCTATTATCTGATGGGCAGCAGCTTTGTCGTTCTCGTAGATAACATCAACTCACGGGTAATATATGAGGTGGGAAATGGGTCAAAATGGGTGTTTCGTTGCGTTTTTGGCCCACAACAGTTTAATCTATTGAGAGAAAATTTTAGAGGCATTTGAAATGAAGTCAAGTTATACTTTCACCTTTATCATGAGTATTTTCGATTCATTGTAGGTTATGAAAATAAAAATTCAATCATAAAGAGGCTTTACACACAGTCCAATGCTTGTTGCCAAACTTATGGAGGGTAGTGTAACATTTGAGCAACATATTAGTTCCATTACACAATAACGGAGCTTACCGAAGCCGTTTGAAAGAATAACACAATAGGAACTCCACTAACTCGGGTGGCAGTGACAGTTCTTGAGTAGCCATTGAATTATGCATAATATACAATCCCCTCCATAAGTTTGGCAACATTAGCTCCCTCATTGAACTACGTGTTAAAGGCGCTTTGTTTTATTTACATAATCTGCGAGTAAAATACTTATATAGATATTAATGGATATGTGACTTGACATCATTCAACCTACTTCAATGTTTTTCCTCAATCACAATAGGTTGAAAATTGATGATAAATGTGATGAATTTTTGAAATTCGTCATTCCCATATAAACCAATGGGAAATGATTTCAGGATATCTATTCGGTAAAAGATTCACCAGAAAATATTTTTATATAAAAAATTGAATTGTCTAACTTTTTGTATGCTACGTGTACAGCTTACTTTATGAATACTAAAGTTACAGAGCTTCAAAGTCATTTTTGAAAATAATTTTCGTCTCCTGTGTTATTCCAATGGGAGGAGTTTTTTTGAAAAATAATTTTGACTTTGAAGACTTATAACTCTTTTGAACCTGAAGAAACATATCAATTTTTTATTAGATAAAGTTAGTAAATTCAATTGACTACCTAACTTGTATTTTTTGCAAGAACTCAGATGGATGAATATTCTGTCATATGATTTGCGACAAACCTACCATTTCCCATTGGTTTACATGAGAATGTCGATTTTCAAAAATTCATCAGATTTTTCATCAATTTTCGACCTATCGTAATTGGGGGAAAAATTGAGAAAATGGAGGCATTGGAAATGAAGTCAAGTTACATTTCCATCAATATTATAAATAATTTCCTCGTGGGTTATGGAAATAAAAATTCAAACATAAAGAGGCTTTAACACGTAGTTCAATGAGGGAGCTAAAGTTGCGAAACTTTTGGAGGGGAGTGTATCTCCATATAGAAAACTGATTCCTGGTATTGAATTTCTCTAATTCTATATATGAGGTCCATTAAAGCAATCCATTAGGCCTTCGGAGAGTAGGATAAACACTATTATTGACGTGTTCCTATTAATTGCCAGCATAATTCCAAGAGCACTCAGTCCTTACAATGGCTACCAGAAAAGAAATGGTGTGGCAAGGGATATCCCTATAAAGGAAACCTATGCCCATGTTTTATGTTGCTGTATATATTATACACGCTACCTGCTAATGTTTGATATGTATATTGGAATGTTTATTGACCTACTTTCATTAAAATGTTCCCTCGACCAGCGTTCTTTACAATTACAGGTATAAAAAGCTAATTCATGTTAACAACTCAGTCATCCAGCACGAGTTTTATCTCATGGTTAAAGGAATTGATCCTTGTTCAATGTTCTCTCTTTTTACTCAGTTTTACTGGTCTATTCCAAATAGTCATGACTGTTATTATGAACCCCTACAATTTTACCTTTGGGCCTGTTCCAAAGATAATGTCTACACTAACAGCCCTTGAATCATCAGGGAGTTTAAACAACAGGTTAGAAGGAAAATGAGAGCCATTAAACAAGATATCTGTGAGTGTGTATTCAGAACAACATCACCTGATGCGATCAAATTGCCTCCAGAGATGAGACTGGCATTTTGAGCATGCTTTGTAAAATGACCACAATATTTTGTCCATTTTAAACAGACCTATAAAACTTACTAGAATGAAAGAAAATTGAACAAGGTTTAATTGTGCTAAATATGACATTAAACCCACTCTGAATGACCGAGTTATTAATATCTGCTTGGGTTACCTTTTTTGGCTCACCATGTACCAGAGTATCATATTTAGAAGAAGATAAATAAAGATAAAATGCATATGATAATTCATGATGTTTAAGCCCTGTATACACTATAAATAAATTTTCAAGCGTTTCAATTGTTTCAATCGTTTCAATCAGTTCAATTGTTTCAATGCTTGCATCATTTCCTACGTTTCAAGCATTTCAATTGTTTCAATCGATTTCTCTTTCATTTCAACCATTTCAAGCATTTCGGCCTTTTCACCCGCCCCCCCCCCCCCATTTCAAGCATTTCGCTTGCCAATGTACACATCCCTTTAAGAACAATCTAAGCATTTTATAATACAGTGGTTGATTTTCCAATATACTTGCAATGATGTAATAGGGATGCAGTGACATCATTTGGGATATTAAACTCGCAATGGCAACTGCCATGATTTTCTAAAAAGTAGTTTTATAACAATATCAAACACTCCCAAAGTGAGACAATAATGTCGAATCAGTCAACATTCGATGAATTCGTTCGTCTCTTGGAAGGGGAAAATATCGAGATATCGAAAACTCAATTATATTGCTGAGATGCACCAATCACAAAGAAATACTGCGATCTGTTTGATGGGTTGATTGATGGATGCGTTTGTGCAAATACTTAAACTTAGTGCTTTGACAAAATATCATGCTTTTTGCACAACTTGAATACGTGTGTTCATGACCCTGTATGCGTGCTTGTATGACTGCATCGAAAACATATCTCGATTACGACAGAGTGTTAGACGTGGTTTGCAGCAACAATATTCGTTACAATCGACTGTTCCCTTTTTGAAGCATCAGCACCAGTGTCTGTTATTACGACAAACTTTCTAAAACACATAACATTTTTATAGGCGTCCCTCATGTTTCGGTTCAGTCCCATGTATATCAACACGTTTATTAATGGTGGTAGTCGTACTGCTATTCCCATATACATAGTCACAATCATGAACATGGTATCATCCGTCTTCCCGACTATTCGTAATACAATAGCCGGAATGATGTAATTCATCATAAATACGGCAAATATAGCAAACGTTGTTTTTGTTAAAACGCCGTCATTTTTGGTTTGTTTATCATTTGATTTAATTTTACCTTGAACCTTCTTCTGCGATTTTTTCACCTTGATAAGTATTGCCACATAACAAAACAGCGTGACGACGATATCGGGTATTTGGAAAATAAAAAGTTTAATGTTACTCACGATTATATTGATCGTTTGATTTGCGATCTCACACTTTAGTGCAAGATGTACGAAAACCACTATTTGAGTATCACCAACAAGAAAGGGTGGCAACTGGACAACAAAAGGTCCGACCCATATATAAACTAAGACAGCGCAATGAAACTTGAAGTTATTAATCCGTAAGAACTTTATGGGATGTACAACTTGGATGTATCGGAAGACAGCTGTGAAGAGGATACAGAGGGACGAGGTGTTGATGAACCAGTTTGTGCCAAAGTGCTCCATTCCACACACGAACCAACCTGGATTGTCCAACATGAGGATCGTATGTACTTTGATTGGGATGATCAGGAGTATGAGGATCAGATCGCTGAAACTTTGTGTTCCTATCAAGACGTACACCATCTGCTTGCGGAAGGATCTATTCAATGTTATCACCAACACCGTCAATAGATTCCCTATCCCTGAAACAACAACATTTATTGTTCAAAATATTTCAATGCATAAAGTTTACTGTTACTGTATAAAGTTAACTGTAATTAAACTAGCGATAAGGCATATACAAATCTTGTTTATTCAGGAAAAGTGACTTACCTCCCAATATCATTAAAATTACTAGTATGGTAACGGCGACATATTGCATGGCGGGTGGCATCGTTATTATGGTACCATTTGTCTCAGTGCTTGTAAAGTTACTATCTTCCACGGGCATCTTGTTAACATTAAATCCAGGAATGTTTCCACGGACGAGATCCCAATGTTTTGTTCCGATATGTATATTTAGTAAGCTCGATCAATGTCCGTTAGTTTTGCCAGACGACTAAGTGTCTAATATTATTTTCATTATAATAAAACTATTGTCTACTACTCATGTAGTCATTAGATGAATCTCACATTCGACTAGTACTGATTTAGTTTCTTCGTTAGTTTAATCGTGTCTAGTCTGTCGTGTACACAGCAATGAAATAGATTTTTCTCTTGAGACTTTTGTTTGTAGCCAGTGTATGATTTACACCACCCTTGTAAACCTAACTTTATGAAAACCCGCCAGAGGAAAACAATTTCTTATCATTTAATTAATTGCTTTTTGCTTGCAGCAATTTGATAAATATATGAATATGGAATGAACAGAATAGCAACTGGTGCTGTGTAAATACGAAGCAATACAATAAATTTGTTATGTTTTATTTATTTAATTCTTTTAACATATGTTTACTTCGATCTTCTAGAGATTTATGTAATACAAGCCCTGAGTATCGGACTCGTCAGCAGTGGTTGGTAAACCATAGTTGGTGACGAAGTCAACGCTTAAAACGCCAACATTTTAAAAATGAAATTCCCGGGGATTCTCGGTGAAAATCATGATTGAAACATTGATAAAATGTCAATTCGAAAGTATTTCCTAAGATCTACAGAGTCCCCGTTGGTTAAGATAAAACAAACTTATATCAGGTGAGCTAAATTGCGTTACCGGTGGCGAGCTGTGCAGAGGGTAATACAATTGATGATGGTCAATCCGCCAAATTAAATAGCAGCCAAGATTTCAAAATTCGCCCTATCCGCCAAAAACCAATTTACAGGATATCATATTCTGTAACGATCCAAACGTGAATCATTATTTAATTTGGACATACTCATTCCCGGCTCTTTTACAAGATCGAAATTATGCAAAAATATAGTGTGATAAAAACGAGATTAGTCTTTGACTGTACCGGTGAAAAGTTATATAAAAGACTATCGATTGTTATGAGATTTATATCTTTATTCAGATATCCCCATATCAAGGTTCATAATTTACAAAAACTTAATTATTTATCTATTTACGCAAATATGTATTCTTGTAGTTTGTGAATAGAACCAATCATAGATTTTAAAACACACTTTAAATGAAGTAATGTGTCAAAATGTTCCATTTTAAACATGACTAACAAAAGAATTATAACAATAAATATTTTGATTTACAAGGGTACAGTTATTCAATTAAATTGATTAATTACATTCATGAATATTTACATTTTACATGGCATATTTTGAATAGTTGGTACAAATACTGAAACATTGCTGTGGCAGCTTGACAAGAACACAAACACATTGTAAAGGTTTTGATTGCTCCCTCCCAGATTTCTACCAGTCTTCCGATGGGTCCTTAAACTTACTTTTCCTTTTTGGTCTAAGCGAGAACATGAAAATGGCGTGTATTTTCCTCAGCATAGACATGGGTATTGTAAAAATCGTTTTGTTAATGGTTTTAATATTCTTCTATATCCTTATCTTATGAACTATAGATGGATCCTGTATTCAATAACGCTAGCGCTGGGTTGTCATCTAATTTTGTGGAAATTAAATAAGTAACCATTTCGAAGAACGCTACAATTATAATTTCTATCAAATGGACTCAATGTTGTGAAGTGTTGCTTTAGGCATTTAGTGTTCTTTTCAGTGTGTATTGTTTTTCGTCATCAAATATTTCCCTTGTTAACATCCTTTTTGGTGGATAACCGTGATTTTGGCCTTTTTGCCTCCTGCAAATAATGACGACATTGCGTTACATTGCTAATATTCTATTATTATCGATTCACATTGTGTTTTCGTTAACTTAATTATTCGATACCATATGATGATAATGATAACATGGAATTAGTTTTTTTTAAATATTGAATCATAATAAATCAATGGACTGTGCGCCATTGGAAACAACAAAGTTCGTTATTCATTATTCAATAAATTAAATTGTTTTTCAACTCACATCTTTACTCATATCGACGTCATCCTTAGGCGGTAATAGTTCTTTCTCCAGTCTAAGTTTCAGACTGTCACTCAGATTGTACTTCTTACTTTTTCTTCCATCCTCTTTGTTATCCTTGTTACTCTCATCTTGGAGGTTATCATCCGTACGATCTGCATTGCCCATAGAAATCTGTAAACGTTTTGTAGCAAATTAATTGATAATCATCTAAATGCTGTCTAACCTGAAATAAAAATTTAGAAAAATGATGATCAGGCCCTTCGAATAATCTTAATGAACATTCGGTACATAAATTTAACCACGATGTAACTATCTTATGTTGTTTTGGATGAGTTTTGAAAGAAATTTTGAGAAAAACAAATATAAAAGACAAGTTTTTCAGAATTCAGTAAACTTACTGATAAGTGACGTAATAATTGGCGACGTGTAACCTGCTCCATGTTGAAGGCCTCTTGTTCCTTGGAGTACCTATTAGGAAAATGCATGTATGGTCAACAGAGAGGCTTCACAAATATATGATAGTATGAAGTTCATGAAGTTAGGTATACATGTACGTAAACGGTATAACCTCTACGTTACATCATCAATTTATGCGCTCAGGGTCCAATTAGCAAACTTTAGCAAAACTTAAAATCGTGGGTCGTTTTAACTCAATCATAGAGGATTACGGTAATTTTACAGGATGTCATGCATAGAAAGATATGTCTCACCAAAGCATGTGATACTTCTTACTCGGTGCTTAATTACACTTACGTGTCTGGCCTGGGTTCCTGATCGCCAACTGATTTTAACGACCCTTTTCTGACAGCGTACACAATGAGAATGATAATTAATATGAGCACTATGCCACCTAAACATCCTGCAATAAGAGCGACTGAGGTACATCCATCTCCTAGTTGGACAAAGTCATCATTGCACCTGGAAAAGGTAATGGTTGATGGACACACAATGTTGATCATGGTCGATGGACACACAATGTTGATCATGGTTTATGGTCACACAATGTTGATCATGCTTTATGGACACACACGGTTGATCATGATCGGTATCTCATTACATGAGCTTATTTAAAGATTTTCTTTACATTCCTATGACGTATAATTCTGTTTTAAACAAATCTTGATTAGATTAGCAGGCATATTTGATGGCGGTGAATTGTAAAATGGTTCAGTTTGGCAAAACAGACAAACATGGCCAACTAAATCAACTTTTGTTGGTAATATCCAGGGTCTGTCCTAAAAATCAAGAGGATGGGCGCCAATAAAATTTTGGACCACAATTCTGAAATGTTAGGCCTTTTTTCCAAAATAGATCCAAAATTCAAAAAGGGCAATGCCGGTGTGTAGTCTAAATTGCGAATGTATTTGGGAAGAAGCAGATTTTGAGTCCCAAAAATTGTTAGGCCCTAGTTTTTACGCCCGCCTATTAAAAGTCAGAGTAAAACATACGTGCAAACAGTAGTCAGAGAGGCACCATAGTCCCCGCTTAAAGAACACGTTCCGCCATAGCACCTATCATGATCTTCAGGACTCCATGTGCCAAAAGGGATACGTTGACACATACTGTAACATCCATATTCACCATTGTAGTAATAGCATCTGTGTCCATATTCACATCGGAGGATGTTACCTGTACACGCACTGGCTACAACAATTGATACATTCATTCTTAATAAAGACGAAATATTAACTAGGTGCATCTTGAAGAAAAGGGGAAAGAGGGAGAGAGAGAGAGAGAGAGAGAGAGAGAGAGAGAGAGAGAGAGAGAGAGAGAGAGAGAGAGAGAGAGAGTCGAGTGTATTTAAAGGTTCAAAGTTACCTTCATTGATCTGTCGAGCTGTCACATCTCGAAGGTAAACTCTGTCAACCGTGAGATTCCTCATCGTACCATTGCTGAACGCATATGTTGTTACGTTTTTATCCGCCATTGATTGAATAGCGTTGTTTACACGTGCTCTGATGGTTTCAGTTTCATATTCTGGCATGCCGAGATAATAGTGTACGTCAAATGCCAGATCAAATTCAGCTATTATGCTCCCTTTCCTAATTGCAAAAATTGTATAGTTTCAATTCAAAATACTTTTCACACACATGTTAAAAGAAGCAAGCTCCTAAGGAACTTATAGTCGACAATGAAATACAGTCGAATCAGATTTATGGGGGTGGAAAAATTACAAGCAACGTGTACATTTGACCTACACATCTATTCCTTACAATCTCAAATACAATATCTCCCAAAGATTCACGATATGTTATAAATTGGTGAAGTTATAATGGATTCAAATGCAAAAATGGGTGAAAATGTTTAAATTCTCCCAAATGGTAAGAATGTTAACCATTCTTATAGAAATATGATACATTATTGTAAAAATCTTTAGTCTTCCTGAAATAAAGTGTCCACTTTAGGGATTTTTAGAAAATTGTCATGAAAAGGAATGACATAAGCCAGAAATATTCTAAAATTGAGACATTTTTTATTAGGCTGCTCCCGGGGCTGCTCGCTAGATCAGATTCTCTCTTAAATACTCATGTTACAATTGGTTCGATTACAAAAGCAACAATAATCTTATCAGCTATGTCTATGTAAAACAATACTGCACTCACGCGAATCTTGTAACGTTACAACGAAGTAGTGGAAGGTTATCCAAATTCTCCAAACCGCCATTATAGTGCTGAAAAAAATAGCACACATGAACAGAGTGTTAAAAATTGAACCGAAAGGAGATCTTTCTGTGCCAGTAATGGTCGTGGAAAGATTTTCATATGTGGTTTTCTGAAAGATAATAGTCCACCAGGATTACATTACCCAAGAACTATTGTTGATCTGAGGATGGGGATAACAAGAATTAGGCAGATAACAATGGAATAGTGCAGTCATGTGATTGATCATTTCTCAAGAAGAGTTCTGCAGAAGCAATATCTCCAACTGGAGCATGTCATGATATAAACTAAAATAAATTCCAAAACTCCGTGCCTGATCAAACTGAAACTTTCAGATGTATCAGATACATTGAATCAAATCACATACATGTGCCAAATATGAAGTCCCAACGTTTAGCAGTGTCAAATTAAGTGACTTTCTTGCGGTCCAATTTTTGAACACCCTCACAGAGGGAACACGTTAATCTAATTAAATGAAAATGCATTATTCTGATTTTACTTACATTCTAAATGGAGATACTCCTGGGTCAGTTACATATAATTTTCCGAGAGTAAAGGAAATCGAGATCTTGTAAAGCGAGATATATGTTGAAGACCTCCTCGAATACAATGATGGTTGAACAAAAGTATATACTTACATCCCACCTCAGTAAAAACCGCTGTACATCCCATGATAATTCATAAAACATTGTTGAGGATCGATTGTTAAGGTCTTCGTGGAAATCCACTCCTTTCATGAGTAAAGTCAATCCAGTCATTTCAAGATTGCTGCCACCCACTATATAAAGACACCTCAATCGTCAACATTTATTGCAAAAGGTTATATTCATATTGATATATAGTTCTAGACTATACTGATCAAAGATAATAATGACTGAAAAAAATCCTACCCCAGCGACATTTTGGGATGGTGATTATTCATCTTTAGGGTTACATACTTGGTAATATTTTAAAAAGTAGTAAGATTAGTTCTCTCATGTATCAGCAAAAATACAATAAACAAAATGGTGTCTTGGGAGGGTATGATTATTGTTAAAACGTACGATTAATAGGAGCCATGCTTGGTGGCGGGGGTGATGTTCTTCCGGGAGATGTGGTTGATCGAGGAGTTGTGGTTGATCGAGGAGTTGTAGTTGGTTGATAAATTGTGGTAAGTTCATCTTCAATGGACATCGACACACCAAAGAGGCACACCAATAGCACTTTAAATACAGAGCATGACATGATAAGTGTGAGAATAAACTAAAACAAGTTTTTTTAGTTCAACCTTTATAACTGCATGATTCAGTAATAATCTTGAATAATCTTAATTTGAATAATTGCCTTTCAAAGGAATATATCACTATAGTCTTTATTCGAATTGATGTAGTTTAACCATTTTGAATTTGAACATGCCTAGGCAATGGATAGGAACAAGTAATGCACATACGAACCACGAAAAGCAAACACCATTTGTATAGAAGGCATGTTTTTACATTCTCATAGACTCTCCTGGGGTCAAACCTGAAGCAAAATTTGATTTTCAATATATTCTTTGTTTCTGATCGTTTGTACTGTATCTCACCTATTTGATAAGATGTCTTTCTCGGCATGTTGTTATAATGCTGTTATTGTGCTCGACGTATCCTTCTTTTCTGAAATTCACGTAAACGCACATATTAGACACTGCGATTCTTAAAAAGTATTCCACTGTTTGCATTAGATAAGATTAATAAAAAGTACGAATCAGTTATAAAACATACCTTATTTAGCAGGGCTTCACGTGGACGTTCTGTGTTGCTTTGTTTAATTTGGAGAACTTACAGGACTTGATAATCCAAAATGCGTTTCATCGTTTTTAAATGCTTTCCTGAGATTACTTGAAATGCCCGGTGAAATGTGATTACGTGTATGCTTGTGCGTTGTTTACATTAAATGTTCGCTGTGTTTCTATAATTGAACTTTGTAATTCTATTACAACAAAAAGTAATTACTATGTAATTTACACACTTACTACTTCAGATTAACTTATCTCTGGGTAAGAGATACGACAGGCAAAAAGATAATTTGTTAATACAAGAAGCGATCCATATATATTTATGTCATTGATAAAGAATGAAACAAACAAAAAGTACAGATCTGGATTGGGCTTTCAACTTTATTCATATATTCCCATATTAAACTAAAGTGGATGAACAAAACTTATTTCTTTCAGACAACATTTTCAAATTGAACCTCTGGATTGGTTGTTTTTATACAATGCTCATTGCACTTCCTATTTAGTAATTTACAAGCAAATCCACACATTTCGAGCGATTGGACAGGAACCCAATAACACTGGCGGATCTGGGGGGCTGCTCCCCCCCTTGGGTGGGCTCAAAAAAATTGGGCCCAAAACAAATGTTGGGCCAAAAAAGGCCTCAAGGTCCCAAAAAGTGGGCCTTTTTGGTCAATACTGGGCCTTATTTTTAATTTCAGTCCAAATTTTGAAGAAAATGGGCCTCAACATTTCAAAATGTGGGCCCACTTTTGGGTTTTAGGGGCCCAAACATTTTTTCCGGAAGTTTTTTTCTCTGACCTGAAATTTGGGCCTCCCCTTGTTGGTTCCCAGATCCGCCCCTGAATAATATAGATGTTGCACCTATTTACACGATTTAGAATACCTTAACAAGGTATAATGTATTAGACAAAGCAAGAAATGTGTTAAACACCGGATGTCATCCTACGAAATCTGATATTAAAATGGTGAAAAAATCCATAGAAGTTTTATGACTAAATGGATTCTTCAAAACTACTTATCCGGTGGGAATTCTATTATAACAAATACCTCTATATTCTTCATTAATATATCAGGGGACATTGGAACATTGGAACTTTTTTCCGATACTGCAACTCTTATGTGCCGAAATCTCTTGAAAGATGATAATGTACTCAGCTATTCTTATATAATGATAATGGTTCTGGCATTAAGTAAAATAATGCAAAATGTAATTTACTCACATGTAAGCTGAACATGTGGTAATAAAGAATACAAATTACAGTACAATAAATACAATAATATACAATACAATACAAAATAATACAATGGAACTAAATTTAATACGCTACAATACAATACAACACAAAATATGTAATTTCAAAATCCTTCTCGTTGAAGCGTAATTCATTTGTAAATATCTCTGCTATCATTCCAACATCTATTTTGTCACAAGATAAACAGCATTTGATTTAAACCCTTGGTATATAAAACTGATACAAAGCAATCAGAGAGTCACGCCTTTAGAAATAGATTTTTGAAATTTGTTAAATCTTTCTAAACATAGCAATCGTCGTTTCTGGCAAAAGAATAATTGTTCAGCAGTATCCAGTAGTTTTAGGATGATGATACCATTGACAAAAGACACAGCCAAAGTGTACACATGCAGTATGCGTTGAAATTAATGGGAGTTGTTTTCCTGAAACAAAAAGAAGAATATGTTCTGGTCTTCCTAGATTACTTTCGATTTATCTCTATATAAAAATGTCTCTGTCCAACGCTACTCGTTGAGAATATACCCGTACAAGTATGTATATTTTATCATTATAATGAATGCACTATTCAAGCCGAAACACCTTTCTTGAATGGTTGGTTCCAAATATGTAAATGGTAATGATATTGCCGGACGAAATATGGATGTCCACGAAGAAAAAACTCTAAAACACGCATAACCAACGACAACGTTCAGTGGCAAAATATACGGGTGTACACTTTAGCTTTTTGAAGCAAAAAAATTGTGATGCAGGTTTTAAAAGTTTTTATCTAAGGAATGTGATGAAGTATTTCATGTTTAATTTCATGTGCATGCTCTTGACAAGACTTCTAACTTCTTAATTACGTAAACAGGGCACGAGGTTTTTCTACGTAATTCCACCCATGTCCATGTGAATCTCATTTTCCAACCGGTCAATTATGTGGGTGGAATTACCTCGAGAATCTATTAACGTAATCAGAAAGTCTTGCAAAGAGCATGCACATGAAATCAAACCTGAAATACTACTTTATAATCCTGAAATAAATCTTTTAAAACCTACATTACAATTTTGCTTCAAACATGACAACGTGCAGCTAAAGTGTACAACCGTATATTTTGTCACTGCACGTTGTCGATGGTTAGGCGTGTAAAAGGAAGAAACAAAATTGGTTAATTTTCTTAATCCCTATCTCAACTGAAATCTATGATAGGTCTTATTTACCCCAATTGTATACCAGTATACATACCGGATATCAAAGCCACCACTCCATTTAAACTTCTTAGTATTTTCCTAAAATCATGAAAATAAAGGGTGATATTCACTTATTTTCTGTAACAATTTTATTATTTTCAAAAATATTTCCGATGAGCGATGAGATCTAATCAATGACGATTGGAATGCTGCTATTTATTAACCAATCCACATGCTGATAAACCTTACCTGGTGGGTATGATGGGTAGTTTGTGCCTTGGCCAGGCCCAGGGAATGGTTGCTTGCTCATGTCTCCTTGGCCAGGCCCCGGATATGGCTCCCTATTCATGTCGCCAAGTGCACCCGCAGAGTAGTCATATCCATTAGGCTTTGCCACTCCCATATCATCATTGGGGTCAGGTTTTAAAGGATTATTATATGTTGTCGACATTCCATTAGCTACAATTAAAATTTTGTATGATTTCATTCCTAATATTCAAAAATAATTTGCATAAAAAATCAAAAAAACTATTTTGGTGAAAATGAAATAGGGAATATCGGCCGCCAGATGTGTGATGTCATACTTTGCATTCAATGCATGTAACCAAAATAGGATTTTTTTAAATTGAAAATTATTTCTGCTCTGAAATTGTAATAAGCTATCTCGTCATAACCTAAGAATTATACACTGACTTATCCATGCACTGACATACAGGAGATATCTTAGGAACCCATAATACATTCCAATTGTCTGTTTTTCAACAACATAACACGTTAGTATTGTTTGACCCACAAAAGATTTCATACTTACCAGATGACGAAGTGTTTTTTGTTTTACTTTTACTCTTTTTGTCACCTGAACAACAGCACCATAGGAAGAGAAACAGCAGTATTACAAAACCTATAGTACTCCCCAACGATATTCCGACTATAGCTCCCACTGACCTACACAAATACAGTAATTTATTAATATTATTCCACATGTTCAGAAATTTTAATGGCTTCTCAATGTTATTTCCAAGAACACACATTCCATAAATGGTCTACACTACATCTTTCATTTTTTGCACGAAAAGTACACAATTGGCACCTAGATCATTAGTTAAAGGAATATTCCTTGCCAGACCCTTTCTCTCTTGACATGGTAGCTATAATCATATTATATAGTTTCCATATTTAGCAAAACGTGGGAAAATGTTTTAATATGGTCAATATTGATCATTTAAAAATCTAGTGCTTATTTCCAGTGAGCTGCCATCTTTTAAGATTTCTTGCAGGAAGTGATGTCATCAACTCTCAACTTCTATAACCTTGCCCATAACAGTATAGGAAAGTAGCACAAAATCACTTCTAGACAAGTGATCATTACTTTCTGTGCAAAAATATTTTCAGGGCTTGTCAACTTAGAATAAAAGAAGAGATTTTCAGAAGGATTAAATAAGATACAAAGTTGAAAAAGAATATTTAGCTGGTTTTGTATTTCTTAATAGCTCCTCTCCTAATGCTATATGCAAAGTTGAGAGTCGATGACATCACTTCCTGTTTGAAATTTTAAAAGATGGCAGCTTACTGGAATTGAGCATCACATTTCTAAGTGATCAAATTTGACCATATCAAAACATTTTTGCATGTTTTGCTAAACATGGCAAGCATATATATGGTTATAGCTACCATATAAGGAGAGAGATGGTTTGGCAAGGAATATTCCTTTAAGGGTAAATAATTTTTATCATGCATGAAAATTTATAATAGTTCGGTTACCTATTTAATGTAGGCCATTGCATTTTCTCATTTTTATATACCTAAATTATTAATAGCCCTGGACTAATAATTTAGGTTTTTTATACACTTTGCATAATTCAAAGATGTCTATTGAAATCCCATGATACCATGTGAGGAATGGGGCTTCACTGAGGAAGCCATTAAAACTTCTGAGCATTCGGAACTATCTTAATTCGTAATAACTGATCCAAGCTTTGACTTTATAGATTTATATATTCTAGTGTCCAATTCAAATTATTTACTTTTATATCAAGCCATGCATTATTTATGGAAAATAAGTTACGTACAAGCCACATTCATCGCAACAATACTGTTTCCCAGTAGCTCCACAACAGCATTCCATACTGTCAGTTTGGTTCCTCATGGGGCATATAAACCGCCCTATTGTATATGTAGCACCGGTTGTCTGGTTCGTCTGTATGTCATTGTTCTCACATATTGCGGGCTCTAAAACATAATATAATGGAACAAAGTAATATATCATCAATTGCCACCATTTTTGTTGCGGTCTGTCAAATTTAAAAGCTATGAACATGATCAAATATTATTGTGATGATGCAAAATCAAAACGTTGTCAGAGATTTATTAGAAATGTTTAATACTGGTATCATTAACACAATTTCAAATAATATCATAGATTCATATCACTCATAATGTTATTGGTGACGTGTATTACCTTTGTTAGGGTTGTCAATATAGCGCCGCCTCATCATGTAGGAGTGTGATCCGTACAATGTCCCTGCAAAAAGTGCTGTTTTCCAGGCCCCGCTGCTTCTGCTGCTACTGCTGCCTCTAGATAAGAATGTCGGAATGTAATAAATAATATCACCTAAAGGGTTGACTTTTGCTTACACATGTAATGAAAGGGAGCTATGAGATGTACAGGGGGGTACATGGCTGGCTAATAGAAGGCTGTGATTTCGCACGGTGCGAAATATTAATCATTGTTTAAACATTAAAATGCTTCTGTGCTGCTAAAATCTAATATCGATGTCGTAATAAGCCACATGTGTAACCGGGCTAGGCCTATATAGAAACTTTATATTTGTTTAAACTTCCCGCCGTAATTTAACTTTTAAGTAGTGGAATTTTATTAAGGTTGGTCATTCATTGTTAAGGTACTTAAGTCACGATATGCGGCTCCTTTTTTTCTTTACCTGGAAGAACTTCTAAAGCCTCTACTTCCGCCTCTAGAACCTCCTCCACCTCTTCCTCGACAATCAACATATTCTGAAATGCAGGTATACGTCGTACATCAAAATCAGTATGACAATCAACATGAAATGCAGTTATACGTCGTACATCAAAATCAGAATGACAATCAACATGAAATGCAGGTATACGTCGTACATCAAAACCAGTACGACAATTAACATAATCTGAAATATAGGTATACGTCGTACATCAAAACCAGTATGACAATCAACATGAAATGCAGGTATACGTCGTACATCAAAACCAGTACGACAATTAACATAATCTGAAATATAGGTATACGTCGTACATCAAAACCAGTATGACAATCAACATAAAATGCAGGTATACGTGTATATCAAAACCAGTATGACAATCAACATAAAATGCAGGTATACGTCGTACATCAAAACCAGTACGATAATCAACATAATCTGAAATATAGGTATACGTCGTACATCAAAACCAGTACGACAATCAACATAATCTGAAATGTAGGTATACGTCGTACATCAAAACCAGTACGACAATCAACATAATCTGAAATGTAGGTATACGTCGTACATCAAAACCAGTACGACAATCAACATAATCTGAAATATAGGTATACGTCGTACATCGTTTAGACGGTAACAGGTCATCTCAACCCCAAGTCATCTCAACCCAGTCCAACTCAACCCCAAGTCAACTCAACCCCAGTAAAACTCAACCCCAAGTCAACTCGACCCCAAGTCAACTCAACCCTGTAAAACTCAACCCTATTCATTTGTGCAATGTCCACGGTGCCCATGTTAAGCTGCGCGCCTACTTAGGCGCACAGTTTGTTTCGATCACAAACTGCGTGCCTGGCAACATTGCATCATTTAAATTGGAGTCTGTATTTTGAAACGTAATTTAAAGAAATTTATCCTGCATTGTTTTCTTGTTCAATGCGTTCATTCTGTGGCGAATATACGAATCTTGCAAATACTAGCAAAAACTATGTGCAAATTAATCTAAGTTTTAAAACATAAGCAGATTAATGGCATTTTCGTCACTGATTTAACGGGTAATTTATACGTAAATCGATCTAGCACTTTAAACATAAATGACAAATACTTTAGACTCGTTTTATATTTAATTCTTTACGCATTTATCATGTACGAGGGTTGATCCAAAAGTTCCGAACCGTTTGCTCTAAAAATCTTAATACTTAATGAATATTGTTCATATTTGGCCAAAACCACTCTATATATATAGTAGTTTCATTTTGTGTAAAAATAAGCAATGAATTTGACCAGTAACATAGGTGACTGGTTACCATAGCAACATGACAACAGGGTAGGTGGAGCAAGAGTCAACACAGTTATCCTGGTTCACCGTCAATGGAGCTTATTTTTCAAAGGTCAGTTACAAAACCTTATCACTCATTTAAAGTTGTAAACTAGATTACTTCTATGAGGTATGTTTATCCATTTTGAGGCAATCAATTAGGTATGACATTTACTCAGTTTAAAATGTGTTCCTGGTGCTGAAGAAAGATCTTAAAGATGCTATGAGAAAAAAAGACCAGATCTCCTTGGGAACTTTTACTTTCACCATGATAATGCCCAGGCCCACAGAGCCAATATTTCAATGGAGGTAATACACGTGTCCTTGCAGGCCCAACTACAGCCCCATCCGCCATATTCTCCTGATATGGCACCATGTGACTTTCATATGTTTCCTGAAGCCTAGAAACTACTGCATGGTATCCATTTCTATGACGAAGCTGACCTTATCCAGGCATCTACTAATAGCGTTTATGCTACAGCTAAAGGTGAACTTCACCATGTATTTCAGGACTTGTTGAAACGCTGTAAGAAATGTGTAGCACACGGTGGTGACTATTTTGAAGGCGAATGAACTTATTAACTATATTGTATGAGATTTTATGGGAGTGAAACTCCACGAATTGAAATGATCTGAAATAGCTCTTCAATTGCTGTAATTCGGAATAAAGTTTAATTTATTCCAGCTCCACCTACCCTGTTGTCATGTTGCTATGGTAACCAGACACCTATGTTGCTGGTCAAATTTATTATTTATTTTTACACAAAATGAAACTACTATATATGGGGTGGTTGTGGCCAAATATGAACAATATTCATAAAATATTAAGATATTTAGAGCAAACGGTTCGGAACTTTTGGATCAACCCTCGTATAATTCAAAATATTTCGAGATAAAACAGATAATCAGGAGATTAAAAAGAAATAAAGCACAAACTGCGCGCCTATTTTAGCCAGAAATTACAAACTTTGCGCATACACTATTAAAAATTCATATTATCATTGGAATTTCTACAGAGGCACGTGTAGGTGTTTTTCATATAGCTTTGAAAATTTTGCTTTATCGTCAGATTTTATGAGATTTTCATATTGAAAGTCAAAATGTATAATAGAAGTGACAATTAAGTTGGGAACGAACAACTTTTATTTTCAGATCACCATCTTGGTGGATGGACTCTCATAGTGTTTCACTTATGGGGTTCTACTATTAGACACATATGTGCCTTACATATGGCGCTTACGTTTTCTAATAATACAAAACAAGCTTGGGTAGGTAAGCAGTTTGAAAATATTAGGCACGCAGTTTGGGAAATACATGTGAATATACACTCCCCTCCATAAGTTTGGCAACCTTTTTTCCCCCATTGAACTACGTGTTAAAGCCTCTTTACCTTTGAATTTTTATTTACTTAACCTGCGATGAAAATACTTATACTATTGATGGAAACGTAATTTGACTTTAATTCCAATACCTCCAAATTTTCTCAATTTTTTTCCTCAATTACAATAGGTCGAAAATTGATGATAAATTTGATGAATTTTTGAAAATCGACATTCCCATGTTAACCAATGGGAAATGGTAGGTTTGCCACAAGTCATATGACAGAATATCCATCCATCCGAGTCCTTGCAAAAAATTTATATGTTTCTTTATGTTCAACAAAGTTAAAGGGCTTTAAAGTCAAAATTGTTTTTCAAAAAACCTCTCCCATTGAAATAACACAGGAGGCGAACAATTATTTTCAAAAATGACTTTGAAGCGCTGTAACTTTAATATTCATCAAATAAACTAAACACTTAGTGTTCAAAAAAGTAAGACAATTCAATTTTCTATATAAAAATATTTTTTGCTGAATCTTTTACTGAAAAGATATCCTGATTTCTGATTTGCCCAGAACCCTCCATTTCCCATTGGGAATGACGATTTTCAAAAATTCATCAAATTTATCATCAATTTTCAACCTATTGTAATTGAGGAAAAAAATTGAGAAAATTTGGAGGTATTGGAAATAAAGTCAGGTTACGTTTCCATCAATATTATAAGTTATTTCATCGCCGGTTAAGTACATAAAAATTCAAAGGTAAAGAGGCTTTAACACATAGTTCAATGGGGAAAAAAGGTTGCCAAACTTATGGAGGGAAGTGTAGGCGCGCAGTTTGACAAGAAAAATGTTTAAATCACGTTTATGGCGTATTATCGTTTTGAACACAAACTATGCTGCTTTAATCAGATGGAGTGATCCTATATATCCTAGCATACACAGACACAATGGCTGAATAAACGGCAAATGACGATAAAAAGACATAGATATAACTTTACACTGTGAATTTTGAACACAGAAGCTACTTAAGACCCTTATATTGAGATAACTAGGTTTACACCGGGAACAACATTGAGTACTATGAGTAAATTAAGCTCATCTTCACAGAATGGTAAGTTGTCTTTAGAACGAGACTAGCCTTGTATTTTTCGTATTCTGGCTCTTTTTGGGAGTCGTGTCCTCCCCGTCTCACATTTTGAAATATGCGCGCAGTTTGTCAGAGATTCAAACTGCGTGCCTAGTAGGCACGCTGCTTGACATGGGCATCGTGATGTCTAATTAAATTTTTTCATGATGAATAATTTAAGTCATTCATTTCTGAAAATCTAGCATTTTGCGTGATACTTTGAATAGAAAGTTGTAAAAGTATTCAAAAAAATGGTTAAGCTCAAGGATAATTCATCAAGTTGTCACTATTATTTAATTTAAGACATCTTTTGAAATCAAATTTTAGATAATTTAGAAATAATTAACAATGAAATATAACTTTTTATTTATATGAACATGCATTAACAAAATCATTAAGATTTACTAATTAATAGACTGAAAAGCATATAAGTGTAGCCAGGAGGGGTGCGCACACACCCTCCCCCAATTTTGAAGGAAGTTGCATCATTTTTTGTCAAAACATTTCTTTTTTTGCTCGCTTATGCCACGATCGGCACCCCCTAAATGAAAACCTGATTTTTGGGCGATCGCATCCCTCCTGACTGAAGGCTGGCTATGCCTCTGGAAAGCAATGGTCATGTTCCACTTTTCCAAATGAAAACCAAAAAGGAAAACCACTTAACAGTTTTACTTCAAATGTTCACACATGTTACATGGGAAGAAGTTATAGAGCTGATAAACTTTCTGCTAGCCATCTTGCATTCTGGCGGCCATCTTGGAAGTTTCTAGATAAATCTTTGTCATCGCGATTCCAGAAAAAAACACCTAACAAATTTTCACACATGTTACATGGTAAGAAGTTGTAAATCTGATTAACTTTTCAGTGGCCATCTTGCATTTTGGCGGCCATCTTGGAAGTAAATCCGTTTGGTTTTCCTGAAATCGCGATGACAAGATTTATCATCTTGAATATCCAAGATGGCCGCCAAAATGCAAGACAGCCGCTGAAAAGTTAATCAGCTTTTAATACAACTTCATACCATGTAACATGTGTGAAAATTTGAAGTAAATCCGTTTGGTATTCCTGAAATCGTCATGACAAGATTTATCTTAAAACTTCCAAAATGGCCGCCAGAATGCAAAATGGCCACCGGAAAACGAATGAGCTCTAGGACTTCTTACCATGTAACATGTGTGAACATTTGAAGTACATCTGTAAAGTGATTTTTCTGGAATCGCGATGACAATATTTATCTAAAAAATCCAAGAAGATGGCTGCCAGAATGCAAGATTGCCGCTTGAAAATTGATCAGCTCTAGAACTTCTTACCATGTAACATGTGTGAAAACAAATGCTTAAATCTCTAGGGTGATTTGAATAATCAAGGTACATGTTAACATACCCTAGGGGTCTTTTCGGAAAAATACAGATTTCGTGATGTTATTAGAATCAACAATTCCACACTGATAATTAGTTATACCAGACTAACATATAATTCAGTGTGTCAGAGAAACAAATGGGGTAAGGTGTTCACTATATTCTGAAGTAATTTTCAAATAAATATGGATAGGGAATGTTTTTATGAGATCTTACTTTAGGCAAGGAAGAACAGCATGGTGCTTGATTGAGTCGTCATATTAAAGAACTTGTTTCTTGTTGAATGTCCTTTGATCATTTTCACCCAAAATTCGGCTAACCAGTATCGTTTTTCTCGATGTTAAACCGCTCAAACTAACCTTCTTTATTCGTCTCAATACACTCCCAATGCTTCAATCTTTATCAGTTTTATAAAGTACATTAGTGTGTAGCATCAAACATAACATGTCAATCTGGTACTGCTTTTTGAGGCATGACTAATATCATTGTAAAATTGTTGCTTCAGATATCATCATGAAATATGTATTTTTCAAACAGACCCCTTGTGTCTGTTTACCTTAATTATTCAAAAAAAGATTTATTCATTCCATTTCGGGAGCAACTGTAAAAATGATTTTTGCATACTATGCCAAAATTTCATTGAAATCCATGTTTTTTCAAATTTGTTACTATATACAGGGTGTCAAATAAGTCCCGTCCCCCTTGCTACAGCTAAAACCTTAACAGACGGTACCTAGTGTTATATACCATTGGAAAGATCATCCAAAGTTATGTTAACTCACCAACTCTCAAGTATTTTGGATGAAATTTACCTTTATTCTTATGATGTCTTTTATAATCAACGTGCCCTCCTTTAAGTAGCTTTTTTGCGTCAAAATGACAAGGATATGACCTCAGAAATACGTCAAAAAGTTAATCTTTTTCGCATTCCACTTGTTACAAAAAGGTTTTCACCACTGCACTTTCCTTGCACCTCTATTTTCTACACATCTAACCCTATCCAGAAATTGGTTAAATTCATGGCCATATACATCATCTTTTGGTCCCTTGACCTTTCTTATACCTGATTCTTAAAATCCTGCCAAATACACCAAATTGCCATGTTTCTAGGCATATGGTCACCTCAATCGATACAATGTAAAAATTTGTGAGATTGCTTGACATGTGTCAGATATATGCCAATCAACGTAACTTTGGAAGACCTTTCCAATGATATATCACACTTGGTGCCAAATATCTTGGTTTTGGCTGTAGAGGGGGGGGACGGGACTTATTTGACACCCTGTAGTAACAAATATAGTAGTATATCAAAATAATTAATCTGGACCGTTTTTGGCCCACCCTGTATAGCAATATTAGCTTTATGTTTTATGGCAATGTTTATTTGCGCTTGAGTCAAACATCAACGCATGTTTACGATGTTGAAATACTAAAAAGTAACAAAGATGCAATGGTTAAACTTGATTTATGTGGTAAAGTCGTATGCAAAAATTAGATTTGGAGAATTTTTAAAAAAGGTAAAAAGTTCATGTTGTCTACATCTTTATTCCTTTTGTACGTGCAAAATATAGGTTTCAGATTCAGATTTAAAAGCTTTATTGTATGTTCTTTCATATGTGAATACATGTTTAATTACATGTGCTAACTATGACTAACCAACTAATTAACTAACGCTTAACTTTTGATGGTTCTGGTGAACTCTCTACAACCGATGGTTATATTGTGTTACATCATATCTGTTTTACTTTCTTTGATTACGATGTCAGTATTAATCATTTTGTAGTTCTATTTGTGCATAGGAGACATCAGAAAGAAGCAAATCTCTCGGGTCTTTAAATCAGTACATGTGTGCTTATTCGTAAATCAAGAAATAACGGATGAATTACAAAACTTTACGATAATACATGTTATTTTACTTATCACTATTTTAAGATAGACAATAGCTCACTTACCTAACGTCACCAAGACACAGAAAACAATGAAAAACTTGAGCGTTGTCATTTTGAGGTCCACCATCCTCCACAGACGTCGTTATTCAAATTAGGTCCAAACCCGGAAGTTAAATTGAAAATAAATTAAGAATGTGAATCAAGGCGCATCTTCCAAACTTTTTATCCATTGCGAACATGCTATGTTGTAGATTGCTTTCAAAAATGTTCCCAGGATATACATGTGATTGGCTAATAACTGAATAATACACCCGTGGTACGGTCAGTAGCAGAGTGTGTGAAGACAATAACAAAAAATATCTGCATACATTCCCATGTTTGGGATAGGGATGATATCAGGATTAGAGGGATAATATCAGGGATGATATGAGGGTGTATCTCATACTTGAGTGGGTTTGGGGTAGATATCACCCGGGAATATATATCGTATCTGAGGAGCGGGCAGGATATATTGTATATGTCCCGCTCCAGGCCAAATGCGGGCAGATATAATATATCCATCCCCCTCCCGGGAATTTTTCAAAAGTTTAAAAAAGTTTAAATATAAAAAGTTTTAATTTTTTGATTTTAAAATTTAAATTTTTTAAGTTTAAGTGTTACAGTTTCATTGTATTGAACAAAAAGAATATTACGAAAATGTTAAATATAAATATCTTGTCATTTGAAAAAGGTGGAAAAGGTTATATCTACCCTAAACCCACTCAAGTATGAGATACACCAGTTATGCACGGTCGGTTTGGATACATAGAATATCCCTTGGGATATACAATACATCTATTGTATATCCCTCGGGATATTCCCTGTATCCAAAACCTCCCAGTGCATAACCTCTATATATATTGAAAAAATTTTTAAATTTCAAAATTTTTCATTTTCTCTCTGATTCGACATATGATATTGACCTTGAAGCTCTACTAAAGAACAGTTGAAGTACTGACTATTGAACACTATAAATTGAACTAAAGGTGTGTACTATAGTAGAATATCGTATTGGGTCAGTACCATATAAGACACGGAATACTTTTCAATAACACTGATCATATGATGTTTTCCTAGAACAATATCTAAATCATTACTTCCTCATTATGAAGGCTTACAAGGCGAAACGACATATATTTTTTTACTTCTGCTATATACACAACAACCAAGTTAACAATAAAACGCTGTTTTATGGATATCGTATGACAACAATACGAATGAATTTGAATATTTCACAGAAACGATTCCTTCTTCCCGAGAACTCGATATGATTACAAACAGACATCTCTGTTTTAAGTTTCAAAATCTTATTTTGGTCGCTTTTATAAATGACTACTCTACTTACAGTGAAGAGCAAAAATGAAATAAATAGTTTGTCTTCAGTTCCCGACCTGTTACCACTGTGTGTAAATAGGGTATGACAAGATGTGGAAATCGGGATATCATAACTTTGCAATATCATTCCTTTTTCAATAGCAGTGCTATTTCAAGTGAAAGGGTGATCTATATCTGAATTGCAATAGATAATCCGGTATCATTCGAGATTATAATTTAAATGCATACATTTAAGTCGGAGGGGGGTCTTGAAATTGACAAGACATGCTTTCAACCTTCGAATATAGAAAGAGATTGAGCTCCTTATTCATTTTATCTAAACTAAATAATAAACAAGGCACTTTTGAATAAAAAATATATTTGTAAACATCAACATGCTTTAATATAAAGCTACGTGTAATAGATCATGATTACATGAATAAGTTCTTCTAGTTTTTTACAATAACATCGACACTTTCACGTCCTGCATTTGCAATTTAGTACACATTGGAGTAAAAATGGTTAAGTATTCTCAAAGTACACGCTCGGTAAATATAAAAAATATGAGATATTCTATCTCTCTCTTGCTTGAAAAAATATTTTGGCTAAGTCCCCGCATGCTATATATATATATAAAAATATAATAGGAATACGAAAACAATATCAAAATGGACTGTCCGTCCTACCCACTCTAGAGTCAAAGTTGTTCCATAAATGGCATTTATACATTGCTGTGAATTTTACAACTTAGGAAGGTCCTTAATGCCAAGAATTTTCGAATCACATCTGTTTATGACGTTCACAAACAAGTCTGATCCTTATACTCCCTCAAGGTTTGCTAACATAGTTTTAATATAAATTAATTTTCCAAATTCAGTTAATAGATGTCTCACGAAGTAACAACATCGGTGTGGAGTTGTGATTGTACTGTCCATTGATAAAACGTAATGACCTCCAAACCTGTAAGTATAAATATAAAAACGAATGCAATTGAAAGAAGGAATGCGACTATGCTATTGAAAGTGCAACATTCCCGGGCCACTGATCACATTTAAATACTTTAAGATGAATGTTGTTTGTATACGAGACATGTAGCAATGAGAATATGTAGCATTGATATGTGGATGTGAAACGTCCAGAAAATATTAAAATTTACTACCATTTAGTCTACATCTGTGATAAACAAGTACGTACCGAATCAAAGCCATACTATCAATCCAACTTCCAGTATCCTAAAACAAATGAGACAAAATGTAAATATTACCTTTGAAGTATTTAATACCATTTTTAAAAATTATAGTCTACTGAATTAGGATTTTCACATTAATTTTATTTAAACCAAACCATAATTTGCCTGGCCTATTGAGTGACATTTTTCTGGAATAACATAAAAACAAAGTTTAGGGCTACGGTTTGACATTTGTCTTTCCACAGTGCTTCCTAAAAACTAGAAATGAATTTCGCAAATCCGTATAAGGCTCGCAGATTATTATTTTCGATAATCATTAAGTGGTATCGAGCATTAAAATAACGATGTTGGCGCACATGTGTGGAAGCCCAGCTGCTCTTGGCTGTCCAAGTGTTCGAACTCTTGCCCAACTATTTTGACAACCATTTACCAATCAGATTTGAAAGCTCACAAGGGAAGGTAACCTTGATATATTTGCGGTGAAAACATGATGGCCTCAAAATGTTGGCCACTTCTTGAAAATATGGTCACATTGTTTTAAAATGCGGACCCATTTTCAAAATTGGGACTCATCTTTTCAAAAAAGCTTGTTTTTCCAAACAAGAGACATTTTTCTGAAATTGAGAGCCAACCTGATATGCTATATTGATAAATTTCATTTTATCCAAATATTCTATTGCTTCTGTCGCACAACCGCCAGGGATCTGCCATCCCCCAATGGATACCCTGCTAGTTTATATAAATAAATAGTTGTCCTTTAATGCCATATACATATATTAATGTGTGGTAAGTGGTTTGTAAACTTAGTTCCACCAGTTATCTCTTGAGAAACATGATATTAAATGGCAATTTGAATTTTAGGCTTTGAGTCTGGTTTAATTTTATATATTTGCTGTTTTACAGTTTTAATTGCTGTATGTTGGAATCTTGAGTATGCAAATCGATAAACATGCTGTTTAGTATCAATTAAATAATAAAATTAAGATGAACCTTCTTCTGGCCCCGGCCATGGTTGCTTATTTAAGTCATCTTTAGCTTGTTTATCACCGATTGCAGGAGTGTTGCCATAGGTTGTCTGGTAGCCATCAGGGAAGGTCTTTGCAACGCCCACAACATCATCTAGGTCAAAGTTAGCGTCATAGTTAAGGTGAGGAGGGAGTCGAATGTTGATAGCAATATTTTTAGAAAGCATTCTAATGTTTCCTAAATACAATCCCAATTCTATTTTTACAAAAGAGTTGTCTGATCAAATATAGAAAACATTAAAGATTTAATCTGCAGATATCTCCACTTTGTCATGTCATTCTAAAATAAAGGCATGATGTGGGCAATTGTGTTGCCCCTTTAATCTATGAAACCTGTGTATGCGAAACAATTTGCACAAAGCGGATAACTGTCTAATAATTAAATTCCTCTTATTGACAAAGTTCTACTTACCTTTTGCGCATCCAGTTTTTTTCTTCCGACAACGGCCTTTCTGAAGGTCAGAATAACAAAAGCTACGTATAGCGATGGACACCAAAATGATTAGACCTAGGGCACCCCCTGTTGCGATTCCGACAATAGCCCCTATAGACCTGCATAAATAGTACAATGTGAACTAGTCAAAATGAAAGAAGAGTGTAATACCAAAAAAGAAAGTGAGAAGTAGAGGGAATGCTCTTTGAGATAAAGAGATTACCGACCACGTACGCATTGCATTTGGCATGCTCAAACTCTGAACTAAATGAAAAAAATCATATCTGGCACAGTATTGAAATTATACGAGCTCTAAAAAGAATTGATTTGCCGTTTTAGTCTGTTGTTGAGCTCTAACAATCATTACCTATGAGCTGTTCAGGTGCTACTGGAAGTTGCATAGCAGAGTCAATAACATAAATTGTAATGCATAAATTGTACCGATAGAATGCCATTTTAGAGATTTGTGCTATACCCCCTCGATGAGTTTGGCAACCCATATACCCTTCTACCTTATGTTTTATCATGATGATACGTACATGGTACATTCGCAACAATACTCTTTATTTGTTGGGCCACAGCAACATTGCATGTTCTCATTTTGGTTCCACATTGGACATATAAACCTCCCCATGACATACGTAGCATTAGTAGTAGCATTTGTTGTAGCGTTCACTATTACACCGGCTGTAGCGTTAATCTGGTTGTCATAGTTTACACATATTACAGGCTCTAAAACATAACGAAAAATATCAGCAATAGTCGCTATTTAACATTTTTGTTTGAATCTAGAATTTCTTTAATTTCTTACTGCAAAAATGGGCAGCTGTGTAAATATGTCATTTTTACTACAAGTACTTACAACTTGGTACAATAATGTTGATACAACATGATGTAATGTTACTATAGTGTGATCAGTCACCCTCACGAGTAAGTTGAGACGAAGAAAATAAAAAGTGAAATAAATGTACCTCTGTCAGGATTGTCAATGTAGCGTCGTCTTGACATGTATCTTGTTGAGCCGAATAACGCTCCCGTCAAAAGTGCTGTTCTCCAAGGTATTCCACCGCTGCCTCTAGAACTAAACGTTAAAAAGTAATTAATGATGCAAATAACTGATTGTAAAATAACATGTTTTTTAATATATTCACCAATTTTATTTGAACTGACTGAGTTCATTCTAACTGCACTGTAACACAATAAGATATAAATATGGTGAAGCTCATATCAGATGTGGTCCATACATGGGCTGGAAGAAATAGAAAACTGCAAATATATAAGCATTGAAGGAAAGCAGGGTGAAATATACAAGGAATCAAAGTACAGCAGAACAGCCGAACAATTCTAGACATTCGTTTTGGAGGAACATCATCGATTATACAGAGTGAGCCAGATAAGGGAACTCAAACAAATGTTAATAAGTCTCGAAATTAAAAAATAAACAAATGACCACAGTGCAATATAATATGGGAAAACGATTTTATGTTACAAATCTCGGACAAATTTTTATTTGCAATAAACCTTTGACTTCAGTCATAACATTTTTTTGAAAATAATATGTCAGAGAAGCATCAAAAGAAAAGAGGGAGACATTTATTAGCCAAAACACAGACAATCCAAAATATGCAAAACTTTGCAAAAATATGAATGTATTTTCCATAGACTATTACACGATGGTCCTGTGATTGTAAATTTGGTTTGTTGGACTGACATATCACTGGACTATACTTACTTATAAGCCCTGTAGCCTGTATAACTGCCCCAACCTGTAGCACCACGACAAGTGACATAATCTGAAATATGGATATATGATTGTCTATATCAAAAGCAGTATAAAATATGTTGAAATCAACCTAAAATCTTAACACTTATTTTTGGCTTTTTTATCCCATAGACTCCTATGTTAAAGTGTCTTGAAACAGTAGCATACTTGCACATCAAATCGTGTGTGTTAATACATGTGATTACATCATGCAATAGTTCAGAACACGTAGGAAGAAATCTTTAGAATACTAGGAATAACTAAACAAAAATGCAAAACTTTGGCTAATGCTATCAACCAGATAACAATGGAACAATTTTAACTTTAATAAATGGAATGAGTAAGGTGCCAAAGTGCTCAATGGATGCCAATAACAACAAAACATATCAAAAGGAAATATCTAAGACCAAAAACAGTCATTAAACCTCAAATATCTTTTTGACGTAGTTACAAGCAAAGAAGGTAGACTTGTCACGACTGCATGTTCTGACTGCATGTTCAATGTTAACAATAGTTTTTAACAAAATGTATTATAAGGAATACAATCATATCGATGCATATTTTCAAAGAGTAGATAATTCAGATTTATTTGCCTTTTACATTATAAAACAAGGCCTCAAAATGAGAAATGTCACTACCTGCCATTTGTTACAGACGCTCCTAACACAAACCGCAGGCCACAAAAAAGTTGGAGACTATAACAAAACCTATGAAGTATGATTAATATTATATTAAAAAAGGGTGCTATAAAAACATTTGCACTTTTCAGTGTCTATTAGCTGCTTCATGGAATTAAATAGTGATTTTTAAAGAATTTGCCATTGGGAATACCAAGACACATATTGATGCATATTGTACCTTTTATCAAAAGTTCAAAATGGCCATTGAGTAATTTACTCAAGATGTCAAAGCCTATTCAGATATTCACTGGTCCCCAGTGAATATCTGAATATCTGGGGATAAAGACGTTCCGTCTTTATAACAAAATGGATGAACTTTCGTAAGAGGAAATTCTTATTTTCTCATTTTCACTAGCAATGAGCTTGATTTGTATCCAAATGTTTAACCAGTATGTATTAATAATAACATCCATTTTGTTATAAAGACGTAACGTAGGGACCAGTGATATCAGCACTACTCTGCTGTATGTGAAAGTTGAACAGGTAAGCAGTTTTCCTGGAATTTTGATGGCAACATTTACTTGGCACAACTGTCAGACAGACACACAGTGGCAACAATATAGCACTTTGTGTGATGATATAGGAAAAGCTAGGAACATTTCAATCAATTGTTGCATAGCCTCATCGCCTAATAGTCATATTTATTGAAATACTGAAATTGTTAATTTTGAATTTCCCTATTGTGATGTTTTCTTTTTCCTTCATAACTGACTTACACAACGGATATGAAGCCTGACTGACTGGTACAGTATTGACATAAATTTGTATAAAATGTCAATTAAAATAAACTTAGCCGACGCAAAATTATGGCTTTAGTCAATCCACAGTAGAATCTGCCCAATGGAAACACTACAGGAACTTGCCAAAAGTGTTCACATCAGCGGGTGTTCACATTCTGAGACAAAAGTATTTCGCAAAAAGTGTTCACATTGAGAGGTGTTGATATAACAGGTGTTTGGATACACAGGTTTTACTGTACTTGACCAACATTACAATACTACAACAAACAGAATTCATATTTATACCAGAGCCATTTATAATTTTATTAGATACTTATCAGACAGTCAGATACATGTACATATTTCTTGTAAGTTAAGAATATTAAATATGTGTATATGTAGTATTAAGAAATATATGTAGATGTAGTAAAAATAGAATGATTGTTCAAACATTTCATTGTATAATTAAACAATTATCAGAAGTTGTCCATTACAATCCTGAATATTAAATCTCAAGAAGATTAGGATATTTAAACTAATTTCAAATGAATATAAAGAATACTTCAAGGCAAAAAGATATTGAAGCAGACATCTTCCCAAGACTCAAATTCTGATTCAAAATTTGCAAAAATTGTAATTGAAATCAATGACTCAATCATGAACTGATTTTGTAAAATTGCTAACTGAGCAACTAAGGATGTATTTTTGATTTTCTCCAATTTAAGCTGTCTACAAGCATTATAGCATCTGTCCATACAGATGTTTTTCATTCATAATCATGCAAATGAAATATTATGATTTGATTGTTTTATAACTGCATATCGTGTGTCCAAGCTCTGCCCTTAAGCAGACATCACAAAAAAAGAAAGACATTACGACAAATTTCATTTATAGTCTGATTTACATGTTTTGGAGAAGTCCATATAATGTATTACTAGATATTCCACTAAGATTTTATCTCAATAACACATGAAGATACAACAGATATAAAATACATAAAACAACCATATTGTCTCAAAAATAATTGCAAGTCTGCATATGTAAAATTCAATATTGATGAGTCAAACACATTCTGCTTTGCATTCCTTAACCAATAGCTGTCTAAGAACGACTTGAAGTACAAGTTACTCCCCTGAGCTGACTTATCTTTCAGATCTTTTTAAAGAACTCTGTTGTGTTTAGTATCATACAGGGGAGCCAACAAGACAGCATTATTTAAGTGGCACAAACTGGCAAACAAACAAACTAGAGGTATTGTTATACCTTGAGAATTTCAAATTTCCCTTTGACAGTAGTGACTACCGATTGGGATTACGTTTCTCTTGTTATTGAAAAATTGCATAGCATTGTTGCAAATCCACTTTTGGTTCCGACTGCTATGAGTTAATAAAATGCAATTGCTGTGCTAGTAAAAATAAAATACTTTGTAGAGTTTTTAGATACAGTCTACTGCACAGACAAGACAAAGTATGCCCTTATTTTAAGATTTTTGGGACTGCACATTAGACTAAATATATATTAAACTGTATATGTAAATATATAAGAAGAGTATTTCTTAACTATTAAAATATCAAAACCAAATGATATGTATACTACTCCAACATGTAGGCTATAAAATACAACCAGGATGATTCAAACAAAATCATATTAAAGGCATTAAGTTGGGGAAAATTTCACCAACTAAAAGCCACCAAAAATGGTGGCTTTAACAATGTTCCTACATCTCCTTGGTGATATATTGATTGTAGTGAGGAGAAACATCCTCTTTATCCCATGTTATGCTGAATGTTATTGAACAATAAGCAATTTGGGCAAAGACAAATCCATATAAATTGTCATGTTACCTTTATAGAATGAATACATCTATACAATTATATACAGTAATTAAAATATTTACAGTATCTAAAGAGCAAACCACTTTAATTGTTGAGGTATATGAAAATGTTAAGATATCTGCTATTTTAGGATGTTGTGGTGACCATCAAGAACACATCATGCTTCAACAAATGTAGACAACATTATGTAGCTAATTCAGTGTCAAATAACATATAACTGTACATAATTTTAATATACAATCTGTCTCTAGAGTAGATACATAGTGTTAATTGATTTGATTTTAGTAAGATATAATAATCTATTTCCAAGGTTAACTGCAACTGCTCTCTTCTCTGATATAATGTAGATGGGTCATGGTGTTAATGTAGAGGATTTATGGTGATAATCCAGATACTAAGGCAACCCAATCTTATTGAATCTGCTTTACTGGGCTCCATAGGGTGGAGGTGGTGCATCAGAAGGAGGGGGATATCCAGGTCCTCCTGCAGGGGGATATCCTGGGCCACCAGCTGGGGGGTATCCAGGTCCTCCTGCAGGGGGATATCCTGGGCCACCAGCTGGGGGGTATCCAGGTCCTCCTGCAGGGGGATATCCAGGTCCTCCCGCAGGGGGATATCCAGGGCCACCCGCTGGGGGGTATCCAGGTCCACCAGCTGGAGGGTATCCAGGTCCTCCTGCAGGGGGGTATCCAGGGCCACCAGCTGGGGGGTATCCAGGTCCTCCAGGGCCAGGGGGATATTGTTGCCCTGAAAGCGAAACAAGAGTTTGGTCAAAACAGAAATACCTTGCACTTTACTTACCATTTACCTCATAATGAGAATGTAATCTAATGATGTAATTTCAAACATGAACAATGGCATGTTGTCCTATTATGGGACATACAGTTTACAAAATGAGGTGTCTTTTAAGATTCTTTGTGAAAACTTCATGTTTCTTGAACTCTAATAAACTCTTCTAAAAAATAAATCATTGACAAATAATTTTTTATTCCCAATCAAGCTGCTAAAAGTTTACCTGGGTTCACTGGGTAAGCTGCACCTTCTCCAGGTGGTAGTGGTTGCTTGCTCATGTCTCCGCCAGGTGCAGTTGGGTAACCACCAGGTGCAGGTGCCCCTGGATAAGGTTGTACCCCAACAGGCTGGGCAACTGGCTGTGGAGGTGGTTGGTATGCAGTGCCCGTATTAGGAGCTGGAATTAGAATTTGATATTGCAATTCCACTTAAGAGAAAAATTGAGCATATCCACATACAATGAAATGTACCATGCACAATGTACAATGAAATGTACCATGCACAATGTACAATGAAATGTACCATGCACAATGTACATACCCATGTGGAACACTTTTCTGCCATGTTAGTAATTAGTCATAATATTGTATTAATATGTTAATATCAGTCTAAATCAAGAAAATGAGCAGAATGCAAAATAAAACCTTGGAAATATATATATACTTGCACAGATCGGGAGTTATTTGGATTATGTGGTTGTGATAATAACTGGCTTAAAGTCTTCTGGTTTGGATATTTGGCTTCATAAGTAAGAGAACAAATTCACTTGCTATGAAGAGACAATGATTATGGGTTAACTAAAGGAATGCAGATCAAACTCATGAGATATCATTAATATCCTCGAGTGTGATGTGGTTTTTCACCATGTTCTTGGAAAATGGAATTCATCTTGTTCCAGTGGGCTTTTGCTCTAACAACATGAGAGTGATATCCAAAATAAGAGAGGCATTACATCAACAGGGTGGGCCAAAAATTTCCACATTTTCTATTTTGCTTTAACCTTTTTATAATGAATGGATTTCAATAATATGCAGATAGATTAGATATGCAGCAATCTAATATTCAATTAGTCCCAAAATTATATCTATAGTGATATTCTAATGAGTAAAGTGGGGTGAGGGGTGTGAGTGCAAACTCCTAGTTTAAAGGTAATATTTGGTTACAATTGTACAGTGATTTCAGTTATGCCCCATACATTATACAAGGTGGACATCTTAAACAGTCATCTTAAAGAGGCACATTATGTATGGTGCATATGTTGGTGTTATATATATTTCTGATTCTTTTTCAAAAACCCCTAAGTCTTTCATTATTTCATTTCAAGAACAATTCCAAAAGTGATAACTGCATTTCAATCAAAAACATTTCTAAAATATATGCATTGTCAGAAAAGTTTTTGGCAAATATGGGCATTTTTGGCCCACCCTGTACAGTAGTAAATATCCCACTACCTTGACTGTGTGATTTCAACATAGGTTGAGAGGAGGGCCCATGTGGCTCTTCTGTAACAAACAACTCAATACAATCAACAAGGTTTAACAGAAAGGCAAAACAAACAAGGTGAATTCTAGTAATAAGCAAGTGTTTCAAAAGGCAATAACTAAAAAGCACTTCACTAAATTACAGGATGTAAGGGAGCATCTCAAAAGTTCAATGGAGGATTATTAACTGTATTTGCACAGTTAATCTGTGACACCCCTGCCTCACCTCCTTATAACTGTGTTTTAGAAAGATTGATATGCGTTGTTTCGAGAGTCGCACTATATCTAACGTAACATGTAATATAGTCATTTCAATAACTTTTCAAATCTGTATTTCTGTACATTATCAGCAGTAGGTTTAATACTTGACAAGTTTATCGCGACTTGTGAATTCAGAATCACTGTTGAAAACAAATGAATAGCCGCTCATTTTTTGTATTATTTTACTTTTGTTGTGTACATGTTTTTTTGTTGTTTTTTGTACTAGAAGTTCACTGGACAAAAAGAGCATGCACTAAGAAAATTCCCGGGAATGATGTCAGAACAATGGTAACTTTTAAGACCAATGACCCCCTCCCTCCCTAACTGTGCAAATACAGTTAATTTTCCAATATCGATCTTTTGAAATGCTCCCTAAGCTAAGCAGTAGGTACATTATAAATAGTTAATTAGTGAAAAGCATTACACTTTTTGGAAGCTGTAACCACATGTTAAAAAATAATGACAACGATTTAAATCACACATACAACATAGCTGAAGACTGATATGTTTTGACCCAAACTCTTAAGAAAGATTGATGGTAAATTATAAGCTAAAATATTGTGAAACAAATCGAGTCTAATAATAATAAACATTCACAAAAAGTCCAAATAGAGTCTAGAATATAAGAGCAATTTAAAAGTTTTAAAATTCAGATAGCAATCCTTTTGATTGGGAGATAATGTTATAATTGCTAAAGTTTAGACCGTCATTATTATTAGGATATAGGAATAATGTCATAGTTGCTACAGTTTAGACATATTTTTTTGAGTTAGGGATAACGTTATAGTTTTTAAAGGTTAGACAGCGTTTTTTCTTGATTTAGAGATAATGTTAATGTTATAATTGCTAATAAAGTTTAGACTGTCATTGGTAAATGAGTTGCTTAAGTTGAGACAGAATTTCTTTAATTTAGGGATATTGTTAATGTTACTGTTGCTAAAGTTTAGATTGTCATTGGGATATGAGAATATGTAATGGTTGCTAAGGTTAAGGCAGTAATACTTTTGATTTGAGGATAATGTTATAGTTACCAAAGTTAAGACAATCATTATGAATGATTATTACAGTTGAATTATTATTTAACAAGTAGTCGCTACAAATTAGCTGGTTAAAACAAGAAAAGTTAGTTTAGATAGCTATTATGATAAAGATGTAGTTACTTTGCTTAGTTATGTTCCAAGAAATGAATTAATTAATAGTTATAACTATGATGCCATGGTAAGACTGTTATTTGATTATATGAATATGATTGTCTGAAGATGGGTTATATAAAATGATTATTTTGAAGTCTATGCTTTACCACGTGATTTAGGCTGCGGGAAGGTTTTGACAGGCTTCAGATGTGATATCCCCCTGTCATCATATTTGGGAGAAGCATATGCTGGGGGAGATGATGAAGAAGGCCCATATCCTGCATTGTTTTCACCATAAGCTATCAAATGCATAATAAAGGAATAAGCTTAAATCAAGATAATAGAAGAAATCTTCCCTGATGACTCTTTATGAGGATGTGTCATAAGGATTCCAAGCCAACTGGTGAAAACATATTTTATATATACTTATATGGATCATATGTCTAGGCGAGATCAGATCTAACTGGCCCCAGGACTCTGCAAAAGCACTTACATGTAATGGGGTACCCCTGCAGCCCTGCTATGTTTTGTGCATTTACCATAATTAGATATTAAAAAAAAGAAAGAAAAAACAGAGAAATGTACGGAAATAACAGAAATAAAGAGAGGAAAAGAAAATAGATGTTTCCCAATGACCCCTTGTTAATTTTGCATGTATTTGATCATTTGTATGAATGTGATTGAGCTTTCATGGACATATTGTCCTCAGAACATTTTTAGCCTAGGTACTCACTGGGTTCACTTTTAGAATGAGTGCCAGGGCTTTCATTTAACCATTCTTGAATTTCTTTATTTTCAGCCTTAGCATGACAATACATGTATATGGCAATCCCAAGTATAAGCACTGGTAGGGTACAACCCAGGATAATCCCCAGCAATCTTTCTGAACTACTGTAAAACACACACAGAAAGAGATCAGTACAGAAGTATAACAACAGGAGGGTGGACATCAATATATTAAGTGTCACTACATAAGGATATTGTCATACATAGATTTCATGGTGTCCAGGAATTTATAAACATGTGGTAAATATCATTAGTAGATATTTCAAAGCATGGAGGCAGAGGAAAAAATATGAGTTCCTGAGTTAAGTTAAAGATAACTATTTCAATGGTACTCGTCAAACTTCTATATTGGGCGAAAATGGACATTTATGCCAAAGTCAAGAGAAATATGGAGGACATGCACCATGAAATCATTATGACATAATAGTAAACTACATGTATACTACTACTGTATTTCTTTGGAGGATGATTCAATTTGGCGAATAAATCTTTTCAATGAAGTCTTTGTCATTTTCCATCTTGAAAGAATGACAAATTAAATAAACTCCCGGAAATGTATTTTGTATGCCAAAATTAAGACTAAATACAGTATAGAAGTAAACATATACATTTAATGCAGCAAGTAACTATCTATATTAATTGTATGTGTGTGAAAAAACCCAGTCATTTTTACATTCAATATTCAGTGCAATGCATGACAAATCAAAAGATAAGCACTACAAAGGATAAGTTTCAGTAATAGGGTACTTAATAACTCCAAAACTAAAGCTCTTGCCTACTAGTGCCTAGATGGACATGTCATTTAACCAGTTCAAAGATTCATTTTCAAGTTGCAAATCAAAGTACATGTACATGTAGTTTTGAAGCTTCATTCTGGCAGATAGGTCCCTAATGAAACTTCTACTTTGCAGTTTTACTATTCAAATAAGCGATTAATCTACAAATGACACATGTTAAATATAAATAAATAAGAATAAATAAGTGAAGTAACAGAATGCAGTCTAGGATCTTCACATAAAATACAGTACAAAAGAAAGAATTAGCAAAAAGAAAAGAAAAAAGGCAAAAATACTATTCCAAGCTTTCTCCAAGTTAAATTAGTGAAATTAGTGAATTTTGCAGGTGAATCAAGCCAACTATTGAAATAACATCATACACATTCTGACATCAAGCAAGTAAAACAACACAATCACAAAAATTGAAATTATTATCAATCAATGTAAGGGAAATAGGAAACACAAGTCAAAATTAAAGATTCTACAAATCAGCAAGGGGAAATTGTTATACTGTACATAAATGGTATCTTTAAGTGCAAATGTGGCTCACACTATTTTACACTAATATTACTCTATGACCACCTTTTCAAGTTTAAGATTCAAACATTTGTTAGATTTAAACTGAACAAAAATAAATACTAAGTATCCAGGAGACTATGCTTGTATTCGCGAATGCAACTAATGGCTATTGGCTACCGGATTAAGCCATTAATTTACATAAATTAAACCGTTAAGTTGTAATTTACGAACAACCTTTTTATGCCATTGTCACATGATTGAACATACTTATAAAATGTGTTTTGAGTATATGAGCGTGTGCCAGATGTACATACGCTATTTAGTATTCTGAACACCTCGATAGTCGATGTTAGCTACTGCTTTAATAGCCAGATTCAATCATTATTTAGGTCAGCTATTGTTTTTGAGGCGAGAGCTGGCAAATAACGGGATGCACGGCAGGTACTATTCATATTTAAATGAGTTTGCCATCAAATTGCAATCAACCCGGTAGCTGCTATTTTCAATCACAAATACAAGTCAAGTCTAAAATAATATACAAGGGTGATCATAAAGTTCTCATAGTGTTTTTCTAGAAACTCCAAATGAAAGTATGGGGTAAAGTCTAAGACAGTTGAGGTCAGCAATCGTCATTAAAAACAGCTTACTTTTCCTAAATGATGCGGCATATGTAGTTCCACTTTTAGTCTTGCGGAAACAACAGCAATATACGCAGGTGGCCAACAGAGCTATTGCTATTAGACTCCCAATTACAGTTCCTGCTATGCTACCTCCAGACCTATTGAAACATATATTTCTTGCTGTCATTTACTTTGCTTTATGCTTAATTTAATGCACAATCAATGCTGTTAAGTGGTAGCTTTTTGAGAATGGGTAGGTCCGTAGTTAGTGAAGTAAATTCACTGCATTTTCTCAATTATAAGCTACAGGCATTCATTTGAAAGAGGAACAAATAAAAAAAATTCCTTATTTAACTTATTGACGAGTTTTCTCGTCATCTAAAAAATGCCCTTGATATAAAATAGATACAGCCTTATTCTATGTTTGATTAGATATACATGCCGATGAATGCTTATTGGCTGAAATTAAAACTTCAGTTATAGTTTAGGAGACATATTTCATTTTTACTTAACAATATCACAAAGATATTAAAACTGAATCGTGAATTATACAAGGCTTATACAGAAAATCGTTTTAATACTGACACGAAAATGAACCAAAATGACTGGGTTTTCTGCCAAGAATAAATAAAATATTAAAGTTATCATTCTGTAGGTTACATACATTTGTCTTCCACAGCAATGTTGTTTATTGGTTGGTCCACAGCAATGCTCCATACTGTCTGCTTGGTCCCACATGGGACATATAAACTGGCCCATCCTGTAAGTAGCATTTGTCACCTTGTCGATTTTGTCATCATTATTTGTACAAATTGTTGGCTCTATAAAAACAAAGATTATGTAAACATAAGCATAGAATTATCAATTTTTATTCTAAAATTTAAATAATCATCAGTTTTCATCTTAAAACTAATATGATAGTTTTACAGTTGCAAAAAAATTAAATTATTTTTTGAGATTTACAAAGATAACTCTATTGAACTAAGACACTTAAGTTTCAAATGTGAATGAACATTAAAGTGGTGATGCATAATTTAGCAATTGAATATTTATGTGACCTAAACATCAAGTATGATAGAAAATTTCCATGCACATTTTTCTAAAGGCTAAGTTTGGATTAGACCCAAAAAGTAATTTACTTTTTGTAATCTTTTCATATAATGGATTCACTCATGACTTCAGTTGATTTAAATATTAAAAAGTGTATTACGTCTATCAGGGTAGTCCCTATAGCGTCTTCTTGTCATATATCGGGTTGAACCATATATGGTTCCTGCTACAAGTGCCGTCTTCCACCATGTCCCACTGCTTCTATAAGTCAAAAAATAAGAATTATATGTACATGTAATAATAACCACAAAACCAGAGAAATTATGACTTACTGCATATAAAATGAAAAGGATAGACCATATTTGATCATTTGGGGGAGTTGGTAGATTATTCATGAAAGTTAGTAAAATAATTCAGCATGAATACACTCATATTTTTGTGATTTGTGTTTGTAAAGGGTATATGGTATTCTCCTGAAGTAGAAGAACGAAACATACACATCAAAAAGCATACTCTTCCATCTCCCCTATTAATCAATGTTTAACATAATACATGTGACTCATCTTCTGCATAAACTACTGTATGGTGATTTTTAGCATGTGATTTATTTAATTATCGTAATGGAAAGTCTTCTCTTTACTAGCATTAGTTATTGTTATTCAGACAACACTGGGGAACACTGGTTGCTAATAAGGCCCTTTCGAGTTAAATGTCTGTTTTGCAAGTATTCAAAATTTTTGTCTTTTAAATAGGATTTTCTTCAATATAAATCTAAGGGAGCATTTCAAAAGAATGAGGTCTGAAAATGAGACAATCACCCAAACGTTAATCAGCTGCAGAACCTGGTAATCTGACATATTATGTACCAATTTAGACATAAAATGAATGCAGATACGTCCTAATAGGATCAGAGTTTTAATTTATACCACTTATGGTTGAAGTGACATATGAGCTGATGAACCAACGGATGGACAGACACACCCAAGGACAGATGTCTTGTTGATCCCATGAGCTCAAAGTATGAGGCAGAAATAACAACTACATTATGAACATACCATATAACCTTCATTTTTCAAGTTGATCTAATATAAGCAATCAATATAGACTGGATCTCATATTACTAGATTGGAATGGTATGCACTCCCTTGAGGATTGTAGTTAAAATAACTTTTACACATTCCCCTATGATATAGATTGGCCCAAATGTTAAAATGAATTGCTACAATATTATCAACTTAGTGGCATATACAGTTAGTTTGTCAGTAAAATATTTATTATAGTTTCACACTGTTTACATTATAAATACTAAAATATTATTCAATAATAATTTTCAGTACCATCGGCTTCAGCAAATGAGACTCACGATACAAGGGTAGATGAGAACAATTGGTATGAAAACACTCTTTATATCATGAAATCATTCACTGTTTCTGATTATTGTTTAACAAGTGCATGACTATTCCCTGAATCCAAGACACTTGTAGTAAGTACCTTCCTCTGAATAAGACAAATAAATCTATAGAATACTTTTACAAGAATTTAAATAATATAGACCAAATGGTAGAAACTCATGAAGGTGTAGACATGTCACTGCACTTCTGAGTGGGAAACTGTATTTTGAAGCATCTGATTAGGTAAGGCTTGATAAAATGATGATCTTAGTGCAGATGAAGCACTCTTTTAAAGAAGATTAATAATGTCTTTTTTAGATTTGTTCCATTTGTATTAACTTATATTTGAAAATTAAATTCACAATGGTGGGTTTTCCAATGCCAGTCATAAAACAATAGCTAGACAAGGTGTGTCTAATTCCAGCCAATCAGGACATACTATTTCATGTAACTGCATTCTATTATATAACCTCACCGAATCCAAGGTCACTAATGCTGACTGACACAAAAAGAACAATTTGATACTTGCAAAAAGTTTCCTTGAAAATATATTCTTTTAAGTCATTTCATATCTTTTAAGTGATATTGTCTAAAATATTTTGCAATGAGTAAAAATAAATTAAGCCCAAGACCCAATGCATTGTGTCAGTGGCGTAGCCAGGATTTGGTGACCGGGGGTTCTATTTTTAAGTTATTCACAAATCCACCCCCCTTCATTAGGGTTCCTCAAATAATGCAATTTGTACAATTACACTCCCTCCAAAAGTTTGGCAATCCTAACTAACCCATTGGATTATGTGTTAAAGCATCTTTAAGTTTGAATTCCTATATGCATAATTTGTAAAGAAAGAACTATTTTGGGAGGGGAAATATAAGTCATTTTAATACCTTGCTTAAGTTAAGTAGACAATTGAATTTAAATTTTATTTAACAAAAATGATGTCTTTATTTACGCTAAGCAAAGTCTAAAATTAATAACGTATACCCTGCGTGCAGAGTCTAGTTATAAACTACGAAGACGAAGCTCTCTTTTAAGAAGTGAAGTCGAACGAATGCAAAGGGCAAAAAGTAATAGGCTTTATCAAGAAACCTCTCCCAATGAAATAGCACAGGACGTAAAAATGATTTTCAAAAATTACCTTGTAGCTTTGTAACTTTAATGTTCACAAAGTAAAATAAACAGGCAACGTGCAAAAAGTCAGACAACTTATAATTAATTTTCGGCATCAAAATATTTTTCGGTCAATCCTTTACTGAATGTATATCCTGAAATCTGATTTGCCCCGAATCCACCATTATTTCGTCTGATTTCTGGAAGACCCTGGAGCATGATTTGTTACCAAGGAATGTCAACTATTTCGCACGATTTTTTCTTTAACTTAAGCTACTTCATCTAGGACAAAATAGGTCACCTCGTGCAATGGATTATCATTCTTTTGCAGGAATTTTGTTGGAAGCCAATTCGGATCAAATGCAAGGTTAATGAAAATTGTGCAAACACCCTATACTCCGAAAGATCGTTCTTCTATGATAACTTTTCACAACGTTTACACTTTTTAAACTATCCGGGATAGTCGTATTACTGATGAAAACATCTGTTATTCAAATAAGTGGGTCTCGGTTATGCTTTGTTTTAAAAAGTTAAAAATATTTCTTTGGACGTCCCCGGAGCTCAGTGGTAAGTCCCCCGGAGCAGATCAACTGCAATTGATAATAAAAACGTTTTGGTGTATATAAATCATATATAAATACAAGCGACTGTTCGAATATAAAACGTATTTTGTTAAGTTCAGACGGCTTGATAACAAATTATGCCTTCATTATTTGAAGATTAATACCATATGATTTTTCAATGTTTTTTTTATCATGTAATTTATTCGCTAAACATATGACATTAATATGAAAATGGAGAGCAAGTAAACTGGAACGATAACAATTTGAATTCTATACAATCTTTTAGATGAGTGGAGTGTATCTGAAAAAAACAAAATCATTTTTTGCAATGATTGATTTTCTTTGAAAAACTGATGGGTAATAAATACTGAACAAATGAAAGAATGAATAAATTTGAACAAATGCTTGTGTTTATAAATGATATATGCTTAAAAATAATTCATTTCACAACGTTTTTAATTATTTAACGCAATCCGTTTTGGGGACTTGCCAGCCCAAGGGACGTCCCAAGAAATATTTTAAATTTTAATTGAAATAAAACAAAACAGATGTACACATTTGAAAGAACATGTGTTTCATCAATATTACGACTATTCCAGATATTTATTCGCCAATGTTGTAAAAATCATTCGGAGTATGGGACGTCTGCATTGTTTTCAATTTCAATAACTTCATATTGGACCAGAACTGGCTTAAAACAAAATTCCTACAAAGGACTGATTTAGCCATTGCCCAAGATGGGTTATTTTGTCCGAGAAGAAGCAGCTTTTTAGTTGATTGTGCGAAATTATTGTTATTTCTAAGTGTAAAATCTCATGCTCTGGGGTCTTCCCAAAATTAAATCTCATCCCGTACCTAAGATTGCCAAACGTTTTGAGGGAAGTGTAACTTCACTATGACATGCTTTTAACAAAATAAGGCTTGCTCATGTTCAACGTAACAAATATCAATCAATTTACTGGTCATATATGTAGTTTTCAAATAGCACAGTAATTTAATGTTTCTGGTTATATGCATTGTCCCGCAAAATGATATTTTGGGAAATCTTGACCGGGGGTTCGTTCGAACCCACCGAACCCCCGCTGCCTACGGCTATGTGTAATGACCATTCTTTACAGGCATTGTTCCCTAAAATTAACACTTGATGCTGCGCATCTCATGCAAATTTTGGAAAGCGACACCTTCAAGGAATGGTCATTCCACATTGCAGGGCTTAAATCCTTTATTTAGGAATATGGTTAATTTAGCATTAAAAAGTGTGAGATAGTTAATGAGCAAAGAAGCATGCATATTCTTAACAATTATCAAATGGATACCTGGAAATGCTAGAACCAGCCCTGTATGATCTGTAACTCCTGTAACTCCTATAACTTCTGTAGCTCCTATAGCGACTTCCTACCCTGATCCTTATTCTAGATGGGTCCCCTTGTACCTCATGGACATATTCTGGTAGGATGCAAGGTCAAAGAGAATATTTAATTAGGAAAGTAGGTGTAAACATGAAAGCATTTGTTGTTACTAGCTGCTTGTTTCATCAGTGAGTTTGTTTCACCACTAGCCTATTTACAAATGCAGATGGGTGAGAAAGGCAGTTAATAATGATACCGTAACCATGGCACAGATATTGTTTAATTATCATATATAACCAGTGATTGCCCTAGCATTATAGAAACTGGGTATCCCGTTGAAAAAGTAGAATATTGAGATGCTTGGCAAAATTAGAACAAGGCATTAACCTGACAAAATGTAAACACACATTTGTTCACAATATTATGAGTTCAATCTTAAGTCAAATTTGAATATCTGAGACCTTGTAGATGATTTCGAAAAAATAAATTGGTCAATTGGAAGCAAGTTGAAAAAAGTCCTTTTTGACCTTGAGAATGTCATTGAAGGTCAAATACTTTTAGAACTTCATAATGTCATTGAAGGTCAAATCTATAGTCAGATATGAACTGTTGAGAACTTGTAGATGATTTTGAAAAAAAATTGGTCAATTTGAAGCAAGTTGAAAAATCCTTTTTGACCAGGAGAATGTCATTGAAGGTCAAATCTTTTTTGACCTTGAGAATGTCATTGAAGGTCAAATGTATAGTCAGATATGAACTGTTGAGAACTTGTAGATGATTTTGAAACAAAATTGGTCAATTTGAAGTAAGTTGAAAAAAGACCTTTTTGACCTTGAGAAGGTCATTAAAGGTCAAATCTTGGTCAGATTTGAACTTCTGATAACTTGTAGATGATTTTGAAAAAAAATTTGTCAATCTGAAGCAAGTTGAAAAAGACCTTTTTGACCTTCAAAAGGTCATTGAAGGCCAATTCTATACAAAGTCAGATTTGAAATTCTGAAAACATGTAGATGATTTTGAAAAAAGTCAGTCTAAACAGTTTTTGTTAAGTTATTGGGAGTTGCAAGAATTTGTAACAGACGCCGTTCGTCATTCGCCAACCACTGTAAAAAAAAACGGAGACCATAACAATATGTCACCACTTCTTGGTGGTGACATAAAAAATTAACAAAAACAGGATTTAAAGCACGCTGTTCTTATCTGGGGTGATCACTGGTAACAGTAAAAGCTATATTTATACTAAAGCTTAACCTAAAACAAGGTTTTATATACAGATTTACCTAAAACAAGGTTTTATATACAACCATACCCTGATACATTTAATTGTAGAGACATCCAATAACATTGAACAAAAGTTCAATTTTTATAGTATATAAATAGAAATAGTATATTGACTTGGCCCTGAAATAAGGCATAGAGAAATAAAATAGATAAAATGTTTTGCTTCATTTATAGGAAAAAAGGCAAGGAATGGAGCATATTTGATATATTTTTAAATCATTGTGTAAATGCAATGAGAAAATAAATCATGATAAAAATATGTTTTACTTTTTGGAAAATGTCCATATTTTTTCTTTTGGGTTGCTTTCATTACCTGTGAGGCATGGGATAATGTCCAAATATCAACAGTTCAAATTAAGTACATCAGGTTTTTCTAATCCCCTCTATATACCTTATATTTAACATGTGTTGATTTACTAATTCCAGGGCCAAAAAGCAATACTGTAGATTGGGTTAATTTGGCGCTACTTAATTTGGCGATTTTGCCATTTTTGGCATATTGGCGGCTATTTAATTTGGTGGATATGCAAAAAATCTTTTTAAACTTACGCGCTGTTTGCTAATTACCATGTGAATGGGCATCTTTGGCTATGTTCATTTTTTCTTATGAGGACCATTGGCGATATTCACCACGTTTGTACATTTTTGTGAGATCATCTTTTACATTTTGCACCTCGATCGATGCTGCTATTATACCGCGCTTTTCCTGTACTAGTTTTTCCCTGAGTATTAATGAGTGACTGACCAGTTCTGAGCCAATTTATGAGAGCCATTTTTTCATATTTTTGGAAAAAACTAAATCGGAAGTGACCTAAATATTCTGGACGAAATACCCTAGATAATTCCCGGGGATTCATTCTAAATTGGCGAAGATTTATATTGGCGATTTTTTCAATTTCGCAAAATTCGCCAAATTAAAGCGGGCGCCAAATTAACCCAATCTACAGTATTTCATTCATTCTTTCCCAACTGACAATAAGTTGTTCAAATTCATGCACATGTACTTTATATAAACATATTATAATCAATTCCTTCTTATGTAAAAGGATATACCATTAAATATGATTAGTCTAAGCGCGTGTTAAATTATGCAAAATCATCCCATTTGCATGCAAATTTGTCATTTTATTTGATTATTTGAACCCAAGCTGCACCAGCAATGTAGCCTAGGAAAAAGAAGTGTATCATAGCAACAAGATCCATCACCAAGCAACCAAGCTTGCAATAAGATTGGCAGATCTTGATTACCGAGATATGGAAGAGCTCCTATAGCTTCTATAACTCCTGTAACTTCTTGAAGACCTGAAGCTTCTAAAACCTCCTCTAAATCTGCCGCCACCTCTGCGACAATCAACAAATTCTGAAATATTAATGTAAATGAAACTTCTATATGGAGAGGATCATCTGAAAATTAACAAAGAGGACACAAACATATCAATATGCTATCAATCCACATCTAGAAAAACCTCTTTCTGACTTTCAAGATGGCTGAGCTTGGCCAGCTTCCCATATTAAGAGATCACATTTTCAGTTATGTATGGATTTGATTAGCAGTCATCCCATAAACATGTTTGCAATATATGAATGATGTAAATCGAAAAATCAGAAAATAAACATGCATTCGTTTAAGTTTTTATATCAGAGATTAACATACCGTATTCATTCTAATAAAGGCACAGTGGGTCTCCCAAATTCTCCTTAAGGAGATGTCCAAATTGCAAAATCCCTGGGGATTTTGAATGGTACACATATATGGGCGATAATAGTTTTTTTTATGATTTTCCTCCTTGAAACTGAACCCTCTCCAACTTGATAACATAATATCATACCTCGATGTTTTCTTCATGCGTTTAACAATCAGCTGATTATAGTTTTGTGGGTTAATCGACATATATGCATCAATATCATTCAAATTATTCACTCTAGTTCCTTCCCGAGGGAGCTGCCATTTTGGAAATTATGACAATATCCGTGTCAAAATCTTCTTTTATTTTTTTTCTTCTATAACATATTTATTTGCTATAATTTCATTTTACATCATATATTATATCATTGTTTACATATGATAATAAAGATAAATTTTGGATAACATAAAAGAAATGCAACGTATGTATATGATTTTGTATGTTTGGGGTGAATTCACTAACACACGCAGACTGAGGGCTAGGAATACGTTAAAAATGTTTAAAATGTCCACGTATACTGAGATCTTACATGTATATTATTCTTTTACTAGATTACTTACACATATAAGAATAAGACTGATTTTTATAAGCTTTATGGATAAGAATTATTTTTATTAATGACAGTATATTCCGGCCTCAGTGTGCAGGTATAGCAATTTTTTTACCAAAATGTTATTTTCCGAGTAAGGGCAATCTGCATCTGATTCGGTTCAGTTCTATAGCAATCTGTAACTGATTCAGTTCACTTTTATGCATGCGCAACAATGAAAGGTGCTTCCCATGATACCTTTCGGTTAAAGCAGTCTCCCATTATCGTTCAATCACCATCATTAATGCTGTGAACAAAACTATAGACATTTTTTGAACAAAGATAACAGTTCTGGTTTGACCTCCAGTCAATTTAACTATTTCCACATATATAATGCTGATACAATCTTTGTAAAGGACGATTCTCGGTTTGGAGAACGAAGTTCATCAATCTAAATGAGCATTATCCCTGCTTCGGACAAATTTGATTTTTTTACGTAATATAGATTTGAATGTCTACTTTTGAATAGTCATAATTTAATTTGGGTAATATTTCTAGATTTTTCGCAAAAAAATATTAGCACAGTACACTGATGAACTTTTTTCCCCAAACCGGTACTTGTATTTTATTGAATTGGTCAAATTGAACGCTATCCCTGCTTCAGACCAATTTGTTAATTTTACATCTTGTAGATTTAAATGTCCCCTTTTGAATATTCATAGTTTAATTTGGGTAATATTTCTATATTTTTCATTAAAAAATTATTAGCCCAGGAGACTGTTCTCCAAACCGAGAATCGTCCTTTGATATCATTCATAGAAAAGAAAAAAAATGAAAAAACTGATTTGAAAAGCGATCTATTTAGACAATGTTCTAAAATTTCAAAGGTTGAATCAGTTAGAGCATTATATTGGACACATTTTCTGAAAAATTCAAAAGATTCTGTTCAGTGACCTTCCCTAGCTCCTACTTTTAGCTTTTTTTCAGTCACACATTCAAACGGCTAAAAAGGTTATTTCATAATGTTTAGGGTCATTCTGACCATGAAGATTGTGATCCTTGACCTGTAAATGGTATTTGGAACTAGTTGAATTGACTGGAGGTCAAAACAGAACTCTGTTATCTTTGTTCAAAAAATGTCTAAAAATGCAAAAAAATTGTCACTTCCTGTTTTGTCATTTCCTGTTAACTTCCGGCAAAACTGCCCTAATTCACGTCACCATACTAGTCAATGGGCAATAGGCAAACGCCTGACTTTTTATCTCGAGTTATGGATGTATGTGGCCTCACTGGCCTATCTGAGGTTCTAAAGCTATGTCTAAGCTACATTTTGACACTAAACTCAATAGGGGCCAAACATCTACTTTTTGAAATAATTGGTCAATTGTGACACTACCCCCTCTCTCTGCCGACAGAAATTGAAATTCACAAAAATGAAGGCAAAATTAATACGCCACTTGATTCGAAATTTTCCTTCAGATAACCCCCGGGGGGTTCACTATATAAAAACCTTGACGGGGATCCTCGGCGCATGTGGGGTACCTTTTTCAACGTTTGGTATGGCAATGGACCCATATTTTAGGATTTGGTATGGGAATGCCCGGAAATTTCTGACTTCTGAGGTATGGCAATGGTCGGACTTTTGCTCTTCTGGTATGAGAATGGTCGTTGTAGATACGTTACCTAATATTCGTGGTATGGCATTGGTCCAGTAGTTGCAAATTTGAAGTTGTTTTGGATCGTTTCCCGAAGTATCTTCTTTTCCAGGGCCTTCTTAAACTTTTGAATTTTAGCCCTTTTCCCGGGAAATGAGAACCCCAATCATAGGCTTTGATGAAGTCTCGCGAGATTTTTCGTGATTTCAATACAAAACTTGCCGCCAAGAAAAATGGACGCTCGATTCGAAAAGTGGTTGATTTCCAACGATCCTATATTTCATTTACTTTGAATTAAGGTATGGCATTGGTCCCATATTTGGACATTTGGTATGGCATTGGTCCTACATTTTGACATTTGGTATGGCATTGGTCCCATAATTGGGCATTTGGTATGGCATTGGTCCTATATTTGGATATTTGGTATGGCATTGGTCCTATATTTGGATATTTGGTATGGCCTTTGGGCGTTATTTTGGTTGGTATGGGAACATATTGAAATTTGACAGATTGGTATGGGAACATATTGATATTTGAGGCTTCAGCCTAGGACCCCTGTCGAGTTTTATATACAGTGAACCCCCCGGGAGATAACCCAAGTAAACGCATTTTCAGAAGAAATGGCATGTTGACATTGCAAAAAGATGACAACTGTGCCTACATACTAGCTTACTGACTCGTCATGATCACAATTGTGTTGGGACTACATTCATTTTTGAAAACTACTTTTTTCTATTCAGCGGAAGTGACATATTTAGGGCATTTGGGCCTCCATAGCACCTTAATGTGGCAAAAGGGCCCAAGCTGAGAACATAAAGTCTCCTGGGTAAATTCTATAGTGTTTTTTCCTATCAACATTGCGCATGTTCACTAAAAAAGCAACCAATCAAATTTGAGATGCGCAGAAAATACGCACAGAGAACCGAAATCAAAGAACCGAGTTGTAGATTGCCCTTAGTGTATTTTCCAGCTGTACCTCATCCTACAAAAAGCAGTTAGCATTTCCCAGATTAAGAACTCGATTAAAACGCGATCAAACTTATCCGTTCCGTAATAGGAGCAGTTTACTCTACCGAGCTGACAGAAGTCAGCTCTGGGAAGTTCCGTTGGCATTGCAATGAAGAGAAGTTTATGAGCGCATGCGCCAAAATTAAAAGATGGTGCGCGCCGGAACAGAAATTTCTCCAATTTAACTGCAAATTACACAACAAATAGGACTTGTTGACACCACGCGTCAAAAAAGGGGCAAGTAATATTCAATTATCTTCCTAAATACCGTTACTTATGCCAGCGCACCAGCTGGAAGTTGGGGAAAAACGCTTCACAAGCCGGTATATTCTAACGGTGTGTCAGCTGGCTTTTGAGCCAGGTGTGTTCAGTAAGGAGCAGTTATGAAACTGGTGATTGTGAAAGAAGTCGAATGAATATTTAGAACTATGTTTAAATCACTGTAAGATTTCACTTGAGCGTTAGATCTATGAATTTCAACACACAATAATCAAATTCCATTAAGGATGACATAAATTACTTACCTAACGCTGAAAAGGCACAGAAAGCAATCAAAATGTTGCTTGTTATCGATTTCAAGTTCACCATCTTTCTCTTCTCGTTTGATATCTCCCAGATTCTCGCAAGATCTCGCGGTCTTCCGGTACAATAATTTCTTATCTAATCTTCAATATTTTATCGAATCACAGTCAAATTATGGAGTTTCACCCCCTCAGGGTATCGGATATTAGACAAGCTATTCGTAGCCATACGCAGCGGTAAGTACATATTGTACTGATGGTTGAAAATCACATAGAGCTCAAGTACATTTTCAATTTTTTGACGGACGTGAACATACAGTTGGGGACAAAAATAAATGACAGGTCGATTTTCGATCACCATTTCCTAATTATGGTGGTCTGAAAGCCCATAATTTCCAATATTGTCTAGATATATATCCCTTAAAATTTGTATACTTTACATTTTGTATAATCTCATCCACTGATGTATGGCCTCTTGTAAATTCTCTTATTTTTAACATGGGAAATCCTCACTTCAGCAAATCCACCTGTCATTTATTTATGTCCCCAACTGTAGGCTACACTCTGTTAAGGTTCAGCTGGAAAGTAACATTTTGGTAAAAAATTGCTATACCTGCCCACGTTATTTTCTGGTACAAAATTAAGTATGAAGGCATGTGTCAATTTCCTTGCTTTTTTCAGGAAAGTATCATTACACTGTCTTCTTTTAGAATATCTGGAAACAGGTCAATGGTAGCTCTTGAGTTGTCTGGAAACTTTGAAAGAAAATTTGGAAAAATAGAAAGTGTGAAATATCAGAATTTCCTGTAGTTCCCATTAAACGCCTACCAGATATTCTAAAAGAAGACAATGTAATGATACTTTCCTGAAAAAAGCAAGGAAATTGACACATGCCTTCATACTTTATTTCGTACCAGAAAATAACATGGGCAGGTATAGCAATTTTTTACCAAAATGTTACTTTCCAGCTGTACCTGTTAAAAATAGCAAGAACATAACTTCGACATATGAGTGTTACCTGATGAATGGGACCCTCACGTGCCTTCCAAATGGTAGTAAACGAACTCTAGTGTAACTACATCAGCTTATCTTTATGTCCAATCAACAATAAGTACAGTTATACAAGAAATGTAAACGAAGTGAAAATGTTCCCAAAAATTTTCCGAAAGGCATGTCATTCCGAAAGTTATGATATGTTATGGTGTCACTACAGTGCTGGTATATATTAATTGATCAGTCGTTTAATTGGCATATTTTCTTGAATTTTAACATTTAATGTCCCAAACTCCCACAAACTGCAGAAAAGTATACACCATAAATCATATTTACCAAAATTAGTGTCTCCAAGGCTTCATACCAGCGTATGCATTATGCATTTGTCACGAGTTTGAGCTGAAATTTCCCCAAAATGAAGTAGGCTAAGGGTAGTCTTTGCCAGGTTTGTTTATTGTGGTAAGCTTGTAAGTGCTCAGAAGCAAATAATTCACGTGCGCAAAAAAATCAAATGATATGATTGGTTTAAACTTTGCTGCACATGCGCACAATGTGTGCCATATTTTTTCTAGTGATTTCGTTTCGTTTCATGGAGTTTCCGTTTCAGTGTAACTTCCGCAAAAATGGCTGACCATGGACAGAATTAACAGGTAAAATCACTTCGAAATTTCAAGAGAACTTTTTACCTATAATAGCAAAACTTTTGTTTTATTTGTGCATTCTATCTATCAGATAAGAGTCTCAGGGGTATGTAGGCAAATTCATTTTGGTAGGAGCACTCTGTTTAGTTTGAAAACGCACCCTTAATTATTATATATCAGCACTGTACGGTAAATCATTGAAAAAAATCACAAAATTCAAGTTCTTGAGTGAGGTTCCATATCCATCCGCCAAAAGGTATGACCTTTAAAAATGTGTGGTTTTGTTCTAAATAACGCCATAGTTGGCTTCTAGGGTACCTAGTATGGCACTATTTGGTATCAAAATAATGAGGAGTTCAACTTTCATTTGAATTACGAAAATAGCGAGGTAGATCAAAATAGTTCCGGCGTGAGCATGTTTACTACGCATTTGCCCGTCATCTCAGAATTGAGGAAATGGTAGCAAACGCGAGTTACAATAAATGGACGCTGATATCTCAAAAAGTAACCTGACTCCCTATAATTTGATGTAGAGCAATCGACCCCCTATATGAACAGGTACATTTTGATATATAACACTATGGGGGTAAGCGTTTTATAGTTGATCACGAACGCCATATGTGCAAAGTATTGTTCTGAATTTTTCGAATTTGGTGTTGGATTTCGGTACTCACACCTTCTGGGGTACATATCGCCATTTTCGAACAAATTAGCCCATACAATGACATGGGTTTGTTTTTAAAGTATTAAAAAACACTCTACCCGGAAGTGGTATTTACCGTAATAACACCTTATATTACCGAACATGGGTGAAAATGGAATGTTTGTTCGATGGCATTATTACACCAAAAATAGTGCGAAAATGGCCTTATCACGTGTTGGCATAAAGTTTTGATGACATTTAAAGACACAGTTCCTCCTTCACGTATATTATCTCATGGAAATGGGCATACCAGCGCAAAGATGTTTGTTCCGTGGTGAAGAAAAGCTATCAAACATTGTCTGAAGAGCAGATTTATCACCGTAATTCAAATTTTAGCATGGCGACCTTGACCTTGAAAAAATATATCCATTTGGGCGGTAATAGATGATTCAAAACTAAAAATTAGTGCCTTTTGGTAGTTTAACTTTGACCAAGCCAAGAAAAAAATCGAAGTGGTAAACCTACCCCCAGTTTTGTTGTCTAGAAGTGTTCTCGATGATATCTAAGTTTAAGAAAATTTGTATATCTAGAAATATTTTATAAATTAGTGCCATTATGGTGGGTTTAGGTGCTTTTTTGCTCTCATTTTTTAGCCCATTACTATGGTTGCCATGGCAACTATTAGGCTTTGGTAACCATGTCAACTTGATTTTTCAAGGACATCCGCCTTATAGTAGTTGGGCCAAGTTTGATGGAAAATGGGCCTTGTTTGATATGGTGGCAGTAAGGTTGATTGTGGCAAGTAGTAAAACGGCAAACAATGGTGGAGTCATACCCGATGCTTGGATGTTCGCATTTTATTTAGCTCTCGTAAAATGAACGAACAAACGTTCCATCTTCACGCATGTTCGGTAATATAACGTATCATAACTTCCGGAATGACATGCCTTTCGGAAAAATTTTGGGAATATTTTCACTTCGTTTACATTTCTTGTATAACTGTACTTATTGTTGATCGGACGTAAAGATAAGCTGATGTAGTTACACTAGAGTTCGTTTACTACCATTTGGAAGGCACGTGAGGGTTCCATTCATCAGGTAACACTCATATGTCGAAGTTATGTTCTTGCTATTTTTAACAGTTTACAGAGTTTAAGCTTAGATGTCGGCAAATTTCCTATTTGTAGCACAGATCCGGAGCCAGATACTGCACCTATTGGTAGTAGCCTCAAAGGATAAATGGGAAGATAAGACACAAGCAACAAAAGCCCAAAATGCTACATCAAAAAAAATGACCACCCAAAAATATGACCCTCGCTCGTACCATGGGCTCTATCAGATGGGCATTGTAGGGTGTGAATATTTTCGAAACAAATGTGTGATATATACTCATAGTTTGGAACAAATGCTTGACCCAAACGGCAATCGCATGCAAAGACCGAACGGAATGCGTTCGCTGTTTTTCGTCGTTCGGTATTTTACCCTATCGGCATTTTACAAAAAACGATTTTTAAAAGTATCAACAAAATGTGTGATTTGCGTGATATTTCATCATACACGCTAAATTGATGCGTGATTTCTATTTTTCCGGCAAATGCGTGACAACTCAGGTGACAATCACGCTTAATGCGTGAGGGTTAACAGGGCAGTTTGTCTCTCAAATTACGTCACATCGCAACAAACAGCCAATGAAAGTAAAGATTGGTATCCTAACAAACTGTTGTTATTGTTTCTACAGGATATTAAAGATACGTCATGGGGTTTCTCAGTGATCTCTGATGTGACGTCATCCAGAGTGGTGCCATATTCTCAGAAAAGACATTTGACTTCGAGAATAAACATTTGAACAACGGAAATAACCGAAGCACTCCATTAAATATACGCTTGCTTATTTTATGCTTTTATCAACAAACGCTTTCTTGAATGTGTGGCTTTAGGGATTGGAGATGAAGCTAACAACAGTAGGCATTGTTTGAGGTATGACATGTGATATTTATTGATAAACTGACTCCAAAATCAAGAAAATATAAATTTTCCGAATTTCAGAAAAAGATGACACAAATCATACCTCAATCGAAGCGTCTTTTTATTTTTCACGGACCTCTGCCAGTTACCTCTTCTTGGTGTCTAGGCTAAAATATTTTTCAGTTTCTTTCCGACAGTCGAAAAATCAATTTTTAGAAAAAGTTCAAATGCCTCAATCGAATCATTTGGTCTACTTATTCATATCATGGGCTTTCAACTAGTGTGAAAGCCCATGCTCATATTTACATGACTTATTTTTTGAAGTCAAATGTGTGCCTTGTCAGTAGGCAGATTCTCGAAATCAGATCCAAGTGCAATAAGGAACTCAGTAATTTTCTTGAGAAAAGTTTCTCCTCAACCCTCTGTTCAGATTCCAAGAATTTGCTAGAATTCCATGAATGAATTATGGTTAAACTTTTGAAGGGGTGATAAATATCCAGAATAATAAATATCCAGATTCAATTAATGTAAATCCAGTTTACAAACTATTCTAAACATATTTAATTTCATATAATGTAATAAATTTTAATTAACAATCTCAAGTATGATAGTCAAGTTTACAAAATGTAATGACTTGTCATATCATGTTATTTTTTGAAGCATCCACCATTTTGAAATTTAGAGGATTAAGAAGAAGAAAATGTAATTGGACATACATGTAATTCTACGCAGCTCTCTGACGAAAGGTAGGAGCTGTAGATAAGTCATTGCCCATTTATTATATAGGGTATATTATATAGAGTATCAAGGCTTTGAGTTAGTTCAATAGTAGATGTTCTCAAAATTAGGGATAGGGAGCATCTCAAAAGTTCAATGTAGGATTACTAACTGTATTTATACAGTTAATCTGTAACCTCCTCATAACTAAACTGTGTTTGAGAAATGTTGATATGTGATATTTCGAAACTCACAGCATAATATGACAAGACACCACTGACAAAACTTCCAGATCTGATTGGCCCATGATCAGTAATGTACATAATTTATAGTTTTGGTTTATTGATTCCTTGGTAATCACAACGTCACGGCAACCACACGATTGTTGTGTAAACAAATAACAAAACATCTTGGAATTATGACATCATGACTCAATAGACCAAAACGGGCCATGTGGGGACCAGTGAAAAGTTATATGTGTGCTAAAATATGTTGTTGTTTTTTCACAGTCTGAAACCAATTTATTTACAAAAATGAGACATATTTATAACACTATATGTGTTTCTGGGATATAAGTACCTGAAATGGATTTGAAGGTTAATTAATAATAGATATGACTAAATCTCTAATGTTACTTGTATATTAATCCCAAAAATGTATACCTGTTTTAATCAAAATGACTCAATATGGGTGCTAAGATATGTCACAAAGTATTAGATATTGCTTATGATTCAGCTACCATGTTTTTGAAATAAACAGTTGCCACATTAGGATAAGGTGACATGTCCAAATACATCCATTATTCAATAAATTTATTCCTTTAGTTTAATTTACTATTTCAGATGTCCTTTAAGGCTAATGGCCTCCTCCCCTGCCCCCCTTGCTGTTCAAATACAGTAATTTTCTGATATCAAATGCTCTCTTATGCTTTGAACTTAATCATCAATGTGGATTAGTGCATGGCATTGTGGAGATAACCTTCTTCTGAGTCTAGACATGCATTGAACTTTGATGCTTTAAAAGTTGTTTTGAAAATTATCATGTTACTTCTTCTTTAAGTAAACAAACTTTTTTCTGTGAGTAACAAAAGTGAAAACTGTTACATTGAATATATTAAAAACATCTATCAAGTGTCAACATTCAATTTATGAATTTCACATTTTAACATTCAATGCTCTAAAGTGAAAATTGCCTGTTCAATAGAAAAGAAGAATTTAGAGATTATAAACATTAGCAACCAACAATTAAATGTAGAACATTTTGTTACTAATGAGTTTTTCTTATTAAATTGAATAAATATATAATGTGTCGCTTAAATAATCAGTGTAGAACATTGAATTTGATTTTATTTCATTCTTTATGGGCATTCGACATATATGCATTTGCTAATTTCTAGGTCAATTATATATATTTCAATTTTTTCTATTTTCAGTTGAATCTGATTTGGGCAAATGGAGCAAAGATGTAAAGGAACATCAAGAGTGCCCTCTAGTTGAGGGTTGGTTTGATAAAATGATGAACAAACCAAAATATCATCCATCTCAACTGCATCATTATTAGCGTTATACCGGAGAATCTGAATGTCATAACTGAAGTTAAAAGAGAAGCCGAGTATTTCCGATAACATCTAGAAATCAAAGATTACTTGATAAAAGTACACAACAAACAGTTTAACAGTTCATTGTTACACTCTCGACAATTGTTTATTTGCACATTTTTGATAACTCATGTCTCAACAGTAAATATTTAAACAGAGACTGACTTTTTTTATTGAATTGAATATAAGCTTAATGACTTGAAACATATGCACACACGTTATTACACAAAAGCGACATTATTATTTATTACCCGATACTGTACTTTATAATCCATGAATCTGATTACTAAACAGGCAGCATTTATGTAATACTTTACACAGTACTATATATGGTTTTACAATGAGTTTAAACATGACAAAAAACGAAGCTATGGATAATGTCTCAACGGTGTTGGTGGACAGCAAAGGGAGGAACATTACTAGACCAGCCCTGTCGGAAGATGCTGACATTATAAATAACCTCTACCCTGCCATTGTGCAGTGCTTTACCATTATACTGCTAGGGTACATTGCAGGAAGAGCCAGTATTATAAGCAAGAACCAATCTAAAGGACTTGGCTCATATGTGTCAACATTTGCGCTCCCAGCTCTTCTCTTCAAATCGATGATGGAAATCAATTTTGACAAAGTGAACTGGATGTTTTTAGCAAGTATATTTATATCAAAGGCTATTGTATTCGCAATTGTGGTGATCATATCCCTGTTAGTTGTAAGAGATTTTGGAAAAACTGGAATCTATGCTATATTTACAACACAGAGTAACGATTTTGCCATTGGATACTTAATAGGTAAATATTTATGGTGATATAAAGTAATAATGTTACCACATATGGTACATGCATTTTTGAATTTAGATATAGATATAGATAATCGCTATGAACTCTTTATCATCTTAACATAGTTTGTAAATTACTCTATTGCTATGTACTTTAACTGCCAATAGAATGTGTAATCTGGCTAATTAGATTGGACTTTAAACAAAAGTCATCCAACAGAGATTCTTAATATTAAATGATGAAATCACCATTTCAGAATTATATCTATTGATATTATTGGTATTGTTAAATTGTATTTTTTTTATTAAATTGGTAGATTCAAATTGAACTTTAGTAACTTTATATTAATATATCATTTTTGTTGTTGTTTCTTTCAGTGCAAGCTTTATTCAATAAAACCCACCCAGAGTATGTAACGTATATCTACCTGATAGGCCCCATATCCCTGTGCATCCTTAACCCCATAGGATTCATGATGATGGAGGTAGGATACCATACGCAGAAATAATATTCCTTGGTTTTTATTTTTGTGCATAAAAACCATCTGTACGAGGGGTGATTCAAAAGTAATGGACAAAATTTTATAGGCATACTAAATTTCACCCAATCAGTCTAATTTTTTCACAGTGAATAGATCAATCAATTCTCTACTTTGTGTCGAATTCTCATTTAAATGCATTTGAAATTGTTTCAGCTATGCGTAACCATGGTAACAAGGGTAAGCATGGGTGGAATCGGTTTTTTAATTATAATTGAATGTTTTTGTCATTTTTGCTTGATTTCGTTTTAATGACTCAATTACCACACATGATATGTCTAACAAGCATGGTAATGCAATTGTCAAGCAAGACTCACATGCCCATGTGTTTGCTGTTGAGTTCTAAATTCAGCAACCAATTGTGCTATGACATCACAATGATATTTCTAAGAATGATGAGTCACAGTGAGTCAGAAAGTAGATCAGACTCTTAGACTCACACACATCCAAGAAATGTCTACTTTACAACAAATCAAAGTTAAGCAAAGGATTGTTATTGAATATTTGGTAGCTACTGGAGAGACAAGGCAGGCAGTTGTCAAGAAAATAAAAGAGACACATGGAGACAAGGCCTTGTCAAGGCAAGCCATTGAGCGATGGTACAAACACTTTAGTGAAGGGGATACGAGAGTCTTAGATCTAAAGCGATCTGGAAGGCCCAAGACTGGCCGCACTGATAACACTATTCACCATGTAGAGTCCATCCTAAATGCAGACAGGAGATTGACACTGAGAGAAATAAGTTCCATTACAGATGTGTCCTACTCTACAGTACAAAGGATTGTAAGGATTGAACTTACTGCGATATGCTTTTCATATACATCTTGCATTACAAAATATATTGCACCAGCAAACTTTTCATTGAAAATCCATTTGTTATTATGATGAAAATAGCCTTAAAAATGGATTCCGGGTGTATGCACCATGATCCAAGAGAAGTGCTCTATCTCAAAATGTATTTGAATTTAGTTAATAAAATTTTAACATCTAATAGATAATTGATTAATCTTTATTTGTACAAAGTTTCATTCAAATCTGGTAAAGGTAAGCGTGCCTATAAAATTTTGTCCATTACTTTTGAATCACCCCTCGTATTAAGTCTTATGAAATTAATCCCCTTTTTTACTGATTTATGGCTTGTGTCCAGTTCTGAAAATCTTTTCACGATTTAAGAATGCAAATTAAAATTAAAAATATTCATATTGTTTAACTGCAGATAACAAAGCAATTATTATTCACAGTTTCAGAACTGGAAGACGTCCGCTCCTAATGAGCGTGGGAACAATCTATCTGCAGTTGGGAAGGTTCTGAAAGGTGTTATCCTAAATCCCATCGTATTTATGACCATCATAGGCATTATGGGGAATTTCCTCTTCAAACGTAATGTTCCAATTGTTATAACAGATATACTAAAAATTTTAGGTGAGTATTTAATGACATAATTTTGTTTCTTTTCATTCATTTGTCTATGTTATTAGAATAGAAATGTTTGATATATTATATCTGCAGCCAAAACAATAACAATTTTTCAAACAACCCATCCTGATTGGGTAACGCTAGATCAAAGGATTATCTCCAATTTAAAGAGTGTCAATGCAACTCAAAACTAAACTATTGGAAAGGGTGCGTTCACACATATGTTTTATGGTTAATTATTAATTTCAGGTGATTCATTCAGTGCTACAGCTTTGTTTTACCTGGGTATTAGCCTGGTTGGCAAGGTAACAGGTCAACTGGGTAGAGGCCTGATAACTCCAGCCCTTCTTATCATAGCTAAAACGTAAGTTGTCAGACATATCCATGGATACAAATTTTCATATAAACAAGTATGTAATAAAACCTTTGCATTCACATATTAGGTTTTTAACATTGTTCCATGTTGTAAGAGCTCCATTAGTCAGTTATACTACATAATGTTCAGCCTTGTAATTCACACTATTGGTCAAGTCTCTTGCTTTTAATATGTCAACATCCCAAGGGTCGACATATTGTTAGTTTCCAACTTTTTTGTGGAAGGTGATTGGTGTTGGTGTTCAGTGTTCAGTAGTTAATATTCAGTGGTCAATGCCTGTAACAAATGGCAGGTGGTGACATTTTGCACGTTAATGACTTGTCTTTTTTGGAAAGTTCATCTTTTTCACCATGTTTCACACCAAATGGTGCCATTTTCCACGTTCCATGTTTTCTTTGCAGCATCATGTTTTCCACAGAATTAAGGGTAAGCTAGTCCCTTACAGTTTGTTATTTCTGATTTCAGGCTATTATTACCATTCATTATACGAGAGGTAGTAGTTGCCATGGATGCAGGTGGAGAGAGGAATGCAACTTTGGCATTTGGGATGTATGGTTTTCTGTATGGGACATTTCCCACAGCCCCAACTGTGTTTGTGTACAGTACACAATACGCTATTGCAGTAGACACTGTGAGAATAAATTCTAATATTTAAGAAATAATAGACCAAAGAGCAGGTATTATATTGATGAATAGATACCACATGCCTAGGCATAAATGTTTTCTGTACCCGAATGACTTTAGCCTTTAGAAAGGAAGTGAGGGGTTCGAAGGCTTTTGTTCCTAGCCCTAAGGTATTTATTACTCAATATAATACCTGATCTGAGGTCTATAATAAGATTCAACATGAAAACTCACCAAAATTATGCAAAATCATCACTTCATTTCCTACTTCAGGTGCACTGAACGAAACACTTTGTACAGACTAGGTATTGTATTGGTGAATAAATACCGGGTGAAGTTTAGAGAAGCTGTGAAATGTGAATACAGTCATGTTCAAATATATATTATAGCCCCATAGCCAGGATATTTTGGCCCCTGAAAGCTGATCATTTCAGCATTTTTAGAAAATGCCATTATATGCATTATTTTCATGTCATGTAATACCCCATTTGCAAACTTTTTACCCTAGAATTTATCTATGATTATTTATTCCTATAAAAAAAAGTCATATTCCACCATGCATGTAATGTACCATAACAACTTTTATAACCTTGTGTAACATCATTGTCAAGAACATTGCATGCCATTCACATGTATTCTGTTTATATTTTTGCAGATGGCAACTGGTGTAGTTGTGTGTACATTTCTCTCAGCACCGCTCATGTTCGTCTCTGCCAAAATGATTATGCTGCCAGTGGTCCAGAAAGATGATTACGGACAGCTGATCAACGAGACTTGCTTTGATATAAGCATTGTGGGCATTCTTTGCAGTGTGAGTTACCAAGACCAGGGTTTTCATCATCACTATACAAATGAAAAGAAGTTTGGTATAAGGAATATTATTGAAAAGTTTGCAATTATGACGTCATAAGATGCAATTGAACGCCTTGACATGGATATCACTTTGAATCAAATGTAGTTGTATTTAATGATCTAGTTGACAAAAATGTTGGGAATGATCTAAAAAGGATCAAAATGATTTTGCTAATGATGTTCATGTTCAAATTGTCAAATGTGCTCAAAATATAACAGATTTACCATAATGTATGCCATGGTTCTTTCCTTGCAGTTGTGGGTGATCGGAGTAATATGCTTCAGTGGTCGCTGGCGACGTGTTCCATACTCATTCACTCTATGTCTTGTCATAGCCCAGGTATAGGATTTATCTACTCATGAGGCTTTTGCATTGATATGAGAATATTTCTAATATGTTTTACTTCATTTACAAAAGCATGAACATTTTTATGCCATCACTTCCTGCCAATATTATGCCATATCATTGTACAAAGCTTCGTAGTTTAACTTAAGTTCCTGTTTTAATTAATATATATATATTTATTAAAAGGAAGAACCTTTTCAAGTGTCCTGTTTGCTTTCATGTATTGACCCAGGGAAATTACAAAGAACTCTGCTGAAAAAGTCAAGCCCCTTGAAAAAGAACTCCCTGTTGAAAGCATAAATTCATACTATATTTATTATTACATATATAAATGTATATATTTCAAGTTTGATCTAAACTTTAGATCTGAAGATCTTAAGAGACCCTACATACAACAACTCTTGCACCTATATTCAATGTTTCACAAGTTATTTTAATAAGTATTCAATTTTCTTTATTTCCAGACTTTTTCATGTCTTGGTATGATCCTTTGGCATTTTCTGAATTTAAGTAGCAGCTGGCAGCACTATGTACAGTTTATCATATTTCTCATTGGTGTCCTTGGGACGCGCAGCTGGATGGCTATGTTAGCTATTGCACTATGCGTGTTGCGCTGTAGAAGTCTTTGCTACTTGTTTAGGATCAAATCCTGGCTTCTGCTGATCGGATGGGGGTAGGTGATGCATGGGGAATATGCTATGATTATATTGATTTGTTTACATGTAAATACTAGGCATTTTCCTGCATTTCATTTTTGTGACATTTTCAAACATTACTTCCCAATTTCTCAAATTTCCTCCCAAATTATGTGGAAACCTAGATGTTATTCCTTGATGATTAAGAATGTAATATTGGATATATTATTTTTGTGAAAGATATTGTCTCTGAAAATATATACTCATAAATTTCTAAATGTCATTGTGCCTCAAATTATTTTCTGATTGATATGTGTTTCATTTGATAACATTTAGTTATGAAAAGTCTTTTGAATATATATATATTTGGATCATATCAAGGAAATTTTTGATGTGCATTTACCCAGTTCCTCCTCAATTGGTAGTTGTGGTATACCATTTATTGTTATGTTTCCAGTGCCCCTGTTATGAGCACAGGTCTTGTTATAATGCTGAGTACATGGGAAGGAACCCAAGACCCCTCCTTTCAGTATGGCAAAGCCCAGGTATGCCTCATATTTAGTAAACTAAATTGTTAACTATACAAACTTGGTAAAAGAAATGGTGCTGAAGAAGTAAATGATCTTCCTGATTAATTTCATTGTTGATACATCAAATCAGTGTTTCATTACAGACTTGTTTTAAGGAAGCCTATGAGTACAAAACAGGACAATTTTGTGAAACTTTATTAACAATATTCAGGGATACACAAAAAGTATACAAGTATTGATGTAATAGAAAAGCTGATTTAGAATTAAATTGCTTGATCAGCAAAACAAGCCAAAATTCATTTTGAAATTGAACCATCATACAAGTTCAATAGTTTTTCAAATTGTACATTTTTTAGTTTAAAAGTTTAAAATATTTTATTTAAGTGTCACTGATACAATAATACATATATTAGTAGGACATAGTTAAAATACCACCAGCCAATGTCGGCTTATGAGACACTGGTCACTAACTTCCAAATAGAATTATTTTTGCAAGAACATTAAGCATAGACTGTCAGACAATGTGTATCAGTAATGTATAATAAAACAATTTATCCTATGCCAAGTAGAGTTTTAGGGAGATAAGTTGGTAAGATATATCTCGTATCCTGATTTTGAGGTTTCCATATCCTGAACCTCCATATCTCCCGCCATATCTCCCGCTCCAGGGCATATCTTCCCGCTTCGAAAAAAATTTGAAAAATAAGAAAAATTGAAAAAAAAGAAAAAAATGTGAAAAAAATAAATAAAAAATTCAAAAAAAGGAAAAAAATAGAAAACAAATTTGAAAATGTGAAAAAAATTGAAAAAATAAAAAAATTGAAAGAAAATTAGAAGACTCTACTTGGTATAGGATAAAGCAGTTATGTACGGTCGGTTTGGATATTGGGTTCATCCCTCATGAGAAATGCACATCTACCTTCGGCCCCTATGGTCCCTCAGGTAGATATGCATATCTCCCTCTGGATAAACCCCATATCCAAAACCTCACAGTACATAACCCTTATTTATCCCAAGTTTAAGTTAGTTTAGTTAAGATATTAACATGAAGGAGTGTTGATTTTATGAATGTTGATATAAAGAGTGTTAAGAAAATGATGAAAGAAAATCTTGTTTTTAATAAATTGCTGACTTTGTAAAAAAATGATTTAACTAGTCTTCATTATTTCAGGTTGATATATTTTTCAAAACAGTTCACTCTTTAATAGCAGCATTGTGTGAAGAAACATTGAAATTTTTGTATTTGTGAAGAAAGAGAAAAATTGCTGAGTTTGCAAAAAATCAGTTTTAAAAATCCAATCTCAACTTTTTTTAAAGTAAGGCTTCTTTCAAATTGTTAACACTTTCATGTGGACATTACCCTCATGAGAAGTAACTAAAGGGAATGAGAAAGTAACAAGTTAAAGCTAGCAAACAATTTGTATAATTCAAATGCATTATCCTATATTTTTGTCAAAATACAAAAATCCCATATATAAGGACATTTTCTTTAGGGTGTAATAGGAGAGTCATGTACACTTGCTTCGAAGCTACATGAGAGTATTGTTTACTGTTGATGCTTTGGGGAAAGTCCTCGGATCTAGACCAGAAAGTGGTGGGGTCGAGAGACCTTCAGCTATGTCAGAATTGATTGTATAGGCCAGAGACATTGTAGAATGGAGGCCTCAATTAGACCTGGTGATTATCGCAGCAAAGTCATGCAAGTGGTGTGGCATGCTACACTAACTCGACGGGGCTTATTCACATGAATCTCACTTTTTATTAAACCTTGAAATTCCATCTTTCAAGATCAGTCCTTCACTGGTTTCATAGAAATCTATTCATAGTCACATAATCCTCAAACCTGCTACATGGTATTGTACAGTGTTTTTGCTAATAAGATCTAAAAATCTCAAATTGTCTTAATAGTAATTAATGAATCATAAGAATGTATTATCGTGAGTTTCTGCCTTCATATTCTGATTGGATTAAGGCTAGATCAGCTCTTGCTTGGAGTATTTTTGTATACAATATACAATGATTTTTCTTTCCAGCTTATTGTCTCTGTGGCATTCTTGTCAATCTGTCTTCTCACGACCATAGTGTGTCTTGTCTACCAGATGCGTAATGAGCGTAAACTCACACAGCATGATCACATACAGAGGGAGGATGTCCAGAACGAGGAAGAGCAAAGTCTCCTTAAAGGGCAGAGAGGAGCAAATAATGGCCCAGGACAAAATGGACTGAAATCTCCATGTGCAAATCAGTCATGCTCCGGAGATGGTTAGTTTAATTTATAACAAAAAAGGGGTTAAGTTTACTGTCAAAAGGTGGCTCCATAGAAGCAATGATCTATTACTTTTCTGATATCACACTTTCTAAAAATGAGTTTTTTATTTTATATTTTTGTTGCACTTTGTTCTTAGTTTGACAGCTGTCTTTTATGATATATAAGTAGAATAATCACAAGTATTTGTTTTTTTTAAATTTTTGAATGGGTTTATGAACATTCTGAGGGGCAGGAGCCACAAAATTCAAATCCATTAAAGAATTGAACACTTGAACATACCTATTTAGGGATGTGTACTTTAAACTGCTTTTAATGTCAATTTATGTGGTCTAGTTGGTGTTTTTTCAACATTAACCATAATAGTTGATACATGACACTATTGTGTGCTACAAATTTGTCTCACAGAAATTTGAAAATCAAGATTACATAAACTTGTTGCCAGCAAAAATGTAAGAGTTTTTGCAAAACCATACACAAAAAACATGTACTTGCACTTCCAGCTGCTGCAATTGAAGAAATAGTTCCATTCAGAAAATGCCTGATCAGCGCTGATAGTCAAGACTCTGACTCAAATGAGCAAAGCAACATTCTTGATAAGACGTGTAGCATCAATGCAGGGTGCTCAACAGAGCAGAGGCGGGAATGTGGTCGTGCCATACAGTCGTATGAAAGTGTCCCTGTTAACCTTGAAGGTGATGAATTGGTGCTTGAAGAAATGGAGGAATATCAATTAATGAGACATGTGGTGTTTCTCTTGGTGCTCATGTTTTCTACGTCATTAGTAAGTATAACTTATTAAGGTGGGTAGAATTGAATAACATTTGGATCTGTTTGCTGACTGCATATATGCAAAGATGTAGGCTGCCCATATGATTTGATCTACTTTTGTATTTCAACATACATTGCTTATTGCTTTAACATTCTCTGCCATGACCTACCATTCAGTGGATTCTGGGAAAGGTCATTCATGATAGTGAAGGGGGAACTTAATAAATATCATCCAAAGCAGGCTTAAAAATTATGTAATTTATTTCTCTGGATCTTCAAGAATTCAAATGATGAATGACTTGCAATGTACTGACTTTAATAGCACTTTATTTCATTTTCAGGGTTTGTTTCTTTGTTCGATGAGACTTTTTACTTTTGGAAGTAGCAACGCTCTGGCTTCGGGTGTCTATGTGGAATTAGAGTTCATAGATGGGGTCTTTAACTTTGGCCAAGGGTTCTTCGCATTTGCAATATTTGGACTTGACACAAGGCTTGTCATCAACCCATTCATTAGAAGGTAATCTTTTCCTTATTTGCGTTTTTACGTTTTTAACAATAACAGAGTTGGTGTGTGATAATATTTTAATGATATTTAACACAAAGCTTTACTTGTGTCTGTTGACAGCACTTAGATCAACATCTACAGGGTGTTCAATAATATTGCTAATAGTATAAAACACTGCTTGGAACTAATTAGATATAAACTCAACCTGAATTAATAGGGGATGTATGTAAATTCATTTTCTACTCAAAAGATACCTGTTTTCTTGCATGTATAATGTAGTACAGATAAACTGACATTCTTCCATTGAATATACTAGGCCTTATATACTTATATTACTTGCACCTATATGTGTATAATGGTGAACTAAGATTTAAGAAGTAAAAGAAATAACAATGCACATTCACATCCTTCCCAAAGGTTGCTCCCGATTCTACACATACACATAATTCATTCTAATTAACTGTTAACCATCAACCCACTCTTAAATACAAAACAAAGATTTTGAGAACTGCGAAAGTTTTAGGTATATAGAATTTTAGTTTTACACCTTTTATAATGATCACCTAAAGCAGATTACTTAAGACATACGTTTGATTATATTCATTCCTATTAAAGTCTCCCTCTTAGCTGTTTGATTCATATTTAGAAATATTTACAATAAGCAAATACTATACGAGTACTTAATTTCCATGCAAGTAGAACCTTTGTTGCCAGGGCACATCCCCCCATTGCTAGGTTGACATTACCAGAACTGTATTTGCTAAGAGGATTTCTAAATCTAGTGTCACCTGTAGTCATGGCACTATATAGTAAGATACATGTAGCTAGAGATTCTTTTAGTAGGATATCCCAGATTGCTTGTCCAGGTTCTGTGAGATATGTTGAATCTGTGAAGTGAAACACCTTTGCAACCATAAAACCTTTTTTTCTTGCAAGGAACTTGTAATTCCAGATGGTTACTTCTTTACTTGTATTATGTACTTGTAATTCCACACGATTACTTGTATGTAATACCTGCACTTCTAATAGCCATCATGGCTACTTGTATGTTATATCTGTACTTGTTATAGCGTTATGGTTACTTGTATTTTACATTCTGTACTTCTAATACTTTTAAATACTTTTACTTGTATGTTACAGTCTGCTTCTAATAGCCATGAAGGCTTTTACTTGTATGTTGCAGTCTGCTTCTAATAGCCATGAAGGCTTTTACTTGTATGTTACAGTCTGCTTCTAATAGCCATGAAGGCTTTTACTTGTATGTTACAGTCTGCTTCTAATAGCCATGAAGGCTTTTACTTGTATGTTACAGTCTGCTTCTAATAGCCATGAAGGCTTTTACTTGTATGTTACAGTCTGCTTCTAATAGCCATGAAGGCTTTTACTTGTATGTTACAGTCTGCTTCTAATAGCCATGAAGGCTTTTACTTGTATGTTACAGTCTACTTCTAATATCCATGAAGGCTTTTACTTGTATGTTACAGTCTGCTTCTAATAGCCATGAAGGCTTTTACTTGTATGTTACAGTCTGCTTCTAATAGCCATGAAGGCTTTTACTTGTATGTTACAGTCTGCTTCTAATAGCCATGAAGGCTTTTACTTGTATGTTACAGTCTGCTTCTAATAGCCATGAAGGCTTTTACTTGTATGTTACAGTCTGCTTCTAATAGCCATGAAGGCTTTTACTTGTATGTTACAGTCTGCTTCTAATAGCCATGAAGGCTTTTACTTGTATGTTACAGTCTGCTTCTAATAGCCATGAATGCATTCTTTCACCAAGGTTAGGTTTCTGCAATAGAATGACATACAAGAAACATTTAATAGGAAACAATAGATAAATGGACATAGCTTCTTTTTTATAAAATCAACAAAAAAGTGCAAGTAATATTAGAGGCTGGTCTCTATCTTGAACAAAGAGTGAATTGAAAATTGTGGAGAACTGAGGATATTTGCAGTTACATACCTTTAAATGGTGGCCCAGGTCAATGAATAGCCTTTGTGGCTTTTATTGTTATCGCTGAAAAGTCTCACACGAGCAACACTGCCTGTTGAAATATAAGGGCCTGGATTGATGTCAGTCATTGTGCCACATAGCCTTGCGATTTGAACGTCACCATCATACACCTAAGATATTCAAATTATTATTTAAGTATGAGTAGCAGCGTTTCACTTCTGATCAAATCCTATTATATATGCTATAAAGGGCTGATGTGAAAAAGTCACTCCATCTCGGTGGGAATCAAACCCACAACCTATCGATTATATGCTGTACCACTTGAGCTACGGAGCGAATTGACTCTCTAACATTGACATTGTATATGTAGCATTGCAGCCATGTCTTATATATGCTCCCAGTTTCTCTTACCCATATTCAAAAATACTTTGGTGTGAATTATCGTAAGAATGTTAGCGTATGATTTTTTATGATTTATGAAGAATTAACACTTTTATAAAAGGTTGAATAAGTCACTGATTCATTTCGCAATTAAAATGGGTTTCATTGAACTGTTTTCGTTTACCTTTCTGCTTATTCTTCTAAAACTGGAATATTGGCATTATTAAAGAAATAATATATTAGTCTCACCCTGACGTTATCAAACATACAGCCAGTTTTAAATTGTACATCAAAGTCAATGAACTGTATTCGAACAGATCCCCCAGTGACATGAATGGTCCAGATACATATCATATTGAATGGGTAATTGGATGGATAGTTTGGAGAAGTCAGTGTGCCAGTTTGAGTTGTAAATACCCCACAAGCTGAAATCAATCAACATTTTTTATTTATTGTTTCATGTACGAGAACTTGTATGGGCCATCATGGTTACTTGTATGTTAAATGCTGTACTTGTAAAAGCCATCAAGGCTACTTGTATGTCTTTACCTATAACAGATATCAATTTTATTAGTTAACAATTGTATGGTATTTTGAAAAAAAAACTTACAACCATCAATGGTAGTTGTAGCCAAAGCACTGGTTGTTGTAGCCACACCTGCATCACCACTGGTTGTTGTACCCACAGCTGCATCACCACTGGTTGTTATGGTCACAGCTGCATCACCACTGGTTATTGTAGCCACAGTTGCATCACCACTGGTTGTTGTACCCACAGCTGCATCACCACTGGTTGTTGTACCCACAGCTGCATCACCACTGGTTGTTGTACCCACAGCTGCATCATCACTGGTTGTTGTACCCACAACTGCATCACCACTGGTTGTTATGGCCACAGCTGCATCACCACTGGTTGTTGTACCCACAGCTGCATTACCACTGGTTGTTATAGCCACAGCTGCATCACCACTGGTTGTTGTACCCTCAGCTACATCACCACTGGTTGTTATGGCCACAGCTGCATCACCACTGGTTATTGTAGCCACAGCTGGATCACCACTGGTTGTAGCCACAGCTGCATCACCACTGGTTGTTGTACCCACAACTGCATCACCACTGGTTGTTATGGCCACAGCTGCATCACCACTGGTTATTGTAGCCACAGCTGGATCACCACTGGTTGTAGCCACAGCTGCATCACCACTGGTTGTTGTACCCACAACTGCATCACCACTGGTTGTTATGGCCACACCTGCATTACCACTGGTTGTTATAGCCACAGCTGCATCACCACTGGTTGTTGTAGCCACAGGTGCATCACCACTGGTTGTTAAAGCCACAGCTGCATCACCACTGGTTGTTGTAGCGACAGTTGCATCACCACTGGTTGTTGTAGCCACAGTTGCATCACCACTGGTTGTTAAAGCCACAGCTGCATCACCACTGGTTGTTGTAGCCACAGTTGCATCACCACTGGTTGTTAAAGCCACAGCTGCATCACCACTGGTTGTAGCCACAGCTGCACCACAATATCCTACTGAAGTTAGATACACCAAATAAATCTTCCTTATTGGTATAATTTCCATAAAGTCCTAAAATGTTTGTTTTGTCTTGTCTACATATTTTTGAGATGCTATTTTGGACTTTCTGTCCTATTGACTTATCAAATCTTGAAAAGTATGAGATATGAACTATGAAAATCTGTAAATGACATAATACCCTCTTGAAAATCTAGAAAACATTGAGAATATTTTAATAAAAACAAGTAAAAATAGGTTTTAGAACCCTGTTGATAAAAAGTCTTGAAAGATCACTAAATACAATATCTAACATGTGAGGTCTTCTTAAGAAAAATGAGTTTTTCTGTTGTTGCTGTAAGGGGACAAAATGACTATTTCCACCCCATGTGCATATGGACTCACACAGGTTTAACTAATTTTCAAAATAGTCCCTCACCTGGTCTATAGTAGTAGCGATCTGTACTTGTAACTGGCTCACCCTCACCTAGTCCATTCAGTTCACACAGTTTGTCTTGTCTCATGTTGTATGATGTACAAGTCCCTTTCATTAAGACGCACTCAAGTGCACACCGTATGTTGCTTCCATAGAAACTACGTAAGATGTTGTCATTCCTGCCTGAGTTAGCAACTTTGTTGAAGAGGCAATTTGCACTGCTATCATGTAATAACAATGAAATATAACTGAGAAATAGTGTAAGATTCATTGCTCTGCTTGATGTAGCTGTAAATCTTTCCAAAAATGTTTGATGTTGCTATGCCAATGATTGATGTCCCACTCCTAGCTACACTAACATTCATGATATGTCTCTCTTTTGATAATGTCAGAGTAGTCATTACGTACATGAGGCATATAAACAACTACATGAAATATTAACAATTGAACAATATGATACCGATTTTTTGATAACACTGCATTTTATTGTAATGTTTCCCTTTGTTCCAGGTTTTGTTGTATTTGTAGAACAAAATTTTGTCGTACAATTAACAAATGAGTAATACATGCATAAGACATGAATATCAATTAGTGGACACATTGTCAATCATGTGCACATGATTCCTAAATGCCATCCCTGGATGTCATACTAAAGGTGTTTAGAGATCAGAATCATTTTGACATAAAAGCACACATGTTTTTGGTATGAATAAGATGAGCCTGTTTGAACTGATAAACAAATGAGTTTCTTGTTCACTCACTCTTGATAACAATTGTACAGAGAAGCACTTGTAAAGTGCATTACCATTACGATAAGTACTTGTATAATGCATTCCCATTAAAAGAACCACTAGTATAATGCATTCCCATTACAAGAAGCACTTGTATAATGCATTCCCATTACAAGAAGCACTTGAATAATGCATTCCCATTAAAAGAAGCACTTGAATAATGCATTTCCATCCATTAAAAGAAGCACTTGTATAATGCATTCCCATCCATTAAAAGAAGCACTTGTATAATGCATTCCCATTATAGGAAGCACCTGTATAATGCATTCCCATTATAAGAAGCACTTGTATAATGCATTACTATTACAATAAGCACTTGTATAATTCATTCCCATTATAAGAAGCACTTGTATAATGCATTACCAACATAAGAAGCACTTGTATAATGCATTACCATTACAAGAAGCATCTATATAATGCATTCCCATTATAAGAAGCACTTGTATAATGCATTACTATTACAATAAGCACTTGTATAATGCATTCCCATTATAAGAAGCACTTGTATAATGCATTCCCTTTAAAAGAAGCACTTGTATAATGCATTACCATTACAAGAAGCACTTGTATAATGCATTACCATTACAAGAAGCACCTATATAATGCATTACCATTACAAGAATCATCTATATAATGTATTCCCATTATAAGAAGCACTTGTATAATGCATTACCATTACAAGAAGCACTTGTATAATGCATTCCCATTACAATAAGCACTTGTATAATGCATTCCCATTACTTTGAAACATCTCAAAATGAAAAGCATGACATTGGGTGGCATTTTGATACAGGTTCACTGATGACAAATCACAGTAGTACTTAATGTTTATCTAATAGAGTTCCAGTTAAAAAAAGTAGTATTGAGACTCAACCTTTTTTATTTAAAAAAGAACTGCTCTCTTGCGTGTGTTTCCCTGCTTGAGGAAGTTGGGTAGACGTAGGCCGAGGTAAAGGGTTTCTGTTTAAAAATCTTTTCAAAACAATTCACTTTGGACTTTCACAAGAATAGAATTAAAAAGCACACTATTCTGCAAATGGAACTTCAGGAAAGCGCAGACATATTTTTGAGTAACAAAATAATAAAAGTGAATTGATTTGAATAAGTGTAAGACTACTTGTTGTTCTACATCACTTAGTAGGAATATTTTATGTTTTATATTTATTTGCAGTAGTTATATTATATTTGTCGTCTCACACCATATCAGGCTGTTACAGAGAACTTGTGCTTGAACGTGTAAAATTATGACTGTCCTGCGATTTGTGTATTTGTCAGGCATTTGCTTAAGAACAAACGCTGAAAAAAATGAATGCACTTGGTTCCGAATTTTCACGCGAATTGCGTATGTGTGTCACGCATCTGCTTCGAATTTTCTTGTTTAGGTGTTCAATAGTTGTAAGTCGCTCATTTTAGGTGTTCCCAGGTTGACAGGCCTGGTTTTCCTCATATCTTTACACATAGTCAGGCAAATACATAAACAAAGGAAAGAACTTGTCTCAAAAGAACCACAGTTTTACATGTTTATGTACAAGTTCCCTTTAAAACATGTAGCTTAACCCACAGTGAGCCATCTTCATAATGATTAATTTTCATCTTACTGCCCACTTTGTTTTTTTGCTCCATGAAGAGAATTAGAATTCTAATCTTTAAAATTTTTAGATGTATATCTAGCTATGAATATATTCTTTTTAGAAAAACCTTCAAAAACTGTTTCCTTCCCGTAATTTAAGATGATATATTCATGGTTATAAGGACCGTTAACACAATGAAAAACCAACCTTGAAAAATAATGTAACATCAAAATAATATAGAATATTAACCTTTAGTTTCCAACATTGTATCTCTTTCAATGATACACCATATCACTAGAAACTTTCATGATTAGAACCTCAGTTTCAAGAGCAAAACACTTGTGTCCTCAATTCTGTTTTCAGTCACGTATTTATCGAGATATAATTCATTATACACAGGGTAGTCAGGAGACCCTTTCAATAAATCACACCAAAGTGGGCAGCAAGATGAAAGAAAATTGATTGTCCAAATCGCGCTAGTTTGCAGCATCAAAGACATAAGACGACAGCCCCCTGAGCTTAACCTCTTTAATATCTTTGTTTTATTTATTTTTACTTTCTTTATTTATCCAGCCCTTACAGGCCCGTAGCCAGGATTTGCCAAGGGGGGGTTCAATTTTCAAAAATTTCCAGGGGGGGTTCACATTTGACAATTTTGGCCCAAATTTGGCTAAAATCACTTGAGAAGTGCTCTAAATGGTCAAAAACTGCATGATTTTGAAAGAATTTTTGGCCAGGGGGGGATCGCCCGAACCCTGCGAACCCCCCCTGGCTACGGGCATGCCTTACTCACATATTATATTGTTACAGTAGTTAATTTCTATCTTTATAATAATTTCTTCTCTATTATTCTATATCCTTAACTGTAGTATTATCTATTTTGTCCAAGAGTAAATGCATGGTTGTCAATCTTCAAAATATCAATGTGTTTTAGTGTGTATCGCCCGCTAGTGGATAGCTTAACTCTCTGCAGTTGTAGTTTACCAGGTTATATCATCTAGTGGAGCTTGCCTGGCATTGTGGGCTTATATGTTAATGCTAGAATAGGGTAAGAGGTCATTTTTTGATCTGTATTTCTGTACAGTGTTATATCAGAGTTCAAATCTGTCATCTGTCAATTTTGGTAACTGTTATTGATAACTTAGGCTCTGGCAGATTTGCAGCTTTTATCATGGCTAATATTGAATACAATATGTCAAATTGTACATGATATGTTTCTAAATACTGTATGATGATATGAAAAAGACTAAAATGAAAGGAAAACTCAGATAATCGATTGGCATTACTTGAACCTTGAAATACAGTGAAATCTGTAAAGTGGAACACCTCTGTTAGTGGAACACTTTTCAGAGTCCCAAGACCAACTGACTTAATGTTAAATTAATCTTTACAAGTCGAACACCTCCCAAGTGGAACACTTTTAGAGGTACCAAGGACATTCCACTTAGACAGATTTTACTGTATTAATACCCGGAAAAATAATTTGACTTTCTTTACTGAATAAGCAGACATTTTTCTAAATATGTTGGTGATTGGTTTCCTTAAAAGTGATTTATTTCTTCCACATTCATTTTATATAGCTTATAACAAATGTGGCCTTTTGCATCAGAGAATGTTTGAGCTTCAATGTTTTGTTATTAGTGGCATGTTTAATTGATGCCTGGATAATAAAATGTCATTCAACAATATATACTTGACAACATACAGTGTCATTGTCACCGGAAAATGGAAATCAGTTTCAATTTACTTCTCCTATTTATCATTCTCAATGTCTGGATATCTAGCAAGGTTAACATGCATTTTGTTAATTAATGCAGTTTACCTTTCTTATTGTCTGTGCCAGGAAATCAATGTGAAGTCTATTTTTCTTTTATATGTTATGTCAATAAAAACGTCAACATATTCACTTTTGCATGTTTGACTTTATTGCATGTTTGCTTTGGAATTCGCACAGAAGAATTTAAAATATTGCTGCAGTTTTCTAGCTGACATTTAATACTATAATATTATTATTATTTATTTTAATAACAACAATAATTCCTTAATTAACTTAATGTCATCCAACTGAAGCTATTAACACATCCATCTTTTACATTGCAACTATTGCATGTCACATGCATTTCAACATTTTGAACTATTATGAGTGCAGTATATGTAGATATATTCATGGTATCAAAGAGGAATTCATCTAATAGCACTAAATATGATGTCTGGTATTTTTATCACAAACCACAAATTGAATTTATATATATTTGGTATTTTGCCTATTTAACATATGTTAGTTTTATGTAGATGGCGTCGTATAATGTATGGGGAAGACCATGTTGAGCCCAATGATGCGAGAACTCTCAGTGAAGAAACCCGCCATATTTGTGAACAGTTTAAAACATACCATATCATAAAGTGCAAGGAAGCAATTGTATCAGACAGGAGGTAATAAATCACTAAATATGATTGGTTCACAGATGGTTTCTTATTATGTTAGCGTGAAAATTTGGTATTAGCTCACAGATGTTAATCCAAGGTGCCATTACACATATTTGATCTGATTTCATTCCAAGGTTTCAGACAGCAAGGTGTATGTATGTAATAGTGCCAAATGACCTCTTCAAATGATAAAAACTTCATGTCTAATTGTGCCAGTATTTTTATTCCATGCTTGTTTGAAGCAATTATTTTAATTGTAAACAATGCAACAGGCAAAACTATCATTTTCATTCAAAATAGTTCTGCATTTTCACTCAAAATAGCACTGCATTTTCACTCAAAATAGTTCATTTTCACTCAAAATATTTCTGCATTTTCACTTTATATTTTCAGGTACCGCTTGAGAGTCTACCGTTATGTGTTCACTGGGTCTAGTCTTGTTGATTGGCTCATACGTGTAGGTCTTTGTGATGAGAGAACTGACGCTGTCCAATATGGCAGAAAACTCCTGGATGGTGGAGTAATACACCATTTCAAGGATGAGCACCACTTTTATGACTTGCCATATTTCTATAGGTTTAAGGATAATGAGAGTGAAGGTCATCATGATGCATCTGATGAAGATATGCAGGATATTACCAGGATTGTTGGAGTTGATGTGGAGACAGAGAGTAGCAGGGTTAGTAGCAGCATGGGAGGATATACTACTTGTAGTAGTACTGAGTTGGCATCAAGGGACCATTGTAAGCCCTCATCATCCTGCTAGTGATCAATGCAAATAATGCTTCACCATGGATTAATAATTGCCCCTCTTCTATATTTCCCTTACTTGGACTTATACTGTATAAGGTAAAGAGTTGAGATTAGATCACTAGATTAGATCAGTGTGGAGAGAGGACTATTATTTTATTCAAAATCAAAATGATAAAGTTGATCAATCAGTATTGATACAGTTTCTATATACAACTTTGGAAATGAGATCATCTAGTCTTACAAATTCTATTTTTTATGTAGTCACTTTAAATTTTCATAGTCAGGGGTCTGTATTCTTTGGTACGATTACAACTAAAAATTCCTAGAAAATGAATCGGATCTTTAGGCGAACAATGAGTGACTGACTGATCCCTGTTTTAGTTCATATAACAATCAATGCAAAATAAATATGTATAGTGCAATTGAATATGTGTTCCATGTGGAATGGTTCTCCAAAATGAGGCATTCCCCCCAGACAGGGTTTATTTAAAGCCTTATATATTTTGTGCACATATAAACTGCCAAATGTTAAATTGAGGGATGGTGATCTTAGGGTCGTGGAAAAACTGGACTAATTACCTTTTGATGATGTGGGGTAAATGACAATTTTTTTTATTTTGTAAAATGTTTGATATTTTGTTGGATTCTAAAATTTTGTTTTCCGACAACTTGTTGTTATTTTAACACCATATTAGTCGTATTCATTTATGTTTACCATGTCAGTTTACATCTCTGATTTTTCGCTTTATGTACATATGTGCTACAATATATACAAGGTGTCCCAAAAAGTGTACTGACAAACATGGAATTATTCTGTGAGTGATGAAGGAATATTCTTGACATTTGGTCATATGTCAGAAAATTTGATTATCATTTGATTATCAAAAACATCTGAAAGTTCTATTAGGTTAATCAAATCTATTGAGATTTAGAGAAACGCTTTTTGGACTTCTAATGAAGGCCTCATACAAAAGAAAACTGAAAAAATAAACCTTACTTTCATCAAGGATTCTTTTTACATGAAAATTTGATGTAATAAATATATGGCATTGTTCAATATTAATATTGTTTAAAAATATAGATTCTCAAATGAATCTCATGTAAATGCACACGTTTGACAGAAAGATGGCAGCACTGCCTTGTCTATTTATATCTAATGTTGACAGAATCCCAATGGAAATAGAGTAACAAGTAAGAGTAAGTCAAGTAAAATGTAACACAGTGTGATTTACAGGTAAATAGCTCTTAAAACTATTTTAACCACTTCAGTATTCATGACTGAATTGGGGACTTTGCACATGTTGATGAACAAGGTCCTACATTAATTCATTCATTTTCATTTATTGGCAGTAATGCCCTGGTCATATGAAACAAAATGGATATGCTTAAACATGTTCCTCAGGTTGGATTATCAATTCACAAAAATATTTTTTCTTCTTTTCTCAACCTTTATTTTACCAAACAGGACGTTTCGGATCCTGTCTGGATCCTTTTTCAACTGTATAAAAACTGAACTGAAGTCTCTTATTGTCATTGTCGAAAACTGTAGTATTGTTCCAGTCCATTACGCAATTATTCTGTAGGACGTGGTCCGTAATGGCTGATTTATTCATCACCCCTCTCCTATAGTGTTACCGTATATCAAAGGTACGATGGAGAAGCTCCAGAGAATTTTTAGAAAACATAAAATTAATGCAGCAGTGAAACCCTACTTGACTCTAATGTTAATTGACATTAATGATAAATCAGGAGTTATTTATGAGGTACCTTGCAAAACGTGTAACAAATCGTATATAAGAGAAACCTCAAGACCTTTGAAAGTTAGAATTAAAGAACATAAGATAGAAGCAGATTCGAGGGACAATTCACGTTACACGCGACAAGCAAAAGAAAATATGAGAGGGGTGATGAATAAATCAGCCATTACGGACCACGTCCTACAGAATAATTGCGTAATGGACTGGAACAATACTACGGTTTGGACAATGACAATAAGATACTTGAAAGATGGATTAAAGAATCTATTTTTATAAAGAAAACGATAATAATATGAACAGGGATCAAGGGAACTATAAATTGGCGGGAATTTGGAATGAATTTTTGGTGAATTGATATGACGTAATATTGTTTTTATTTAATTGTTTTGTAGCGCTTCAGATCAGTTTTTATACAGTTGAAAAAGGATCCAGACAGGATCCGAAACGTCCTGTTTAGTAAAATAAAGGTTGTGAAAAGAAGAAAAAATATTTTTGTGAAAATGGATATGGTCAGGGTATTATTGTCTACAATACAATGTTAGTTCCTTCACAGTCTTGAATGTTTTTATTTAAAGCTTTAAATGTTTATTTAAAAGGGTAATACAGTACTTATACAGAATATGTAATATGTACGTATGTGGTTTTGTCACAGTACATATTCTTTTCAAGGTCATTAAACTGTTAAAGGGTCACTAATTGGACATACAATTTTTCTGAAGTTATCAGTACTTTTTCCAAGCGTTGATTATTATAGAAAAATGTTTATGTCTAAGTCATTGATCGTATATATTTGATTTCATTATGATTCAAAGTATTTTAGGATAAGATAAGAATTCCAGTTATTGGCCCTTCATAAATATGGCTTCACCATGACATAACTAAGTATGGTATTATGTGCAACTGTGAGATGCAGTCTCATGATATTTAAAACTTATTTTTGTTACTTCACATTTTTGAATATTATATATTAGTATTTATATGTATATTTGTTGATGTATAAAATAAAATATCACTATTATCAATCAAATGTATCTTTAAGTTTGAATAATGTTATAAGGTTTAAAAATGAATTATTAGAGAGATTTCGCACATAAGTGAAAGTACAACTTATACGTATATGTATAGTTTAATAATGCTTGCTTCCGTGTCCTTGTAGTTGTAGTGTATTATAAACATGATCCTTTAAAGTGAGTCATGATTCTTTAAAGTGAGGTATTACATAAACAAGTTGATTATTTCAATGTTTTCATGATCAGTATAAGTTCAATGAACTTACAAAATATATTTACGTAGATGATAACGTATACAGTTGGATCTCCGTATAAAGATTTGCCTACATATCCGGGAACAATTGACCGCAAGCATTTTTTAAAATTAATTGGCTGAGTGGGAACAGTATCCAATCAAATACTTTAACCATCAATTTGAAACACCAATCAAACCAGTAGGTTCTAGCAATTCCTGGAATTCAATTCAGTAGCTCAACATATGACATACAGGGTGTTTCATAACGAGCATCTCCAAAAAGTCAATTTGAGAAGAGATGGGTCTATAACATATGTACTATATATGAGCCTATTTTATTCTAGATGAACACATTTGGATCAACTAAACATGTTATAAGTTGTACTTTCACTAGGTGCGAAATCTCTCTAATAATTCAATTCTCCGAAAAACCATCATCTCATTTTTTCAAAATGTCTGACTTATTTTCTAAAAAATAATCCAATTTTAACCACATGAAGTTTCTCCTGTATTATGTCAGTAGCTTCTGAAAGGGGGAGGGCATTGAAACAATATATCCCTTTTTTTTCCATTGTTTTCAGGCTAATTTTGGTCACAAAAAGTTGACAACTTCAAATTAGACTTTCAATGCACTTCTTCCTTTAAAGAACTTATAGATCTCCTAGTTATAAAAATGAGAAAAATATTGAATTGAGAAAATACTGATGGTCAATTGTCTAAAATCAATTGCCATAGCATACCTGGCCCTTTTAAGCTGGTGAGATGCCTGCATGGCCACCTACACATTTAGCCCAACAGCCCAGAAGATAACATTGTAGCACTTTTTAAAGTGTGATAAAAAACGAGGTGAAATATTGTGCAAAATCCTTGATTTGGTTAAATGTTATTCTGTTGCGCTTTTCTAAAATAACAGATCCCATCCATTGAGAGTGATATGTAATAGACCAGATGCAGGTAGAAATAATCTTGATTTACCTCATTAAATATTCTTTAGTCAAAATTATATCCTATTCTAAATCTACAAGTAACAATACATCTATCTGGTGTTTCAAAAAATTGTTAATCAACTTTGAAAAACTTTCTTTGAAAATGTGATTTCCAGAGATCCCATGTTTATAAATCACCGTGAAATATCTTGTATTGGACAGATAGCATTTTCCTTTACTGGACATATTTCAATTTGTATAATTAGCAGACACATAAGGTTGATATGAAAATTGATCCACTAAAACTGATGAATATTCAGGTTTAAGGGAACTTTCTACTATATCTGCAATGTTACCTTACCCAAACTAGCCACCTGGTGGTAAAACTGGTAACTTACTGTACCTACTGGCATCTGGATAATTTGTCTCGTTTGTTCCATCATATTTTAGTGGGAGTTCAACCCACTATGCATAAATACTAAAACTAAGCACTTCTTGGTGGTGAATACATGACAGAATTCTAACTAGAAAACAAAAGACAATGGTTTCAATAAAGTCCATTTATTACAATATGATTCAATTATATTTCAATACAGCTGTACAAGATTCAAACAGATCTGCAGTAAATAACTAATATACAGAATATGACTTAAATATAGTGCAAATGCACAATTACAAACTTAATGTTTTCTGGTCAATTTTGGCAGTTAATATAGTTGATAAACAACAAAACAATGTATATAGTGAATATTAGGCTCTCCTATGTCGCCTCTTTACAAAATATTCCAGAATAATAAATCAAATTCAAAAAGTAAAGTGTGCTTTCCTTTGATCTATGGAGAAGTCAAAGATAAGGCTGTAAAAGTGTTCTCATGATTCAGAAACTGAATTAGCCCAAGTAAAATGTGTGAAATGGTAACATCAACCCAATGCATTAAATGCAAAACAGTCAAATTCTTTTGAAATTCCACAGAAATTCAATTTATACAAAAGTCATGATTCTTTGAGGTTGAAACCAAGAAATGATCCAAGAATATCAGATCTTCAAATATGCCTTTCTCCTCTGACCTCTGTCTTAACATCCTGGCACATTCCATTCAGCCAAACTATTGGTTCACAAGAGCATGACTCACATGATTATTGCTATAGCAACCATATCGATTAATTATACTGCATCTCCAAAATAAACTGAAACTTATCATACATAAAAGCAATTTTGTACAGCGTATGTTTGAATTTTACTTCATATTGCACAACAATATAAAAGAATGTATAATCCTTTAGACCAACAAATAATCTCAAAGACTGCCATATAATCTTTAAGATTTTCAAACCCTCAACCTTACAAAATATTTCTCAATCTCACCCACATCCACTCTCTTGGTTAAAGAAGTTTGCAAACAAATTTCTTTCCTGAATTACAATAACTCTGCTTAATTTGGAAACCATTTTAATTTGGCAATTTGTAAAAATTTCTAAAATCATAAATAAAAGAAGACATTTCAGCGAGAGCATCTGCACATGCATATTAAGAAATTCAGTTTAATATGAGGCCCTAAGATTAATAAGTCTTCATTTATGGCAATGTCAAAATATGACCCTTGACTTTACACTGTCTTAGCAACATGCTCACTGCTGTCAAATTCACCAATATCACAGGCTACATTCGCCAAATTGAATCTTCGCCAATTTTCATATTTTGCCAAATTAAAAAGCACCACATTAAGTATAGTATTACTACCATTTTTTCAAATGTGAATTTTTAAATAGGGGCTCAATGGTTCCAGGTGGCATATATATAGCTTTAAGTACATGATTGCACCATTTTGTATATACATGTGCAAGTACATGATTGCACCCTATAGTGTATACATGTGCATGTACATGATTGCACCCTATAGTGTGTACATGTGCAAGTACATGATTGCACCCTATAGTGTATGTCCAAGTACATGATTGCACCCTATAGTGTATACATGTGCAAGTACATGATTGCACCCTATAGTGTATGTCCAAGTACATGATTGCACCCTATAGTGTATACATGTGCAAGTACATGATTGCACCCTATAGTGTATACATGTGCAAGTACATGATTGCACCCTATAGTGTATACATGTGCAAGTACATGATTGCACCCTATAGTGTATACATGTGCAAGTACATGATTGCACCCTATAGTGTATACATGTGCAAGTACATGATTGTACCCTATAGTGTTTGTCCAAGTACATGATTGCACCCTATAGTGTATACATGTGCAAGTACATGATTGCACCCTATAGTGTATACATGTGCAAGTACATGATTGCACCCTAAAGTGTATACATGTGCAAGTACATGATTGCACCCTATAGTGTATACATGTGCAAGTACATGATTGCACCCTGTAGTGTATGTCCAAGTACATGATTGCACCCTATAGTGTATACATGTGCAAGTACATGATTGCACCCTATAGTGTATACATGTGCAAGTACATGATTCCCCCCTACAGTGTATACATGTGCATTTTTATACTGTTTGTAATTACTGCAATTTTAACATCATTATAATTTATAAATTATAATACACAACATATAGTATTTACAAAGATCAGATAATATTTTTCTAAATCAGTAGATTCATCTAGAAAGAAATAATTTATTTTTGTGATTTTTAAGTTGTAAGTTTATAAATGTAAATTAATAAAATACATAACAGTACAAGATGTGCAGACATGATTCTCACAACAATAGATGTGTTAAGACATGATGCTCAAAATAAATGATGTGTGAACATAATATGCCCACAAAAGGTTCTCTATATTTTATCTCAACACATTTAACAGTATTTCAAATTAACACAAAACTACAAGTATGGCATATCAAATATTCATAAAATCATCACAAACTAAATGAATACTATTTTGCCTTGTACTAACACAAATAAATAACTAAATAGGCACCCTAGGCATATAAGATAGTATATCTATTATTTATATATAATTATATATATTATATAATAGTTTAAATTTTTAAGAGTGCTGTACATGAATAGTTTAAACTGATATAAGTTATAATTTCAATTATGAAAAATTTACATTTTTTTGTCTTGATCTCCCATACTGCTTCTTTAGTAATATGCATGTCTAATCCAGCACAAGAAATAAGAACTTTTGTGCCAGGTGAAGTTCACATACTTTGAGACACTCTGATGGTCTGCTGGTTTCAATGACAGTGTTTTCAGTAAATAGACAACTTTCATCATACTCAATATTCTGAGGAAAGCATTCTGATACAAAGTTAAGCATAAGCATCAGAGTCTCCTTTCGATCCAGCTTCAATGTCAACGCGACATATTGGACATTTTTGATTGGTCATTAGCCACTGGTCGACACATTCACAGTGAAACAAATGCATACATGGCAGTCTCCTGAAAAAGAAAAGACATTCACTGATGCACAAAAAATCATTTTAATTTTTTTTAAATGGAAAGACTGATCTTTTTGCCAATCTTTTCTTGATGCATTTTAGGATATCAGTTATACATCACCATATTTAGATTATTCAATTGGTATTTTTCAATGTTGTATTAAATATGTATGATTCACTTTTCTTTCATCATGATATACTAGTGAGAACCAAAACTGAGAATTGTATCCCCTAATATAGCACTTTTTGAAAGTGTGATAAAAAATTATTTAAAATATTTTCGTTTTACAAAGTGTGCAGTGCATTACTGATATTACCAAACTGAACACTCTACCTGATGGATTTAGATAAAAACAATCCGATTCCAAACCCCTTTCAGGCTAATATTCAAGTTGGCAAGCCATAGTAGAGTCATAGTCATAGTCTACATATGTAGCATAATGATAAATTAAGATGTTACCTGACATCCTCATCTTCCTCTAGTTCACTTAGACATATAGTACATTTGTCCATTTGGATATCATCATCATCATCTTTATCTTCTGTCTCACAGGTGTCTTTGGTCTTTTTCGCATCTCCTTCCTCTGTTTCTGTCTGACCAGAACGTGCAATTTTGTGATATTTGAAGGGGTAGGTGTTCCGTTCAATGGTCTCCTGTGTGGCCCCTCTGTTGGCACTACCACCATGGAAGTCCCAGTGGTTGGCAAGTTGCTGTAAAAAAGTATTGAAACATTCAATTAGATATACATGTATATAGTCAAGTGATTTTTTAAAACCATGGTATGATTTTGACTGAATTCATGTTGTTATTATTCAATTACATTATATCTCAGAATTTAATTTTACATCATTTTTGAAGTTGGAATTATATTATTTTAGGGTATTAATTCACAAAAATAAATAAATAGGATAAAAAATCCTTTTCTAATGTTTGTTCAGTCTACACTACATATTATACTTACATCTGGCGTAAGTCTTGTAAAGAACATATTATGCATGGGCATGTGTGCCATTGGAGGAAAAGGTGGGAACTGTGGAAATGGTGGCATCTCTGGCATGGGTGGCTGAAATATAGAGGGAATCTTTATTATAGATATGCAATATATATTTAAAAGCAAAAATGTTCCTTTTCACTGAAATATGCATGAAACAGAATCTGGATAAGTTTAAGCAAGTTAAAAGAAATTCTCACTAGACAGTCTCAGTGTTTTCTGATTTTGAAAATGATATAAACTGTCAGCCAATCGGAGAGCACTTCTACAATCTTCATTCACCATGGCATCAAGAGGTAATTTTGTCAAATCTACTTCATATTTATCTTGGGCTTTTTTTTATTTCAAAATATTATTGAGTGTCCAGAGCCACTATACCCTTGTATAATTATGCTCTCTACTTAACCCAATGACCCCAATAGACTTACCATGATATGAAGAGGCGGCACAGGTATATGTTGTAACCTCTGCTGGGGGTGCTGGGCATGTGGAGGGTGGTGGTAGTGGTGCAGGTGGTGGTGAAGATGCTGGTGGTTGGTCTGACCTGGACTCACACTTGCCCTCACACTTGTACCATAGCTGAAACAAGAATATAAAACATACATTGGTACAGAACAAGGAATATGCAATATAACTGTTCTCTCAAGGTTGCTTCAATATACTGGACAGATGATTAAAATGAATACTGTAAATGTAAAAATGACATTCTGTAAAATGTAGGAATCAAGTAAATACATGTAAATGTAAAATTGACAATAGCAACTGACAATATCTATAGCTAAGAGTGTTATCAATAAAGTAATAATAATTAGCATCTAAAAATATTCACTGTTGATTTCCCAAACATACTTCAATTTTAAGTGATACATTTATAATATAATAATGAAGAATGTACATACGGCTGAAGGGCTGGAGCATGCCACACTGTCCCGGAGAGATGGGCAGGTGGGGGTCCATGTTCCGTTGCCTCCAGATTACGGTGATGAAATGGTATTGCATGTGTCATATCATGTCGCACAAATCTGTTTGGACTCCTGGAGCCACTGTCATGTTGTGAACTATGGGGGTAAGAGCCTTGTGCCTGCTGGGGAGGGGCCTGGGAAGTATGGGGGTGAGGCTGGGGGCGAGGACTGGTCGGGAAAGCAGGGAGCAGCTGAGATGGTGTCAAGCGATCACGATCTCTTTGATGAAACAAATGTGCCTGTTGGTGAACAGGCAGAAATATAGAAGGGTGATGAGAAGGATGGTGATGATGTGCCACTGGGGGGTGGTGCACAGCATGCCCAGTCAGACCAGTACTCTGGAGGTACTGAACCCTGGGGGTCAGGACTGGGGGTTCATAACTCAGATCCTCAGGGTGATTCCCCCTTGATGGACATGTTCTACGATGGCTACACGAGCCATGAGCTGGAGTTGCATGACGACAGCTACTTTGTTGAGACTCTGGCTGTTGGTTAGTGCTGCATGGAGATGGTGATGCATGTGTATTCTAGAATGAAACAATGAATGCTTACAGTGTGAACAGAAACTCCATACACCAAATACTATTAATATTACACACAATGAGCATTAATTTAAAATGCTTTTCAAACTAAATGAAATTAAACATTAAATACAATTTCTTACATTTTTGAAAAGATGAAATTAGAAAAATTTATGACATGTGATTTTAAAATTTTAATGTGTATGGCATATTTTGCAACCTTTCTTCGTACGCTTGCTTTACAGTTATTTCTTCATGAAATGAAACAGTCTGCAAGATGAACTTAGTCTGCAAGATGAACTTACATTTGGGCAAGGTGATCTGCATGCCTCAGTGTAGCGAGAATTAGCTCCAGTGAACCTGTGATTGTGGACATGGCTATGGGCAGGGGGTGGCTGCACATTGCCCACCAGCTGTGAGTAGGTATGGTGGTGAAGAACGCTTGTCCTTGGGTGGTAATGGGTGGGCCCACTTGGTTCAACCTCTTGGATATCATTCGAGTGAACACGGTGACTTTCTGAAGTTCAAGAATAAGAATTATTTTCAAATTAATCTTTCTCTATTTAGATTTATTTTAGATGTGCGAACAATACCCTAGATACTTACACTTGATTTTCTTTCAAAAAAGCCCGATGGGTGGTATATTTTAAGTACTTCTTATAATATTTGCTTGACAAATCTCTCTACAAACTTTACAAAAGGTTTTTCCCTCGATTCTAAATGTTGTTCTAAGAGCACATTTGAGTAAAATATTTTTTCCAAACTGCCTTACTAAGCCCCCGTGTAAAGTTGAAACCACTTTGGCTCAACCTAATTGTCTTACCTAATGTTATCAAAGTGTGATATGTGAAACCTTTTTTTAATTCTAAAAAGTGATTTTTGAAGGACTTTTAATTGGAAAAATTGTGAATTTATTTCAAACTAACTTTTAGAGGTCATATGTATTTTTAAATAAGAGATAATTAACACCAATGCATTCATCCTCAAGTGTTTTCTGCCGAAAAATTAAAGAAAATTGGTTCAAAAATCTCTAAATAACTTCATGACAAAAAGTAAACGAATGACAAACACATATTTTCAAACTTCACATGGGGACTTGAACTATACATTCACTTACCTGAGTCTGATTCAGTGAGGTCCACAACAACTGTGGCAGAACGACTACATCTCTCCTCATCAACCTCTATCTCAGGGCTGGAAGAAGAAGTTTTGATATATCTATTTTTGATCTGTTTTATTAGTCAAACTCAAAAAATTCTAATTCTGAGAGAACATAGACAATTCAATCTGTCAAATCTAAAAAACAAACAATTCAATCTCACAATTGATAAAACAGAGACAAATCTAGCTCAATCAATGTGTGGCCAACAAGGGCAATGAATCCAAATGGTAAAGATCTTTCATTTGTGAACTTCAACAACAAATGTCAAGAATAGAAAGCAAGATAACTTCTATTAAATAAAAAAAATTAATTGATGTGGCCTAAGCTATGAACATTTGCTCTTATCTACAGTAACTCTTGGAATACAATTGGATGATTGATAAATTTTACACTACGAGTATTGATTTACTTTTTACTATGAAATATCTGAAAACAAGAACAGATGTTCAAAAATAGAACATCAAACCAAGGTTATATGAAAAAGTTGAAAAAATATGTATTAAAATGTGAAAATACAAATTATGATGTAGGCTAAGTATTTTGCTGAAAATTAGCAACAATTGATTTTGCTCCAAAAATGTAGCTTTTGTACCTGCCACCAGATCCATGATGACATATTCAAAGAGGGAAATTAAACAAACTTTCAAGTGATAAATATTATTATGCTTGACTATTTTAGATTGAAGCATGAATTAACATGTTTCAACATAATTTTTGAAATAATCTAAGCCCAAATAAATAATAATGAAATTTTATCATTCAAGTACTGCGCTTCTTTTAAATTATTTATAATTACATATATTATGAATTGATAATATATGTTTGTTTTCTTACTAAAGTCTTGTCCTTCTCAGATGACGAAATAAAAACTTATTTTTACGTCCATAATTGTGTGTGTGATCCAGTTCCATTTGAATAATTTCAAACCGTTTGTGTAGTAACTTATGCAATGCCATAATGCAAGTGTGTACAAAATGCCATAAATGATAATTCTGACTTTGAATTCATTATCATGACAAAAATCAATTGTTTTGATTTTAAATAAAATCCATGATTGCTTTATTTTAGGGGTCATTTATAAGTCTGAAATTTTTTATTTTTATAACTTAAATGATTTTGAGATGGCTTATTTTGCCAGATGTTCAATGTGTTTGAATAAACATTGTAAGGCCAAGAAAATAAATCAATGTAACTCTTCTAATATGCTAGATTTGTCAGATTTGTTTTAGTAATATTGATCAATAATATTTCTCCTTTTCATTCAACAAACATTCAGCACTCAGCACCATCTGTCAAATATCAAACATCAAAAGTGAAAGCGTCGGGTCAATATTGCCCATATTCAGGTCAACATTTGACAGACTACATACATACATTATACTTATATTATTCCTGAGTTTAAGATATGATATTTTCTAATATGAGATGGCATAAACTATAAAGTAAGCTGTTTTACCTTTCTGACTTGATGCTAACGACTTCAATATCGTCATCAGTGGATGTCTCATCTAGTGTAACAGGATGATCTTGAGTGTGTATCTCACATTGGGTCGCAACAACTGGCTCACATGTTGGTTGATCTAGTGGAATTACATCATTGTCTGTATTAATCACACATGTTGCACTATCCACTGCAATAGGGGAAGCTGGGTCATAAGGCATATAGTCATCCTCAATCTCAACTTCAATGGCTTGCATAGGAACTCTCAACTGAGTGAATAATCGCTCTGTTCTGCTGCTACTGGTAATGCGGTTTGACTGGTTGGGTTGAGGTTGTGACGTTCGACTGCAGCTACTTAGATGTTGCCAGTTATTGTTAGTTGATCGATGAGAGTTACCTGTTCCACAACTGCTCGCACCACTTCCAGCGTGGGCATCATCAAGGACATCTACCTCAATGTTAGAGCTACTAGATCCCCGATCACAGTCCAGGGCAGCACTGCTTGTAGGTTCCTGGCCTGCCTTGCCATTGTTTCCCATAGCTGTATTATACCAAGCTTGTTTGGGCTTCCATGCTGGTTTAATTGTGTGATGGGATTGTGAGTGGTTATTATGAGTGTGCTCCCCAGATCTAGCAGCAGGGGCCATAGAGCCACTTGGCCTGGGGGCAACAGATCCTGCCCTAGGGGGGAGATGTTGATGTTGAGCAGCTCCTATGTGCCCAACGCCATCTCTAGGCTCGAGGGAGACACGTCTTTTCTTCTGTCGATGTCTCACAGTCAAGTTGCGATGGTGAAATGGTTGTAGATTTGGAGCTACTTGAGGTCTAGGTTGGGCAATGTGCCTGTGATTGCAAGTACATTGTTGTTGTTGTTGTTGGTGACTACAGCCTGCTCTTGGCTCAACTACACGTCGTTCAACAACAATTTCACCTCGATCGTGTCCACGAGTGTGATTGCAACAATGTGGCTGCCCCCTCATGTTGGAGGAGGAGATTGCATGATCATGTGATGAAGACATAGCATGATCATTTGTTCCATGTGCTGTACATGCACAAGAGGATCTAGTATGTCCCCTACACGGCCGCGGCACCCCAAGGACCTCTACAGGGCCAGTCCTGGGGTACACATGTGGTCTTTGAGGTCTAGCTGGGCGGGGATCAGCCTCCGGAGATTTTGCCCTCTCTGTAGGCTCCTGGCTCCTTGGAGTAATATATGAGCACATACGCCGTGGTCGTGGTACAGGAGCATCTGTGCGACATTTAGGTACAGGTGGCTTGGTCTCTGGGAGATAGGGCACATATGGATCTGTATCAACATCCAACTCTTCGTGATCACTATATATGTCAGGGTGAACAGACATGGCTAAGCCAGAACAGCCACTAGAGCTACTAAGGCGGTCTCCTGAATACAAAAAAATTGAATATTAGTTCATGTTATCAGAAACATTACCAAATACAATGAAGCAAAGGTAGCTAAATGTACATCTTTGCCTACAGGGTGTTCCTGGTGCATTACATCATTGTCTGTATTAATTGCACTTTGAAGTATTGCAACTAAAATTGTAAAGTTTCAGAAAAAATGATAAAATGCGGGTAGAGTTATGGTTACTATAGTTACATGACATTCCAATACCCGGGGCAACTTTTTCCTGAAAATGTGATATCTAACATTTTTGTATTACTGAAGAGGGTATCTAATTCAAGTGTTATAATACAAAATTTCTTGTTTATTTTATTAGTTGCTTTGTTGTAAAGGTGTTGCTATACAAATCAGATTCAAGTATAATTTCATAATAATTATATTTATTCAATTTCCTGGAATATATCTATGTATAACAGTCTGAATAATTCACGGTTGAGTTTTTGAAAAGATCCAATTTGAAGCCAGTCATCCACATTGATAACGCGCCTTCCTGCAGGTCAGCATTAAAGACCATGCAGCTATAGAGGAGCTAGGTCTTGCGGTCTAAAACCATGCACCATACTCTTCTGATGAGGCAATATCTAATTTTTACTTATATGGAGAATGAAATGCTAATCAGTGCTGTAAGATCTTTAAAGATGAGAATGACCTTCTTAAAGTTGTCCTATGGACCCTGCGTGACATGTCCTGAAATGGGTTCACTCATGTGTTTGAGTCATGGATACAGAGTGCGACTCTTCTACTGACCAAAGAGGAGCCTACTTTTCAAAGTAGAGGATACATAGGAATATCAAATGATGAAAAGCAAATGTAATTCCCACCAGTTCTTGCATTTCAACTTTAATGTCTCTGTAACTTTCTGCATGGAATGTTGACCCGGGTATTGTGATGTCATGTTACCATAGCAACCATAACTCTACCCGAGTTTAATATTTTTTGTTGAAACTTTGCAATTTTAGTAAGGATACATGAAAGTACATAATGTAAAATTTTGTGTTAAATGTATCTTTTTAGATTTACCAGCAAACAGCCAAACAGACATTTTTTAGATAAACCGATGGACAATTGGTTTCTCTATATCCCTAATAACACTTTGTTTGATAGGATAAAAATGTGCTTATTGTACATTAGTACATAATGTTGATGGCCTTAGTGCAGAGGGACTATCGAGTGAATGAAAGAAATATAATATACCTGATGGGCCTGGTTGGGGCTCTACAGAGACAACATCCACTATGTCTTCACTACTTGCTGGCCACATCTGTTGCTCTACAGTACCAACACTCCCTGCAACTGTAGAAACAATACAATTGGTTAGAGGAGGCAAGATTTCATATACCATATTATATGAATCATGCTTTGGGGGAGGTGGTTATGCTCTGATTCTTACTTCAAATTGAACAATGCTCCCTAGAGTTTGCTTTACAAAGTATTATAATTCAATTAATTGCTCCTTATGTATGATTTATATATCACATTGTTGGGTACCTCACACAAATTATCTTATATAGCCCCTACCATTTGCTTACAACTGAAACTGACCTATGGTAGCTTCTACTATGGCTTCAGCACGTCTATTGAGAATGTCTGTTCCTTGAGCAAACTCTTGCGGCTCAACAATGGAGCTCTCCAGTATTGGAGATGAGACTCCCTGCATGACATCATCATCAACAATAATGTCCTCTTCTTCTTCCTTGAATGAGAAGGAAAACACAAAACTATAAAATGTGTACAAAATGTCCCCACCTATGGGTGATCCCGTCAAATGGTTATCCTAAAAATGAGTAGACACGACTTTACCGACACAATTTGAGGATGGAAAATCCAAAATGGCCACCTTAAAATTTACCCAGAATGCCAAAAAATTAGTCAGTTCTAGACTTTCATACTAAGAACCACCCCTGAAAATTTGAAATTGATCCGTCACACAGTTAACCAGAAAACATGTAAACAAGATTTTAGGATGGAAAATCCAAAATGGCTGCCTTGACATTTATCCAGAATGCCAAAAAACTAATCTGCTCTAGATTTTCATACTAAGAATCATCCCTGAAAATTGGAAATTGATCTACCAAACGGTTCACCTAGAAATGCATAGACAAGACTTTACAGACAAGATTTTAGGACAGAAAATCCAAAATGGCTGCCTTGACATTTACCCAGAATGCCAAAAAACTAATCAGATCTAGATTTTCCTACTAAGAATCATCCCTGAAAATTTGAAATTGATATACCACACAGTTCACCTAAAAACGCGTAGACGACTTTACGGGCAAGATTTTGAGACGGAAAATCCAAAATGGCTGCCTTGACATATATCCAGAATGCCAAAAAGCTTAATCAGATCTAGATTTTCATACTAAGAATCATTCCTGAAAATTTGAAATTGATCTACCACATCAGTGATCTCCCCAGGATTTTTTCATAGCAGGGGGGATTTTTTAACAAGTTTCGCCGCTCGCTTGATTTTTGGGCCAATTTTTGGGGAACTTTTCACTTACAAAATGTATATAAACACCAAATCTCATTCAGAAAACCTTTTATTTAACAATACATGGTAATATGCTTGTAGTGTCATGAGTGTTCATTGTTCATTGTGTTTCCTTAAAGTCTTCTGTCCCTACATCTTCTGGGGTGCATGTAGACAAGACTTTACTGACAAGATTTTAGGATGTAAAAATCCAAAATGGCCGACAATAAAAAAGTGATTATCAGTTTTTGCTGATTTCTTTTTACAAAATTATCACATATAACTACTGTTAACAATAGCATAGGCTTTTACAACAAAGTACACCTGAAATTATTTATAAAGCTACTAAATGGTTAAAGTATGAAAACTAAAAAACACCATCCAATATGATACAAAGTATTATCGCGCGCTAACTTTTCTTAAAACATTCAAAATGGCTGACATGACTGAGCTAACAGGTCCAAAACCTAGAGATGTAGAATGAAGTGAGCTGAACAAGATGTTAGAGTTTTAAAAGCAACTGTGAAGCCGTTTTTCTTAAAGTTTGCAGACAAGGATTTTACCATTTGACTTCAAAATTGTCGACAGAAAGTAAGTATCGAGTTAAATTTTTTTCATCCACATCTGTATGCACTCATAAGTTATCCCTGAAAATTTGAAGGTGATATCTGTAGTGGTTTTGGAGAAAACTGCCGGACATACGGACAGACAGACGGACAGACAGACAGATGGACGCGCCTAGGCCGACAATATGGCCCCACACTATGTGGGACATATGAGAATGATGCAGTTATCTCCCGAGCATATTAAAGCAAGTAGCAAGTGGATGCTCAAAACAAATGAGATTTTAAAAGAAAGGTTGGAGTTGCATCCAAACCTAAATCCATTTGCACATATTCAAAATGAGAAAAATGAATAAAAATAGGTTTTCAAAAAATCATCAGAACTGTGAAATACATTGAGATATATCCATGAGAGAACGCTGAGATGATTGATGTTCCGATCAGCTTCTTAAATTGTATAAATCTTGATATTTTAATTCATGTCTCACCTCTTTCTTTATTCCTACAATTGAAACTGGGCTCCAGGGGTCAGTTGAATGAATACCTCTCGCTTCATCCATTTTATGGATCTTGAACCTTCTCTTCCTTAACTGGTATATCGTATGGGAAGGTACACTTTTAACAAATCATTAGATGTCTTTGACAGAAAACGCTAAATGTATTGTTGGATCTATCTGTGTAAATACTTCTTATGTGTCCTTTTATGTTTTGCCATCCTTCGACTGTAGTTTAAGTCCATCAAAGGCAGTACAACTGAATACAAAGTTATACCAATGGACAACAGTTATATTATTTAGCTAAATGGTTATATTTCTTCCTGAGCTATATGACATTGTTCCAGTTTCTTGATAAATGACAGTGCTTTGTCAAGGTACATGTATAGTCTTGAACTGTACCAAATAACAGTCCTGTATAAGACATCAATCCCACATTCTCTAGCTGTCCTGTTGATGATGTTTCTGAATAAGACAATGAACAGTCTCACCTGCAACTCAAAATAAATCATTTTCATAAAATGGAATTTCATAAAATTGGCATGAATGTAATTCAGCCGTGATATATAAAAAAAACTAGGCATGAAAATATGTTCTTTGGAAACCTGTAATACTGTAATCCCATTATTTTTTTCGTGAACGATTTAATTTCGCACAAATAATCCAGGGGCATGAAAGCCCATGAATAAACCAACCAATGACGATGTCATAGAGGTTGAGTTACAGCGTGCTAATGAACAAAATCTAGTAATTGGAAATCTTATCCAAATATGACATTGGGTAAGTGTAAATACAGTACATAAGGTAGGGAAGATGCATTGAACTTCCAAGATCAACGTATGGGGCTACTTCGTCATGGGGCTACTTCGACCATGTGGTTATTTCGACAATTGCCGATAATTCATATTTCCAGGGTTAGCCATCGCCATCACCTGTCAGAAATTTCAATTTATTTTTCAAAAACAAGCATGGCGGAAATATGACCCAATGTCAAAATTGCCCCATGGTCGAAATAGCCCCATGACGAAATAACCTCATACGTCAAAGTTCGATGCATCTCCCCTAACTTAGATTACAAAGTTTGAGGATTCTGAGAATAATGAAATTTCAACTTGAGAAATCTGTGAAATTTATATAGATAACATTAGAGAGATTTGGTCAATTATAAAGAACTATTCGCATATCTAGGCCTAGTGCAAGGTCAAAACGCTGATGGTCAAAATCTCTAGGTAGCGCTGTCAAGCTGTAGATTTGTTTTGTCTACTGTAAACCTAGGACTGGCCTTACCAGACCCGTCTGACCCAGTTATCAACTCCTAACGTTGTAGATCTACAATATTTCAGAATTAGGGAGTAAACAACTGGGCCAGACGAGTTTGTAGAAAAGGGGAAGTTGTAAAATTGATCTGTGGACAAAAGAAATCGATTGTTGAAATGTAACATGATATGATAAATTTTGAGCTGATATGACACACTTTGAATGGGTAGAACATAAAAGATCAAAAAACCTAAATAAATGGAGATATTTACCTATATTTCCTAGCTAAATTTCAGGAAATTCTCAAAATTTGCCAAAATAACAAGTATTACGGACTGAATAAATAAAAGTACATTGACCTCGAAAAATACCATATCAAAAACAAAGAGTGATTATGGAACATCTCAAATAAATAAATTTAATAAAACTCTTGACCTTATATAGAATTTTTGTATTTTTCCTCCTAAATATGAGTGTTCAGATATAGCCTAAAATCGATTTGGGGTTGGTCAATTTGAGACAAGAAATTTTTTACAATATTTATTGATTCTGATATTGTGTACGAGTTAATCTAGGCATTTTTGGAAAATGAGAACAATTGTATAAAACAAACTTATGCATAAATAGTTTTACTATTGAGATAATAGGTTCGACAATTCTTCTGGAGATTACGACAAAAACATTTTCTGACAGTGTCATGATGTCTGAAATTTGGTAAGTCTGCAATTTTCACATTTTATCCACAGATCCGGAGCCAGATCCAGCCCCTGTTGGTAGTAGGCTCAAAGGATATATCCAGAATACTCACTGTGCATGGCAAAATGACTGTAGTTACATTGCACCTAATTCGAACTGGGGATCCGACCAAACCGAATATCATATAAATCCTATATGCTGTTCTTCATTTCTTCGATGTTCCTTGTTCTTATTTGGATAGGCTAGATCTATTTATTTTTTATCATTTTCTTAGCATAAACGGTCGTAGAAATTATAGGTAATAAAGTGCGGGAAACGCTTTCATGGCATGTCTCTAGTATAGACCGAACGTAATATCCCATACCTGCCAACCTAAGCAACAGTGTCAAGATATAGGGACAGAAAATATTGACATTTTAAAAGTACCGTTTTTTTCGTTTTGTTATTATGGAAAGTCAAACATGACTATAGATGATGTTTTATGTAGGCATTTATGTATGATACTTAACCATACTCTACGAAGAATGGATGATTTTTGTAGGCATTTATGTAGGCATTCTTAAAACACGTTACTTTGCCTTAAAAACGTTACTTTATTGGACTTTAACTTTTCTCCTCGAAGAATGGATGATTTTGTATTAAGCATTTTCAAAACACAGTACTTTGCCAATAAAACGTTACTTTATTGGACTTTAACTTTTCCCCACAAAAGCCGGAATGTATGATTTTTTTATGAATGCATTCTCAAAACACGATACTTTGCCTTAAAAACGTTACTTTATTGGTCTCTAACTTTTCTCCTCGAAGAATGGATGATTTTTAGGTAAGCATTTTCAAAACACAGTACTTTGCCAATAAAACGTTACTTTATCGGACTTTAACTTCTCCCCACAAAGAATGTATGATTTTTTATGTAGGCATTCTTAAAACACGTTACTTTGCCTTAAAAACGTTACTATTGGACTTTAACTTTTCTCCTCGAAGAATGGATGATTTTATATTAGGCATTTTCAAAACACGTTTCTTTGCCTTAAAAACGTTACTTTATTGGACTCTAACTTTTCTCCTTGAAGAATGGATGATTTTAAGGTAGGCATTTTCAAAACACAGTACTTTGCCGATAAAACGTTACTTTCGTGGACTCTAACTTTTCTCCTCGAAGAATGGATGATTTTTTAGGAAGGCATTTTCAAAACACAGTACTTTGCCGATAAAACGTTACTTTCGTGGACTCTAACTGTTTCCATGCCAAGTTGTTAAAACACGTTACTTGCCTGGCCAGTTTATTCCTTCAAGTGTTGAACATTTTAGCCTGGCATTTTTAAAAAGCGTAACTTTGGCCGATTTCCGTAACTTTCTTGTACTCTTAAGTTTTCCTCCATCGAGCGTTGGTAAATTTTAGGTAGGCATTTTCAAAAAGCGTTACTTTGGCCCTTTTCTGTTACTTTCTTGGACTTAAACTTTTTTCGATGTGTAACTTGAAAATCTTGTCAGTGAGTGGTATTTATTATTGTAAAAGATAAGATGGACCATAGTGTAAAGAGAGGCTAGTAGTGTTTTTCCATCTATTAATTCACTTATTCCACCTTGAAAATCTTAAATTCTTGCAATTTTGCTCGATTAATAATTCCATTGAGTAGGTCTACTTCGAATCTAAAAAACAACGAATCAAATGACCATATTTAAACAGTTTATGGAAAAATAGAAACTTTTGTACAATGCCTAACTTTTGTTTTGGTTTGTTTCGTAGTTCAATGATCTTCCATGTTATTTTCGAAATAATAACATGGATGAAACTCCCTAAATAGGTACAGCTTTACTGCACGTTATACCTAACTATCTGTAATATACAATAGTTACGTCTTGTACGTATGTTTATATTTTTTCATTTTCTGTTGCAATACTGTTGATTGCTTATTTAACGTTCAATGTACTCAATTAGGCGGTTAAAAGACCAAAGTGGATCCTTTTTCATGAATGTACGTTAATTTATAGATTAATTTAGCCGATAACAGTGTTGAATTACTTCAGAGTTGCAATTTTAGCGATTCATACGATAAAAGATCGATTCATCCCAAACACCCACTTTACCGGAAGTCGCTCTCTGACGTCCGCGCCATTTAGGTCACTTATAACATGGCATTATTTTTCACTTCCCTTTATTAGTACGTTTGAATGCAACCATCTTAGACATTGATGCAACAGTTTTGACCCTCTTTCCTAGGTCTGATGGTTTATTCGATCTTGTTGTGCCAAGTCATGTTGTATGATTGACTTTGTTGATATTTCCAGTTGTATTTCCACAGGCAAAGGAACAGATTAATTCCCCCTAACAATTTAATTTGGAAGGTGTATTTTCTGATACTGAGCGACATCTTTATGAAACACAGTTTTCAATCCGACTATAAGTATGAGTAATTCATAAAGATGTCGTTCGCTTCAACTACATCTCATAAATGTCGAACTAAATCACTAGTTTTCAAGAATTATATACACATTGTATTATTAAAAACACGAGCTAACAAACAATACAATCGTTTGCATCAGAATATCAATGTATTTTTCCATTTAATATTGCACTGTGGTCATTTGACTGCTTTTTATCGACTGACGGAGACAAAACTGAAGTTCGTCAAAATGCCATTCAAAATCATCTATTGAGTACTTTGAATTTAAAGCAATCAAATGACCATATTGCAACAATATTTGGAGAAATAGAAACCTATGTACAAGGCCTAACTTTAGTATATCAGATATAGTTACAGCAAACGTGTGGCATTCAGTAATTTATTGAGTTTCATCCATGTTAATTTTTAGTGTCGAAAATGTCATGGCAGAGAAGCATCGAAATATAAGAGGCCACACATATGATAGCTAACTACAAAACAAACCAAAATATACAAAAGTTAGGCCTCGTACAATTGTTTCTACTTTTACAAAATACTGTTCAATATCGTCCTTTGATTCCTTATTTTTTACATTCAAAATACTCAATCGGGCAAAAAAGTTAAAGTCCAAGAAAGTAACGGAAAACGGCCAAAGTAACGCTTTTTGAAAATGCCTACCTAAATTTCACCAACGCTCGATGGAGGAAAACTAAGAGTACAAGAAAGTTACGGAAATCGGCCAAAGTAACGCTTTTTAAAAACACCAGGCTAAAATGTTCGACACTTGAAGGAATAAAGGCATAAAAATCATCCATTCTTCGTGGAGATCAGTTAAAGTACAATAAAGTAACGTTTTAAGGCAAAGTAACGCGTTTTGAAAATACCTGCATAAAAAATTATCCATTCTTCGTGGAGATCAGTTAAAGTCCAATAAAGTAGCGTTTTTAAGGCAAAGTAACGTGTTTTAAGAAGGCCCTACATAAAAAACCATCCATTCTTCGTGGAGATCAGTTAAAGTCCAATAAAGTACGTAAAGGCTAGAGTAATTGTCGGTACTCTAGACTCTGATGTGGTGGCACGCTAGAGGACCGACAAATAAATTGTCGGTACGGGAGATATGCTGTGTTTACACGCTAGAGGACCGACAAATATTGATTTTCGAATTTTCTGGCGCATGCGCAATGCGCGGGGGGATATTTCAGATATCATACGGATATTTTGGGAACAAGTGCAAAACCCGGGGAGGGCATTAGCCCCGGTTACCCGGGGATTACCAAACCCAGTCAAAAAATGGTAGCCCGGGAACAGGGAATGGTAGTAAACGTTGAAAACCCAATAAAAAGGAAGGGGCGTTTGCTACCCATTAGATAGAAGAAGATAGCTAGAATGTTTTTTAGAGCTTATCGTATGGTATGAGGTTCCATATCCATCCGCCAAAAGGTATATAGTCCATTTATAAACCTGTGGTATCGTTCTAAATAACCCATAGTTGGCTTCTAGGGTACCTAGTATGCCACTATTTGGTATCAAAATAAAGAGGAGTTCAACTTTCATTTGAATTACGAAAATAGCGATGTAGGTCAAAATAGTTCAGAACGTGAGGATGTTTACTACGCGTTTGCCTGTCATATCAGAATTGAGGAAGTGGTAGCAAACGCGAGTTACAATAAACGGACGCTGATATCTCAAAAAGTAACCCGACTCCCTATAATTTCAATCGAACCCCTATATGGACAGGTGCATTTTGATGTATAACACTATGGGGGGTAAGCGTTTCATAGTTGGTCACGAACGCCATATGTGCAAAGTATTGTAATTTTTCGAATTTGGTGTTGGATTACGGTACTCATACCTTATAGCACAATTTTTGATGGAAGTTGCATTTGGCTCCCTTAGTTAATGGCTACGATTCCATCTCGCATGAGAGAGCTACCAAACGCATAGTAAACAGTGATATATTCCAAATGAGATATTTCTCCTGTGCCATGGCGTAGTAAGGGTAGAGGTCGACGGGGGCGAAAGCATCCCCTCCTAATTGTATATATCGACCCATTAGATAGAACAAGAAAAGAGCTTTAAAATGTTTTTTAATTGAAGCTTGTAGGACAATTTTGATGGAAGTTGAATCAATTTTTGTCGAAATAAATTATGGCTCACTACAAGTTAATGCCTGTACGATTCCATACTGCAAAAGAAGCACTATCCCCCCTCAAAAGAAAAAAGTAGGTCTTGCCGGGATTCGAACTCAGGACCGAGTGTGTTCGAATCGTGCTCGCTAACCACTAGACTACCAGTGATGAAGTTATCTATGAAATTAAAAGTAGTGAATTTATTTATGAAATTGTCGGCTCTCTAGCAAAAACACGTAGCAGCCACTTGCGTACCGACAATTGTCGGTTCTCTATCTGACACTACTAGGTGACGATAGAGTGCCGACAATTGTCGGTACCCCAGCAAATACCCCTGGACAGTCTCCAGTACCGACAATTGTCGGTCCTGGAGCCACTCCGAATAAAGTAACGTTTTTAAGGCAAAGTAACGTGTTTTGAAAAGACTACACAAAAATTCATCCATTCTTCGTGGAGAAAAGTTAAAGTCCAATAAAGTGACGTTTTATCGGCAAAGTAACGTGTTTTAAGAAGGCCCTACATAAAAAAACCATCCATTCTTCGTGGAGTATGGTTAAAGTCGAATAAAGTAACGTTTTACTGACAAAGTACTGTGTTTTGAAAATGCCTAATATAAAATCATCCATTCTTCGTGGAGATCAGTTAAAGTCCAATAAAGTAACGTTTTTAAGGCAAAGTACTGTGTTTTGAAAATGCCTGCATAAAAAGCCATCCATTCTTCGTGGAGTATGGTTAAAGTTGAATAAAGTAACGTTTTACTGACAAAGTACTGTGTTTTGAAAAGACTACACAAAAATTCATCCATTCTTCGTGGAGAAAAGTTAAAGTCCAATAAAGTAACGTTTTTAAGGCAAAGTACTGTGTTTTGAAAATGCCTGCATAAAAAGCCATCCATTCTTCGTGGAGTATGGTTAAAGTTGAATAAAGTAACGTTTTACTGACAAAGTACTGTGTTTTGAAAAGACTACACAAAATTCATCCATTCTTCGTGGAGAAAAGTTAAAGTCCAATAAAGTAACGTGTTTAAGGCAAAGTACTGTGTTTTGAAAATGCCTGCATAAAAAGCCATCCATTCTTCGTGGAGTATGGTTTGAGTTGAATAAAGTAACGTTTTACTGACAAAGTACTGTGTTTTGAAAATACCTAATATAAAATCATCCATTCTTCTTGGAGATCAGTTAAAGTCCAATTAAGTAACGTTTTTAAGGCAAAGTAACGTGTTTGAAAATGCTTACATAAAATTCATCCATTCTTCGTGGAGTATGGTTAAAATCGAATAAAGTAACGTTTTACTGTCAAAATACTGTGTTTTGAAATTGCCTACATATAAAAATCATCCATTCTTCGTGGAGATAAGTTAAAGTCCAATAAAGTAACGTTTTTAAGGCAAAGCACCGTGTTTTGAAAATGCTTACATAAAATTCATCCATTCTTCGTGGAATATTGTTAAAGTTGAATAAAGTAACGTTTTACTGACAAAGTACTTTGTTTTGAAAATGGCTTAGATAAAAAAAATCATCCATTCGTAGAGATCAGTTTAAGTCCAATAAAGTAACGTTTTTAAGGCAAAGTAACGTGTTTTAAGAATGCGTACATAAAAAGCATCCAATCTTATTAGAGAAAACTTAAAGTCTATTAAGGTAACGTTCTAAAGGCAAAGTAACGTGTTTTAGAAATGGCTACATAAAAAATCATCCATTGACAATGAACGAACGTTTTAAAGGCAAAGTAACGTGTTTTAAAATGCCTGCATAAAACATAATCTATTCTTCGTAAAGATAATGATTATATCACCAGGTTTCAACAGCCAAGGTAGCCAACGTTCCTTAATTACTTTTCATAATAACAAAACGAAATAAACAGTACTTTTAAAATGTCAATATCTTTTGTCCCTATATCGTGACATATATAAACCTAAGACCAAAAATTTGCAGTAGTTTTTTTTGAATTGCTGTATTTTTGGGGTAGATTTTTTCAAAATGGGGGTAGTTTTTGCGGTATTTTTCGACAAAAATGCAGAAGTTTTACATTAGATTTTTTCAAAATTCAGCAGGTTTTGCATTAGATTTTTGAAAAAACTGTTCTTTTTCGGAAGTTTTTGAAAAAAAAGTGGTAGTTTTACAGTAGATTTTGAGAAATACGGAAGTTTTTGCGGTAGATTTTTGAAAAACTAGTTTTGCGGAAGATTTTGAAAAATTCTGTAGTTTTACGGTAGATTTGGAAAAAATGCGGTCGTTTTTACGGTAGATTTTTGAAAAAACTGTAGTTTTGTGGAAGATTTTGAAAAATGCAGTAGTTTTTGCGGTAGATTAGAAAACCTGATTTTGCATAGATTTTGACACACTTCAATGAATAAATAATAAAGTAAGTTTTTCTAACACAGCATTCATGGAACTCATTCATAAACAGACTAACAAGTAGAACACTTCAGTGTTTTTATAACTATAGTAGAACCTGTGTAGTTGAACACTGTGTTTTTGCATCACAATACTCCCCAGTGTGTTAACTGATTACCCGCCAGCTTACTTAGTTACTTACTAAGTACCCAATAACCACTGTCACAGACAAGGGCAGTACGGGAAGACTTCAATTTTTCAGAATTTCCAGATAATAACGGTAGATTTTACGGTAGTTTGAACAAGAATACCGTTTAATTTCTTTAAATCATCCATAAAAAGTACAAAATAAGATTTCCTTGGAATGTGTTTATTCTCCAATTTTGAAAACCCAAAGGCAGTGTTTATGGATGAAATGTGGGAAGTTGCCTACCCTTCTAGTTGAAAGCCCATGCCTAAAGTGATTATTGTGATGCATTGACTGTCTTTTTAATTTTCCATGTTTCTTCACCAAGTTTCTCAATATGCTGAATAAATACAACTATGGAGTTGATTTTTTATAATCTCCAGTTGTGAAATGTTTTTCCCAATAGAATCTAATATGATAAAGAGTTAAACTTACCACACCCTAGCTGTTGTACATGATGTAATTGCACCTGAAAAATCGTGGTTTGTTGAAATTATTATAAATTGTTCAATAACTTCTTGTAATTAGCATATGTGCAATGTAGCTTATCCAATGATTTGCATCATGAATTGATGATTATAAATTGCAGGTGAGAGTTCCTTCAAATGAGAGAAAAAATGCAACAACAGAGTCTAAGGCTGAGAAGAGTAAATCTGTATAAAAGAAAATAAGATTCCCAGAGGTTTGGAGGAAATGGAAAAGTTACATGTAAGTTCTTTAGTACTGTACTTATATTATGTTTTTATCACAACAAAATCAAAGTGGCAATCAGGAGATACAGCATTTTACGTTTAAAACAGTTCAACAACTTAGATTTTCCATCTATTTCTGGTTATGCTTATGCATCGCGTATCTTTTGAATGTCATAAGAGGGCTGCAGATGTTGAGCAAAAACTGGTTATCTGAGATTAATTTTAAGTTGTTACCTTTCTCGCCGATAAAGTTCTTTGTTATTATTTAAATTAAAGCATATTTCAAAGGGAAACAGTCTAAATATGAATGTTTTGTCCTGAATTTACGTTTATTATAATCACTTAGTAATAGTAATTACCGCTAGATGGCATTTACGCATGAACGTAATCCAGCAGATGAGTTGTAAAAACGAAAGAAAATACTAGTTTAGATCATATTCATCCTGCATTAGGGAAGTTATAGTGTCATATACAGGAGGAAAAGTATATTCTTAATTCATGGACCGAAATCTTCAGTACACGAGGGTTGTTCTGTCCTGTCAATATAAGGAAACCGTGGCATCCCTACCCATTACTCCGAAACCCAATACTCTGAAAAAAATACTCCAAATCCCATTGCTCTTTAACCTTATGAAAATGATCCTCCTACATTTCTTATGTTTCTTATTATTTCTGCCAGTTTCATGCCATGTCTTTGGACCAATACATGTAGTTGCAGAAACTTGCAACTGTCCCCAAATAAGATGGGAATAACTCTTTTTCCCTTTATCAAAAAATGTTGACTTCTTCCCTTGACAAAGAAAATTTATTTTTAAGTAGCAGTAATAAAATTTATAGAAAGATCTCATTATGTTTTGGTGAACTAAATTAGACATTTTCTCTTGTATTGAACCAGTTATCGAAAAATTCTGGAAAAAATTACACATTGTCAATTGAATGTTCATCTTTTGATTGGTTTAATAACCTTCAACATATGTACAGACTTTAATCTTGAAGCACCAAACACTCATACAACTATACATGTATGTACAGGTTCAGCAAATCTTTGTAGCCTAACTGATATTGTTCTTTTGTGTCCTGTTTGCTTCATCAATCAAACCTTAGATTTTGTGTGGATAAGAAGTCCATTTTCCCATTGATCCATCCTGTTCTGACTTCTTGAAATATTGGTAATCTGTTATAGCATACAGTATGCTCCCTAGTCCCCCATCTCCACCAAGGAGGTAGTTTGTTGGCCTAGCCTCATAGTCTGCAACAGTTGACTCTATCCCTACAACATTGACATATTAATGTGTTATAGCATATACTATGCTCCCTAGTCCCCCATCTCCACCAAGGAGGTAGTTTGTTGGCCTAGCCTCATAGTCTGCAACAGTTGACTCTATTCCTACAACATTGACATATTCATGTGTTATAGCATATACTATGCTCCCTAGTCCCCCATCTCCACCAAGGAGGTAGTTTGTTGGCCTAGCCTCATAGTCTGCAACAGTTGACTCTATCCCTACAACATTGACATATTCATGTGTTATAGCATATAGTATGCTCCCTAGTCCCCCATCTCCATCAAGGAGGTAGTTTGTTGGCCTAGCCTCATAGTCTGCAACAGTTGACTTTATTCCTACAACATTGACATATTCATGTGTTATAGCATATAGTATGCTCCCTAGTCCCCCATCTCCACCAAGGAGGTAGTTTGTTGGCCTAGCCTCATAGTCTGCAACAGTTGACTCTATTCCTACAACATCGACATATTCGTGTGTTATAGCATATAGAATGCTCCCTAGTCCCCCATCTCCACCAAGGAGGTAGTTTGTTGGCCTAGCTTCATAGTCTGCAACAGTTGACTCTATCCCTACAACATTGACATATTCATGTGTAATAGCATATAGTATGCTCCCTAGTCCCCCATCTCCACCAAGGAGGTAGTTTGGTGGCCTTGCCTCATAGTCTGCAACAGTTGACTCTATCCCTACAACATTGACATATTCACATGTTATAGCATACAGTATGCTCCCTAGTCCCCCATTTCCACCAAGGAGGTAGTTTGTTGGCCTAGCCTCATAGTCTGCAACAGTAGACTGTATCCCTACAACATTGACATATTCACGTGTTATTTCATCCTCTTAATGCAGAAAGCCAGACTTCAAGCACTATGTTCTTTTGTAAAGAAGGAACAGAGTGTATGATGTTAAGCACATGCATTTAGAGGATAGTGGACAATTATCAAGGGCAATGATAAAGTGTAATAAAGTTTAATATGTTATATATAAATTTCAAAATTTACTTTTTGTAAATTCAACTCCTTTTAAATTTCCATTTATAAACATGACAACCACATTTTGTATAACAATTTGTTATTGTTATTTCGTCTCCTGTCTTCTAAATTAGAAGGCATTTTCATTATCTTCCCCACCACTACATCATTCATGGAATTCATCAGTCTAGGCTGTTCCTCTCCTTTGGGTTTTTCTTCCAAAGTGATTAAGCAGCCCAGTCTGATGAATTACAATACAAGTTAAAGTTGGGAACATAAGCATGTACATGTTCAATGTACAATAGTACTACTTCTCAAAACATACCTGTTCCTACGCACACACCACTCACTGTTCCATCAGGTGCTACTGTTTTGAGCAAACCCTGCCATCCCAGTTCTACATTTTGTTTATAAGTAGCATAGTCAACCCAGCCAAACATACACGCCCTTATTAGTGTTGATAGTGCCATTGCACTCCCAGATGTTTCAAGATATGTTGATGTTTCATTAATAACTTGATGCCAGCGCCCATCAGGGGATTGGTTAGCAACTATGCATTTTATATGTGAACGTAAAATGCTTAGGACTTTGTCGAATTTTGGATCATTATGGAGACCTAATTCTTTCACCCATGGTTGATTTTTGAATGTAAGTGCTTCATAACTGGCCATTAGGATCCATCCACTTCCACGGCCCCACTTACAACATGAGCGCGTGTTTGTCTTGGCATTGTAGCCATGGTTGAAACAACCATCAATGGGATCCTGCAAGTGACTGGAGAAGAGTATGGTCTGGTTAAGAACCCAATCCATGAGGTTTGGATCTTTGGTTACACGTCCTATCCTTGCTGCTAGGGTCAGTCCCATATACATATCATCTGCCCATAAGAATGGTCCAACCTGCCTATCTGGCCAGCCATATTCCCGGCACACTGTTGTATCTTCAAGATGAGATGGCCAACCAAGAATGTATCTCCTCACAACTTCTGTAGCGATATAAAAATCAGTGGTGTTATCATACTTTTCAACCCGACCACTTTCTGACAGTACTCGATTTAGGTACCCTATGGGGAACAATCCAATTTCATCTCCAATATTCCTGAACCAGGGAACTGTTATATTATGGACCACCATATAACCATAAGATGCCTTGTTGGTTTTAAAATCATCTAAGACTTTATCAAGTACATCTGTGTAGTTGAGATTGAAAGCTTGACTTGCTAGGAAAAGACCTTCAAATAGAACTGCTCCACCATAATGCCATCGGAAGAATGCAACTTGATGTTTCATTATTTGGTCCCCAACACGCCTGCAATAAAAGAAGCATATTCGTCTTACCACTTCTCCTACGTTTCATTGAATGCAAGAAAATAAATGGGAATATTTATTGACATATTGTCATAGTCTCCAATTTTTTGTGACGGTAGTTGGCATTCTGAGTTTGGCATCTGTAACAAATGGCAGGTGGTGACATTTTAAAGACTTGTTCATTCTAGAATAATGGACATCACATACAATTATCAAAAATTGACATAATTATATTTGTTTTATATTAGTATTTTTGCAGTTCTAGCTTAAAATCATGAAGCTAATCTGTATGCATGTATGTATTTCTTTACAATATGTACTTACTTTGCGAGTATAGCAGGGGTGGGATCCTCGGAATGACAGGTCCCTTGTTGTACCCAGACTATTCCTAATCCTAGTAAACATGGTAACAACATCCCTAGAGACACCATGACAACTTCCATTTACTGGTAATGTAAATGTGAAATATGAAGTGTTGATTGCTCATGTGCATGTACTTACTATAAGATGTCACAAGACTGTGTTTATGTTGAGTTCTTCCCTTGCAAAATTTATATTTTATGCTGATTTCTCTCCCTCTCTCAAATTCCATGCATGAATATTGTTCCATATTCCACTTTGAATCTTCCAATTTTAGACAATGGGGATGTTAGCTTCTTCTAAAATAATTTTTCAGTTTTTTCTTTTTTACAGTATTGACATAATAATAAAGCTTTGATATTTTATCTTATAGTGCAAGATGTCAAGATTTTAGATATGAGATATTTATTTGCAAAAGAGGTCAAATTAAAGTATGACTTATGTGAAGAATAAGATATAGTATAATATTAAAAGGTAGTAAAATCCTTACAACCTACACCTGCAAACTCACCCCATGCAGATAGATCACCTAAAATTACATTTGTATGATGTGAGAATTGACATTCACCAGGAAAGAAGAAACATTTTGTCACCTATGATGCAAATTTTTTACTGCTTAATAAATGACAGTCATATTAAGTTCTTTCATATTAAGACCTGCAGGCTTTACTATTTATACAATTTTTTTTCTGTTATGAAAGATCCAAAACTATACCTCCTACTATCTTACCCTCTCCCTCATCCTCCATACCCCTATCCAACCACTCCCTAGACTTTCTGACGCCCATTTTCCCTACCCCTGCAAGTCACCTTCCCTGTGGAACACCCTAATCCCAGACACTAGCAGTATCGGGCCAAAAGACAAGGTTGGATCCACCCAGCCGTTGTCAGTGATCCGACATGTCAGCCATGCCTTAGCCCTGCCCAGCTAAGACACAAGCTAGTCAACTGTTTAGTCAAGCTCCAGTACACCTCATGAAACAATCATTGGTGTACTGAGTTGAGGCCCTGTAAATCACCCTCCCCAATGGACACCCTTATCCCAGACACTAGCAGTGTCAGTCCAGAAGACAAGGTTGGTTTTACCCAGCCACTGTCAATGATCTGACATATCAACCATGTCTTAGCTCTGCCCAGCATAGACATAAGCTCTGACTAGACCCTAGTCGAGCTCCAGCACACCTCATAAAACAATCATTGGTGTACTGAGTTGAGGCCCTGTAAATCACCCTCCCCAATGGACACCCTTATCCCAGACACGAGCAGTGTCAGTCCGAAAGACAAGGTTGGTTTTACCCAGCCACTGTCAGTGATCTGACATACAACCATGTCTTAGCTCTGCCCAGCCTAAACACAAGCTCTGACTAGACCCTAGTCGAGCTCCAGCACACCTCATAAAACAATCATTGGTGTACTGAGTTGAGGCCCTTTAAACCACTTGTTTGGTGACAAACTAAATAGGAAATTCACAAGTAATGGTTTTGATAATTTTAACTTTGAGTTATGTTTTCAGATTTTTAATTAGAACCATCAGAAAATATAATCATTGAATAACACAACTTTTAACATTGCAATTTTGAAGCATTATGAATCATTTTATTAGTTAAGATGTAATAGGATTGATTTGATTATTTTGATAATATTGTATATTGCTTGTTTTAATTTGGATTCAACCTGGATCATTTAACAGGGGACATGTTTCTTGTACCAGCTTGAAGAGGTGAAGAATTACACTAATAAACTTGTTTATAAATTGGCTAATTTAATACTTTCAACGAAGGTATCAAAAATAGCTAATAACTGAGTGTATAAGTTGGATGGAACTTTTCTGTATTAAATTCATCTTAAGGTGACATTTAAGTTAATCAAAATTACAAAAACATGGGAGCCATATTTTTTTGATAAAGTCAGAAGATTTTGTATACTGTTGTATGTGAATGTATTTCCTGACTAAAGAGACACATAAAAGAAAACCTCACATTTAAACACATTTTTCATAACTATGAATTGGAGGTGCATGGCACCCCAAAGCTCGCATGAAGAGTGTGAAGTGAGGCTATTTTTTGAAAGTTTCAAGGAGTAGCCTTGCAACAGTCACACATTTGAAAGAATTCAAAATTTCCAGATATAATCTTACCTTACCAAGGAACAACGAAGGAGCATGAAAATGGGTACTTCTTGCATTGTTAGAGTATAATAAAGCTCAAACCATTGTGAATTCTAAATATTTCATGTCTACCATTTTGTTTCCTGGAACTATTTTTTAGTCCAGAGTTATTCTCATTCATGTATCCATTGTTTATCATTCATAAAGCATCTATCATGTATCTATCATGATAATTATACTGTAATAGATAAAATATACAGGTGATAATCCATGCCACTTGGTGTAGTCACAAAACTTGTATGAGGATTAATCAGGAAGTCTAGAAGTAGTTCTGGCAAACAAAATGGTGGACATGAAATATTTAGAATTTACAATGGTTTGAGCTTTATTATACTCTTACAATGCAAGAAGTACACATTTTCATGCTCCTTCGTTGTTCCTGGGAAAGGTAAGATGATTTGTGGAAATTTTAGACTCTTGCAAATGTGTGACTGTTGCAAGGCTACTCCTTGAAACTTTCAAAAATTAGCCTCACTTTGCACTCTTCACGCCAGCTTTGGGGATCCATACACCTACAATTCATAGTTTAGAAAAATGCGTTTATGTGTGATGTTAACTTTGACATGTTTCATTTGTCAAGATATACAATTCATATACAAGGTAAACCGATTTTAAAAACATGTGTCTTTATCAAAAAAATATGGCAGTCATTTTTTGTACTTTTTATTTAATTTAGCTTCGCCTTAAGGAATATTTGCATCTGGATTACTTCAGTCCTGACCAGTAAACAAAAAATTAAGTATAAGCATTCCTCACAACTTCCTTGACAATTTTGAATCTAAAGATAAGCATTTAAAAGACTACAGTGTACATGTAACAGCATATGGAAAAATGATGCTTTCCTGAAAAAAGCAAGTAAATACACAGATGCCTTCATACAGTTGGGGACAAAAATAAATGACAGGTCGATTTTCGATCACCATTTCCTAATTATGGTGGTCTGAAAGCCCATAATTTCCAATATTGTCTAGATACATATCCCTTAAAATTTGTATATTTTACATTTTGTATAATCTCATCCACTGATTTATGGCCTCTTGTAAATTCTCTTATTTTTAACATGGGAAATCCTCACTTCAGCAAATCCACCTGTCATTTATTTATGTCCCCAACTGTACTTTATTTTGTACCAGAAAATAAAATGGGCAGGCAAAGTAATTCTTTTCAAAAATGTTTTCCCTCCACCAGTACCTTAACTCCAGTTTGCAAATCCCCTTTTCATTAACAGTCTTCAAATCCCCTTCAGTTTATTGATACATCCAAGAAAGCGCTGAACAAAAATATATGAAAGGTATATCTTCAGACTGTAATAGACTGCCAACCTACACATTGAGGGTCAGTTGTGTAACATACAAATGTACTTTTACAGCATTTTAATTGTTTCAGTCTCCAACCTCTTTTTTGTGGATGGTGTTTGGTGGTTAGTATGCAGCATTCAGTGGTCCTAGTTTGTAACAAATGGCAGGTGATGACATTTGCATGTTAATGTCTTGTTAAAAATTGGCATCTTTTTCTTTTTATAATTTCAGGAAATACAGGATGTAAATTATTTAAACAATTTTCATGAGACATTGTGGGAGATGCGCAACAAGGGTCATCTATGTGACATACATTTACTACTGGGTAACACATCCTATCAGGCCCATAGTTGTATCCTTCAATGTACCTCCACCTTCTTCACTTCAACCCAAGTTGAAAGAAATGAGAACAATTTCCAACTTCCTAATGAGATCAACTGCGCTGATTTTATGGTGGTACTTAGATACATATACACTGGGAAGTTATATATTAACAAATGGAATTATGAATCTATTTTACATACATGTGAAATCTTAAAGTTAGCATCTGTTGATTCATTTGCCAAACAGTCTCTACTTCCTACCAACAGAGCTAGTGATACTGAACAAAAAACAAATACAAGTGATGTTTCACCAGGAACAAGAATTACTGATGCTCATCCAAATAGAAGTGCAATTGATATTCCTACAAATGCAAGTTTAAGTGATACTCATCCAAATAGAAGTGCAATTGATATTCCTACAAATGCAAGTATAAGTGATACTCAACCAAATATGATTGCAAGTAATAATTCTCCAATTGAAATGCCACCAAATACGAGTGCAAGTGATAAAGATGTGATAAAACCAAAACCTATCTCAGAAGAGGAAATTATTGATGTATTGACTGAAACAACTATGGATACAGATGTAATCAAAAATGATTCAAAAACTGCATTTGAATATGCATTTGTTGAAGAAAATGAAGAGAAACTTGAAGCATTTAAAGACATTAATGCTGATATCAAATATCAAAAACTTAAATCTGGATTTAAAAGTAGAAGTGGCAGGCAAATTAAACTTCCCTTGAAATACAGGACAAGTGTTGGCAATAAAAACAAATCAAATTATTCTAAAATGAGTGCTGTTAGTTATGACTCTTTGATTAACATTGCTGAAGATGTGGAGAGCATTGTCTGTGATGTAAAGGGCCCTGGAACAAATGAGCCTCATGCAGATTGTCCAAGCGTTCAGGAGCCTTTTGCAACAGGTAAAAGTGGGCTCAAGAGAGATTCCCAAGAATGTCCAAAATGCCATAAACAGTTCATCAATGCAAAGAGGGAATATCACAACCATTGCAAACATTGTCCTTCTGATTCAAAGAACATACCAGCTAGAAAGGAATATACATGTACTAAGTGTGACTCGAAATTTAAATACCAACTATCTTACAAAAAACACATTCAAAATTGCACCAGCACAGAGAGTACAGATACACCACTTAACAATGATTCACCAACAACCTTATATGTCAGAAAGAAGCCAAAGTTCAAGAAATATGGATGTGACCTATGCAGTTATAGTAGTTACAAAAGAAGGGGTCTCTCCAATCACAAGTTCAACAAACATGCTATTCCTTATCCAGAACATTATGAGATCTATAGCTGTCAGGTAAATAGTAGTTTCTATCCTTATTCTTCTCAGTTAAAAATTACGAAGTGCAAACTAATCTTAACAATCTAATATGAGTTTATCTGAGTTTTAATCATCAACATTTTTATTTGAAAATAACATTTTGCAGTTTTATAGATTTATATTGTCAAAGAGTTCAGGGTTCCATCTGAATTTTATATCCTTTTATGGACAAAATCAGCATTTGCAGTTAGCAGCTGTAATTTAGTGTCTGTAACAAATTGTCAAACTCTTGTAACCTTTTGACAAGTAGATGTCTCTTAATAATGTTGTAGCATTCAGGATGTGACTTTATAACAGCAGAGAAGACCCGTATCAGCACACACATGAAGAAGCACAGTAATGACAAAGAATATGCATGTCTCTTTTAATAATGTTGTAGCATTCAGGGTGTGACTTTATAACAGCAGAGAAGACCCGTATCAGCACACACATGAAGAAGCACAGTAATGACAAAGAATATGCATGTGAGGTAAGTCTCCTATAGAATGAAGTATAGTTTTGCACACTTTCTGGAACCCCCCCCCCCTCCTATCTCCACCATTTTCCTTGGAGGCAACATGTTACATGCAGGGGCGGATCCAGGAACCAACAAGGGGGGCCCAGTAATGACCAGAAAGGCCCACTTTTTGGAGCCTTAAGGCCTTTTTTGGCCCAACATTTTTTTGGGCCCAACTTAGGGGGGGGGTGGGCCCCATACAGAAAGTATGATTCAGTATATTAGAAATATGTGAAATAGGTTAGAAGACTGTCATGATGTCAAACTTCACTCCCCTCCAAGGGTTTGGCAATCAGTAGTCTCCATTTGCTCCAGTGTTAAAGTCTGTTTATTTGTAGCCATTTAACATAATCGACAAAGTCATACATTTCAGCGAGCAAACTCAAATTCAATCATAAATCATCTTTAACAGTCCCATAAATGGGGATGACTTCCGGATGCCAAAACTCATAGAGGGGTGTATAGTGTCTCATATAATATAGTAAATATACATGTATTCTAGGTTTGTGGCTCCCGATTTAAACATGCCAGTTCCCTTGTCACCCACCAGTTGATCCACAGTGACCAGCGTCCATACACCTGTTCATGGGATGATTGTACTGGAGCATTTAGAACCAAAGGGGCTCTTGAGGTATGTACCATGAGCTCAATTGGGCTACAGATAAAGTCAATACAGAGCACATTTATGGAAAGTTCACTGGTAAAGCAATGATCAGCTCTAAATGGCTGGAGGAGTTTTAAGGTTTATTATTCAAAAGTATTTATGTTGAAAGTTCTTACAAAGGGTATTAGGTTTATAGCATAGTTTAATGTTTTTGCATTTTCATCTACATGCATAGGCAGGATGTCAAACTTGAAAGGCAAAATGCTGACCTTAAAGGGGCATGTGGATGATTCCTTGTCATAAATTGGTAGGAATCTTTGGCCTATCGAAGTGTGGTAGGGCTAATCAAAATAATGATGACTAACTGTTTTGTCACTGGCTTATAATATTCATTAATCATTAGCATTCTTTGATTTTTATGTCAATGTGTGACATATTGTTATGGTCTCCATTTTTTGTGATGGCATTTGGCGATCGGCGGTTGACGTCTGTATCAAATTCTTACAACTTCCAATAACTTAACAAATACTTTTAGACTGACTACTATTTTTTCCAAAATCATCTGCAAGTTGTCAGAAGTTCAAATCTGACCTTGGATTTGAGATTTCACCTTCAATGACCTTCTCAAGGTCAAAAGGTCTTTTTTACTTGCTTTAAATGGACCACATTTTTTTCACTATCATCTAAAAGTTCAGATCTGACTATAGATTTGAGATTTGACCTTCAATGACCTGCTCAAGGTCAAAAAAGATTTGACCTTCCCAAGGTCAAAAAAGGTATTTTTCAACTTGCTTGTTTACCAATTTTTTTCAGAATTATCTACAAGTTCTCAGAAGTTCAAATCTGACTTAGATTTGAGATTTCACCTTCAATGACCTTCTCAAGGTCAAAAAGGGTATTTTTTCAACTTGCTTCAAATTGACCAATTTTTTTCAAAATCATGTTCACGTTCTCAGAATTTCAAATCTGACTTTAGATTTGAGATTTCACCTTCAATGACCTTCTAAGGATCAAAAAAGGTATGTTTTCAACTTGCTTCAAATTGACCAATTTTTTTTCAAAATCATCTACAAGGCCTCAGGAATTCAAATCTGACTTAAGATTGAACTAATAATATTGTGAGCAACTAGGTGGTGACATTTTGTCATGTTAATGCCTTGTCATTGTCTTGTCTATGTGGAGAAAAACTAGGTGCAAACATGAACAAGTATACTCTTCATTAAAGTGACTGTCACATTAGATATTGTAACATTTTCATTAATGTTTTGTTTCATTTTGTTTCAGAACCATTACAAAAGTGTTCATTTGAATGAGAGACCAAAGCGATTTCTGTGCACAGAGTGTGGGAAAAGTTACAGAACGAGGAGGGAATGGAACTACCATATGTACAAGCATCATGGCCAGCCACTACCCGATTCATATAAAAGGTAAGAGAATGGAACTACCATATGTACAAGCATTATGCCAAGCCACTACCCGATTCATATAAAAGGTAAGAGAATGGAATTACCATATGTACAAGCATCCCCGCAAGTATCATGCCCAGCCACTACCTGATTCATATAAAAGGTAAGAGAATGGAATTACCATATGTACAAGCATCATGCCCAGCCACTACCCCATTCATACAAAAGGTAAGAGAATGGAATTACCATATGTACAAGCATCCCTGCAAGCATCATGCTCAGCCACTACCCGATTCATATAAAAGGTAAGAGAATGGAATTACCATATGTACAAGCATCATGCCCAGCCACTACCCCATTCATACAAAAGGTAAGAGAATGGAATTACCATATGTACAAGCATCCCCGCAAGTATCATGCCCAGCCACTACCCGATTCATATAAAAGGCAAGAGAATGGAATTACCATATGTACAAGCATCATGCTCAGCCACTACCCCATTCATACAAAAGGTAAGAGAATGGAATTACCATATGTACAAGCATCCCCGCAAGCACCATGCTCAGCCACTACCCCATTCATATAAAAGGTAAGAGAATGAAATTACCATATGTACAAGCATCATGCTCAGACACTACCTGATTCATATAAAAGGTAAGAGAATGGAATTACCATATGTACAAGCATCATGCTCAGCCACTACCTGATTCATATAAAAGGTAAGAGAATGGAATTACCATATGTACAAGCATCATGCTCAGTCACTACCTGGTTCATATAAAAAGTAAGAGAATGTAATTACCATATGTACAAGTATCATGCTCAGCCACTACCCGATTCATATAAAAGGTAAGAGAATGGAATTACCATATGTACAAGCATCATGCTCAGTCACTACCTGGTTCATATAAAAAGTAAGAGAATGTAATAACCATATGTACAAGTATCATGCTCAGCCACTACCCGATTCATATAAAAGGTAAGAGAATGGAATTACCATATGTACAAGCATCATGCTCAGTCACTACCTGGTTCATATAAAAAGTAAGAGAATGTAATTACCATATGTACAAGCATCATGCTCAGCCACTACCCGATTCATATAAAAGGTAAGAGAATGGAATTACCATATGTACAAGCATCATGCCCAGCCACTACCCCATTCATATAAAAGGTAAGAGAATGGAATTACCATATGTACAAGCATCATGCCCAGCCACTACCCCATTCATACAAAAGGTAAGAGAATGGAATTACCATATGTACAAGCATCATGCTCAGCCACTACCCCATTCATATAAAAGGTAAGAGAATGGAATTACCATATGTACAAGCATCATGCCCAGCCACTACCCCATTCATACAAAAGGTAAGAGAATGGAATTACCATATGTACAAGCATCCCCGCAAGTATCATGCTCAGCCACTACCCCATTCATATAAAAGGTAAGAGAATGGAATTACCATATGTACAAGCATCATGCTCAGCCACTCCCCGATTCATACAAAAGGTAAGAGATTGGAACTACCATTTGTACAAGCATTATGCCAAGCCACTACCCGATTCATATAAAAGGTAAGAGAATGGAACTACCATATGTACAAGCATCATGCCCAGCCCAGCCACTACCCCATTCATATAAAGGACAGGATACCCATTAAAATGTGTGAAGGCATAGCTGTCATGAAATCATTGCTGAGATGGCTTTTTAGGAAGTTGAGTAATGTGCATGCGCCTCCATGTCATGAAATTTCCGGTTTTAGCATGCGCATTGGCGAGACTTCCTGAAAAGCCATCTTGAAAATGATCAACTCCGATCAGATTTTCGTCAATATATTTCCTCTTCCACTCCGGATAGCCCGATATGGTTAGAAAAACAATACCTTAGAATGTTAAAGCAGATATGAAATGGTATTTTTAACCTAAAGGAATCAATGTAATTTTTTGATAAATATATTTGGACATGTTTTCTCATCAGTAGTGCGAAAATTATTTCACTCTAACGATCGTTATAACTGCTTAATAAGCAATATTCGAATTGGTTGTGACGTTATTGGCCCCCACGTGATCTCTCACTGGTCCCCACGTGGCCCATAACGTCATAATGCCAAAATGTTTTGTTTTGGTTTACACTACAATCCTATGGTTGCCGTGACGTTGTGATTACTAAGGAACCAATAAACCAAAGCTATATTTTGTATATGACGTTACTTATCATGTGGGGGCCAATTTGATTGATCAGTTAGTTTTATTTCGTTATTTATGACCGTTAGCAGTTATCTAACATTTATTTTATGATGGCTATCGCAAGAACTCTAGGTTGGGCTTACAATGGAGAAAACCACATTTTTGTAGCTGCAAGTTGAGAAAAGCTATTTCAGTTGTCCTTTAAGCATCGATTGAAGTAGAGTAAGTGTTTCCAAGATTTCTTACATTTTTACAAAAGACCTTTAAAATGGACTGGGAATATCAAGTTTTCCATAGCCATCAATCTAAATGATGGCTATGTGCAAATGTATAGTAAACTGTAGCTGTGAGCCCAAGTACTCTGAAAGTGGCTAAAATGGCCAAAAAGATCTTTTTTCTACTTGATTCAAATTGAGGTTCGTTCTATAGGTTTAAGTAACATGGGAGTTAAGGGGACATCTTCATAAATGGGACTGACAAAGTGTTTTGATCTGTGCTCATTTAGATAAATGTTCACAAAAACATCCCTGTTTGTGTAGGGATACAGGAACCATCTTCTGTCCATTTGTTCATATGTCTGGGCAATGACTCAAACACAAGTGTTTGAATTGCATAGGCTGATTTTTTCAAAGCTTCAAAGCTTTTAATTCCAGATTTTGTATCACACTCTTTGCGATTGTATGTAATAAGATTGCTGGAATTTTTCCCTTATTAGAAAATTTAAATTATTCCCCCATCACAGGAATTTAAACTTTTCATTAAAGGTGACAGAATAATTGTTTATAGAGAAGATATTGCTTTATTAATATTTTATCATAATCATTAAAACATTAAAATCTTATCTATGAGGTTGGCTTTATCATCAAGCGTAATTCCTTAAAATGGTACCAACTGTTATCAGGTTTTCCTATCTTATCAGGCCAGAAATACCAAACAATGCAATTCCATCGATCTTTGCATCGAGAATTTTTCATATAGGGTGCAAAAAATCTTGCTACTGAACAGTGGTTGAACCACATCGGTCCTGAACTTTTCCCATTTGCATTTTTCCAGTTGGCGCAGTTACCCCCAAAATAGTTGTCATTATCCCTATCATATGTGGTAAATTCAAAGCCATTCAATGTCCAAAGGTGAGCATCTCTGTTTACCATTGAATATATTGAGTCACCTGCTGTACCAGAGTACTCCCCTACTGTTAGTCGATAATTTTCAGATTCATCACCAACATCAAATTTTCCATAATCAGCATATTTTGTCTTACTCCCATCATCTGGCCAAGTTGTTAGCTCTACGCGGAGCTTATACTTTCCTTGTTTCAGCACGCCAACCAGATTTTCTAAACCAATGAAATATTCTCCATCCACATCTCCAAGACCTGACTTATATGTATCCCATCCCTTGTTAAAGTTAACAGACCCATCAAAGCGGTTCAAGACTATCAACCATTCATTTTTGCATAATGCGTCAAATTTGCGACCATTTTGTCTTGTGATTTTCGCTATTCCATTCTTTTGGGAAGTACAGTCATTTACATCAGTGTCAACAGAACCTGGAAAATGCACATATTGCACAATGTAGAATAAATGCAAGTAAAAAAATTCTTCAGGTTGGCCACCTGCTAACTAGTTACTGATAACTGGGTAATTATAATTGGAAAATAGATATATTTTATGTGGAAAGTGTACCAGATCACTCATGTTTCTCAATTTCTCATTTGCAATACTGTAAGAATATTTCAGTTCTATGGCATGTTAAGAACTAGTATAATAGGATCATGGCCTGAGATTCAGCCTTCCTGAGAGAAAAATGAATAAAATGATCATATGATTTTATATCTAAAAACTATTCCGCAATGCTGAAAATCCAATTGAAGAGTTCTCATTAATGATACTAGTACTGTGTATGATTATGATCATTAAGGGAAATTAGCAGCAAAGAACCTTTTATTTTTTGTTTTATTTCAAGGATGATAGAAATTTACCTAGCTTGTCCAAAACTTTTTTTCTAGATTTTCACACCAAGAAACTTCCCAAAAAATCTTAAATCAATACAATCGAATAGTGGAAAAAACTGCAGACATTATTTTATGACAGAAATTCAATTGAAGTTCTAATTTCTTTCTTACCTTTATCTTTACAGGCACCAATTTCTTCTCTCAGTTGAGACATCTCCCTGGAGAGTCTTTCGATATCATCTGTTGTACAAAGCTCATGCGCTGATATAGCAGTGAGCCATGCAAAGATTATTGTCAAACTTTTCATCTTAACAGATCACATGAAATGATCTTGAACAACATACGGAATAGTTCTGTGGGAGTAAATGGTTTATTTGTTTGGTTAAGCTAGAAACATAAAATGTTTATATATCTGGATAAACATCTGATTCTATAATTTCATTATTTAACCTATTATGTAAACAACATGTAAATGCTAGATATACTTTGTGGTTTTAGCTCAACAAATTTATTCATCTTCAAGTTCAAATGGTATCACATATTAGGGAGGTCTATACAAGTATACTATTCACACCTGCAATGAAACTCAACAGATTTTGTTGAGCCACAAAAATAGCATTTTGCACATAACATTTCTCAGAGAAATTTTCAAAAGGTGACCAGAGTGAAAGTGTATCTTCTGAATAGGAATTGCAGTTGTATAAATAATGAACAAGGATATGCTTCAGTTTTTTTATTGGTTTATATTAAATGTGGTTAAGCATATGTATATACTCGCATATAAATTGACTTGTATGCATAAGTCATATGAATATCACGGGGGATAAGCAAAACGAGGGCGAAGCCACGGACTGCGACTCGCGTAACTTTACACCGCAGCCCAGCCTTCTGGCCTTCTGCCTTCAGGCAGTGCCTTCTGCTTCTTCCGACAAAATAGAGAAATCCAGGTATTTTAAATGCTATCGTAGTGTCTAATCGGTGACCAAAATATTATTCTGTATCTACTGTTAGTCTGTAGATAAGAAAATAAGCAGTTGTCCAGATCAAGCTAAAACAGTAGCAAAGTTCTGATTTTACCTGTAAAATATGTGCATATTATTTAATTTACTATACATTTGAAAGGAGTTTTAACACGTTTCTGATATCTAAAGGTTAGTTGAGGCTCCGAGTATAATTCGTGAAAATGATTTGGTAATAGAATGTGTTCATGAGGAGAAAATTAGATTCAAACTGCGCATTCATAGTGGACGCAGTCCAGTAAACAAAGCTATTTCAACAACGCAACACAGCCTCCATTGATATTCTAAGTAACGCAGTCCAGCCGCGAACACAAAATAAATAAGATAGTGTAAACTATATTCCTACGCTATTATTGTTTCAGGAAAAGAAAGTCAGCATCCAGATTATCATTCAAAGTTACGTTGATTAACATATATCTATTACCTGAATCAATGTCCCAAATTGCTATATTGTATCGTTTAAGACCTAGAAATATGGCAATTCAATAGCGTATTTGGCAGAACAGTCGAGCGCAAGATGACAACGTAATATGTTTATTACAAACCAATTTGTGGATAGGGTTAAATATATAGATAATTGGATAGTGGTGAGACTTTTTATAAGAAGTAGAAATGCGAAACAATTAACTTTTTGATGAGGCAATAAAAGCTGTTGGGGAAGGGTACATTAACTAGTATTTAAGATATCAGGAAAATATCAAATAATTGGAGAGTTGGTGAGTTAATGTAATTTTGGATGATCTTTCCAACAGTCCATCAATATTGCTAGCTACCATAAATTTATGATTTCAGCTGTATTTGACAGCTTGTATATATTTGCAGAATGGATTGAGACACGATGTAGGTCTATTAAAATAGCCCTTTATATTCAATTTTGTCCAAAGTTGCTCCATTTCAGCCACACCTGTACACACATCGTGCTATCTACCTTTGGCTGTGATTGCGTTCAGCTTCAGATATAAAGCAACACTGAGTCGCGGACTGCGTTGGGCAGATGGATGGACTGCGACTATTATAAATTCCAGTTTTCTATGTAATTGTACGTTTTCCGCTTACCAAATATCACACGAAGATGTAATTGTAACAACAGAACATGAATAGTTATATTAATTCGATGTCATTTCTGATTCCTTTGTTTAAATCGGTATATTAGGGACAAATATTGACAAAATTACATTTTTTGTGGCAGATTTCGAATTCATTTGTGTTCATGCTAAACTATTGGACAGCCGAGCACCAAGAATGCCATTGCAGGTGGAGTATGAATATGTTGATCACCGACTGGAACATACTAGCTATTCTGTAGAATATCCAAACCAATAATCTACCCCAAATCCTAACATGCCTTCCAAATTAAGTTTGGACTTACAGTCATTGTTCAGCTATAATGCGTTGTAACCTCGTTTTGAATTACGCGAGTCGCAGTCCGTGGCTTCGCCCTCGTTTTGCTTATCCCCCGTGAATATGGTTGATTTCTTTGAAATCCAATACAGTAAAACCTGTCTAAGTGGAACACCTTTTGTACCTCTATAAAGCGCCCCCCTTAGGAGGTGTGGTGTTTGGACTCTAAAAAGTGTTCCACTTACAGAGGTGTTCCTCTTTGCAGGTTTCACTGTATTTGTTTACAGCATGCATTTTGATATTGTTGGTTTTGGTATGTATTATATGATGCTATTAGGGAGACTTGAAGAAGTAATAAAATAGTCTTATGAAGATGCACAATAAAACCTGTGTAAGTGGAATACCTCAAAATAGTGTTCCACTTGGAAGGTGTTCCACTTGGAAGGTGTTCCACTTGTAGAGGTTTGTTAATTTGGAGCAGTGCTTTGAAAAGGTCCCATGATCCATATTTGGATAAAGTACTATACATGTCCAGTTTATTGACTGTGAATAAAACACCAGCCTATTTCAATGAAATGCTTCTTTTTTGAGTTCCTCATAATTAGCAGCTAACGAGGTGCCCATCAGGTACATGTATATGTTATTCTTTCAACAAACAAGTGTGATATATCACTATTTAACAAGGTGATTTTATCATGACTGTGATTTCAGATACTTCTGTGAACTTTGTGATTACTGGACAGAAGTGAAGAGAAATTATGAGGTCCATCTACTACGTCATCGTGGAGATAAACCAGAAATGTGTGAGATTTGTGGCAAATGTTTCGTTGATGTCTCGTCTAAAAATGGACACAAGAAATTCCATGCAGTTGGTATGAACTATACAGCACATCTAACAATATAAATTGTCAAGATTTTAGGACAAATCTTGAGATGTTTTTACAATTTCTAAACAATATGCAAATAGATTAATAACTTTGTCAATTGTGGTGGAATATTCAACAATTTTTCCTCACTATTGACAAAATCATCCCAAAATTGTTGCTAGTAAGATTAACATTTATATAATCAAACAAATTCAGAGACAGATAACTATTGCAATCTAAATATTATTGATACTTTTACAACCTGAACATTTAGTGAAAAACTCTGGATGAATTCATATATAAAATTCTTCATTTCAGATAAAAAGTTCAAATGCACCTATTCTGACTGTAATTTCAAGTGTATCAAGAAGAAAGCCTTCCTGGAGCACCTCAGTCTTATGCATATAAACAAGGTTAGTTTTGTATATGAACAAGGTCAGCTTTGTATATGAACAGGGTCAGTAATGTATATGAACGAGGTCTGTTTTGTATATGAAACAAAGTCAGTCATGTATATGAAGGTCAGTTTTGAAAATGAACAAGGTCAGTTTTGTATATGAGCAAGGTCACTTTTGAATATGAAAAAGGTCAGTTTTGGATATGAAAAAGGTCAATTTTGTATATGAACAAGGTTTTGTATATATGAACAAGGTCAGTAATGTATATGAACGAGGTCTGATTTGTATATGAAACAAAGTCAGTCATGTATATGAAGGTCAGTTTTGAAAATGAACAAGGTCAGTTTTGTATATGAGCAAGGTCACTTTTGAATATGAAAAAGGTCAGTTTTGGATATGAGCAAGGTCAATTTTGTACATAAACAAGGTCAATATCTTGACAGTTTCTATGACCCTGGTTTGTCGTTTATAATCCTGGCTTTGTGGCTACGATCATCCCATGCAATTGTACATTAAACCATACTACATGTACTATTATTTACATTTCAGGGTGAGAAGAAATTCCAGTGCCATCTATGTAACTACAGAGGTGCCATGAAAGGCAACTTTACTAAACATCTAAGGACAGTGCACAAACTGCAGGTTATCACAAAGCAAAAACTATCTCAACCTAAACTAAACAGGGAAACAGAAGATTTGAACAGTGCAGTTGTTATCACTAAAGATGGGACTGCAGTCTCTCTAAGCAACCATGATAATTCGGAAACTACACATATGATGAAAGATGTGACAGAAGCTTCATCAGATGAGAATGCGTATATTGAAACTATTATGGAACCTGAAGATATTTCTTCACAGAATGAACAAGGTTATCAAGAAACCGTTATAAAAGAATCTGATTCAGAGTCAGAAAGAAATGACTCCCAAGTTGGTCTGAGTTTTATAAATCAAGACGGAACGGTGTATAGGTCATATAGGATAAGTGAATTGAAAGAATTATTGCTATTAGATAAAGAGGGAGCATCAGATATTTTAGATGCTACCAACATGGAAAATACATTGGTTGATGTCCATGTAGAGGGGCAGTCAAACCTTCAGTCAGCCCTTTGCATCGGTGAAGACCTGGAATGATGGCACTGTGAACTCTAGTTGTGAACCATCCAGACATTATAGATGGTGTTAATGTTATTGAAAGCCAACATTCTCTGGAATAGGCTACCTTAAAAGATATGAAATAAATATATACCTGTAACACACAAAAACTGAGCTGGCCAATAAGTTCTTTGACATTTGTCAAATTACCAAGGTACAAAGAGGTAGTTATCCCTTTCAAAATGAACGGATTCTCATCAAGCATGCAAGTTGATCCCACATAATCTTTGGGCAAATAGTGTCGAATAGGTGTTATTATCAGATGAAATTTCAAAGGAGCACGTAGGTTATCGCAAACAATTTCAGACAGTTATATCTTGGATTATGACCTCATTTCACCAAAAATGCAATCATTTTTATTATCGTACCTAATAAAGGTACGATATTGTCGCCAGCTTGACGGGCGGGCGGCGTCTCACTTTTCAGCTTGTCTACAGGTTTCCAGCCAAACCATTTGACAGATTCATCTGAAATTTTCAGGAATGTTTCTATGTATCAAAGTTAATTGATTAGTTTTTGGGCATTCTGGGTAAATTTTAAGGTGGCCATTTTGGATTTTCCGTCCTAAAATCTTCACTTTCAAGACTTGTCTACAGGTTTCCAGCCAAACCATTTGACGGATTCATCTGAAATTTTCAGGAATGTTTCTACGTATCAAAGTTAAGAACTGATTAGTTTTTGGGCATTCTGGGTAAATTTTAAGGTGGCCATTTTGGATTTTCCGTCCTAAAATCTTCACTTTCAAGACTTGTCTACAGGTTTTCAGCCAAACCATTTGACGGATTCATCTGAAATTTACAGGGATGTTTCTACATATCAAAGTTAACAACTGATTAGTTTTTTGGCATTCTGGGTAAATTTTAAGGTGGCCATTTTGGATTTTCCGTCCTAAAATCTTCACTTTCAAGACTTGTCTACAGGTTTCCAGCCAAACCATTTGACGGATTCATCTGAAATTTTCAGGGATGTTTCTACGTATCAAAGTTAAGAACTGATTAGTTTTTTGGCATTCTGGGTAAAATTCAAGGTGGCCATTTTGGATTTTCCGTCCTAAAATCTTCACTTTCAAGACTTGTCTACAGGTTTCCAGCCAAACCATTTGACGGATTCATTTAAAATTTACAGGGATGTTTCTACATATCAAAGTTAACAACTGATTAGTTTTTGGGCATTCTGGGTTAATTTTAAGGTGGCCATTTTGGATTTTCCGTCCTAAATTCTTCACTGTCACACTGCTGTGTTTTAGGTACGATATTGTTCACGTCTGTGCCTTGTTACATTGTTTAATGCATTACTATTCTTTATTTTAATGTATCAAATATTTCTTGAAAGAAAAAGTTAATTGCTTTAAGATAAGTGTTCCCCATGTTATTTCTCCATTGATAAACCTCATACTATCCATTGGTTTCAGTTCATTTTGGTCATCCAAATTCAGTATCTTTAAAGCCCCTGGAGCAATCAATCCACTTTTCTTTTTAGGAAAATCGAACATGTCTTGATTGATTGATAGGAGCTAAACACAATGGACCTCACATACACATTGAGTGATCGATAGACACTCGACACTTATCTTGAGCTAAACCCAATGGACCTCATAGACACATTGATTAAAGGAGTGGTATCGATATGGTGAACTTTTTGAACACATGTTTCTCTTAAACCAGTCATCAAAACATTCTGAAAATCTCACCTTTTGGATGGTAACATTATAATTTGAATTATGTATATATACTTTTCTCTATATCAGACACTTCTTCCGTTCTTGGTATCATATTTTCGGAATGAAATGAAACATCTATTCAAACCTCATTGGAACAAAACGACATAAACACAACATGTTTAGGTCTCTCAATATTGTAATTGTACAAAGGAAAGTTTGGTTGATTTTTAAAAAGTATCTTGTTAATGAAATAAAAGGTATATCTTGATTTTTAGGGGGTTTTGTTTTAAGTTCTTACATACTTTTTGTTAAATCAACCAAAATTTCCTTTGTACTTGTATACAATATTGGGAGGTCTAAGAAAATGTTGCATTTGCTATTTTGTTCCAACAAGGTTTGGTAAGACATTTTATTTCATTCTCAAGAATTAGTAGAAAGGAACTTAAAACAATTGCACAAAAAACAAAAAATGATAACAAAAATAGTTATGTAAAACATATATAAATAATTTTTGCATTAAATTGTTGCCAATCAGTCAACTGAGTATAGATTTGATCCTTAAATGACATTCCCAAGGCCAAAATAGATTTGACCTTTAATGACCTCCTAAAGGTCAAAAAGGTCTTTTTTATCTTGCTTCAACTAGGTGGTGACATTTTGTCATGTTAATGCCTTGTTATAATAATAGGGCTGCATTTTAAAGTATACATCGACAGGCCATCTGAGATAATCTTCAACATGCAATGGTTCATTTGATATGTGTCTGTTATATGCTAAATATCCCAAGTCATACAAGTAAAATATCAACTTAACACACTCTGGTCTTTGTAAGGTGAGTTTCCATTCCATAATAATGTACGGAATATGTACTTTTGCAAAGAGATCAGATGATTTTAAGAATGCTTCAATTTCATGCCCTTCTACATCAATCTTCAATATTGCATTTGGAAATGTAGTGACTTCGAGTAAGTCATTTAGAGTTATGGTATTCACTTCTTCTAGGCCTTGGTGTAACTCTGTTTGAGATGACTTTGGTTGTATTCTTGTTGCAGCAATATTACCAACAGTTGTCTGCAGTGTAACTTGCGTCCTTGAATCCGATATAGCATTGTGTAGTAAAACCACATCATCTCTGTAGCCACTTATGTCAATTCCTCGGTGGATGCATTTTATATTGGCCATCATTGGTTCAACTGCTACAACCTTCTTACCATACATTGCAGCGACCATAGTAAACACGCCGACATTGGCACCAATATCAATGAAGCCCATATCCGCATTTTGGGAGGCTAGGAACCAGTCTTCTAGTGCATCATAGATCCAACCTTCCCACCGACCCGTCTTTACCAATGAGGATGACAACCATTTGTCCTCTTTTGGGTCATGCACACAAACTTTTCCATCACCAATTTTGGTCTTAAGAGTAACACAATTAAGAGTATCATCAGAAGGTTTGTTGAGATCATATGTGTTACAGTGTAAAGCGTTTTCAGGAAGGACATCATTGATAGTTGTACTGTTTTCAGTTATTTCATTTTCATACTTATTTTCTCTGTTTTCAAATCTTTTGTTTGTGTCATCGTAGGAATTGTGCTCTTTGTCAATGTTGTGGTCCTTTTTAATTCCTCTTGTAAGGCCATAGTTATTAATGTGTATCCCCTCATCATAATTGTCATCTAGTTCATTAATAATTTTGACAAGTTCATGTTCCTCATTTTTGCTGACACGGTTGCTGTTGTCCGTCTTCTGATTGTGTTTAGTTGTACTGTCTGTAAGATTATTTATTGTAATAAGAATGTAAAGTATGAATGGTAATATAGAGGTCAGTACCATAAACAGCAGACATCTTTGCTTAAATACCATTGCCATCCTTGATATAATACAGTTTAATTAGTAATAATTTTCTGTTAACAAGCACATTGCTTCAGTTTATAACATAGAGTGCACCTACATACATGAATTTCACTTTTTTTAACCAACATATACTTTGAAACGACATTCATTGAAATGAAAAATGACTTGATTTGAAGCTTGGATTTAATCTTTAACCAAATATAATGTCAACTGTGGTTGAGATTCGATTTACTTATAGATTACCAAGACGACTAATAAGGGCTCATTTAAAATGTAGAAATACTATCATTATACATTTACACCGTTTTAAGGATGAGAAATGTGATTTATAATAAGTTAGTTGTTTATTTGTTTTTAAAGCAATCTAAGTAACAAACCATAATTTGCATCATCAACAGACTTTCATACAAAGACATGAAAGATACAATCTAGAATATACATAAGGTTGTTAAGCAGCATAAAAATTATAAAGAGTTTATGTTAGAAGGTTTCTAAATAGTCAACAGGGCAAACATTAATCCGAATTTCTTTAAAAATTATGGGAAATGGGCACTGAGACACATTAAACATCAATCAAATCAATCAATCAACTTAAATATGAAAATGAATTAATATAATATCAAAGAAGCTTCAATTAATCCAAAAGTAAAACAATTCAACATTTAATCGATTGATTCAATTGTTACGTACGAAAATAACAGAAGGTAAAAACAGCAATTAAAATATGATAACAATATATTTATATTTTGAAAACTAAATAATATAACAATAATATAAAGGAGATTTAATACTTATGTGATGTCCAATCAATGATACGGCTTATTCTTGATGTCGATAAATATCCTTAACGATCCTCGAGAATGTTCCAGATCACGAAAGTTTCAATAATCGTTCATAGTTCTCCAATGTTTGTAATAATCCAATAATGTTCGTCGTAATCCTATAATGTTCGTATCCAATAATGTTTGACGATAATCCACAAATGTTTAATGATAATCCGCAAATGTTTATGATAATCCGCAAATGTTTATGATAATCCACGAATGTATATGACAATCCGTATATAGTGTGTGTTGTAATATATGTCCATATAAAGTCCTCAGGTTGTGTGTTTGTAGTGTTATAAATGTTCCCACAGTATGTGTCTATAATATTCCGCTAAGAAGATGTCCTTTTGCTAAACTTTGAAATTCTGCTTTATTTAGTTCCTTTGAGATGTCCAGTTATGATGACTTAATTATCTGCTAATGAGAGTCACTGTGCTGTTCTTTTTATAATGTGAAAGAATGATCCAGAAACGAATCTTCTGGAACTACATCTTGATTGGACATCTTTAGTGACATGATTAAATTTTAATGAATGGTTATAATTTCTAGAACTATCTGGATGGTCAAGGGTTAATGAGTCATTCAGTTCAGTTTTGTTTACAAGATACAGTGTATAATGTCATTGTGACCTTGACCTAAGATCTCTAATGAAGAATAGCTCAACATATACAGCAAGCGTAGATTACAAATTAAAAAACTATAGGTGAATATAGTAGCATATAATATACATGTAGCTCACTACTGTAACACCTCCCTCCTTAAAAGAAAAGTTTTGAATGCAATGAAAAACTTTTACAATAATATCTTGAGTAGCGAGCGTTACAATTTTTAAAAGTGAGGTTGAGACTTACATAATATTTGTTTACAATAGTCTTTTTATGTGCAGTATGTTTACAAGTATATAATACTTTCTATCGTTACAGTGTGAGTACAATCTAATAACATATAATGTTCTTATAATGCCATACTACAATAATATCTACATCAGTTATGCATTATGTCATAAATACAATACACGCAATAGACCATATAACATGTGCAATAGCATAAGTTTTGAGTCTGACAAACACAAAACTAGTACAATGTTTTAAATTATCACATGATCTTATGTAAGTATTTCTACTAGTACAATCTCATATTATCAAGTAATGCTGTGACATTATTTAATGATCACCTATGATGCTCACATAATCTAGATACAATCTTATAGTTCATATAATATCAATTTTAATATTTAGGCAAATGTTTTTATATATTGTTAAAATAAAGTGACAGTTATCACAAATCTCTAATTTGCCTACCATATAATATAATCTTCATGAGTTAATCATTATAATTTACAATATCTGACTCTTGAATAACATACATGTATAGTTGTCATTGACATACAAGTTTGGCCTATGAGCTAAGAGCACAAGCTCATGTTGAGTAAAGAAATTTATCACGCTCAACATACCTTTTCATCATGTGTAGCTCTCTACACCTCACAGGAGTAGTTCTATCAATGCAAATGAAATCATTCAGCACTGAGTCAGATTGTAAGTCAGATATGAGCTCCTTTGGTAGCTCCACTAATGTGAAATTATTGATTTGTGATTTCACAATATACTTGGTTTTGCTATTTCTAAGCATAAGGAGTGATTTTATTGTTGGAAACTGTGTGGTCATAGATAAAATAGTGAGCAGATATTGACTATTAGATTTTGTTTTTGGAAATGGACCAACACAGTCAATAAGAACCTTACTAAATGGTTCATCGAATGCAGGTATAGGGTGTAAAGGAGCAGTTGGAATTTTCTGGTTAGGTTTCCCTACCATTTGACATGTATGACAAGACCTACAATACTCTTGGACATCTTGTTTTAATTTGGGCCAATAGAAATGATTGAGTATTTTATGGTATGTTTTAGTTACTCCTAAATGACCTGCCATGGGAGAATCATGAGCTAGACTCAAGATTTCCTTATGATATGATTTTGGGACAACAATTTGATGTACAATTGCCCAATCGTCTTCAGGGGAAGCTTCAGGAGGTCTCCACTTTCGCATTAATATGCCATCCTTTTTGTAGAAACAAACAGGGACCTTGACAGCTTCATCAATAGTAAGACATCTTTTATGAAGATCAATGAGTGATGGATCATGCTCTTGTTCATAAATTAACATGTGTTTAGAATGAGGATCATTTTTCAAAGAATCACTATCAGAAATAGAGGATGAAACCTCAGAACTAGAAGAGGATGAAACCTCATGAACACTAGCAGAAGAAGATGAAACTTCATCAGGACTAGCAAGAGCGGGCGAAACCGCATTAAAATAGTGATCCTGCTCAGAAGGTGAATCACCCCTGGCAATAGGCTTTTTCAATGAAGAATATGCCTCAATAGATGACTGCTTGGCTCGAACAGAAGGCTGTTTCAATGAAGAATTTGCCTTTAAAATAGGATAAGGACCATCTTTAACAAGTGGTGAGTGACATTCATCATCAAACAAGGAGCTTAAAAACCCACTATCAAAGTCATCTCCCACAGACGAATCCCCGCTATTAGCTAACTTTTTAGCCATAGCCCTAGTAACAGCACAAGCAGGATATATATCAGAGTCCTCTTGGACAGAATCCTCAATAGAACAAGGCTGATCAGAAACAATGGGGTCTAATGATACCTTACCCCCAGCTAAATCATTGCCTAAAAGCAATGCGACTCCTTCAACAGGAAGTTGTGGCCTAACACCAACAATAACTGGCCCTTTGACTAACTCTGATGTGATATGAATACGATGGAGGGGAACTTTAGTAAAACCTAATTCAATGCCTTGCATCAAAATATGGGTACCCGTGAATGACTCCTCAGATAAAGGAAGGACACCTTCTAACAACAAAGTCTGAGATGCACCCGTGTCTCTAAGAATCTTAATTGGCTTTGAATTGGTATCATCACTTGACAGTGACACAGATCCTTCCGACATGAAAGGCTTATAATCCTCCATAATATCACTATGAGTAGATTTCTCAGTATGAGTATATGAATCCCAAACAATGGGCTTTCTTGAAATGGGAACTGTAGCACAACCATTTGAATGAGCAGAACCAGACATCTCTCTTCTATTCTTAATCCTATAGCATTCAGAAATAAGATGACCAGGCTTTTTACAATAGTTACAGGTGACATTTGATTTTGGACCTGACGATTTTGATTGATCTGATTTTGAGCTAAAACTCTGTGATGAATTAGACTGGTCTTTTGCTTTGTTTGATGTATTTGATGATGAGGACTGGTTTGATTTTGTATCATATGAAGGTTTGTTACCCTGATAACCTCTATAGTTAGGATTGCCCTTGATAAAACTACCCTTATGAGTAAGAGCATAATCATCAGACAGGGTGGCAGCTTGGCTTAAAGTTTCTACCTTGTGTTCATCTAAGTAAGTTCTAATGTGATACTGAACACAGTTTTTAAATTGTTCTATTAGCATAAGCTCTCTGAGCTTTTTAAACTCTTCAGATACATCTTTAGAGACAAGCCACCTGTCAAAAAGCTGCTCTTGCTCTCGAGCAAACTCAACATGGGTTTGGTCACTCTGTTTGTGGGCATTTCTAAATTTTTGTCTGTAAGCTTCTGGTACTAGTTCATAAGCTTTAAGAATTGCATTTTTAACTAGGTCATAATCAGAGCATACTTCTCCTGAGAGAGAGGCAAATATTTCACTTGCTTTACCAATGAATACACTCTGGAGCATAACTGGCCATGCAGATTTAGGCCAGTCTAGGCTCTGAGCAACCTTTTCAAAATGTGTAAAGTATTTATCAACATTTTTCTCTTGAAATTTAGGAACAAATTTGAGAAATTTTGAAGCGTCAAACCTATTTTCAAAATGTTGATGCATAGTAGCATGTTCCTCAGTTTTGGATTGAGCTTCTATCTCAAGACGTTTTAATTCAACTTCTTTTTCTTTTTGAATTTCTTGTTCTCTTAATCTTGTTTCTTGTTCTCTTAATCTTATTTCCTTTTCATTTTGCAATTCTAATTCTTTTTCTCTCATTTCATTTTGTAATTTGAGTTCAAGCTCTCTCATTTGTAATTGCTGTTGAAATTCAGTAGGATCAACATGCTGGGTTGGCTCTACAGTAAGCTTTAAAGCTTCTTCTGGTAATATTTCTTCCGCTACCAAATATGGCACCAGAATATTTTTTATTGCACCTTTTCGGTATGAAGTTTTTACTGCCAAACCAACATGTTTTGCTAATGCCAGAAGTTCAGTTTTCTTTAAACTGTCAAATTCCTCCAAAGAGGGTGATTCTAAAAATGTCTCAACCTCAAAACTCATTTTCAATTAATTGCTGTCTTCACACAATTTAAAATGTGAATTTCGAATTTTTGAAATATTTGTATTTTAGCTTGTTGTAGTTGTATCCCGGACGAGCCCCCAATTTCTGTTACGTACGAAAATAACAGAAGGTAAAAACAGCAATTAAAATATGATAACAATATATTTATATTTTGAAAACTAAATAATATAACAATAATATAAAGGAGATTTAATACTTATGTGATGTCCAATCAATGATACGGCTTATTCTTGATGTCGATAAATATCCTTAACGATCCTCGAGAATGTTCCAGATCACGAAAGTTTCAATAATCGTTCATAGTTCTCCAATGTTTGTAATAATCCAATAATGTTCGTCGTAATCCTATAATGTTCGTATCCAATAATGTTTGACGATAATCCACAAATGTTTAATGATAATCCGCAAATGTTTATGATAATCCGCAAATGTTTATGATAATCCACGAATGTATATGACAATCCGTATATAGTGTGTGTTGTAATATATGTCCATATAAAGTCCTCAGGTTGTGTGTTTGTAGTGTTATAAATGTTCCCACAGTATGTGTCTATAATATTCCGCTAAGAAGATGTCCTTTTGCTAAACTTTGAAATTCTGCTTTATTTAGTTCCTTTGAGATGTCCAGTTATGATGACTTAATTATCTGCTAATGAGAGTCACTGTGCTGTTCTTTTTATAATGTGAAAGAATGATCCAGAAACGAATCTTCTGGAACTACATCTTGATTGGACATCTTTAGTGACATGATTAAATTTTAATGAATGGTTATAATTTCTAGAACTATCTGGATGGTCAAGGGTTAATGAGTCATTCAGTTCAGTTTTGTTTACAAGATACAGTGTATAATGTCATTGTGACCTTGACCTAAGATCTCTAATGAAGAATAGCTCAACATATACAGCAAGCGTAGATTACAAATTAAAAAACTATAGGTGAATATAGTAGCATATAATATACATGTAGCTCACTACTGTAACACAATTTTATCTTATTATACCAACCATATGGTTTGTATAATAAAATTGAACCAATCATTTTATGTAAACCTACATAAGAATTTGTCATCCCACAAACACATTTAGGCTACATATGAAAGTTTTGTAAATAAATCTGAACATATGGTGACATATTGTTGAGCGTGTTGTCTAGTTATTTTAAAGCATACAGTAGACTTCCTTTTACTTATTCAGACCGCAAACGATTATTTAACTCCACCCATTAAATTCAAAGACGACAGCTTGCCAACATGTGTGATGTGACATACTGATGATGCCAATATATTGTTTGTCCAATATTCAACTGCTAATTAAAAATCAATTACCTCATTTTCGATAATTTTCTCCATTTTGTATTCAACACTGTGGATTCACATTCAGGTTTTAGGGATTTTCACCAAAAAAGTAAGTTTTTACAATCATTCAAACAACAAAATACAGTAATATTTTTATACAGAGAGTGGAAAGAATATACACTTTCTTTCCAGATTTTGTATTTATTATTAGATTAACTAGAAAAGTAAAGTACATGAAGTATGCTTCTTTAAAAAAAGATTTCGCAAAACAGCTTGCTTATTTACTATATTCATTCAAGTAAGTTAAATAAACAATAGATGCACAACAAACACCAAAATCAATAATTGGCAGAAAGTTATGATTTTGTACTACATGAAACATGCAGTAATAAATACTTTTTTGTCAGTTTTTAAAATCATATCAATTATTACATGTATTATCCCATGGTTGTGAGAATAAATATTCTAATTGATCATGACATAAAAGGACAATCCTGTGCAGTCCTGTGCTTTTGAATATCATTTATATCCAGATCAACCAAATATGTACACACAAGTCCCAAAGGAAGGGAAAAGACAAAAATCGTTTTTATAGAAAAAAATCAATTTTTATTTTGTATGGGTTTTAATTCAAGTTTATGGTTTAAAGGGTTTTTGGCTGCTCTGTGATTGTTCCTATTATGTACAGTAGGCTAATACAATGTTGTGATCCATGTCTCCTAAATGTTCATTTATTATTGTTTTGTAGCAGTATGTATGTGGGTAGCGGGGATGGCTACTGTTCTTCTAGTGGGGAAGAGAGCTACACATACTACAAGCCAAACTCAGATGAGCCAGTCTATGACTTCACAACACCTACAAACGAAAATGCCTTGTGCAGAAGATGCAACAAAAAGGTTTATCCAACCGAGAAAATGGAAATCGGTATCAGTCTACATAAATATTGCTTCAAGTGTGCCGAGTGTAAAGTTACACTGACTCTAAATACGTTCAAAGTTGGAAAGGCAAATCTTAATAAAGAGAAAGACGTGTTTTGTATTGCTCATGCCCCGAAGTTAAGTCAGAACATGCTTGATGATCAGTCCTTACAGATCAAGGCAGCTGCCAACGCACAGAAACTCAGACCTGCTCCTGGTGTAAGTATAACTTAAAGGAATTAAAGGGATACCTTAGGGGTCCTAATTGCTTTCATACTTGATCCCCCTAAGTAAAAAGGGACTAATATTAAAAAATAAAAGGAAAATTCTCTTTTACCTTGTTTTAGGAACCCTGATACATATACATTCGGAAAAAAGAGCTTGCAATTTATCATTTTATAGTACTAACTCTAAGGGACAAAATTACATCTTTGAACAGAGTCTACTACGGTTGTCTACTCGTATTATAAGGTTTGATTTTTGTAAAGTTTTATTTTTCCAACAAGGAAACATTACTCTCATAATGGTGTTTAAATCACAAATGACAATCACATTGAAGGAAGATCCACTTTTAAAGTATAACCACATCGTATTTCAATGTACTTCTCATTAATACGTCAGCGTGAAATGATATGTAAGATTTTGATTGCATAATTTTAAAAACATGATTGGATTTCATGACATTTTTTATTGAGTTTGCATCAACATCTGTTGTAATTCCTAGAACAACATGTGACGGATATTATAATTCAGTTATGTAACTAATAGATTCATTGAAGGGGACTCATTTACAGTTGAATAATAATTTGATGTATTGAAAGAAACTTTTGGGATTTAGGATTATCTTAATATTGATCATTCATTTATTTCTGGATCAAAGACTAGCTAAGTAAGTAAAAATCTACATTCATTCCCGGGCATTCATTATTTGTTAATTTTCACAAGAATTATTGCAGTATTACCTGTACATCTTTATCTGAATAGTTAATGTCATTTCAAGATGAACCATTGATTCTTCTCTCTTGGGAATTTACAGTTTAAAAAAGTGCCTGTCTCAGTCAAATGAAATCCACGTTACTAAACACTGTCTTGTATGTCAGTCAGAATCAAAAAAATTACATGATTTATTTGAGTCCCTTGTTAGTTTATTCATGCACATATCGGCGAGTATAAGTATTGTATCGTATTGTATATTATGGAATACGATGGGCCGTGGAATGTGGGAGTTGGAATAGTAGGAAAATAAATATGAATTTTGGAGTATACTGGTGGTCTAAAATATTACGAAATGGAATAATCATAAGTGCAAATAGATCGTAACAAAATGTCCATTGTATTTTACCATAAATTAAATCGAAAACACAACGTACAACTGATCCAATATTGAATTTGCGGACCAATAAATCTGTAATGTTTTTGACTCTCGGATGAAAAAGTTCCTTAAACGTAAGCCCACATTTTTTAACCTTACATGTTTGAACTGTATATGGTGAGCTATCTAACACAGGTGATCTACACGTTTGAATATTGCATTCTTCTCACATTCAACCTTCAAAGCTCCAGATGGCAAATTATTGAAATGTCATTTCATTTTCTTAATAGGCATATTTAATAATAACAAATTAAAATGTTCAATTAAAAATTAACTTTCATGAAGTCTGTTATTGTTTAAGTTACCAGTGATATGAATATTAATGAATATGTTCTATCTGAAAATTGATGGATTTATGTCATCTAATTTATCTATCTGTATATTCAAACCCGTTTACTATGAGATTCTTTGAATTTCTATTAAGATTACCTGCAAATATACTTATTTATGTAAGTGTGTTTTTGGTAAACACCAATTTGATTGATTGTTTTGTTGTAGTCCAGAATATATGACCTACCGGGTTGGGAATATGACCATGAAGCAATGGAATTCTCCCATGCTAAACATTTAGATGACAGAATCAAGAAAGGAAGAAAGAAACACAGAATTGTTGACCCTAATGAAACAGTAGGATTTGTGATTTTATAATATATATAAGCTTGCTATCATATTTTTCTTAATTGGTATTGTCTCGTATTTTACAATTTAAAAAATATTTTTCAATATTTAGACTTGATTCTATCACATGATAAAGGAGTGTGATTAGGTACACCGAAGGCTATTAGATCAATAAATTAATATCTTGCAATGAGATATGCATAATATTTACTCATATCTGCCTCAAGTCATTATTTCGCATGATGATCAGTTGATGTCAATTTAATAATATTGAGTTTCAGTGTACCTTCGTTTGTGCTCTTCATGACTTAACATTTTTAAAACTCCAAATCTTATATAAAAGTATGCAATGTGAACTGTATTAATGCTGAGATTAATGTTGTTGCACATTGCCCATATATACAGGACTATGAAGATGTCAATGATCTGGAGCAGCTAAGAGGTGGAGTATACAAGAGACCAGGGATCAGTAAGGTTGCAGCAGTACTTCAGAACCAACTCAGTGGCAAAGGAGGGAAGCCACCTAAGAAACACGAATACATGGAACCCAACGACACATTTGGTGCTGCAACTAATGGGAATGGCTACAATAATGGAGAGAGCTTATATGAACCATTGAGGGTGGCAAGAGGGGAGACTGGCAAACCAAACGATCCTAGAGTGAAACCACCAGATTTTAATACCCCTGATCCTAGAAGTGGGGCTCCATTGCCACCCCCTAATCCACCCCCTATGGGAAGGAGCAATACAGACCCAAGGTTAGCACAGTTGGATGCACAGATGATGGCCATGAATATGAATGGGGGCATGCCAATGAATGGACATGGTATGCCAATGAATGGACACGGGATGCCAATGAATGGACATGGTATGCCAATGAATGGGCATGGGATGCCAATGAATGGACATGGTATGCCAATGAATGGAATGCCAAATGGATTTCCACACCCATTCCAAAGGGTACACAGTGAACCAGTAAGTCACAAATATAAGTCTATTAAGTCACATGTTTTGGTAAAATGTAGTACAATTTACAAATTATTGTACAAATGATTCACAATACTAGTAGTGCTAAACTATTGCTTTTGTTTTCATAGAGAGAATTTCAATATTTTCTGATATTCAGTTTTCATTTTCAGATGATGATGCACCCTGGAATGATGCATGGTCCAGGAATGGTTCATCCGGGAATGATGGGAAATGGGAATGGTTATGACCTTGATTATGACACTTATGCAGTACCAATGCTTGCCAGAAAGGTGAGCGACTATGCTATTTCATTTTTGTCTGAAACAAAATACCAACAAAAGCAAAGCCTTTCCAATTTGACCTAACATGCATCCAATTCACCTTTTAATCTTATGATTCCTTTAGGAGCTGATGAACGACCAGAAATTCATGGCCCAGAACCGCCTAGAGTTGCGACACAGGAAGGAACAGGAGACTGTGTTTAAAGACTTTGAGCACATGAGAGATGAGGAGATTTGGAGGCTAGAAGAAGACTTGAAGGGACAGATGGAGAAGGCAGTCACCACACTGCTACAAGAGGTGGACAGTGGTAAGCAATAACATGATTAGACATGAGAAATATATATATATCAGAGGAGTCTACGAAGTCCCACAGCTCCTTCAAAAGGATATGAGACAAGACAAAAACCTCTGATATTTGATGATGTATTTCAGCAAAGAATGTTTTTGTTCAAAGAAAACTCAATGATCTCAACGTCTTATTTCTCATACATAATAATATGGGGAGGGTGCCACTGAGGTCAGGATGGAGGTGTAAATGCTTTCAAAACATCAGGTAAAACATCCAAGGAACCATGATGATGAACCCTTATTCCACACACATATACACTTCTAGGTAACTACAGGGGAGACATAGCAATGGAGAGATTGAGAATTGATCACCACTTCCAGAGGCTAAAAGAGGAAAAGATGAGGGAGCTAATGGAACAGCTGACTTCCCAGGAACGCTATAGGTTATCTGACCAGCTTGACAGACACAGCCAGGAGATGTTGCAACTGATTGATTCGAGACAGGTACAATCTGAATAGTGCTGCATAGCTGAATCATAGTTTGGGACATTAGGGGATGTTTTCGTTAAATCATATTTTGGGATAATGGGGGCTGCTGGTATTATGTTTTTATTGTAGTTTGGGATATCTGAAGTTTGTTTCCATAATGACTGTGTCGTGTCGTTGTACTCTATAATAGATTATTTTTTCTCATCTGGTTTGGCACTTATGTGTTAGCATATCCATGTATTATCTCATGGACAATATGATTTGTCCACGTTATCTATATTGTCCAGAATCCACAAAAGCTAGCAACATTATCCTATGACCATTGCAGATGATTGTACATTATTGTAAACTAATGTACCAATTGTGTTTGTTGTATAGGAACAGGTGAAGCCTCCCTCCCCCAGACCCCCAAGCAGTAAGAAGAGAACCTTGTACTCGACTCAGCACATGTTTGATGACCTAGACTTCCATGCGAGACAGGTAATGAATGTACAAATGTTCTTAAGATAGATTTGGGAATGGGGTTGTATAGAAAATCATTGCCATGGCTCTTTTAGGATTGCAGTGTAGTTTGATGCTTTTTGGTAGAACACTATTCTTGATAGCCAAGTTCCATATAACATTGACCTATCTAAATGCATACATTACATACATGTACATATTATGCTTTTCATCACTTCAAAGAATGTTCTTTTTTCTTTTGATTCTTTTTCTTTGTGAATCTGTGATCGCACCTATTTAACTTATTGGCCCCTCATAAAATGTTAATCTATACACTCTTTATATGTTGAAGGTTGCTGAACATGAACAAGGGAGCTTCACAGAGCTGGTGTATGAACTGACCAGGCAATGTAAAACAACACTAGATAAATCAAGGTATAAATATATGTTAGGTAACATTTTCATATTTAATACAGCTTTGTATGTTTTTATTTCAAATAAATCCCAAGTGACTTATTCAAATGATCATCAACACTGGTGATATTCAAATAGATCCTAGCAATATTCATCAAATGAATTACTTCAGTGTCATTCTTCTGAATTCAAAAAAAATGTTATTCAAGTGATCTATGTATTCCACAGGGCTATCTTTAGATGGGTGACCATTAAGGATCTAAACAAGATGATATTGGAAGGCCATTTTAGTGAAGATAGTCCATTCTACTTCCTCAAGGGAATCAAATGTGGAATTGAGAGCTACCATGAGCTTTTTAAAAGACTTTGCAGGTACCAGCTATCTACACTACATTTTATTTTGTTCAATCACAGTCAATTTACCCTATAGTAATTTTAAGTTATAAATAACTTATTTATAACTTCTTGAGAGATGTATCATGACCAAATGTTAACAGTTGAGAACAAATCAACTTTGTTCTTCCACAACTGTTCAATATTTGGCAATATGACCATAATTGTGAGAATGAAATAAAGTAAGGATTAAATGTTGAGTCTGTTTTACACTCAATGTTAAGTACAAATGTATACCAATTTTTTGTTACTTCTTTCTGAATTAGAGAGTATATCTTTTATTGACTCTCTGATGTCATTACAATGACATAGAGTCCATGGCATGAAAACATTTCTATTTATTATCAAAAAACTTGAAGAGCAAATCATAAAAAAGATCACAAATTTTCTACCACACTATTCAGAATGGTTTCTCACTATATTTGCAGTTATGCTGGTATCCACTGTCAGATCATCCGTGGTTTTTCAAAGAGTGTCGGCTACAAACCTGGGATGACATCATTCAATGATAGTCGTTTTCGGAATGCTTGGTGCGTTGTCTACATAGAAGACTCCTGGCGATTCATTGACTGCCACTGGGGTGCAAGGCACGTCACAACAGGAAGTAGCGATATGGTCTCCCCGAATAAATTTCGTTATGAATACGATGATTTTTATTTCCTCACCGATCCCGAAGAGCTGATCTACCAACATTTCCCAGATGAAGAAACATGGCAGTTATTGGACGAGCCTCTCAGTATGGAACAGTTCATCAACATGCCTCTACTCAAGTCCCACTTCTTTCAATATGGTCTGAAACTGGATAACCCCTCCAAGTCAGTTGTAGAATCAGGGGATGGAAAAGTACAGGTGATCCTCACTAAACCAACACACACTCCCCTCACCTTTAATTCTCGCCTTGAGGGTGATGATGAAGTGATTGATGGGTACACTCTTCACCATACAGAAGGGAACCAAGTAGTGTTTGATATTTACCTTCCACGTAGAGGGGTCTTCTATTTCACGATCTTTGCCTGCGATACTGACAAAGCTGAGGTCTATAACAATGTCTGTTGTTTCAGAATCACATGTAAAAAGGTTGAAGCAAAACCATATTCAAAATTCCCCAAACTCCCTGAGGGTTATGGTCCAACACCGCTTGCAGCTGAACTGGGGCTTACAGTTGATAAGCACAAAGGCAGTTTCCTCCAGTGTAATGATGAAAAATTTGTTATGAATCTTCGCTTTAAAAAGGACACAAAAGTCTCTCATAAGATGGTGTTTGGTGGCCAAGAGCAACCAACTGATGAGTATGACAGATATGCTTTCCAAAGATTTAGGGATGATCGGGCAATTTCATATTTGATTCGTTTCCCACAAAAGGGGATCTATGCATTCTCCATCTTTGCTGCCGATAAGGACTGTGACAAACCAGTGCTAGACTGTGCTGCTAGGTTTATCATTCAATGTAACCAGGCCCCTAAGGCTAAGATCAAACCTTACCCAAGAACATACCAACACTGGCTGAAGTGTCGTCTTCATGAGCCCCCCACTGGTGATTTGAAGCTAAACCGCAATGTTAAATTCAAGATTGAAGTTCCAAATGCTGATATGGTGGCCATTATTCTCAAAGGCAAGTGGTATCATTTGAAGAAAGCCAGTGGGGGATTATGGGAAGGGAGTGTCTTCACAGGAAAAGATGAAGACACTACAGCAGGAGTCTACGCAAAATATGACTCAAGGGATTTCTTCCCCCTTCTTGAGTACAAATTAGTCACACATATTGATTGAGTGCACTAGTCATCCATGTAGAAGGGGGTCTTTTTGTGAGGCAACATTGCCCCCTCACACATACTAATTGAGTGCAATTATGAGATCGTCATGACTCCCTTGAGTAATACAGCAGGGTGGTCAAAAAAAATTGAAACCCTAATACCATTTTCCTCATATCTTTGTCATTTTAAAAAATAACCCCCTGATATTTTACACTTTTGTACATCATTCAATTTGCTACCAGTCTACTTTATTTCATGACCATCAGATTGATAGTCACAATGTTACAGCACTTTAAAGAACATGCCCAGTGGCCACTATTGCGTTGTGGGGAAACCTGTACTCATTGTCCAAAATGTCCCTACCTGTGGGGATATGCCAGAGTATATGAGAATGACCTCAGACCAATTGCAAACCTCAAAAGTGAGATCATTTGTGTCATTCATGCCATACCTGCTGAGGAATGCATTCGGGTCATTGACAACTGTGCTGTTTTGCCCACAGCGCGATAATGGCCAAATCTGAAGCATGTTATTCAAAGTGCTGTAAAATTGTGACTATCAGTCTGATGGTCATGAAATATGGTAGGGTGGTAGGAAATTGAAAGATGTACAAATGTGTGAAATATCAGGGAGTAATTTATTAAAGTGACAAAGATATAAGGAAAATGCAGGGTTTCCATTTTTTTTGACCACCCTGTATATAGTTATTAGGCTGAAACAAAATATGAAAGTTTTAAATATTAAATTGATTTTTGAGTTACCCTGCATGTTTTAAAAATACACAAGATTGTAAAATCTCTGGCTCAAAATGCATACATGTATATGCTTGTAATAACTAAAGAGGCAATATTTCCTAGATATTAATTTTTGGAACTTCTCATTTTCCCTATATTTCTGTCAAATAAAATGATTTCTTTATTTGTCATATTCAGAGCCTCTTTAATAAATATTAATCACTATATAATACAATGTCAAATATGTAATATCTAGCTTATGTATATGTAAAATATATGACTGTTTCATACTACTAGGCACAAATCTATATCAATTTGGCTTCTGTGCATGTATATTCAATGAGTTCTATTTAAATGTGAATAACATGACATTGTATCACATGAAGTGTAATTGAATGTATGTACAATTTGGTAAAATAAAATGACAAAATGCTTGAATTGTGTTTTCCTGTGTTGAAAATGTAGTCAAATCCTGTGATAAGGACTGATGCAAGTTCATCCTTCTTAAGTGAGGCATGAACCCACAACCTTTCAAGGCCTTTCAATAACTGGTCAAACATAAATAACATAAATAATTTATCTTATACAGACAACACCTTTGAAAAAATGAAAATGAATTGATTATATGGGGATGCCCCATTGGTACAAATCACATTGGTCCGAATCTCAATCGTCTGAATCCCAGTGGTCTAAATCCTAAATGTCCGAAACTCATTGGTCCGAATCCCATCTAGATAGGCTTAATTTAATATGAAACAACAACAATCGGGCTGAAGTATCGGCTTTATGAGCCCCCCACCTTGTTGTTGTTGTAAAAATATCAAGATAAAGATGCAAGAAATGTGTGAACGTGGAATAAAAAATCATGTTGATGTGTGATTATTGAAGTATGATTGATTCCCCATATAGCCGTGTGAGATGAACGTCATTCACATAGATTTGGTCAATGGAATTGTCAGAACCTTGTTGTGTCATTGATTATATGAAATAAAGTTCCGATGTTCTGATGAAAATATAATTCAACTTTGACAAGGTTTGAACTCCAGACCTTTAGGTCTCCAGACTAATGCTCTACAAACTGAGCTACCAGTGGCTGCATATCACACAATCGGATTGTATTATGGAATGAGTATGCACCAGCATAACTATAAAGTAGATGAAGACTTTAAAGAGATTTTTGGATGAAAAAAAGTGGCCACCTTAACATTAACTAAGAATGTCCAAAATCCAATCAGTTAGAGATTTGCATACTAAGAATTATGAATATCAACTCCAAGTAAACACACGGCATCAGTTCAACTATGGCTACATGTTTTTTTATTTGATTTGATTTGGGGCACAGAAGTTGTAATATAGATGTTATAATAGTTTGTGAGAATATTGACATGAAATGCCTTAAATTCTTCTTAAATTCTTGACTCAGCATGTATGACCTGCATAGGTCTACTTCATATTTCTGTATACTGTACTTGTCATTATTTAAAATCCTTTCAACATTACTGTCTAGTTTCAATCAGCATGAACTTGCTACATACTTAATAAGAAAAGATCCTTGTAAACAACATATATCTGCTTTATGCTTTTGAAAAACAGTCACGGGACTTTGGCTGGCATGATTTGACACAAATGGATTCAAACCATTTTTAAGAAACATCCCTTAGCAGGTTTTGTATAAACAGTTAGCCTATGTCTGTTTTCATGATAACAAATATAAATGTATTTTGTCTAAAAAGTCTCATTTATTTTGAATAGGTCAAAACTGGTACAAAATGGTTTAAAATTGCACTTTTCATTATGACAAATAAATGAATGTTCTGATTGGTTAATAATCAAGTATTTAAGATTCATATTCAAACATATGCCACTCTCATACACAGCATCAAAAAAATCCTCAAATTGATATGATCTTTCATTCATTTACATTGAACAATTTCTGTGACTGTGTATGAGACTGATATATAAAATCAAACGGATTGACAAACAGTACAGTACTAAACATCAAATATCAAAAATCAATACATTTGAAATTCAAAATTTCGTTTGTCCAGCTTCAAGTTTCGGAAATACATTTGGACAAGTTGCTAATAAAGAACACAGTCCTACCATCTCTCTTACTCAGGTAAGAATATGAGGGGGCAGTAACGAACAATAATACAATACTACATGCGGTCAATATGTCCCAAACTTGAATAAAACAGCATCCATATAATTTACACAAATGTACACAAAATTCCTTTAAATCAAACATTCAACTTCATAAATTATTAAACATAAAATCATTGAATTGATAATTCATGAATATTAAATATAACTTAGTAAAATAACCAGCCTGTATTTTAAGGCTGAAATTTACACTGATGCAAATTACCTTATTAACTGTATTACTTTATATTATAAAAATTAGTCCATCAATGTATCATCAGACATCATGGTAGTTATAATCCATGGCACTAGTCTGTATTTAACACCCAGTGTATAGCCTTGTACCGCAGTGTCATAGCCTTGACCTTACATAGCCTTGACCTTCATCATCTTCATCTTACTTTGACTCTTCTTCTTGTCACGACGCTCTGTACGTTCCTATAAAAGGTTGAGACATATGACTTGTTAAATCTAGTGTGATGTTTTAGTTTTCAAGTGTTACCTTTACTTGAGAAGAATACTTTTTTTATGAAGAGCTCCATGTATTAAATATACAGGGTGTCCCAAAAAAATTGTAGTGAGATATACACAAAATAACTCAAGTTTCATAAGGTAACTCTATTTAGTTTTATAAAAATATTTCACTATTCTGTAAGTGATGAAGAAATATTCTTGAAATTTGATCACCTGGTAGACAATTCAATTACCATTAATACATGGAAGTTTCATCAGGTAACTAGTTTTAGAGAATCCATTTTCAATGTTTGAAATGGCATTCATTTCTGCAGCAATCATAATGAAGGTAATTTAGATCATGTCATCTAAAGTGTCAAATTTCTCAGGAAGTAATGCACTTTCTATGAATTTTCAATGAAGGAAAAAAGAGATATTCCCTTCTCATTTGGGTAACTCTTAAATTTACCAACCTCCCATTTACGCTGCTTCTCTGGATCATCTTCATTCATCATGCGTTCCTTATCCTCACGACGTTTTTCTTCACGACGGAGCTGTGCAGCCTCGGCACGTTGCAGATGAGTCATCTTCGAGAACTGCTCCTCCACAGCCTTGCGGTTTTTCATACTTTTCATTTTCCCCTAGAAAATGCCAGTATCTCACTTTCATTTTAAATTCACTAATGGAGATATACATGAATCAAATATGTAACAAATTAATATAAAGACATGAGGAATGTGCAATAAACAACAAAATTACAACTTCATGAAATAGCAAATCCCAACAAATAAATTATTTATGAATGTGAAATATGTCACAAACGAATGTCACATGCGAATATAACTGTATTCACATTTCTATAAACTGTGAACAAAGTCAATATTTCAACCTACAAAATCTAGTCTATATCAATTGTTTAGATCAGTGCTAAACGCTAAACCTGAAAACGTTTGTACTAGCCTTGCGGTATTTATGCGATGATATAATAACTGCTCTCCAGTCTATATTTCTTAATATAAAAATTTTAATCTATTATTATGAAAAACCTTCTATTTGCACATTAAAACCATCATTGAATTCTCATAATTCGCATCAATTCAAATTTTGGTGACCATTTTGAACTTTAATGGCCACAAAGCAGAAGGAAAATACAATGCATGGGATCTACTTTAAAATCCTTCCCTTTCATACTGTAACGAGATCTTCAACTGTTTGTTTATTCTCTCATTAGGTTGCCATTTTGAATTTTCCAAAACACTAATCAGAAAAGACATAGTTTGAAGAGATCTCCAAATATCTACAAATTCCCACATCAAATAGCCATTGATAGATTTTCCGAGGTACTAATCAGAAAAACTATACAATACATGTATCTGAAATCTGCAATGCATTTCACTTAATTATTATCACTGAGTCGTACTTCATGAAACTAACAAAAATTCCCATTTTCTACTCTATTATGAAGAAAATCTATCTGCTAGTATTTAGTTTTTCCCAGATGGACAGACAGACAAATGGTATATTCCTATACTGAACTTCATCAATGGGATAATAATCTATACCTGAAATATGATCATTTATACAGCATAAATGTTCTCTTAATAATCAATATTGTCAAGTAAGTGAAAGTCACTTATTTCAATAACACTTCCCCACACACAAGTACACATGTTGAACATGTTGAGAGTTGCACACCAAACAGCACAGAGATAAGTACTTACATCTTGTGTGAGGCTGACCCGTTTCATCTTGTCAACACAATGGAAGACCATCTTGAGCAATTCTTGGAGTCCTTTCATTTCTTCCGGATTGTTAACAATCTTATCAGTCACTGAAGTTAACACAGATCACAATATAAAACTAAGATCTATGCAACTGGAAATGTTATTATCCATAATTCTTTTATATCCTATATTTTCAAAATTGATTTAATTTGGGGCACACTTTAATTTGGCAAATCACCAAGTCGGTAAAGGTCGCTAATTTAAATCTCACTCAAGTCATAGTTAATAATATAATTTTCTAGTATTTGAAGGGATTTTCACAAAAATCCATCAAATTAAAATGTTACAACTTTCTTCAAGCCCCAGAAGAGTTCACCCTAAAGAGGTTTTACTGAACATGCACTTACAGTTGAAGCTAAAAATGAGGACTTTCTTGGTGTCAGGCATCTTGGTGGCTTCTCCATCTTCAGTGCTGACTTTAGGACCAGAAAATTGGTCAGAAAAGTGCATGTAATCCACAATACCGTCAAACTTTTGAATAGCACACTGGACCTGAAAAACAATGGATTTGAACTCTTGTGGCTTGTTTGACTTCCTTCTTTTAATTCTTACTTCATAGTATAAGTATCATAAAATTGGTTTCATATAGATTTATTGGGATGTGTATTGTTCAAATGTTTTTCTCTTTGTGTTTTGCTTTATTATAAGGAAATTACATTACATTTGATGTGTTGTGGGCAACAATAATGTGTGCCTTGTAGGAGATGTGTTGTATGTGAATTTATCATACTTCAAAAGGACATGCAATTCAATTCAAAATTTTTTATATTATCATAACAATAGAAATTCAAAATCAGTACCTTTTGGTCAATGACAGACATGGTAGTGTCGTTGATCTCAGACAGCACTCTATATTTTTCAGGCAATCCATAATTTTTACCTTGTTTCTGGTCCTTGCAAAAAATACTCTGAAATCAAAACATGCAGTTAGTTTACAGCAATATATAGTCTGTATAGTGAAGTTGAATTTTGTTTGCATCATCATGGTCAATTATAGTTATCATTCATTAGTAATCCAAACTACACCTATTCTATAATAAACATTGCAATGACAGTCTACATCAACCCCTGACTCTCCCTTCACCACTTGTCAGTATCAGGAATTTGAAATGATGGAAGGTAAGAGTGGATTTCAATATTTTTCGTTTTTATCAAATCAAGCTATTTGCCATTGATATTCGGCTCTGAAATTTCGACCCTATCTCTAGCATGAATTGCTAATCTGAATTTTGAATCCTAACACTCCATTATAAACTCCCATCAATACAAATCAGTTTCTATGTATTGGCAAACGAAGAATTCATGTTACTGAATTCACAACTTAAAAACAACTAAGCAGTTTAAGGTGGTTTAATAAATAGAAAACAATTTAAGCTTCTACTGACCAGATCATTCAATTCTCGATGGACTTTAGCTATAGTTTTCTTCAGGCCAAGAGCCATTACAAATGGTGCCATCGCATTTTCATCCATAACAACTTTGATCACCTGAAAAGTATAACACAGAAATGCATATATAACTAGGGATCTCACAATTAGTCAGTTCTCTGAATCAAAATAGATTAATAAATACATTGAGAGTGCCATAGCTATACATTGTGTAGAGCTAAGTGAAACATTATTATAAGTAAGCGAAATAACATAGAATCATTTCATTAATTTGCTGGAACTTTATAAATGATAGAAATGAAAAAAATACTTAACATCTCCTGTCTAAATAGTAACATATGAAGCAAAAATACCTTTTTGAAGGGAAAATGAACTTTTAAGTTAGAGTTCAATTCACTTTGAAAAGAAAGATAAATATCTAAAACTAAGAGAAAAACTTACAATTTGGTCTAATGCTGGTTTAAATATTCTTGATATGGTCTGAATAAGATCCTGTCGTTTGAGTAGTTTCATCTCAATGAGCATACCATCACAAAGTGTCCTGCCGCTGCACCAGAGAGAGTAGAGATGTTCAGACTCCTTCATCAGCACTCCCTGTTGAACCTCCTTAGTGGATCCATCATCACCTACAACATTATGCAAATCAAGCATGTTTTTGTTTAAGTAAAACTTAGTTTAGATTTAGCTTGTGTAACAGCTATAGATAACATGCTGTTTTACCAGGAAATAGCGAGAATTTCACGCGATTTATTTCCTAAAGGGGACATGCCATTAAGAGGCCATTCTCTGACTTAGTCATTTTTTTAAAAGTGTGAAAATAAAAAAATTCATGAAAAGTTCTAAAAATATTCTGAATAACAAGTTGAATATATATTTAATGATGGCACAAGCAAAAGTCTGAAAATTAACATGAAATGAAGGGTTTTGATAGATGCAAAAGATGCTAGATTTGTGATGAAGAAATAGAGGTTTTTGCAGTAACAACACAATTACCTCGAAGTTATCCATTATGAGAGGCTGAGGACTAAACTTGACATAATTTTCAATCTCAGATTATCAGTAGTATCTAACTTAAGCCGGACAGCCACTCAAAATGTATATGGAGCCCATAAGATTCATTTTTCTCAATTGAAGTCACTATTTCTGTTTTTAGCTTCGGAGGATAGGAGGTACATGAACATGCTAAGTTTACCTAGATCACAAGCCTTACCACAAATATAAAGTATATAGGAATAGAGTTGATATGTGTGAAAACCTTAAACTTCCCATTTTATTGGGGATGGAACTTGTGGACCATGTGTATTTCTAACTTCTTCACATGTGCATGGATCTAAAAATCTAAAATTGTGGCAACCATCTTGGATTTGTCATATTATGTGGACATGGTTTTGGTTGTGCTGAATTTGTTTCAAAATAACATTTCTTGTATACCTTCGATAAGTGAGATAGGCATTTGAAATTAAATACAGATAGTATACTTGACATTTAATGCAGTAAACAGTAATACAATTCATTCTTACATAATAAGTGAGTCCAGACAAAAAGTTGTTATTGTGTTAGTTTAACTGGGCATAAATTACACTCATTGGCCTTGGTTTTCTAAATTGGCTTGGATAAAATGTTGTTCTGTTTATTCAGAAAAGGAGTATAGTTCAATATACAAGTTCACATTCGTTCCATCTTCTTGTAGAAATGAATCTCATATTATTTTATCTCAAATATAGAACACAAAAATATAATAAAAAACAAGTTTCTATTAACTGCAAAAGTTAGCTTCTATGTCATGACTGAGTTTGGGTTCCGCTTCTAGGGAAAAATATCCATCTGGAAATATCGTATTGACCATTGCTATACACTCCATATTTAATCCTCCCAGTAAATAACATTGATATACAGTATACAAGTATATATGACATCGAGGATCTGGGGTTTGGGTAATGTGAGACATGAGGCCACTTGTCTTTTTGAATCTCATATTCAATATTCTTTCTTTAAACCCTCATATTTAATATTTTTGGAGTGGTAATTCAATAATGTACCTATTTTTATTCTTTATCCCATAGTTGAACTCTGTTCTGCTCTGTTAGATAACATGAAAACATATTTATGATATTTTGCAAATGCGCGGAAAAAGTGATATCTGTGGAATATGGAAAATATTTCACAGATATCACCTTTTGGCAGGGATTTGAAAACTACCACCAATATGATGTGTTTTGTTACATAGTGATTTCATGACATCGCGGGAATGAATGAATGAATGGATGTTGTTTTGATATGCTTTGTTTAGTTTTAGAGGTGAACTATGGGAAAAATAGAACATCCTATGAATTTTCGTGATATTGTGTTAATCCAACTCATTGATATCAATATCTGCGCTAATTCGCTATGCTAACTTGGCAAGATATTGATATCAACTCGGAGGTAAAGATAACATCATTTAAAATCATATGATATTCTATCCATATCCTTAAATGTGCCACAACTTTCTCATATGTTATATATTTTGGCACAGGCCATCATTTATTTTCCTTGAATTCATGCTTTTGTTCCTCGTTTTAGAAATGAGAGGAAATCTTTGATTTTCCTTGTATTTCAGTTGCTTAAATGTTGCCCTTTGATGTTGATAAAAGTCAATAGAAATTACTAGTAATCCATTACAGTCACAGTTGAAATGTACCCATTGCTAGCCCAGAACCTACCAAAATAGCATTTGCATTTTGTCAATATTGCCCAATGTGCTTTTCCATGAAAATAATTTTAATCGTATCTTTTCTTCAGTATTTTATATATTACATTTTAATATATTTAAATTGGATAATATTTATATACTATTTACTTAGACAACAATAAATAAAGAATTTTTTGTAAAAACACCAAAAATGGTATATGATCTTTAAATGACTGTTGTGTGAACATCAAAGGTCAAAATTCGCTGAAATTGTATTTTTATAAAGCACAAATGATTTTTCTTCAATATGATATGCATTATTATCAGATATCTTTGGGGGCTTAAAAGGGCCCTTAATGACACCTGTCCTTTAAATCCTCGAATCTCAGACATGATAAACTAGAAAACTGAAACTCTACTGAGTAGCAAATCCCAACGAACACTATAACATATACATAATATACATTTGTCAAAATGTAATCTTTACCATCTACTCTTCGGCGGCTATTATGAATTTTATGAGGCCCAAATTAGAAAAATGATACAACATTTGCAATCTACTCTAAATTGGCTTTCATTTGAGTGAAATAAAGCTACTCAAAATTAACACAAATTCTTGTTTTCCTGACCCCCAATACACAGCCCCTGGGGGTCAGGCTGAAAAACTTGGGATATATGTGACATAGATAGATGTTGTGAATATACTATCAAAATTTCAAACAATAATATTTATTTCTTTGATTTAAAATGAAAAAACTAAAGATTTTTGCCAAATGTTCACCGAACTTCGTTCGTTGGGATAATAACCTGTAATGTTCAGTATAAACCTTACCAACAATGGTGAAATGCTCCTCCAGTAGGCCCTTATGTGCAGCAAGCCAAGCCTGGGCTATTTTATGGTTCTTGGTTTTTCCAGCGAGAAAGTTGAGAAAGTAGACTCCAAGACCTGCTAGCATCAGCATTTCAAGGTAGAAACTGTCCCAGTTGGTTCTCAGGTGACCAGGTATCTGAAATATAAATAATATGTTTTATATTATTCATATATATTCTGATAAATAGTTAACTGTCTGGACCATTTCACTTCATTTGAACATGTAGTCTGTTTTCAATAACATGTGTCTTGAGAGTAAATACTCTTCAGCAAGAAAATGAACAATAAAATGAAAAGGCATCTGAGGAAAGTATAAACAAGGCATTAACTAGACAAAATGTCACCACCTAGTTGCTCAAAATAGTCAAATCTTAAATATAAAGTTAGATTTGAACTTCTAAAAACTTGTAGATGATTTTGAAAAAAATTGATGTCAGTCTGAACAGTATTTGTTAAGTTATTGGAAGTTGAAAGAATTTGTTACAGACGCTGATCGCCAACTGCCAACCAACAACCACTGTCAAAAAAACTGAGACCATAACAATATATCACCACTTTTTGGTGGTGACATAAAAACTATTATATAAAACCCCTAATATGTGCAAAAAATCTGAAACAGAAAATTAACTTGATCTTATATATTAGGTCTATTTGATATGCAGTACATGTACTTACATTTGTGATTTTTAGGTCAGGTGTCTTTTCTGGTTTGCCTCCTTTATTGATTGGTTTACTATCTTTATCAAAGCCTTCAAACTCTTCTTCATCATTCAAGTATTCAAACTCATCTTCATCCTGAAAAATTAGTATGGTTGAACATTAAAGTTAAGTAGCATGCCGGTGGTCCACCTATTTTTGAAAATAAGCTTGATCCATTAGCATGCATTAGTATTTGCATCCATTTGAGAAAAATCCTGAGAACACTGATTTAGAATTATAAATTGTTCTTTTACAGTTCAAAGAGAAGGTTTGCAAGAAAAAGTCTAATAGATTATGGTTTTAAGTGGGAAAGTATTACCTCGACCATAGCCTCATCATCATCAGCTGCTTCTGTATCATGTACTGGAGCTGCCTCTTCAAATGCTGCATTGTCATCACCATCAGCATCTTTAACACCAGCATCACCAGCACTTGGTTCCTCTACATAATAAACATTCAAAAATCAAGTTGCAGTCATACCCTGACATCAAAAGGGTAGCAGTTTAATTCTAGCCTCTCCTTTAGAGATGGGAAGTAAAACGCTTAAAGGCCCCATGTAAAGTTTAAACCACTTTGGCTTATATTGTAGTCTTACCCAATGATATCAAAGTGTGATATGTGAAACTTTTTTTTTTAATTTCAAAAAGTGGTTTTTGATAGACTTTTTGTTCCAAAATTTGTGAATTTATTTAAAACCAACTTTTAGAGGTCACTCATATCTTCTAATTAGCCACAATTCATACCAATGCATAGCATTCATCCTCCCATGTTTTTTGCCGAAAAAATTAAGAAAATCGGTTGATAAACAAGCGAGAAATGAACTTATCAGTGCATGAAAATGGTTCTGAGAAAAATGCATTTCAAAATTTTAGTTCTCATAGAAACCAATGGTACAATGATATCTAAAACATAATTTATTCTTCCTTTTAACCCGGTTAGACAACCAACATTGGTTTTTTATGAAAGTCTAGCATATTTAGAAAAGATTGACATTGAAAAACAAAATTCAATTTTTTTCAAAAAGTTTTTGGTACCTTAGTGACATCACTAATGTTTCAAAATATTTTTGATAAGCTAAAACATTGAAGTGGCCCATTAAATATGACATTTTATTATTGAAATAGTGTGTCTTTTGTTCAATCTTTGCATTGGTGTTAAAAAGATAATCTCTTTTGAAATGCATTAAGAAATATTCGATGATTAAGAAATTTCAACTTTTTTAGAAAAATGGCGGGAAATTTGAATATTTGAGAAATGAAATGCTCACAACTTTTTTTTCAAAAATTTTTTTTTGTTCAAAAATCTCTAAAATCACTTTTTAAGTCCTGACAAATAGTAAATGAATGATAAAAAAATATTTTCAAACTTTAGACGGGGACTTTAAGATCTTTACAAATGGTATCAATTTGTTAATATGTTTCCATCCTTGCAACGAATGTTGCATAAAGTTGACAATTTGAAAAATGTATTGTAGTCAGTTGAAATGTATACTATGTATAATGTTCATGTCTAAAAGTTGGATGATGCTGAAACAATACCTTCATCAAATTCTTCAAATTCTGCAAAATCGTTGTCATCTAGATCAGCTCCATGTCTGTTGCTTGCCTGGGCAGAGGTAGTTGCTACAAGGCACAACAATGCCACTACTAGTGGCAGGAAATTCATTGTCTGAAAGTACATGCACATTACATATAAACATAGGAGTACAAGCAGTGATTTTTGGCTACGAGTATAAGCAGTGACAAGCTATGATATTGGTTAACATGCCAGAAATTAACATAATATCATTCGAAACGTTATTAGAAGATTTGGAATCCGCCATTTTTGTTTGTCGATTTTGACCAATCAGAGAGGTGGGTCATCTCAATACAGGTTTACATTATAAGCGTACATCAACTTTGAACTCTGGGGTTAATCCCCTCTTATTTATGGGCAAACTCCCATGCAGTGTCTCGGAATAGACACTGCGGCGGGCAGATGAAGAAAGTCACCAAAATTTTGTGAAAATAGTTCCCCTTTTCATCATAGATATGGTCAATTTTCAAACAACTTATAAAATATGTTTTTATTTATGTTCCCTAATCATTATTTTGTCAAAATATTTCAAAATTAATGAAAGGCCATGAAATATGAGAATCCCCACGGAAAGAACTCTGAGTCAAAGTTGTGTTGATAATAGTTTACCGCACGTGTTGTTTATTAGATAATACCGACAATCTACAATGCTGATTCAAATTAATTGATAAGTCGTATAATTGGCATATTTTCTTGAATTTTCACATTTAATTTCCCGAACTCCCACAAACTGCAGAAAAGTACACACCATAAATCATATTTACTAAAATGAGTGTCTCCAAGGCTTCATACCAGCGTATGCATAATGCATTTGTCAGGAGTTTGAGCTGAAATTTCGCTAAAATGAAGTAAGGGTAGTCTCTGCCAGGTTTGTTATTGGGGTTAGCTTTTATGGAAAGTGCTCAGAAGCAAATAATTCATGTGCACAAAATAATCAAATAATCTGATTGGTTTAAACTTTGCTGCACAATGTGTGCTATGGTTTTTTCTAGTGATTTTGTTTCGTTTCATGGAGTTTGCGTTTCAGTGGAACTTCCGCCGAAATGGCGGACCAATGACAGAATTAACAGGTAAAATCACTTCGAAATTTTAAGAGAACTTTTCACCTATAATAGCAAAACTTTTGTTTTATTTGTGCATTCTATCTATCAGATAAGAGTCTCAGGGGTATGTAGTAACCAAACCTGTCTGGCCCAGTTATTTACTCCTGAAGTAGTAGATCTGGGCCAGACAAGGTCCAATGCTAAAAAAGGAGGATTTACTGCGGAAAAAACATGTCGCTGAATCATCACTTATTATTCATTCCCTATTAGCCATCCAACCAAAACATCGGGCTCCATGTAAACCCAAGTTATTTGAAATAAAGAGTATATAACTTACACGTAAATGTGGTGTTTTGTTTGTAATATTGATGTTGAAATGGGCACAAGATTTCGTCAATATTTTCGTCAGTTCTCCGCACCGAATAAAGTCACGTGATTTGACGTAACATAAGTGTGACGCGATGATCTTTAACTTTCATGGAACGAAAATACATTTCCCGGGAACCAATACATCCCAAATATTACGATTTCTTCAGCAGATTTGTTATCAAAATGTAGATTACTTTATAAAACAGACATATCTGTGTTGTATTTAGACTTGAAATAAATATGGTGGACATTATAATTAGTGTTGTCGCGATGTGCTATAATCGTACATCGATGCATCGGCAATTTTCAGTAGTAAACATCGATGCACATCGCGATGTACATCGAGAAAAAGTTCGAGAAAAGTGCATTGAAATACCGAACGCTAATGCACTATAATACCGAACAGAACAAATTAATAAGAGTATGCTGGTACATCCGGGAACTTCTAGTAATGGTGAAATGAAAGTAAAGAAACTTTTTTTAGATTAATGGTTCATTTCGACTAGCTAAAACAGTTTTAAAGCGAAACAATGTCAGAAAACATTGGAAAATGAAATAAGACATGAAAGAAGGTAAGCAATTTGCGTCAAAATAAGATAAGAAAGGGCGATTTTTAGCAAATTAATTTTTTAAAAAACATCGATGTGTTGTTTCAGACATCGATGCATCGCCAGAATCAGCTTTGGTGATGTATATCGCGATGTATCGATTAATCGCGACAACACTAATTAAAATACGATTTTTCAATTTGTTGAACTGACCAAATGTAGTACTGAATGAAATATGCAGCCAAGACTTCTCGATATTCCACCAGATCACGATCAGATTGCAGAAGAATTTTTCTTTTTGCTGCGTTTAATCGTTTTGTTCTTATTTATTAGCCGTCATCCAGCGATGGAAACCTAATATAAATACAAAGTTTGATACAAGCAACAAACATGTGAGTGTTTTTTATGATGTTTATTCATTTATCAGCACATATTATACATTGAAAAACCAGTGTGTTTTTTCCGGAGTGAATCCCATTTTTTGCATTGGATCCCGTCTGGCCCAGGTCTACCAGACTTCGGGAGTAGATATCTGGGCCAGACGGATTTGGTTAGGGTATGTAGGCAAATTCATTTTGGTAGGAGCACTCTGTTTAGTTTGAAAACGCACCCTTTATTATTTTATATCAGCACTGTACCAATGAAAATTTTACAACCACGTGACCTGAGTATGGGACTAGAACCAAGCAAGTCAATTGTTTATGCGAAGTTGTCATGCTTACGGTGAGATATCTGCCCGCCGCAGTAATGTTTGAGACCAGCTCTACCACGGAGTTCGATTTATGGGGTATGAAAAGTGGGCGATAATAGATTTTATTGATTTTTTGTTCTATTCTTTCTCCACTTTTGCAGACATCGTGTCAAAAAGTGGAAAAAATATGGGATGAAAATGAGAATCAACAAATATTTTTCAGATATTTCTTTTTTTGACTTTGTACTAAGCCAAATACTTACGTTTAAGGAGGTTTTATGCAAAGTGTGCAAAGTAAGAAAAATTGTCGGAGCCTCGGTTTCAAACACAAAAACAGAATAGATGTTGTCTAACTAGCCAACGTTAGAATTTGCTTTGATGAGCTTCTGAGACACTTTATCCTCAAATGTAATCAGAAAATTTTATTTTATGATTTTTTATAATTATGTCCTTTTTATATGTATCTAACCAGTGGTTTAAATTTCCTAATTGAATTTCTTGTCATGAAAAAGTGAAAATGGGTTCAGGAAATAAAGAAAAAGATATGCTCAACATTTTAGTCAATAACTTGTATATTACTGCATTATTTGTTGCTCTTTTGTGTACACAATGTACATCTGAAGAATGTGTAAAAGTTTCGGACTGTAGCTGTAGAACCAGTAAAGGTCAAATAGAGCTGACTGACCAAATGTAAGTAAAACTTTTTTAGTATCAGGCCTGTAGAAATAAATGTCATGTGACTGTTGCTCAGATTTAGCCTCAGTTAGACTGAACAGTTATTGACCTCTACATAGGCTGACTATTAAAGTAACTTAAATACCCAAAAATGCACATGGTATCTGTCGCAAGACTTATGCCTGGCACAACTATCACTGCGTTTTTAGTTGCACAAGGATCCTGCCATGACCGTGGTAGTGTTATCGTGAAAGCCCACCTCGACCACTGCCCTTATGTGACATTTATGACTTATATTGCAAGGCCTTTCATGACCCTGGTAATGTCAAAATGCATTGCAAGGCCTCGTATGACCGTGACAATGTTATACTGTGTGACAATGCATGATATGGCATTTATATTGCAAGACCTGGAATGACCCTTGTCATCTTAAAATATATGGATAATGCCTAGTATTACTGTGACAATGTAGTAATACAATGCAATGCCTCAACTTGTTCACAATGCCTCTATGATCAATGATAGAATGCAATGCCTCAACTTGTTCACAATGCCTCTGAGATTAATGATAGAATGCAATGCCTCAACTTGTTCACAATACCTCTATGACCAATGATAGAATGCAATGCCTCAACTTGTTCACAATGCCTCTATGATCAACGATAGAATGCAATGCCTCAACTTGTTCACAATGCCTCTGAGATGAATGATAGAATGCAATGCCTCAACTTGTTCACAATACCTCTATGACCAATGATAGAATGTAATGCCTCAACTTGTTCACAATGCCTCTATGACCAATGATAGAATGTAATACCTCAACTTGTTCACAATGCCTCTATGACCAATGATAGAAATGCAATGCCTCAACTTGTTCACAATGCCTCTATGACCAATGATAAAATGCAATGCCTCAACTTGTTCATAATGCCTCTATGACCAATGATAGAATGCAATGCCTCAACTTGTTCACAATGCCTCTGAGATTAATGATAGAATGCAATGCCTCATTTTGTTCACAATGCCTCTATGACCAATGATAGAATGCAATGCCTCAACTTGTTCACAATGCCTCTATGACCAATGATTTCTATTTAAAATGAATCTTTTACTTCATAAACTTGAACATCCAGGTTTATATGAGATGTGCAGTACGCAGGAGCCAATCAGTGCAAAAAGCAGAGCTCTCATGATAAACAGTGTGGTCCATTATTATTCAACAAAGTTGACATTTTCCATAATTTGCAATAATTCAAACTCTTATTTCTCTGTATTTTCTCTGATCCCATGTCAAGAAATAGTAGGGCAATTGTAGCATGGCACATTTTCTTCTGATAATCTGCTTAAAAGGTGGCTTTTTGATAAATGGTAGCTATTTATGTGTCATTTTACATTTTTGGGACAACTTCAAATTTAAAGTACTAGTTGACATAATGTGAATATTATATTGCAAGAACTTGCAAGCATGAGACATGGTCTTAATAAGTAATAATGGAGACCTTTTTATGTTTCAAACTTTGTTATAACTCGAAAAGAAGTAAGATGATTTTGTTTGATGGGGTTTAATGGTGTCTGCTACGCCTTGGTGTTGCTGTTATCTGTAGACTAATGGCTTGTGGTCATATGACCTCTACCCGAGAATGATTTATAATGTGGCATCACAGTTATTTCCATCGTGTAATGTTCAAAATGATTGTGTGATTAATGATAAAATCTGTTATCTAAGGTGGGATTTTTAACGCTGTAGAGTTGCTGCTTTTTCTAATTCTGTATGCAACAAGTTTGTGTAACATATTGTTATGTTATTGTCTTTGTTTATTTCTATTTATAGTTATTCAGTTGATGCTCAAGACAAAGCTCGTTACAAGTACAGTCCATGCAAGACCTTTTCTGATCCTACAGGCTCAACGTCTGAGTGTAAAGACGTTGCGGTGAGTTTTTTTCTTAAATTAACTTTTTTATTATTATTTTTTTTTATTAAAAATATTTTATTCGTCTATATGTTTTACATACATTATATTGATACAATTTGACGAAATGGATCGGACAAGAGGCTTTCGCCTATTCTAAGTCCTCTCCTTTGGTTGTCCTAGAAAATTATTACAGTTTTATTTGTTTGTGCAGGATGGGAGGCTTGGGAAGAAATGAGTGAGTGAAAGGAGGAAACGACTTGATTGAGAATCTTTTTGTAACTCTTATGTAATTGTGAACAGCAGTGAATGTGGCTTTGTTTTCTTCATCTGTCTTCCTTGCATTTCCATGGATGAGTTCTGTTAATGTTGTCCTTGGTAGAATTGTTTTATGTCTTTGGTATGAAGTACATTCTTTGAGATAGTGTTCGGCACTTTCTGTTGGGTTTCTGCATTCACATTTGGGGCTGTCCTTTACATGGTTGAGATGTAGATCTTGGTTTAAGTCGCTGCATCTAAGTCTTATCTGTGTGTGTATTATTTGAGTGTCTCTTTTCCCATAGTAATAGTAATGTGGTAGCTTCTTCTTGTTTGTTATCAATTTTTTGAAGTGCTCCTCAGCTTTTGTGCTTTCTATTGATGCATCAATGTCATTCTACACTTTTATTGTGGCTGGTAGAAATGATTTTCTATACGCTTCAGTTCTGCATACAGGCATTAATAGGTTGCTAGCTCGTCGGAGATCATGATCAGACCTTCTCTTGGTTGCTTCAATTACATTGCTCAACGAGTCTGTTATTTTTTTGTTTATGAGTTTGTGCATTATTAGTAGTTTTTGTGTTGTTCGACGCTCTTGGAGTTTTGCCCAACCTGTTTCTTTGTATATCAACTTGTGGCTTGTTCTTCTTTTTGCCCCTGTGCAGATTCTTGCAGCTTTTAGTTGTAGTTCTTCTAGTTGGTCTTTTTCTTAGTTATGACAGTTGTCCCAAACTGGAGAGGCATATTCAATTATAGGCCTAATAAATGCTTTATACATAATTTCCAGTGTTTTTCGGTCAAGTTTATATTTAAGTCCTCGCATGATATCTATCATCTTGGCAGCTCTATTTGTTATGTTCCTTATGTGTGATCCCCATGTTCCATTGTTGTCTAATGTCAGACCTAGATGTTTATGGTTGGTCACTTCTTTGATAACTTTTCCATTGAAAGTGAGTTGAAATTGTCCATTATTTTGGTGTTTTCTCGTGAATAACATTGTTTCTGTTTTTTCTGGGTTGAAGGTTAGTTGCCATATATTGGCCCACTCGTTTGTTGATCGTAGTTGTTCGTTGAGAGTTTCAATTATGTTGTCATTTTCTTTTCCACTTACAAGAAATGTAGTATCATCTGCATATATCCTTCCAGTGCATTTATCAGTTAGGTTTTCCAAGATATCATCTATGTACACCAAAAATAGCAGTGGTCCTAGGATGGAGCCCTGTGGAATGCCTGCAGAGATATACCCCCAGCTGGATGTTTCGCCATTGAGAATGACCCTTTGTTTTCTGTTGGATAGGTAACTTTTGAACCATTTTCCTTTGATTCCCTTCCGTTCTAACTTGTTAGCTAGGCCTTTATGCCATACTCGGTCAAAAGCTTTTGACATGTCACAGAAGATGGCTCTTGTGTTTTCATTATTTTCCATCGTCTCCATGATGTAGTTGTACATCTCTAGTAGTTGCGTTGTTGTGGAGTTTCCTAGGGAATAAGCAGATTGGAATTTTGACAGCAATTTCCATTTGTGTAGGTAGTTATGTACATGAGTATACATTGCTCTTTCGAATACTTTCGCTACACAGTTCAGTAGAGATATGGGTCTGTAATTTGTGGCTATTTCTCTTCTGTCTTTTTTGAATATTGGTGTAACATTCGCTTCTTTCCAGATGTCTGGGAAGACATTCTGTTTTAATGATGCATTGATATTTGTGCCAGTATCGGGGCTATTGATTTTGCAGTCATTTTTAGAACACGTGGACTTATATTGTCAGGCCCTAGTGATTTTCCTGGATTCAGATTTGTAAGTATGTCTTCGACTGTCTGATTTGACAAAAAATGATTATTCAATAATTCAGCCTTTTCTTTGTTGTTTGATATTGAATAACCATTGACAAGAAAGGGTGTTTCATTGTTATCTGATGCCCTGAAATCGTTGTATAACTGTTTGACCACCAGGTCTTTGTTCCAGTTTTTCCATTGACCAATTTCTGTGAGAGTCTTAGTTCATATTCTTCTTTGGCATTTCTGAGTTCGGTTATTGTTTCATTTCTCAGCTTTCTGTATTTGTCCCATAGCGTGTCTGTTTTTAGTGTTTTTGCCATCTTGTAAGCTCTGTTCCGCCTTCTAATGAAACGTTTGATTTTTGTTGTAATCCATGGCAGATCATTTTGCCTTATAGTTATTGTCTTTTCTGGGATAAACTTGTTTATTATGCCTTTAAATTCTTTATACCAATTCTTTACAATTTCATTTACGTCAGTGTCATTGTTGTTATCATGTATATTTAGTATTTGATTCCAGTTCTTACTCTGTATGTCATCATTCATCGCTTTCCAGTCTACAAGTTTATAGTTTCTTATTGTTCGCTAATAGTCTTTACCAGACTGTTTTTTAATGTTTATTTCTGTGTTTATGGGGCTGTGCTTGCTCATTGATGGTGTTAGTACCTCTGTAAGTATGATCGTTCCTGGAGATGTTGTTGCCAAGATATCAATTAAGGTTGCGGCTGTATCTGTTATGTGAGTAGGTTCTTCTATCATTTGATGTAGATTATTTTCTTGAAGCAGATCATCAAGTTTGTTGTTCGTCTCATTAAGCATGTCACAATTTAGATCGCCTACCATATAGACATATTTTTTACCATTGGCATATTCTTTGATATTTTCAAGTAAGTTGTCTATGAGAGTCCATGTGTTTGCTGGGCTTTTTGGTGCTCTGTACACTGTGGTTATGAGAACTTTTTTTCGTTTCTATTAGGACTTCGATGCATAATGCTTCTAGTCCTAGTCTTCTAGTCTTAAATTAACTCTCAACCAACCAACAATGGTTGAATAGCTTTATGAAACATTTTGATCAAAAACTATTATAAATAAGTAAATAAAATCTTGTCTTATGTAAATATTAATTCTGCTTGCTTAAAGCAATGTACACGCATAGGGAAGTATTCATACTTCAAGATTTGTCACTTTGTAGGATCCAGGACTTTAAAAAGAACATAATTGAAAATATTCTCCATCAATATTATTATACAGGGGCATAGCCAGGATCCAAAATTTGGCTAGGCAAATTATGTTTGGCGAGGCAATTTTGAATCAAAAGCGAAATAACACTATCATATTACTTCGTTTTCAAAATTTCATTTGAAAAAGAAGTGAGTGCCTGAATTTATATTTTTTAAATAATGTAAATGTAAACTCTACCTTTCCTATTGCATCAGTGTTTGTAGTTATGTCAGGTTTGAGCTTCAAATTCTGAACTTATATATTACATTAATATTTATAGTTATGTCAGGTTTGAGTTTCAACTTATATATTGCATTAATGTTTGTAGTTATGTCAGGTTTGAGCTTCAACTTATATATTGCATTAATGTTTGTAGTTATGTCAGGTGTGAGCTTCAACGTATATATTGCATTAATGTTTGTAGTTATGTCAGGTTTGAGCTTACACGTATATATTGCATTAATGTTTGTAGTTATGTCAGGTTTGAGCTTCAATGTATATATTGCATTAATGTTTGTAGTTATGTCAGGTTTGAGCTTCAATGTATATATTGCATTAATGTTTGTAGTAATGTCAGGTTTGAGCTTCAACGTATATATTGCATTAATGTTTGTAGTTATGTCAGGTTTGAGCTTCAATGTATATATTGCATTAATGTTTTAGGCATGTCAGGTTTGAGCTTCAACTTATATATTGCATTAATGTTTGTAGTTATGTCAGGTTTGAGCTTCGACTTATATATTGCATTAATGCTTTTAGGCATGTCAGGTTTGAGCTTCAACTTATATATTGCATTAATGTTTGTAGTTATGTCAGGTTTGAGCTTCAACGTATATATTGCATTAATGGTTGTAGTTATGTCAGGATTGAGCTTCAACTTATATATTGCATTAATGGTTGTAGTTATGTCAGGTTTGAGCTTCAACTTATATATTGCATTAATGTTTGTAGTTATGTCAGGTTTGAGCTTCGACTTATATATTGCATTAATGCTTTTAGGCATGTCAGGTTTGAGCTTCAACTTAGATATTGCATTAATGTTTGTAGTTATGTAAGGTTTGAGCTTCAACTTATATATTACATTAATGTTTGCAGTTATGTCAGGTTTGAGCTTCGACTTATATATTGCATTAATGTTTGTAGTTATGTCAGGTTTGAGCTTCAACTTATATATTGTATTAATGTTTGTAGTTATGTCAGGTTTGAGCTTCGACTTATATATTGCATTAATGTTTGGAGTTATGTCAGGTTTGAGCTTCAACTTATATATTGCATTAATGGTTGTAGTTATGTCAGGATTGAGCTTCAATGTATATATTGCATTAATGGTTGTAGTTATGTCAGGTTTGAGCTTCAACTTATATATTGCATTAATGTTTGTAGTTATGTCAGGTTTGAGCTTCAACTTATATATTGCATTAATGTTTGTAGTTATGTCAGGTTTGAACTTCAACTTATATATTGCATTAATGTTTTAAGGCATGCCAGGAAGTTTCAAGTCCAGAAATTCCTCCAACTATAACTTACTACAAAGTGGGAGACTTGAAAACTGCAAAATTTCAGGGAGAGCCAGGGCAAAACTTAGAAGTTCAATATACAGGCTCAGGAACGAGGTACAAACATTACTTTACCAAAAAAAAAAGTCGTCAATAAGCATTTTAGTTTTTTAGGAATCGTTCAGTAAAAAAATACATGTATGCTTTTTTATGTCACCACCACCTAGTGTGGGGCAATATTGTCCACCTAGGAGCATCTGTCAGACTGTCTGTCCATTCATTCAGCAGTTTTCTCCAAACCTGCTACAGATATCACCTTCAAATTTTTGGCGATAACTTTTTTGACTTTATTCCATAGTTAGCATGATATTCATAGGATAACATGTGAAAATAAAAATGGTATTTTTGTAGTCAGTGGTAAAATATGATATTTTTGACAAATTTTCATTTAACCATAGCATACGGTGTTTTAGCCATGACATACGGCGTCGTATGCGATGGTTTATGGATTTTTGCTACTTCAGACTCAAAACGAGGCTAAGTGTCATTATCGCCGGATCGTTTGGAAAATTCGAATTAAATCACTTAATTTCCGACGATTCTGATTCTGATGATGACTTTAACTATGGAATAAAAAGAACATCCTATGATTTACTCGTGATATGATTTTAATCCACTCATGGATATTAATATCTGCACTCTCTCGCTACGCTCGCTCGTGCAGATATCATATCCATTCGTGGATAAAAATCATATCACTCATAAATCATAGGATATCCTCTATATACATGTATACTGTACCTACTTTCTTTCAGCCATTTTCAAGTCAAATGCTTAATCTGTGTCTACAAACTTTAAAAAAACAGCTTCACAGTTAGTTTTAAAATGTTAAGATCTGTAAATCACTTCATTTTATATCTGATTAAGCAGAGGAAGTGAGTAGCTTCCATAGTTCTTTGGTATAATTTGGTATTCTTTAACATAATTTATGAAAATTAAGCCCATCCCGGTATATGATATCCAGTCATTTACCCAGATGCGAGTAGGTAGTTACCAAAGTCACCACCAGGTGGCTGATTACATTTGTTCAATATTATGATATGTTGTACTTATTGCAGGCAAACATTTGTGACATTAGTTTGTGGAACAGGTGATGATGAGTTTAAAGGTAAAGGAGAAGATCCACTTGGAAGTGCAAAATATGTAAGTAAAATACATCCTTTGAGATTTATAATTGTAAGTTCCTGATTGTCCTAAAAGTAGAGATATATTATTAGACTCCAGATTGAAAATCTGGAGTCTATTGTTTTTGCCAGTATTATTATTATTAGACTCCAGATTGAAAATCTGGAGTCTATTGTTTTTGCCAGTATTCTTTTTATTATTAGACTCCAGATTGAAAATCTGGAGTCTATTGTTTTTGCCTGTTTTCTTATTATTCTTTTTTCTTCCTCCTCACCAAATTTCTCGTCAACTATAACAGCTTACTTAATCCAACTTACTTGGTTAACTGAAGACTGTATCCGGCTTTCTGGGAAATTAGGTCAAATTTTTATCTAGGTCAAAGGTCAAGAACTAGGTCAAATCTTACATTTTCAACATTCTTCATGATATCTTCGTCAATATTCTTCTTAACTCCTTCATCTTTTTTTCAACATGTAGCTTAGAAACAGCTCTTTCATAAGTGTGCCAACAGATTTTTGATTACTCTTACCGATTTTGGGATATGGCGTCCGGAAATTAGGTCAGACAAAAAATTCTCCAAATTCAACATGTGAGTTATGGAACAAGTGTAGAATGATCTGAGGAATCCAAATCTGCAAACCAAATTTCGATCCGACTACTCGATCGGAAGTTATGGCGTTTTGAAAGCTCAAAAATCGCTAAATTTGGTGCCCATGTTAAGTCAATGGGAAAAAAGATTTTTTTGAAGTGAAACATACGAAATATAGACTGAGTTCAGCTAAATATAATGAAAGCTTTTAAAAGAAGGGGACCTCAAAAGCCATCTAGCTTGAAAATTTGGACATCAAAATGCCTAGGTCAAAATCTAGGTCAAATTCATAGTTTTTCCTTATTTTTGCGATTCTGACACTACACTTTAATTATATCCTTCGAAATTCTGTATACATGTAGCCAAGAGTGTGCTAATAGTGTTAGCCTTTTGCCGTCAGAAAGTATTTTGACCTACTTTTGAGATATGGTGTCCCTAAAGTAGGTCAAAATAAAATGTTCTCTACATTTAACGTATGAGTTATGAATTAGGGGTAGAATGATCTCAAGAGTCCAAATCTGCAAACAAAATCTCGATTCGACTTCCTGTTTGGAAGTTATGGCGTTTTGAAAGCTAAAAAATTGCTAAATTTGCTGCCCCATGTTATGTCAATGGAAAAAAAGATTTTTTTGAAGTGTAAAATACGAGATATAGACTGAGTACAGCTTAATATAATGAAAGCCTATTAAAGAAGGGGACCTCGAACGCTACTTAGCTTCAAAATTCGGACACCAAAATCCCTAGGTCAAAATCTAGGTCAAATTCATAGTTTTTCCTTATTTTTATGATTCTGACACTATATTCAAATGATTTGCTTTAAAATCCTGTATACAGGTAGCAAAGAGTATGCTAATAGTGTTAGTCTTTTGCCGTCACAAAGTATTTTGACCCACTTTTGAGATATGGTGTCCGAAAAGTAGGTCAAAATAAAAAGTTTTCCAAATTTAACGTTTGAGTTATGAATTAACGATAGAATTTTCTCAGGAATCCAAATCTGAAAACCAAAATTCGATCCGACTTCATTTTCTGAAGTTATGGCGTTTTGATATCTCAAAAATCGCTAAATTGGGTGCCCCATGTTATGGCAATGGGAAAAAAAGATTTTTTCGAAGTATAAACACGAAATATAGACTGAGTACAGCTTTACATAATGAAAGCCTATAAAAGAAAGGGATGTCAAAAGCTATCTAGCTTCAAAATTTGGACACCAAAATGCCTAGGTCAAAATCTAGGTCAAATTTATAGTTTTAACTTATTTTTTCGATTCTGACACTACACCACTTGAATTATTTGCTTCAAAATTTTGTATACAGGTAGCAAAGAGTATGCAAATAGTGTTAGCCTTCACCGTCAGAAAGAATTTTGACCCACTTTTGAGATATAGTGTCCGAAAAGTAGGTCAACATGAAAGGTTCTCCAAATTTAACGTATGAGTTATGAATTAAGGGTAGACTTTTCTCAGGAATCCGAATCTGCAAATCAAATTTCAATCCGACACCAAGTTTAGAAGAAATGGCGTTTTGAAAAGTTAAAAAATTGCTATTTTGATATCCTATGTTATGTCAGTAGGGCAGCAGAAGATTACAAATTTTAAATATATGAGATACTGACAGAATGAAAATACAATTAATGGAAGCCTACCATAGAATAGGTCCTCAAAAGCTACCTTAATTCAACATTTGGACACTGAAAAGCTAAGGTCAAGAACTGGGTCAAATCATACATTTCTAACATAATGTCAATTATCTTTGTCACTATTTGTCGTTATTCCTTTATCTTTTTTCATCATGTAGCTTAAAGACAGCCCTTTCATTATTGTTTCTGTCTTTTTTTTGATTACTCTTACCGATTTTGAGGAATGGCGTCCGGAAAGTAGGTCAACACAAAAAGATCTCAAAATTCAATGTATGAGTTATGACACAAGCGTAGAATCTTCTCAGAAATCAGAATCTGCAAACCAAATTTCGATCAAATTTCTGATTAGATAGTTATAGCGGTTTGAAATCTTGAAAGTCGATATTATTATGTCCCCATGTTAAGCCAATGGAGTCGAAGATAACCTACTTAAGAGTTGTCTGAATGTCTATATTCTAGATGACTAAGCTTATTCTGAATGGCTCAGCTTACAGTATTTTGGATGACTCAGCTTAAAAAAAAAGTTTGAAATCTGGAGTCTTAAATTGAACTTGTTCAATTTACATGTCTAGTTATTATTAGACTCCAGATGAAATCTGGAGTCTATTGTTTTCGTCATTTTTCTTTATTATTCTTTATTTATTATTATTATACTGGAAGCCTTTTCTCGACAACCATAAGGTATCCAATTAAGATCATTATCCAGTCAATTTAGGTTCAGTATCTAGTTCCTGGGAAATTGGGTCAAATTTTTATCCAGGTCAAAGGTCAAGAACTGGGTCAAATTCAGTACTTTGTCACTTTTTTCGATTTTCTCGGTCGTCCTTCAAAATTTTCGATCAAGGTTTTTTCGAAAACGAGGTCCAAAAAAAAGTTCTTCGAATCAAATGTCTAGGATATTAGTCTTATAGGAAATTTTCTCAGGATTCCGAATCTGAAAACCAAATTCGGATCAGACTACCGGTTCGGAAGTTATGGCGTTTTGAAAGCTCAAAAATTGCTAAATTTGGTGCCCATGTTAAGTCAATGGGAAAAAAGATTTTTTTGAAGTGAAAAATACGAAATATAGACTGAGTTCAGCTTAATATTATGAACGCTTTTAAAAGAATGGGACCTCAAAAGCCATCTAGCTTCAAAATTTGGACACCAAAATGCCTAGGTCAAAATCTAGGTCAAATTCAAAGTTCTTCCTTATTTTTTCTATTCTGACACTACAGATTAATTATATTCTTCGAAATTTTGTATACATGTAGCCGAGAGTGCCCTAATAGTGTTAGCCTTTTGCCGTCAGAAAGTATTTTGCCCCACTTTTGAGATATGGTGTCCGAAAAGTAGGTCAAAATAAAAAATTCTCCAAATTTAACGTGTGAGTTATGAACTAAGTATAGAATTTTCTCAGGAATCCGAATCTGCAAACCAAATTTCGATCCGACTTCCAGTTCGGAAGTTATGACATTTTGAAAGCTCAAAAATCGCTAAATTTGGTGCCCCATGTTATGTCAATGGGAAAAAATATTTTTTTGAAGTGTAAAATACGAGATATAGACTAAGTACAGCTTAAAATAATGAAAGTCTATGAAAGAAGGGAACCTCGAAGGCTACCTTATTTCAAAATTTGGACACCAAAATGCCTAGGTCAAAAACTAGGTCAAATTCATAGTTTATCCTTATTTTTGCGATTCTGAGACTACACTTTAATTATATTCCTCGAAATTGTGTATACATGTAGCCAAGAGTGTGCTTATAGCGTTAGCCTTTTGCCGTCAGAAAGTATTTTGACCCACTTTTGAGATACGGTGTCCGAAAAGTAGGTCAAAATAAAAAGTTCTTCAAATTTAACGTTTGAGTTATGAATTAAGAATATAATTTTCTCAGAAATCCGAATCTGCCAACCAAATTTTGATTTGACTTCCGGTTCAGAAGTTATGGCGTGTCCGAAAAGTAGGTCAAAATAAAAATTCGCCAAATTTAATGTATGAGTTATGAATTAGGGGTTGAATTTTGTCAGGAATCCGAATCTGCAAATCAAATTTCGATTCGACTTCCGGTTCGGAAGTTATGGAGTTTTGAAATTTCAAGAAAAATCGATCTGATGGTATCCTGATAGAAAGTCAAGAGTAGAGAAGAAAATATTGAAAAATGCATCCATCCTTCCTTTGTGATCCTATCCTATCCTTCCTATTTACCCTTGCTTCGTATCCTCTCCTTCCTATCCTTCCTATTCTATCCCTTCTTCCTATTCTATTCTATCCTTCTATCCTATTCAATCCTATCGTTCCTTCCTATTCTATCCTATCCTTCCTTCCTTTTTCATCCATCCATCCATCCATCTTTTGCTGGATGACTTAGCTTATTTTGGATGACTTGGCTTATTCTGGATGACTCGGCTAAAAAAAGTCTAGATCTGGAGTCTGAAATTGAACTCGTTCAATTTCCAAAATCTAGTTATTATTCTTTGGGAGTTTTTTCAATAACTAGTAGGTATCCAGTAAGGACCATAATACAGTTCATTTAGGTTCAGTATCTAGTTGGTGGGAAATTGGGTCAAATTTTTATCTAGGTCAAAGGTCAAGAACTAGGTCAAATCCAGTACTTTGTCACTTTTTTCGATTTTCTCGGTTGTCCTTCAATATTTTCGATCCGGGTTTTTTTCATTGTGTTCCTTATAAAAAAGCAGGAAACCTAGGGTCGATTTAGTTTTTTGATATCTCAAACCGATTTCGAGATATCAGTGTCCGAAAACGAGGTCCAAAAAAAAATTCTCCGAATCAAATGTCCAGGATATTAATCTTAT